GGCTATACAGCACCTATTAGCCCAATGTTGCCTACTTGAGCTATCAGCGTTACAATGGATAGGATTTTGGCTTAGATTTGCAGAGACTAAATAACCGATTAGTATGTGGCTTCAATCCTACGGGTCCATAATTTTAATTACTACCCCATAACTATGTTAAAGTGCTCATTCTTAGGGGTGATCTCGACATAGGGGCCACAAATAAAAATTCTGGATCCGTAGATCGATTGGAATTCAAATTCTAAGTAATATCCTCCTACAAACCATGTTCATACGTGTTGTGGTTGGAAAGTTATAGTCCAATCTCTCCAGAGTGCCAAATTTGGCAGGGAAAACAAGCTGATTTCGCATTTTTGGAGCAATAAATACAATTTCTACATGGAAAACTCTCTCAGTGGATTCAATCACATCATTCCCTCAAACCCACTGCAAAAAATATATTGGATTGGTGTTGTGGAAGGTACAAAGTCCATGTCTCAAGAAATTGGCCCTGTGACGCTATGTCACGGCATGTCACTGGTCATCACACTTACCAAGGATTGTGCAACACCACTAAATAATGAATTTCGTAAGCATTTTTGACTATCACAAATGTAAGAGTGGTCACTCACATTAGAGATTGTCGAATGGAGTCAACACAGTGCAATACATGCTCTTCGTCTAGATCAGTATCATTGGCGTAGTAGTTGTGATGTAATGGTCACCAGATGTTATTCTTTAACCAATGAACAAGGAGAAATTTTGAATTAGAGGTTGATAAAAAAACAGATCTGTTGTCGTACCAGGCAGTGAAGCTGGTGAAAAACATCAAGTCCAGGGAGGTAGTAGCCGGGCTCGTGTTTGATGGGATACATCTTATTGGGAAGAAGTGCAGCCTCACTTTTCAGGATTTTCAAGAGAGTATCTAAACCCATCATGATATTTTTCCTTCGTTTTTGGCGGGGATCAAAACTTACAATTGTAAAGCTCTCCCCAAGCACGATCAACTTCCTTCGAAGCCCCCTGATAGATAGTTTTGTGTTCTCTTCCAGGCGTGAACAACTTGATTTTGTATTCAGCTTCTGATTGCACGGGCACTTCAAATTTTGTGAAGTCTGATTTCATAGAAATTCCACAGTAACTCACAGTACAAGAGCATCCCATCAGTGGACGGGCACCGACATGGTATAGTGCTGCTACCACAATCTTTGTTGAATATGATGGCGACAATGAGAGCAATTGTTTGCAGAATGATGATGATAATCAGCATCTTTTCACGCATTGCAAGTATGTGCCAGGTATTATGCTTGGAGCGATCATCTCTGTAGCTGCCTTGCTTGCATGCTTCTGAATCATCAGATGGAAGCAGTGGTGAGGTCAAGGGAAGATACTTTGCGGATTTGTTGCCCATGAGTATCATTCTGACAAGATATGTAGGTGTCAGGGGAGATGTTTAAACAGGCTGTGGGCCAATCTGAGCCTCTTAATCAGTCCGCTATGGGCACTTCCCTTTAACGTAACATAAATCAGGAACCGAAGTGCACTGCAGACAACTTGCCAAGGAGGCCATCTGCAACCTATTCATGGGCAATTTGGTCCTCGGTAATAGGTAATGTTTGCCTTAACTTCCGAAACTTGGAAAAAAATAAGCTGAGCCATTATAATCAGCTTCAAATCTACATTTGCCGACACAGACCAGTGTCAGTGATCTAGGCACTTCAGATTCGAAAATGCTCACTCTGACTGGGAGGCAAGTTAGATATTAGTTGAATTCCAAGTCCTGTTCCTAGGAATCATTCTTTGTACTTATTTCCCTGTGTTGTACCGAATACATACATACTTCAGGGCATTCAGTAGATATGCAGTGGAACCTAAGATATCCAAGTGGTCAGTTATCCAATGGACCATAAGGCTACCCCAATGGGCCCAATCTAATTTGATGTGATTGAACATAGGTTGGCCCAACCACTGCAGATGTTAAGTGGGCATTGTTGGGGCCAACTGGGCCAAAATAACAAAACCCTTTAGAAACATAATTGGGCCCAATGACCTGTAGACAACATAAATTGACCGACATGAGAATATACAAATGGCCAAAGTTGGGCCCCATCTTCTACAACTAGTAATTAGGCTATGGGGCATAATTGGGCCCAATCTTTTGCAACCCATTCAGCTCCTGATCATCAGCTCTGGAAAACCCTTTCCAAACTGAATTTCGGAGTGGGGGTTAGGGTTAGGGTTAACAGTTCCGAAGAGGTTCTGAATAGGGTTAGGGTTAGCCCTTTGGCCTTTGGCTCCAAGAGCCAAGATGCAAATGGAGCAGCGGTTTGTTAGTTTTGAATGCCCAGTGAATGGATGCTAGTGCTTGAAAGTCTGGTCCAGTCCAGTTTTTTGGCCCAAAACAAAAAGACCGAGACCAAGACCGGTCCACACAATTCCTAAAACCTCAAAAGACCAGACCAGGACCGGAAAAGACCAATACTGCAGTCTTTTTCAGTCTTTGGACCAGTCTTGGTCCAAACTGGTTACAACCAGTTCAAGACCAGTTTTTCAATGAAATATGTAATAGATTTTGCAATTGTGAGTTGGTAAATTTATTTACATTCTTCGTAGCTTCTAAACGAGTGCAAGAACGTTAAATTACGTTGAGAATTGATGTATATACAAAAATACTAAGGTACATCTGCTATTTTCACAAAATATTTTACAGTTTTGTATGTATCTTTGTCAGTTTTTGACCTAAAAATATGATCTTAGGTGCGTTTTGAAGGGTTATTATGTAGGTACAAAAGACCAGTCTTAACCGACAAGACCGCAGTCTTGTGATCTCAAATCTCAAAGACCAAGACTGCAGGTCCAGTCTTTTGCAGTCTTGGTCCGGTCCAGTTGCAGTCTTTTTGCAGTCTTGGGACTGGACTTCCAAGCACTAATGGATGCATTCATTCACCATCTCCCAGCAGCTTTCCCCTCTCACATGGCTCCTCCAAAAGTCTGGCCAAAGAAATGTCTGAATTTGTCTTTAACATGCTGAATGTCAGTGCTCTGAAACTCCAGCCGAAAGAATACCAGATTTGCATTTAACATGTCAGTGCTCCGGAAGGTCCCGGCGAATTTGAATTTGTCTTTAATATGCTGAATATTAGTGCTCCGAAACTCTGGCAAAAAGATGTCTGAATTTGTCTTTGATATGCTGAATGCCAGTGCTCCAAAACTCTGGCTGAAATTTTAACATAGTGCTCTGAAGTCCTTGCTGAAAAAATGTCCGAATTTGTCTTTGATATGCTGGATGTTAGTGCTCCGGAACTCCGGCCAAAAATTTAACATGTCAGTGCTCTGAAGGTCCCGGCGAAAAAATATCCGAATTTGTTTTTAACATGCTGAACTTCATTGCTCCGAAACATCGGCCGAAAATTTAACATTAGTGCTCCGAAGGTCCTGGCGAAAAAATATCAGAATTTGTTTTTAACATGCTGAACTTCATTGCTCCGAAACATTGGCCAAATATTTAACATGTCAGTGCTCCGAAGGTCCTAGCGAAAAAATATCTGAATTTGTCTTTAATGTGCTGAACGTCATTGCTCCGAAAATTAATAACATGTCAGTGCTCCGAAGGTCCCAGCGAAAAAATGTCCGAATTTGTCTTTAACATGCTGAATATTATTGCTCCGAAACATCGGCCGAAAATTTAACATAGTGCTCCGAAGGTCCCGGCGAAAAAATGTCCGAATTTTCTTTAACATGCTGAATGTCATTGCTCCGAAATTTGGCCGAAAATTTAACATGTCAGTGCTCTGAAGGTCCCAGCGAAAAAATGTCTGAATTTGTCTTTAACATGCTGAATGTCATTGCTCCAGCCGAAAATTTAACATGTCAGTGCTCTGAAGGTCCCGGCGAAAAAATGTCCGAATTTGTCTTTAACATGCTGAATATTATTGCTCCGAAACATCGGCCGAAAATTTAACATAGTGCTCTGAAGGTCCCGGCGAAAAAAATGTCCGAATTTGTCTTTAACATGCTGAATGTCATTGCTCCGAAATTTCGGCTGAAAGTTTAACATGTCAGTGCTCCGAAGGTCCCGGCAAAAAAATATCCGAATTTGTCTTTAACATGCTGAATGTCATTGCTCCAAAACTCCAGCTGAAAGTTTAACATGTCAGTGCTGCGAAGGTCCTGTTGAAAAAATGTCCAAATTTGTTTTTAACATGCTGAATGTCATTGCTCCAAAACTCCAGCAGAAAATATAACAGATTTGTGTTGAACATGTCAGTGCTCACTGCTCCGAACATCCACCCAAAAGAATGTCCCCATTTATGGTTAACATACTGAATGTTAATGCTCTGAAATGCTAGCTAAAAAGATTTGTGTGAATGTCAGTGCTCCGAAAATGCACCTGACAACACATCCAGAGTTTTAATTAGTATGCTGAATGTCAAAGGTCTGCCAACCCAGCTGCAAACATGTCCTTATGCCCGCATGGACTATGATAAGTGTTTGAAGTGTCAACTTTTAGACTACAGAATGTTTGTAGTGTCCGCTTTTTAGACTACAAAAGTTTGTAGAGTCCATTATTTTAGACTACAAAAGTTTGTAGTGTCCATTATTTCAGACTATGAAATTTGTAGTCTCCACCTTTTGAGACTACAACTGTTTGTAATGTTTGCTTTTAGACTACAGAATTCCGTAGTATCTGCTTTCTGAGACTACAAGTTTGTAGTGTCTACTCTTCACATTTGTATGGTCCGCTTTTTCAAACCTCAAAAGGTTGTAATCTGCTTTTCTGACACATAATTGGTGGTGTCCTTCACTATGAATAAGCATGTAGGTTCATGGGGCTGTGATTGAAAGACTGAAAAGGGTGGACATTATGCCATTGTCATATCATGGGTTTTAAGATTGAACTTTGTGTCATTCTCATTCCTTGAACTATATCAATGGCAAATTCTTTTTTTTATAGTTTGAAAGCCAACATTCCAAACAATTGTAGTCTCAAAAAGTGGAGACTACAAACTTTCGTATTCTGAAATAATGGACACTACAAACCTTTAGACACTATGAGACCTTCTGAAAGCATTGTGTGACGTTCCAGAAACATTGTTTGGCCTTTCAGGAACATTGCTTGATGTCCCAAAAAACATACTTATCATCATGTTCTGAAATGCATGTTAAAATAAAAGGTTTCAGCAGCTGTCAGTGCTAAAATACTTCCATGAACATTGTCTGACCTTCTGGGGAATATGTGCACTCATTACTATCATCCAATATGTTCAATACACCAAAATACAGGTGAAAGTGAAGGGCCTGGACAGTTTTTAGTGCTGAAGTTCTTGTTTGACCTTCCAGAAACATTGCTTTAGCTTCTGGAAACATTGCCTGACATTCCGAGAACATTGCTTGGCCTCCCAAAGAATATACCTATCATCCAATATTTTTGATCTCCCAAAATACATGTCAAAATGAAAGGGTTAGGCAGCCAAAATGCTTCCAGGAACATTGTGTTACCTTCCGGGGAATATGTGCACCCCATACTATCATTCAATACTTTAAATACACCAAAGTACACATGAAAATGAAGGATTTTGGCAGTTCTTAGTGGTCAAATTGTTGTTTGACCTCCTCGAAACATTGTTTGACCTTCCAGAAACACTGTTTGACTTTCCAGAGACATTGTGTGACATTCCAGGAACATTGCCTGACCTTCTGGGAACATTGCGTGGCCTCCCAAAGAATATACTTATCATCTGATACTTTTGATGTTCCGAAATACATGAGAAATGACATTCAGCATGTTAAAGACAAATATGGACATTTTTTCACCAGGACCTTTGAGCACTGACATGTTAAACTTTCAGCTGGAGTTTCGGAGCATTGTCATTCAGCATGTTAAAGAGAAATTCGGACATTTTTTCGCTGGGACCTTCGGGCACTGACATGTTAAATTTTCGGCTGAGCAATGATGTTCAACATGTTAGACCAATTCGGATATTTTTTCGCCAGGACCTTCGGACCACTGACATGTTAAACTTTCAGCCAAAATTTCGGAGCAATGACATTCAGCATGTTAAAGAGAAATTCGGACATTTTTTCGCCGGGACCTTCGGAGCACTGACATGTTAAATTTTCAGCTGAGCAATGACATTCAGCATGTTGGACAAATTCGGATATTTTTTCGCCGGGACCTTCGGACCACTGACATGTTAAATTTTCAGCCAATGTTTCGGAGCAATAATATTCAGCATGTTAAAGACATATTTAGACATTTTTTGGCTGGGACCTTTGGAGCACTGACATGTTAAATTTTCGGTCGATGTTTCGGAACAATGAAGTTCAGCATGGTAGACAAATTCGGACATTTTTTCGCCAGGACCTTCGGAACACTGGCATGTTAAACTTTTGGCCAGAGTTTTGGAGCACTAACGTTCAGCATCCAATACTTTAAATACACCAAAATACACGTGAAAATGCAGAATTTCAGCAGTTGTTAGTGCCGAAATTTTCATTTGACATGCTGGGAACAGTGTTTGACCTTCCCAAAACATTGCTCAAGCTTCCGGACACATTGCGTAATGTTTCGGAAACATTGCCTGACATTCCAGGAACATTGCTTGGCCTCCCAAAGAATCTACTTATCATCCGATACTTTTGATGTTCTGAAATACATGTCAAAATAAAAAAAATCGGTGGCTGTCAGTGCGAAAATACCTTTGGGAACATTTTGTGACCTTCCGGGGAATATGTGGACTCACTATCATCATACAATACTTTAAATTTATCAAAATACATGTGAAAATGAAGAATCTTGGCAGTTTTTACTGCCGAAATTCTTGCCTGACCTCCTGGGTACATTGTTTGACCTTCCAGAAACCTTGTTCAATTTCCCAGAAACATTGTTTGACCTTCCAGGAAAAGTTTTAGTCCAGCCTCAGTTTCAAAACAACTTTCAGCTCAGACAAATAATGCCAGACATCCAATGATTCTTGGCTTCAAAATGTTTGTCAGCTTCAAACAGATAGTTGTGCAGATCCAATGACTACATGATCACCGGTGTCCCTTGTATATTCTAAGATGGCTGTACTACAGTGAACCCCATTGAAAGCAGCAGGGAAATACTGACCTTGCATATTCCCATATTTCCATACTATAACAACAGCAGTGAACCCAGCCGAGATCATAAATTTCAAAACATTGGAGGGTAATACTGACCTTCATATCTCCACATGGCCAAACCACAATGCTGGCAGTGAACCCACACATATTTCACAAATGTAAAAGCATTGGAGTGTAATACTGACTTTGCATATTCATGCATCTGCCAGCATTGAACTTGGCCGAAATCATCATGGCAATCTGAAGTTAGAGGGTAACCCTAACCTTGCATATTTCTATATGGCCTGGTGCACATATTCTTTCATGGCGAAACCACAATATGTCGGTGAACCCGGCCCAAGTCATCTGAATTTGGAAACATCGGAGGGTAACCCTAACCTTGCAACTTCCTGCATGGCAATACCACAATGTGTTGGTGAACCCGGCCCAAATCATCATACATCGTAGGGTAACCCTAACCTTGCATATTCCTGCATGGTAACAGGGACCGATGAAAAATCCTTCAGCCCAACATACAATGTTACATTACTTAGCAATTTGGCCCAACCTTGACCATTAGGATATGCCTTTACATAGATATATACTGTTCACAATTGGGCCACACTATCCCAACTAGATGTAAAAGCATGCATTGGGCCCACCTACATTCAATAACGTACTTTTGTATTGGGCCCATTGGGGTGGCCCTATGGTCCATAGTACAATTGACCATGTGGAGTACTGTTAGTCTATAGTGTGACTTGTGAGTACTTGTGCATACTTGAACTTGCAATCAGCTTCATTGTATGGCAGAGTCCAATTCTGTCCAAAGGTAGACAGAGTTGAGAGCAGTGCATCACAATTCAGGAAGAAGGGTGGATGAAGCAGAAGTATTGAGCTCTTCCATCAATCAGTGTTCCAAGGCGTCAGAGCTCGAGAAATTCGCTGAGGCTATCAAAGTTGAACAAGTTCGGAGCTAGTGTTTGAAAGTCCGGTTCGGTCCGGTTTTTTCATGCCCAGGGGCGTTAACCGTAACCGTAACTGGTCTGCCTTTTCCCCAGAAGTCAAAAGACCAGACCGGACCACAAAAAGACCGCAGACCACGGTTTTTTGCGGTCTATAGACCGGTTTCGGTCTGCATCAGTTTTAACCGGTTTATGACCGGTCTTTAGGCCAATATTTTAAAATTATGAATCGGTAAATTTATTAACATCTCTAATAACTTCAAAACGAGCCCAAGAACGTTAAATTCCGTTAGGAATTGGTGCTTCTATAAAATAAGTCTGGTACATCTATTATTCCCAAAAGTCATTTACATTTTAATTCATATCTCTCTCGTTTTTTTACCAAATCGTACGTTCTTGGGTGCGTTTTAAAGGGTATTTAAGGGGCTACAAAAGACCGGTCCAAACCGGTCAAGACCAGTTCACGTTAACCGGTTTTTTTGCGGTCTTTACCTTTCAAAAATAAAAGACTGTAACCGCAGGTCCGGTCTTTTGCGGTCTTGGTCCGGTCTGGTTACGGTCTTTTTCCAGTCACGAGACCGGACTTCCAAACACTATTTGGAGCAGAAGCATTAGCTTTTTGTTTGCTCTCAAAGCCATCAACATTGATCGTAAACATCCTTGAAGGATCGAAGTTTTCCGAGATCCCAGTTGGATCCCAGGTACTAATCACTGTGATCAGCTGTCCTAGAATCATGGTGAAGTTTTATTGCCAGCAACTTGGAGTGTGCACGGTCGCGGGTGAAATCCGACCGAGGGCACAGGCTGCAGTGACTAGTGACTTGCTGCAGCCTGCAGCCCGCAGCCTGTGCCAAGACTGCTCCGTCTTGGCAATAGTAGGCTAACATGGGCATCTTGGTCGTCTCGGTCATCCATAAAACAAAAAATCCTCGTATCCGAATGAGCCAGACTCCGCCACCACAAGCAACTGTTACGTTGATTTTGTGAGTTAATCTTACATCGGAATGGGAAAGATCGGTGTAAGGTCAAGGGGGTAGTGGGACATGGATCCTGAACCAAGGGTTGGGGGGGGGTGTCCGGCCACAGGCCGAGAAAAAAAAAAGTGAACCCCATCAATTTCAAATTTTCATCGTCAGCGACGTTCCATGGGTGATGGATGAGATGTATCTGAAGCTGAAGCGCTGACGGTCCAAATCAATTGCAAATCTAGTGTCTTCTAGTGTAGCTACATACCGTCTATGTTGAGTCTCAAGTCTCAACACACCCTGATACACTCTGCATGCCACCCCAAGGGCTTCTCATGCTAGTCTACTCATAAGTAACTATCCAACAGCCTTCACGCTGACCTATAGCTAGTTGCAATTGGCAGTCACACCACTTTCGACGCTTCAGATTTTTACTCAGCACCATTATCCCCCCCTCCCAGCTCGCTATTACAATCTGGGTGACCATAACTGTGACGCAGCCAGCCGTGGTGCAATGTACGACATAATCAGATTTGGAGTCACCACTGCCATTAGGCCTAGTTTACTTGTTACATGTAAATTTTCTGAATTCAAAAAAAGAAAGAAAAAAAACATAGTATGGGAAAAACATACTATATTAGGAAGGTAGGTGGTGGGGGGGTGTCAAGCAGAACTCTGAAAAAAAAAAAATGAGTGTTGGTCTCTTTTCCACATTCCACCACCCCTTTGTGTAAGGTCGTCTGCATGTCTATAAGGTGAAAGAACTTTGAACACTCACTCCATACCAAAGTTCTCAATATGAAGTTTGCCCTCGCTTTCTCAACCGCTTTGATTGCTTTTGATATCCTTTGCTGAAGGTGCTCCTTCTGGAGTAGGACATTATATTTTTCAGTAGTTGAAACATTCTCAGAGCCAGGTCAGGTCAAACTCGGGAAAGAGCCCAATGCAGATGTAGAATATGACAATGGACAAGGTGGTCGTTATTGGGTTCAGGAAGCCAAGGTCTCTACCCGATTTTATGTTCTCCTGAACGGCGCACAAAGCTTACATTTGTTTTCCCAAGTTCGTTCCGCCTGAGGTTCCCATTGATCAGAAATACGGAGACGGCAAGAATAACACTGGTCATTTGTGAGGCGAAGGTTTGCAAATTTCTACGCTTCAGGAAAATCAAAGCTTACAAGTGTTATATTCCTTTCAAAACCTGAGGTTGGGGTTGATCAAAAGTATGCTGACGGGAAAAATGGCAGTATCTGGGTTCGCAAGGCTAAGGTTCGTCTAGTCCCCGTTGAAAACTAGACCTACTGATCACTTCTGTATTCTGAATAGTCAAAAGAAGTCAACCCTGACGTAGAGTATGCGAACGGGAAGCGTCCTGGAGGCGCTGTTTGGATCTGTGAAGCCAAGGTAAGTTCTTTCAACACTGAGGGGCAAACAAAATATTCATATGTTGAGTAGAAGCCTGTGAAAGAAGTCGATCCTGATACAGAATACACCAATGGGACAGGCCTTGGAGGCGCTGTCTGGGTCCGCAAACTCAAGGTAAATCTGTTTATTGAAAGGGGCTAGATGAGTCACTCACATGCTGCATAGAAGCCCGTCAAGGACGATGGCACAGGCCTCAAAGGCGCAGTCGGGGCTTGCAGAGTCAAGGTCAGCTTATTTGTGTATTGAAAAAGATTGGAGGTATCATTGATATCAACCTGTGAAGGAATTCAATCCTGATACCAAATATGCCGACGGAATAGGTCTCGGAGGCACTGTTTGGGTATGTGAGGCCAAGGTTTGTGTCAACTCTTCAGTAATTTCAACAAATTGATCACCCACCCTTTGTGATAGCTGAAGGACGTTAAAGCTGATGGGGAGGACGATGGTTTTGGTCTTGGAGGTAAGGTAAGGTGCCAACTTCCACTCTGGAGGATGTTTCTCACAATGGAGAATCAGTGATTGGGCAGAATGGAGAGCCCACCTACTCTGTGCATACACGGCAGACATGGACAGGCTTTTTCATTTCATCAATTAGTATGGGTAAAGACTTGACCTGATTCCGTTCAATTTTGTGTAACTTTTGCTGATTGATACTTTGATTGTACTTCTTCGTTGAGAGAAACAACTGGGATTTCAATCATCAAATAAGTTTTTTCAAAGAGTCCACAAGAAACGCACATTATGTTCAGATTTATATGCCCAAGACGAACACGGTTGGCCCAACATCAGGAAAAAATGGACTTGCAATATTGGGGTATGTAGACATGATAGTGTTGGTAGCACCATCGAGAGCCCCCTGATATATAGTTCATGGTAGAGGTGCTGACAAATACATATCACTACAAATATGTCTATAGTGCAGCACAGTTGTGCTGTAGCCTCACGTAGATTGATAGACTCAAATTCTCATAGTTGTACATAGCTCTATGTGATCTCTATTGTTCAAGGTAGTTTGAGAATTCCACTAAAAGCAGAGTTGGCTTATTCTACACATTCATATTATAGTGTGTTTATGGTTATGGTCCAAATCCTTTTGTAGTGTTTCAAGGTATCTCATCTATTCCATTTTGTAGTGTCGTGTATTCTATTCTATTTCGTAGATGTATGTATTCATTGTAGTCCCGTTTTAATGTCTGCATTGCGCGGGATTCGATCTCAAAAGCTCATGGTGTTACTAATACTCACCTTTCATTAGTTATCGAGAGTTACCACTACACCAGCGGATAATATCTTTACACTGAATGTTATGTTAGTATGATGGTCATTCACTCAGGTCGACCCATAAATGATCGACATTTACGTCGTCCTTGAAGTGGAGCTATGAATCGGGAAGGCCGCTGCGTAGGATGGTTCGAGATGGTAGGCCTCTAAAAATATCGATAAAGCTTGCCAAACCAAGTGTTTTGACATTGAATGTTGAACATTGAATGTCGGTGGCTTGGTGCGGCAACATTCGTTTGATGATAAACACGATGGTGAGACTGCCAAATGTGGTTGCTTGTTTGGAGCATACAAAGCGAACTTGCCGACTGGAGCGATGTCTTGGTTATTTTAGGTATTCCCACCCCCGCCGCCCGACAAATGACTCAGTAAAGGAGTGAATCTGACGAGGGCTTTAAAAGGCACCCAACTTGCCCTCACCACGAATCATGTCCACACTCGATCACGACCTTGCTGCTGTTCGCAATGCCATTTCTAAGAAACAGCCCTTCATCACTGGTACCCATCCTCTTACCGACAACTCTGGACTCTTCTTTTTTCGGACAGGAGGCGGTACAGGGTGAAACCCTTTCTCTATTCCTCTTGTCGAGTCGTCGTCCTGATTTTTGTCAACAGAGCACATTGTATAGACCTCGCCAACGCCGACGACGCGAGCCTTCAAGTTTTGCTAGAAGCGTGTCAGCCGGCTCCTTTCGGCATCGACAACAAAGATGTATTGGATGAAACCTATCGAAAAGCTTGGAAGATGGACAACTCCAATTTCGCGACGCGCCTTGACGTGGTTAATACCGGAATCTTGGATTGTATTCGCTCAATGCTTATGCAGGGAAACAAGAACAAGAAAATTCGGCCGGAAATGTACAAGTTGAATGTTTATGGTGAGTTCGATTCGGAACTTGATGATGAATGAGAGAATATACGGCGCATATATGAAGGTCCTGGCTCTTTCTTCAAAGCACACAAGGATACTCCCCGCGGCGAGAACATGTTCGGTTCACTCGTTGTTGTTTTCCCGACTCGCCACGAGGGAGGAGCCCTTCAACTCCGTCATAAGGGTCAAGAATGGACCTTTGATTCTGCAGCCATCACTTCCACGCAAGACGTCCCTTCAATTGCTTACGTCGCATTCTATGGCGACGTCGAACACGAAGTCTCCATGGTCACCTCTGGTTATCGCGTCACTTTGACTTACAACCTCTATTTTGACGACACCTCATCTAAGCCGGGTCCCATATATTCCTGGATGAAGGAAGACGAACTTGCACTCCGTACATCTCTATCCGCCCTTCTTGATCATCGCGATTTATTGCCCGATGGCGGATATCTCGGTTTCGGTCTCGAATTCATGTACCCCGTCGCCCGAGGGACTATCAGAGGGCTAATCAACTCCCTCAAAGGAAGCGACGCCATGATTAAACTCGTCCTGGAACAACTCAATCTCAAGCCCCAGGTCAAAATCATCTACGAGGATAACGAGGACGCATACCCTGCAGGTCACCATTATGGGGATGACCAGCCACCTCTCAAGAGGCCTCACATCATGCTGGACGACGAGGATGAACTTCCGGACTGGGAAACGGAGGAGCCTTTTCGGATTTCGATACCCGAAGGTGGACACGGAATCGTGATTTGCGGCGCGGATGAGGTTGGCGAATACTCCGACTACGGCCATGAGGTCCTTCGAGCTAAGAAGGTGTTATGGGTCACGCCACAAATGACGTTCACCAGCCTCAAGTCCCCTTACGTGGCTTATGGAAACGAGGCATCGCTTGGGTTCAGTTACGGAAATGTGTGTCTCGTTGCAGAGGTTCTGCCTTTGGGGCAGCGAGTGAAATGTACTACTTGAACAGCAACTTTGGTAGGATATGTAAGTTACAGTTGCGGCGAAAATAGGTGTGGATGATCTCCGACAATGGGGCACCAGAATGCCGGATCGGTAGTTAGTCCAGATCGAAGTCCCAAAAAAAAAAAAAGATTAAAGGCCTTGTAAATGTCAAAATTGTTGCAAAACTTCGTATTGACTCTATGTAATTTCTTACATCCAAATGGACACTGTCTGGTGCTAACATATGTACATCTCATGAATTGAGGAATCTATGGAACTTCTGGGGAATTATCATAACATTTTCAATGTAAATACAGCCTTACCTCGTCCTTTCCAACTATTCCACCTCCATACTTACCAGAGTAAGAGTCGTCCATTGAGGGCTCGAAAGACGAGCATTCAAGGTTTCTTCGGTACTGTGTGGGAACCTTGTGACTGTGGTCATGTGTTTCGCACAACACGCGTTCAAAACTCCACGTCAACTCCCGACCTTCCCATAGAAATATGGACATACATCTTCTCCTTTGCCTGCATGGACAACGGAATTACCGGGTGTGCTCTGCAACGTGTCTCCAAGTGTTTTCGTGAGTTATCAAAGTATTCCCGGTTCAACTCCGTCGGGTAGAAGTGATAGACAACAGGAGTCGTCGGCTTCACTGGAGGCCTGCCATCGTGTTCTGGTGACCGCTAGATATATTAGCACCGGTCCCTGGCGAAATTTTCACATCTAGTAATTATGATCAACTAGGGGTGAATATGCACTTTAACGAAGAAGAAAAACGCACCTCAGGCTCCGAAAAGGCGCGGTTGGGAGACGAATGTTGATAGAGAATCTCATGGATGACCTTCGGAATGAACTTCTGCATGACGGGTAGGTCGTCTTCTACGTATTCCAAAGAATCAATCCACTCGTGATTTTTCGATAAAGGACCCACAACTTGACGAAGTTTCTGCCTGTGTGCCTCGGGGGTGTATCCAACTATCAGCTTGTATGAGTCAGTCTATCATCAGACGTTTCCACTGGCATATATATCAGCGGTACACCTGAATGATGAATCTGAGGCCTGAGGATTATAAACTACCACAAACGTAGGAGTGTTCACCTCAGAGATTGCGGACTGACGTCGACACAACTTAATGGGGCACCTTTGACATGATAGAGATCAGGCAACTGAACGAACCGCAGTTGACTTGCCGAAGAGCCCACCCCGCATTCGATTCATGGGTAAATCGGCCTAGACGAGAACCATTGTAATGTTGAGATTAAATTCTGGTTTCCGGTAAGGAAACAACCTATGACGCAACTGTCGCAACCGTTACAATGGAACTAATGTCGAGTGTACCCTTGCGGCTCCAGGTTAGTGATATACTAGGCACTCAGGATTCGAAAAGGCTCACTCTGAGGCATTTTCTGGATGTTGTTTACGTATGTCTTATTTGACAGACTCCAAGGTCGTCATACAGATGGATTTGGAAGCAGGACGTTGAGGAGGAAGGTCGGGTGAAATGGAACTATCGGGGGCTCTGGACAAAAAGTGTAGCGAGCTTGAGCCTTGAAGCCTATTGCAATGTCGTAGTTGGAGGAGACAGATCAAGTGCTTGTCCAATATTTGCAACTTGTTTGGTCTCAAAGCCATCAACGCTGATCATAAATACATCCTTCAAGAAGTTGAGAGGAAGGGTTCCGAGGGCCCAGAGAAGCCCGAAAATTGCGCAACTGTCCTGAATGGCATCTGGGTATCAATGTAGTGGGCAAGTTTTGTTGTCGGAAGCTCGGAGACCTCGGGATGAAATTATTCGACCGATGGCGCAGCACTGGCAAGCTTGGCGACTCGGATGCGGATGACCCGGGGCATTTTGGTCATCTCGGTCGGTCGGTAAATCGTTGCAATGAGAAATACTTTCATTTTGGGTGTGCAAGATTCTGTTACCGCAAACCATTCTGTTCATTCTGTGAGTCGATTTAAGACATAATGGAGAGGCGGTGTGAGAACCTTTGCACACACATATAAGACCTTGGAAAAAAGACACTCATTCCATAACCCAAGCCTCAATATGAAGTTCACCCTCATCTTCTCAACTGCTTTCCTCGCTTCAATCTCCTTTGTCAATGGTGCCCCCGTCAAGGCCGCTGCCCCTGCCGTGATCGAAGTCGGTCATTATATTTTTTGACAACAAAAATATTCTCACCATAGTGTCAGGTCAAACTTGGGAAAGAGCTCGGCGTAGACCTTAAAGACGGCGCCGTCTTGGTCTGTGGACTCAAGGTGTGTTTGTTGGTAAATCTGACAAAAACTGAACAAAATATTCATCTCTTGCGTTGAAGTTTGGGAAGGACGTCAAAATTGATACAGACTTCAAAGTTGAAGGCCCCATTTCGGCCCGCGCGCTCAAGGTGAATTTGTTGGTATATCTTTAAAAAAAGAACAAAATATTCATTTTTTGCATTGAAGTTTGGGAAAATTGATACAGACTTCAAAGTTGAAGGCCCCGTTTCGGCCCGCGCGCTCAAGGTGAATTTGTTGGTATATCTTTAAAAAAACGAACAAAATATTCATTTTTTGCGTTGAAGTTTGGGAAAATTGATACAGACTTCAAAGTTGAAGGCCCCGTTTCGGCCTGCGCGCTCAAGGTGAATTTGTTCGTTCATCTGAAAGAGACTGAACAAAATATTCATATGTTGCGTGGAAGTTTGGAAAAGACGTCAAAGTCGATACAGACTTGAAAGTTGAACGCGCCGTCTTCGCCCGCGAACTTCTGACGGTGAGTTTATTTGTGCATCTGGAAAAAAACTGAAGAAGATATTCATGCATGCGCATTGTGTTGAAGCCTATCAAAGTTGATAAAGGCATCTTGTTACGCGGACTCCAGGTCAGTTTCTTTGTGCATCAAAAGAGGATGGTCGAATTACTGAGATTTGCATTGAAGCCCGTTAAAGACGTCAAACTCGATGATAAGTATGCTAGCGCCGTCTGGGCTCGAGAAATCAAGGTCAGTTTGTTTGCGGAACGAAAGAGGATGAACGAATTACTGACATGTTGCGTAAAAGCCTCTCAAGGAAGTCAATCCCGACACCGAGTATGCTGATGGAACAGGTCTTGGGGACGCTGTCTGGGTACGTGAGGCCATGATAAATTTCATCACTTTTAATTGATTTCAACGAATTGATCGCCCACCCTTTGTAATAGCTGAAGGATATCAAACCTGGTATGGATATTGTTGATGGTCTTTGACAGGTTCGCAATCTCAAGGTAAGGTGACAACCTCGACCGTTGGGAAGCCCGCTCATCGTAGAAAATCAGTGAATGCGCGGAAAGGAAAGCCCACATCCATGCACGCACGACAGCATAACCCCCCTTTAGTTTTGATTCGTTTCTATGGCTATAGACTTGGACATATTCTGTTGATTTGTAGAACTGTTTCTTGTGTCGATACTGATTTGTACGTCTTCGTCTGAGAGTGACAATCGTGATTCTGTTTACCAAATGAAGAGCCCGCGAAAAACGCACGTTGTATTCTGAGAATGTTGCATCATTATGCTGTGTGCCACCAAAGAACCGAGCATCAATCATTGCCTGCTTAATCGTCAGCAACGAACTCCCGAGAGACGCTTTATCGGTCCCTCAGAGCCCCGAAAACGTTGATCTGGAGTATCCTAAACCTAAGTTGACCAATTGTTCGGGTCTTCCGCACAAAAGGGTCAATTCCTCAACTTTCGCAGACGCCGATACAGCAAAGCATTCCAACATAACCTCCAAAGCTGCCGATTGAGAAAGTTAGCACAATGAATTGCCGCGTAAGGATGGGACGTATCATCAAACAAATCCTGCACAGAGGGCTTCAGCAACGGAAACAGGAGGCCCCGGGAAGCTCACGCCATTTCTTGTCTGCAAAAAATCGCCAAAACAGACCTGGGTCAGCACGTGATATTCCCTAAAATGGAAGCTTCCCGTAAATTTATTTTTTGACGCCGCTAGACCGTCCAAAGACAGCCGTTTCCTTACAGATGAAGCCCAGTGCTTCCCTCTCTTTGTTACCAGCCGCCTTCAGTGAGATGGATGGGACTGCAAAATCTGCTCAGTTGTACCCTCAAATCCGCTATTTGTGGACAAACCTACCATCGAAATCGCCTCAAATCCGCTATTCTGGGACAAAGATAGGCCAAATTTTGGGCCCTCAAATCCGCTATTTTTGGACAAGAAATGGCCAGAGCTTCCCGGGGCCTGAAACAGGTCCAGCGTCGGCCTCTATTGGGACATCCTACGATCTGAGGCCGCGATCATACCACCACCTAATGAGAGACGTGTTCGGTACCATGTTCAGAGAATCAAATGAGTTTACTGACTTGATCAATTTATTCAATGAGTCGCTTTGTTCTTGCAGATCTGGATTCCTGTGGATGCTTAAAGATAGCTGATTGGGCGGGGACTCAGTCGTCGGATGTGAAGAGGATGCTCACACAAAGCTCTCGGCCCAGAAGGGGCAGCTGCGCGTGGCGAGACAATTCCAGACACTCGCAGAGATGCACAAGCTGGGCCACCATCGTTGAACTGACACATTTAGGACAGACTCGAAGGGATGTGATTGTACAGTAGATATTCTCACAATGCATATACTCGTAATGCATAAATCTCATAATGCATGACATTTTCAGGGGACCAACTTGGTACGCGGGGATTTATGCATGGAACGTCATATCGAATAATGCATATCATATTTTGGCATTATGCATTACCAGATCTACAGATTTACCGGGTATTTACCTGTTCACCTCATTGTACCTGAGTTTTTTAGGACCAAAGTCTACCCTAATATACCCTGCCATGAATACACTGCTCGAGAGTAGTATCCAATTTTGCCAACACTTTTCTATCATTCTATGCCAGCTGCTGAGGAGAAGAAGTGGAAACCTCGAGACGGGCACAAGCCCTATGCACCTCGCGGAGGGAATGGAGCTGTGCGAGCATTTGGTGTGTCATCCACTCAGAGGCTCACGGCGTGTCAACACTGCTTTTGCAACAACAATTGCGCAAATTGAGGGCTCATCTTCATGTTGTTCAAGTGAAATCAGCCTGACAAACTACTCTCAACTCTTTTTTCAGTAGTAACCTCTCTCCCATGGATGTCGATAGCCTGTAAATATCCAGTCTTTCCAGTTTTCGTCTCACTACATTATAGTACATAAAGGACATTTCGAAGCATGACATTTTTTGGCTGAGGTCACAAATAGTCACATTTTGTGACATATTTCATCTTGCATAAATCTCACAATGCATAGAAAAAGTCGGGGACCGGCATTATGCATTGTGAGAATATCTACTGTATTTGAATGAAAGAAATAGAGATGTAGATTAGATTAACGTCCGTGGCGAGAGAGCTACCACCAACGCCCCGTTCACCGCACCATCCCCCTTAACAGACAACCACCTCCCAAACCTATGTTCTTGCCCCATTCCCGCTACGAGCATGATTGGATCCACTTTAGGTCTCCTTCCATTTTTTTTACCATCTGCACCCGTCCATGAGGCAGCTTCAATGGTTCCTCGTGGAGGCGTGATGAGCTGCAAAGAGTTAACGACACCTGGGGCCGGAATGGTCCCGACAAGAGAGAATGATTTGAGTTTTGCGTCGAGCTTCCATAACCGCACATCGCCATCCCATGATCCTGAAAGTTGAAGATTAGATTGTAAGATGGGCGGATTTCGAAATAGGACATTACCTGACGCTATAATGTCCGAATATCGCAGACTTGCAAGCGCGGTGACCCATCGTGGTGTTTGAATGAGACCTTCGGTACTTGAATGAGTTTCATGGAAACCATGAGCGATAGCCTGAGTGAAGACGGGCTTCTTTTTCAGAGTTGTCCACAAACAAATGGACCTGAAGAAAAAGACATCAGCGATCTCGACTAATCAGCGAAGAAAGAATACACACCCACTGTCACCACCACTGATGAAGGTCGTCTCATCGATCATGGCAACACACTGGAGGCTCCCCTCGACGAACTTCTTTTCCCGCTCCTTTCCCTTTGATCGTGACACTGGGTCCATGCCGTCCTCATCCTCATCATCACCTTCGTCGTCACCTCTCAAACCACCCTCCAAAACTTCCCTCACCCGACTGCGGCCACCACCCCGAAACACGAGTTGTGTTTCGTCAACAATCTTCCAGTATCTTGCAGTTTTGTCACGGCCGCCTACCGTGATACAAGTCTCCCCACGAAGCGCATCGAGCCCCAATACGTGATCTTGGTGCCCAAATAGTGTTTCCACATAACCCATAACGGACGGGGTAAGATCGTATACTTTGACCGTACGATCAAAGGAACTTGAGTAAAGTTGATTCGTTCCTTTCCGAAAAGCAAGATTCTGAAGACGCAGCCGTTAGTGCAATTAATATATAGCCCGAGATAAAAAGAAACACACTGATATAGTATCCTTATGTCCAAAATGTCCGGAAAAGCCTTTAATCCACTCAGCTTTCTCCGTATCCCATACTCCCAACCTCCGATCCTTCCCCGCACTAGCCAGGAGCTTTCCATCCCCACTGAGTGCCAACGAAAGCACCTCGTCTGTATGGCCCTTCATCTCAGCGTCCGAAGGTGCCTTCCCCTTGCCTTTTCCCTTTACATCAGCAGTGGGTCGGACCTTGTAGAAAGTCGAGACCTTTTTCCCCGTAGAAAGGTCCCATTTAATGACAGACCCCTCCTTGCCTGCGGTGAACATAAATTTCCCGGACTCTGAGGCGACGGCGGATGTTACGGAGAACCGGTGCCCCCGCGTGCGGAGGACAGCCGTTGGTGGTTGGGTAAAATCAAACTGGAGTGAAGCATGGTGAGAGAAGGTCGCGTGTAATGGGAGGCGAATCGTACAGAGTCTGCGATGAATAGATGAACTTTCCCAGAATGTTCCATCACATCCTGCTTCAGCCTCGCGGAGATGAGCTCCTTGTCAACTTGAGCAGCGTCAAACTCGCCCTCAGCTAATCCGTGGAGTCAGAAGAAGCGCATCCAAAAGCACACAATTGAATATCTCACCCAGTCCCATCTTAACGGTCTCCAGGTGCAATTTTGCCAACCGTAACCGCTTCTCAGCGGGCGTCTCATCCTCGTCCTCCTCCCCACTAACATGATCGTCCAAGTCAACATCAGCCCTCAAGTCCATATCGTCAATATCTCCCTCTCCTTCATCCGTTTTGTCTGACAGTTCTTCGTCCGCAGCCCGACCATGGGACTTGGAGGTCTTCTGGACGCCGTTCGGCTTGCCTCCATGTTTCCTCGTCGTGTCCCGCGAAGTGTTAGAGCCTTTGCGGGCGAATTTTTTCCCATGCGTAGGTGGGCCCCCAGTAGAATCGGCGCGCTTCCTTTTGCGCGGTTTGGAGGAGGCGAAGAAGAAATCGGGCATGGGGAGGTTGCGATAGTGGACTTTGCACAACCAAAAAAAATTGGTGCTTGTTTGGATCGTTGTTTGATGTGGATCGTGTCGGTAAGCAGATGCAAGCATCCAATTGTTCAGGAAACTGTGTTTCTTTTCAGGATTTCCTCATGACATACCATCTTTCCATGGAGTACGACTAAGTAGGGTGTTGTTGCTTCAGTTCTCATTATCCAGTAAAAAATTACGACGTAGTGATGCAAAATGGTGATGAGGAAACACAAATCTAGCCATATATAACTGCCAAAAACCATACAACTACACAAGATGACGCCCATACAGGACGATAGGCGTGCTCAATCAAACAATTGCAAGCAACGAAATGATAATGCGTGATGCTCAACATATATTCATACTATCCAAAGTCGGATCATATCGACCATCATACGATCCTTCACTACTACCCGGGTTGCTCGCAGCATATGAGAGCTGATTTGAGGGAGCAACCGCTCTTCCCCTACTGCCAGGGATGGGTGAAACGCTGGTGGAAGAGGACGTCGGGCCTGTGTGAATCAAAGGGGGCCGAACGTTCAGCTGCGGGGCTGACCGTACACCTTCTACATTCCCAAACACAGATGGCCCTTGGATGCGCCCGCTAGGCCTGTAAGGCACGCTCCCTGGCATAGAAGAGCGATCAAGGGAACCCTGTTGGCTCGATTGAGACGACGTCGAAGGTGAACGACTGCGCGATTGGTCGGCCATCATGTAGTAGCTGTTGTTAAGCAAGGAACCTGGAGGGAAGAGGGCGCGATCGTTATACGGAGCAGAAGAACTAGCGCTTTGCCTCCTTTTAGACAAACAAGGGGATGTTCGCTCCATAGATGTAGCAAACACGTCTGGAGCAGAGGGAAAGGAATCCTGGGATTCACATGACTCGCAGTCGCATTGGCCTGGGGGGCAGATGCACCGGGTGACACAACAGTCAGGTTGAGAGAACAATTGTGCGCTAGATGAGTCAGGTATGGGGGATAGTCTGTTGTCCCATGATTGCTGGTCAAAGGACTGCGTCGCATAATTATCAAATGCAGGAGCAGTTGTGGAGTTGGAAGAGATTTGGCGAAGCCATTCATCGATAGAGTCTGTTTGATTTGGTATTGATAAAGCCGTATCGGCGGGCAAGAAGGGTGGAAGAGATAGAATAGTGCAATCGAGACAGGCTGCACAGGCTCCGGGATTGGTGCAGGACGAAAAGGCGGTCGAGGATGGGGCGGTAGCAGCACCATTGTGATGGAAGCAGCCAGGACATTGGCAACCGTCACCACAACCACACATGGAAGGGAACGTATCGTTAACCTCCGTGTTTGGTGGGACCCATTGGGCGCCGTTCGATGCAGGCATCACCGGGTAGTGATCGCTGAACGTCTGTTCGTTGACAGGGTATGAAGATGTAGATGGTTCAGGCGAGATGGGGTAAGACTGGGGTTGTACGAGGTACAGGTGGCTCATACCGTACGCACGCCCGTACGGGCTAAAGACGTTGTCATGATGGCGGCTAGTGTGGTGTCCCCGAGGTGTGCTGGTCGATGGGTTGTGGACAGGCCCACCTACGGGAGTCCCAGCAGGGGGGCGGGGCAGAACAGGCCGAAGCTCAGCGATACGAGCCATGATCTGAGAGGACGTTCTCGACGGGTGGCGGGGAGGCATATAGCCATCCGCGGGAGAAGCCTGCTGGCCATCGGATACAGAGCGGTTCCGATTTCTAGATGGAGCCTGCCTGGGTGTGCAACACTGACAATCGCCGCCTGCTTTGCACATGCAGCTACTTCCCAACCCTATGGTTCGATCAGCATGCTAGCGAAAGGGGAAAAGGTCGCATAGCAGAAGCTGCATACCACCATGGTCAGAGTCAGAAGATGCTCCGTCCGCAGAGTTCTGAATCGCAACCGACGTTTCCAAGGCTTCAGGCAAGCCGTGCGGAAACGCGGCGCTCTCAAATCCCGGCTTAGTACCTGGTCAGTGAAAAATATGCAATGCAACCTTATCCATGAGCTGACCGTAGATCAGAATAAATAGAGGTGACACACACCTTTGTTTGTAGGCGCCGAGGAAGACGAAGGTTGAGAATTGTTGTATGCTTTAGATTCACAGGAACATTTGACGTGGACTTGTTTTGTTTTGCGAAGCTCTCGACAGTGCTCACACTGCGTCACTGGGCGTCCTTTCTTTTTAATTTCAAAAAGAGGGCGATCGCTGTGTTTGCATGCAGATGACCGATGGCCTTTAATGCAGGTCTCGCTGTAGAGATCGATGAGTACAACGGCATGGACGACAAAGTGAACGACCCGGACCATGCGTATTTTTTGCTGCTGATAATCTGCGACATGGTCAGACATCGGTAGGGGTGTCGTAAAAGATCTATACGCACCATTGTGAGAATGAGGCGACGCTGGCGAAAAACGCCCGCCAGCGACAAGCGCAGACTGTGTTATTGAGAAGAAAGAAAGCTGGGGGCGAGTAGGTTGTATTTAATCGCCATGTATGTGGTGGGTGGGATGTGTACTAGCGTTGACAGGCCCGATCTTCCTTAAAGACGCGCACAGACCATGCACTGGTTTCATCACAATATAAATAAACACGAGCAAGCATGTTGTCACTTGTGTGACAATCTTACCCCTTCCATCGCGAAGTTTCTTTTCATTCACCTACGCCCTGTGAACTGAAAAGAACTTTTGCCCCTATACTAGATCGCCACTTTACGGATATGAACGAAGGAGCACACGCCTCTAGCTGCCTCTAGCCTTTGTCTATAAGCCAAAGCTTCATGCACACGACGACTACCTGGAAGCTAATGCTGCTATCCGATGCAGGTGAGCACCGATAACCGGCCAACGTTCACCATTTAAATCCACTTCTACATCATGTATACATACGACCTTCCTAGACTTTTCACATCAAGTCCTGTCTTGAGGGATTTCCGCCACAGGTCCGCCTTTCCGCTGCCCAAAAAAATCTTTATTTGCGACTGTTCCTCTTTGTCTGCTTGCACGCTGCTGGCTGGCTCTCTTCTCCCTTTGGGCACTTGACACAGCCTTCGCTGTTTCCCAACAGTGCGACGATTACAAATGATCGAGTTGTTATAGGAAGACAGCACTACAATGGGAATACTTAGGCGACTCGTTTCTGTCTTCAGATCTTCTTCCTGCCCATCACCTGCTCTCTCGGTACACATGCTGTGGCGCGTTCAGATAAGTCCTCTTCGCCATCTTCGCCTAAGTTAGTGGATCCGTCGACGAACTGTACCCGATACCACTTTCGTCCTTACAACAGCTTGCCCCTCTTACAGCACTCCCGCGAAGCACTGAACAGTGATTGATCAAGCGTCTAATGACATCGCCATCCAGACCCCCATCGCCATCTTACGATATGTACAAGAATTTTGGCGTGCGCGCGGTGACCCGACACTTTGTATGATTACAAGAGGACACCAAGCCCAGGGTTGCACCAGGAGGACAAGGCCTCGCTGAGGGATTTCCGCTTTTGACATGGCCTGGTTATGTTTCCATCTCCCATTCCACAATGTTCGGAACGAAGTGGCTATCTCTCACGCAATAAGATACGCCACTTGCGAGTGACGACCACGGGTTCAGCGTCATGACATCAAATTCATAAGAGACTATACAACATATTCTCTCGAGCTGGGAATCTTGCCTAGCGCCTGCTGCGCTGAGCGTTATCGCACAGACACCGTCGCCATGTTTTCCCTTGGCTACATAGTCAGGTGGCCTGACCCTATTTCCCCGGATTTTGAGAGCGATGACGTCGACAGGTCTTGAGGTCTGTACCTATTTATAGATTGATTGGTCTATATATAAACGCATCACCGTATTTAGTGTCATGAATTTAAACAACGAATCATTGGACGTTTGCGGAGAGATTTGAGAACCGGCTGCAACCAAATCGATAAGCTGCTTGTTAACCCACTGCCGTCGTCGCTTGGTGGTTTAGAAAGACGGAGAATTTTTTCTTGTGCTGACCAGTGATTAGACCTCTTCATCCTTGGAAATAAAAATGCAGGTAGAACCTAAGCGCCGACTGAAAAAACCGAACATGTTTTCTTATTATCAAAAAGTCACGTTCACCCCAAGCCTCCAACTCGGTACGAACTGCCGTTAACCAATTCTAAAAATTCCAAGAGCACTAAAGCTCAACCAACTCAAACTCCCTTCAGCATGCAGGGATGGGTGCACTCCAGGAAATATAGTGGCCAAACGCCATTGCGACGTAGTACCCATTAGTGAGCTTAGCCCAACCACTACAAAATTAAACTCAACACCTCACAAAGAAGAAAAAACCACAACATTATACGCACGCGTCTCCGTCAACGACGGTAGTATCCGTCCTAGTATAACAGTTGATGGAAATCTTGGTTCCCTTCGCATACTGTCCGATAGCGGCGCAGCTCGTCCTGGGGCAGGTGCGGTACCTGAGCCCATCAACAACGACGGTGCCCGAAACGGCGCGTTTCTCAAGCGCGCGTATGTCGAGGTCGAATTCGGCCGGTGGGTTGTAGACGGTCGGCTCGGCGTCAGAGACGGCGTCGGCAATAGGGTTCGGCGCGGGAGTCGCAGCGACCTGGGAGATGGCGAGAGCGATAAGAGGGAGAATAGAGAACTTCATAGTGGTGCGTTGAGTATTGGGTCGAAGCGAGAGAGAACTTGCTTGTACTAAAACCTAGCCATGGCTTTCCCGTATTTTATAGGTTTCAACTCTGACTATGATTTCGACGCACCGCAGCCGACTTTTACTACAATGGGTAGTCAGAAGTGATACACATCTGGCTCCATGCGTACCAAGAACATAACATAACGCGACCCAGCTACGCACACCCCATTTTTCCTTTGTTTAAGGGACCAAAATTCAGAGGAAGAATTTCGGACCATCGCAGTGGTTCTTCGAAAGTGATAGGTATCATCTTGGCACTCCACGCAGTCTTTTGTCGCTGATTTCTCGCCGATGAAAAGCCTCGCGTTTTCACGCTGAGAGCCTCGTTCTGATGATTCTGATTTCTACCGGAGCGCCATGTGAATTTTTATTGCGAATCTCTGCGGTTGGTGGAACCATTCCACGGCCTACCCGCATTTTTGATTACTCCCGGATGACGTCTCATGTGGCCAGTTATTTTGTTTTGTGAAAGAACTGAGAAGAACTGCAAGCTTGCGACGCCAAGAAATCGTCTGGGAAAATTCCCCTCCAACGTTAACGTTCACGGTCTCCGTGCACTGCATACAGACCAGTAGATAATTTATTTGAGTTGTTGTCAAACTTATCTTGCGGCATTCAAGCGTCTTGGCACAAGGTCTTTTTTAAAAAATCAAAAGCTGGTCTACATCTATCTGATCTCGCTACCCCAAGCCTCGACATGTTGAAATCAACTCAGCAAGCGCGTGCGATCAAGGCAAGGTGGGGAATAATATTCCGGTTGTCTCTGTGGGTGACAGAGGCAAACGGATGGGTAACTACAATACAAGTTCTCCTATATATACTGTAGACTACGAAATATAAGGGGATAAATGCAAAACACCCCTAAGGATGCACGAAAACAATCAATGGAAGGATTGGACCTGAAATACAACTGAAATACAAAGATCGGGCACATTGCGCATGCTCGCACAGCTCCCGAAATTCCAACACGACATCAGCTTCATAAGTAGAAATGGAGGGACCTTCCGCGTACGAGAATAAAGAACTCTGACTTGGAGCGCGACTCGGACGAAATCTAAACAGCGCTGCCAGTGGCAATCCAAAAAGGTGAGATCCCCCAGGTACAGCAAAGTACACAGATGTCACAAAGCGGTAAGGACCATCTTTTAATACATTGCACTATGTATTAATCCTTTTGAAGTGATAATAGCTCTGCGCTGTGCACTAGTTGGACTGCTACAATGAAGGAGGCTGTTACAGCCGTTTGCATAATTCCGTGAACGCCGAAAATTCTTTTTTTGGGCGTGACGTGACTTACCTGCTGTATGTGTCCTTGTGACCGTTTCTCGCAAGTCACGCTTTCTCCCAAAATACTGATGACCCACCCCTCTTGCACCTGCCATGCGGCGTTTGTCATTTCAATCGATAACTTTCCGGCGGTCATTCTCCTCTTCTTCACCAATGCGCGATCTTACCATCGACACCCTCAACCCCGCTTTTCTCAAAGTCGAGTATGCCGTACGTGGCGAGCTCGCCATCAAGGCAGAGGCACTTCGCGAACAACTCAAGGAGCCTGCCCATCGGCTTCCCTTTGATAAGGTCATCTCTTCCAATATTGGAAATCCGCAGCAGAAGGGGTTGGATCAACCACCTATCACCTTTACGCGCCAGGTATGTCTGGATCAAAAGTGCTTGTCGGACGTGCGGTGTGCAGCGGTACGCTAGAGGGGTCATGTCTACTCATGATCACATTCGTGTCCTTCACCATGATCTTTGCGTTATTGTGGCTCCGTATTGCCAGCTTCGGCCGAAGGGTACAATCCGACGCTTTTTATAGCAACACATCGGTTATCATCCCACGGCTGCTTCTTCAACCTCTTTCCGTTTCCTGATCTCCTTCGACTTTATCCGAACTGATCGTATTTCCGATGCTAGGTTGCTGCGTTAATGGAATGGCCAGCCCTCGCTGACCTCGCGCCAGACGCGTTCCCCAAAGACGTTATCGCACGTGCAAAGGAATTGCGAGATGAGATTGGTTCGATCGGCGCGTACTCCCAAAGCCAGGGTGTCCCCTTCATTCGCAAGAGCGTTGCCAAATTTATTCAAGGTAAGTTTCCCTCCTTTCCCGGTTGGAGTGTCTATTCACCCCCATCTCCAGATCGAGATGGCTTCCCCTCAGACCCGAACGACATATTCCTTACCGGGGGAGCATCAGCCGGCGTATCACTTCTGATATCCATGCTCATCTCATCTCCAACCTCCGGCATCCTAATTCCCATTCCTCAGTATCCCTTGTACACGGCAACCCTCGCACAAAACGCAGGCGTCGGCATACCCTACTACCTCGACGAGTCCTCAGGATGGTCCACCTCCGTCGCCTCCATCGAAGCCGCGATCGAGAAATCACGTAAAGACGGCATCGTACCCAAAGCCCTGGTCATCATCAACCCCGGCAACCCAACCGGCGCCCTTCTAGACGAAGCAACCCAAATCGCCCTCGTCAAGCTGTGTGAAGAACACTCCCTCGTCATACTCGCAGACGAAGTCTACCAAGCCAATCTCCATCAACGCCAAACACACACATTCACCTCATTCAAAAAGGTCGTGCGGCAGACACAGTCCCCCGTTCCCCTCGTCTCCTTCCATTCTATCTCCAAAGGCGTCTCGGGCGAATGCGGTCGTCGAGGCGGGTATTTCGAGTGCACGAACTTTTCAAAAGAGGTCGTCGCCCTCATCTACAAGATGGTTTCCGTAAGTTTGTGCCCACCGCTCCAGGGGCAAATCGGTGTAGACTCAATGGTGCGCCCACCTAAAGAGGGCGAGGAGAGTTACCCACTATGGAAGAAGGAGACGGACACGATCCATCAGGCGTTGGCGTCACGCACGAAGATCATGTCTGAGCGGTTGAACGCGCTTCCTGGCGTGTCTTGTGTTGATTCCCCTGGGGCTCTATACTTGTTCCCACAGATCAAGCTGTCGGACAAGGCGATCGATGCGGCCAAGGAGGCCGGGAAGGAACCCGACATATTTTATGCACTCGGGCTGTTGGATGAGACTGGGATATGTGTTGTTGCGGGCAGTGGGTTTGGGCAGAAGGAAGGCGAGTGGCATTACCGGTTGACGTGTTTGTGTCCCGGTGTAGAAGAGTATGTGGGCAAATTAGAAAAGTTCCATCAGGGATGGGTGGAGAAGTACGGTAGGGAGTGAGTCTAGCTCTGGCCTTTGTAGATCTACTGTCAGTTGTACATTTTGTATATATTATTTGGAAGGAATAAGAATGCTCCATGTGGATGAACTCTTCACCCCATTGTGGGGACCCGTTTCCACCGAGATTATACAGCACAAAAGCTTGCCAGCATAGGGATGCAAAGAAAACAATGCAAAATGATTTCCTTCTAGCCGACTTGAACGACTGACCTCGTCATATCATCTTCTACTAGTGACGCGCTCTACCAACTGAGCTAAGAAGGACTTGCTCAGTATTTCTTAGTAAGTCATAACACACAAGTCCGAGACTAAAGTGAACGAAATGACAACTCAAGTGTTACTGCTTGCAACCTGTATGATCGTCGCCATTTTTGTACCCCACCGTTCCGCTTCGAGAGCCTGAGGAGCAGAGGGCTTTCCATACCGAGAGACATTCTCCTCAAAAGGCGATTTTTGAAGAAGAACGGAAAAGTTGGACGGAGAAGTCGACAAGAACAGCTTGAAGAACCCAATGTCTTTGGTATCACCTTCTCTGAACATAAATTCCCATGGAGGGACCCCGCCGTCGCCGTACCCAATAGAGAGTTGGGACTTGCGAGGGAGGGGGGCGTCGGTGCGGGTTGTGAGCGTTCCGGCGCCAGCCCCAAATGCGGGAGTGAACCATTCAACTTTGATGCATCTGTCAGTCACACAATATGCTTGGAAGGGCTGTGATGCTCACTGATCGAAAGATCCGAGGGGTCAAAGTAGAAGAGGTACGGATAAAGAGGTAAATCTGTTTGATTATATATGGTCATGCCCAAGCGGGTTTCAGGATGAGATTCATCAACGGTAATAGTGGCGGGCTCCTCGTCGATGAGGTTTTGCCCGATTGGGGTCATAACGATGTCATAGTCCTGAGTAAGGCTCTCGCGTAGGTATTTGAGCTCCATCCATACGTTCCGGAAATCATCATCGCCTTGCCTAGTAAGATGGTAATAGAAGTGCCGCGAGCATCGGACAACCTCTCGGATGGAGTGAAAGTCATCAACATCGACGGAACCAGCGAGACGGGAGCCAATGTGCGTGTTTACCCATTTGTCGTTACGATCAACGGACACTTTTTTGTCCACGACAGATAGCACGATATCTGCATCAGCAGCCTTGTCCGTGATCGAAAGATTGAGAGTTTGCCTATACTCCGGCAAGAAGATGGATTCGACCCAAGCCTTGTCCTCGCCGTACACGGTAATCTTCGAATCAGACACCTGCTCTGTAAGCCGGGAGTAGAATAACCGGGGATGCTTGAAGCTCGAAGCCCCTTCAGGTAAGGCGAGATCTGTGGTAAAGGCGTCGACGGAACGAGCGATCAGGGTGCCCAGAGACGGGTTTGTGTGTGTCGCATCTTCAATGAGGTTGTTCGCATGAGCGGAGAACTTGCAACCGACGGTTAAACCTTGCGCGGCACCAGCTTGCAGGGTAATAGTGCCGTCTTTCTCAGCTTTGGTCAAGATGAAAGAAGCGTCTGCCCCCAATGCCCTGCTATTGAACAGTCGCCTGTTAACGTGTTGACCTTCGCAGTGCGGTGTTTGCCTGTTCAATTTGCCGTCGTCAGTTGAGAGACAAGTTTGTTTGAAGACGGGGGATACAAACCAAATTGGCATCTTCAAGTTGTGCATCAACGAAGTATATGTCAGATTCTCAACGTCTCTCTTCTCCAACAACTTGAGCAGACTTTGTGTGAAAAGGCCGTGGCCCGATTTTGGATCCTCCCAAGCAGACTGGTCACGTCCACAAGCGGCAAGGAAAACATGGGAGGCACGGAACTTTCCAGAGAACCCTTCCGCAACGCCAACGCCCCGGCTACCAGTCTCGCGAGACCAAATGCCTTTATCGCAGTTCGCGGACAAAGGGGGAGGATTCAGGATCTGACGGGCGACGTAATCGGCCTCGCCACGGTTGATCCCCGCTGAGCTGCAGCAATCGAGAATGAGGGTCTTTGAGATGGATACTGAGCAAACCAAAGGGGGCTGGAGAAAGCAAAATGACATACGATATTATCGCCCCGGATATCAGACAGATGGTTAAGCAACACTGAGATAGTCCGATCAGGAATGCCTTGTATCACTCCCTCGACGCCATCCTTATCCGTTGCCGGGACCCCAATGTCATGTGGGCAGATCATCTCGATTTGATCTTCGCTCGCAGACCAGTCTTCCCACTCCAAAGGTTTCTCAACTCGAGCGCCATGACCTGCGTAGTAAATGATCAGAGGAACGTCGCGGGGCTGGCCAGCAGCGATGTCCCGCAGAGCAGCAAATCCGTCGATGATCTTGGCACGTGTGGCCTGCTCATCGCGTAGGCTGATAATGTGCGACTTGGGGACGTTTAGCCGCTCTACCAGGAATCGTTCAAATGAATTCGCATCCCCGACGGCTGCTTTGAGATCTTGAAACTCGTCAGATGCATATTTGTTGATGCCAATAATGAGGCTGAAGATCGGGGTCTTTCTCTCTATTCTGAGCTGGAGTCAGAAGGTCTCTAGCGCGAGGAGCTTGAGATCACTCACGAAGTTGGAGATAATGGGGAGGTTGGAGAAACAGGAACGCTAATAGGTGAATATTAGAATCACATTACTCGGTTCAACCAAACGACGTACTCGATGTCATCCAGCTTTGGAATTGAGGCCTGCATACTTCAAATGATAGAACGAAGCGGTTTGAGGATGAGTTAAGGGACACATACCGATGCAAGGTGATAACGGACGAAGTTGGCTTCTGATTGACGCCGTTGATTGCGTGACGAACTGTGTAATCCTGTAGTTAGGATTCCACAGGAATCATATCTTACTGCCATTAGCACCGCTCGTTGAGAGTGATTGAGTATCAAAACTTGTGAAACGCCATATCTTCTCCTGAAACCTATAAGCATCTGTAGACCACCAAAAGGATAAAATCATAAAGACGTCAAATAAGATATTGCATTAGGCGAATCTCCCTCGGTCAACTTTTACAGGGAGAGGGTAAAAGGTGGAGTATAGAGGGGCCATCCGTTCGTGAGGATTGAGCTTGAGGGAGGATCAAGCCCTTGGAGATTCCCAGTAAGAGGTTCCACCGTAGGACCATTTTTGCGTCTCTAGGTTGTCTGTGATAGAGATATATTTCGGTACAGTTGCCATTGGCTGAGAGCTGCAGAGAGCAACGCAGGGTGTGCTGACGTCGATGGCGGGAAAGCGCTGTGCGTGCAGTTACTTGTTACACACGGTTGATCAAACGCGTTTTCGTCTCTCTCACTGCCCTCCCAACCTCAATTACGCACACCAAGTGCATGCATCGCTGCCTACAGATCCAGGAGCTTCTCTCAATCATCTTCCGATATGTCCGCACCCGAGAAACGCTAGCACGACTCGCGAGGACGTGCACAGAGTTTCGAGATCCAGCCTTGAACGTGATTTGGCACACTCAAAGTACTCTCCTCCCTTTATTCAAATGTCTTCCGCGGGACGCCTGGGTCATGAAAAACAAAAAATTTGTGAGCAACAATCTTGAAATCAAGAACAGTCCCATTTTTGAACATGCTCTTAATTCAGCGTATCACCAGGAAGCTTACCGCGCCTGACTTTGAAAGAATCTATTTCTATCGTCATAGAGTCAAAGTTTTTCGTCAGAATGGCTACTCGCCTCCTGCGGATCTTGAAGATCAAGTCCTAGCCGTTATCTGGCCGCGAAAACCGTCTCCAGGTCCTCTTCTGTGCAATGTGTCGGAAGCTGAATTGAATGGCAACAGTTTCAACGGTCTTGCCATTTATGCTCGCCTCATAATCAGCCCCTGTATCAGGAAGTTAAAAGTGATACTTCCGTTAAACTCGTTTGCGTGGTCAAATGTGATTGCCATGCTGAGGAAAGCTGCACCATTGGATCTCTCAAGTTTTATGGTGTTTGGGAGGGCTCGCGGTTCACCATGTTTGGAGTCTGAGTCATTGGAACTCTTGTCGACTCTTCACAGTGTTAGGACACTGGCCATCACTGAAATATTCCTCACATGCCATGCCATAAACATGATTGGCACACTCCCTGCGCTAGAAGATCTCAGGCTTTCGATTACCGAACAGCAGATGCAGCTTTACAGTCCGCCCAATGGGAACAACTTCCCGCTCCTCACTCGCCTGGAGATCTGCTCAGATACTATGAATGCCTGTCAATTGCTGCTGATGAAAATACAGTTAAGGACGCTGCGGTCCTTGAAAGTTGAACAAACCGGGGTCGTCCACTGGCACGTGAGAAGGTTCTTTGAAACTCTCCATGCATGCAACCTAGTGCCAATGTTGGAAAGCTTAATCCTACACAATTTTCTCGCCCAGTCTTTCGTGATAGATGCTAGCACGTTTGAAGGCCTGGATTCCTACAAGCATTTGCGCGAACTGTCGATCTCTCCGACTCGCGTTGAGCTGGATGATAACCATCTCATGCAACTTGCCAAGGCATTGCCTCATTTGCATCTACTCATCTTCAATGAAGAATACACAGAAATCGTCCCGAAATGCACATTCGCCGGACTGCAGCACCTCGTTCGGTTTTGCCCAAAGCTGGAAAGCTTAACCCTTCGCATAGATGCACGTCAAATCCCAATATTCTCTACTCAGCCCGACGGGGAGTATCCTTTGGGTCTCCACCTTACCACCCTTGATCTGTGCACCGCGCCAGTTTCGAATGCTTGCGATGTTGCATCTTATCTGCTCATGTTATTCCCAGCCCTTACAGAATTTTCGACTGACTTTGATTGTGTTGATTATGATCGTGATGACGATGTAGTCAAGAGGTACTGTACAATTTGGTCGAAGGTACACAGCTACTTGAACATGTAACTTACAACAATGCTGCACAAAAACTCGCCGGTGCGACAAAGAGGTGATTGGGATGAAGCAATCCATTGGTTTTATGCGAGTAGTTCCGTTCGACACTTCGCTTGTCACGGAAAGTCAAGTATGTAAGTAGATCATGGGTGCGTAACAAAATTTAAAAGTCTATGCTTGACCCGGCACAATATTGCGAGAGACTAACAAAAACCTATCTAGAGTCCCTCATCATACTAGTGTCCCTTTCCATGGTGCCATTCGAAGGCTCGGGGCAGGCTGCCCACGAGACGAGCACATAACCGCCTCGGGTTCGGATACATTGGGCGCTGGTGAGACGGTAGTCGTTGCAGGTTTAAATTTGCTCAATATGTTGGAACTCCGAACGGGTACATTTGATTCGGTGTGGTCCACGATTTGGTCCTAAAACATGGTTGCCATCGATCAACCCATTCAAAACGGTGACATCTACATCGGTCTATTCTCCCAGAGGCAGGCAGCGGATTTCCACTGGGCGGTCGCGATCCCGACCGATCTCAGCAATCATACTTATGCAAAATTCGACGCGTGGCCACACCTGGTCATACAGATGTGTTGAGCTTAGTGAAAATTGGTGAGTTGTTGCTGATCAAGACCACTGTTTAGCACATCCATGATTGATCTTTGAGGTCTGACCAGGCAATTTTGGTGAACGATCCATTGCCGACATCGATGACATTCTCAAGCAGCTTGACATGGCTACACCGAGAGCGTTCGGTGGCCGAAAGGTTGTTTTTAACTGCAGGGTTTGGGTTTGGATGGCAGTCTCCGCGCTCAACGACGCTGGAGTCATCAAGTGCACCAAGTACAAGGCACTCGATAAGGAATGCCAAAGATATGGCACAGAAGCGGAGAGCACGGCAGCTGCTGGCGTTGCAATTCGCATTGCCGCCCACAGCGAATGATTGACTTTGGCAGTGGGTTGCGGTGCAATGTCAATAAAAATTTCGGAAACAAGATCATATTCGAATACCGCGTCAGTCCCAAGCACTTATCACATCTCCCGCTGTGCGCGCCAACGGAGAAAACGATACTTTCCACCGCTATCTCTTCCTGACACTGGCGGAAACTATGCATGACGGCGTCGCGTCACCACTGCGGCAGACCCCATGTTGCCGTTCCATGCTCCCAGTACTCAGGATACCATCCAGAGCTGCTGAAATGCCTCAAGCCCGGTAGGCGGCCATCTTGTACCAGGACGTTCCACGAGCGAAGGTCACCGTGGGTGAAGCATATTGGATGTCGCTTTCTGAACAATTTGCGTCCGGCAGTCTCCATCATTCGATCCCTCTCGTTTCCCAACACATGCGAGAAGATCAGCTCATCCTCTTCTACTGTTGAGAAGGGGCCGATAGGCCCACTGGACGCGATGCAATCTAACTTGCACGCACCGCCAAGGAAAGTCGATATAGCGAGAAGAGGCCGTAGGGAGAGACACCTCGAGCACCCTCGTCCATGTCTGCGTAATGCGGGTCATCAAAAGTTCAAAACGAACCAGTCATCCTCTGTGACATCATCCACCCATCCAGAATGAGGGGTACGGCCCCCGTACGGGTACATGGTGTGCTCTGCGACAAATGCGGTAGCGAGCACCTCACTTTCGCTAACATAGCGATGTTTACAGTACAGGTTGAAGGGAAGCCGTTGGGTTGTCCAGGTGAGAAGGCCACGTTCTGAGAATTTTATCCCTAAATATTGTCATCACTGAGAGCCGGTACACGAGAATTCAAGTGTTGATACATGCCTCCAGCAGCGAAGGAGGAGTGACCCAGATCAAAGAGGAAGTCAAGGTGCTGTGCGCCAGAAATTTTGTACTAGACTAGACAGCGAGAGGAGAAGGGTGATGCGTACAAATCGACGAATATTACTTACCCTTGCAGAGGAAGGTTGGCGAACGGGAAACACTGGTATGCGAACTGATCCTGCAAGCTATTAGAGCATAACGAAGACTGTGTCGGCATGACTCTTGTATTACAGTCGTTGAATACGAAGTCAGTCGTCACCAAGTCGTCACCGACAAAAGGAAACGCGTGATGAGGTTGTTGCTGGGAGTCGGGACACGCCGTGCGAATGTCATTCAAAGAATCAAAGGTGTTTTCGTCTTCTTTTCGTCGATTGTAACTCCCTCATTGCCTGCCAATCTCAGTTTCGAGCACTACCGTTATCCCAACCGCACAGTAAGTGCATGCATCGCTGCCTACAGATTCAGGAGCTTCTCTCCATCATCTTTCAATATGTCCGCATCCCCAAAACGCTGGCCGGGCACGACTCGCAAGGACGTGTACAGATTTTCGAGACCCGGCCTTGAACGTGCTTTGGTACACTCAAAACACTTTCCTCCCTTTATTAAAATGGCTTCCGCGGGACGCCTGGGTCATGAAAAACAAAAAAATTGTGAGCAACAATCTTGAAATCAAAAACCTTCCCATTTTTGAGCATGTTCGTAATACAGAGTATCACCAGGAAGCTTACCGTATCTGACCTCGACAGAACCTATTTCTATTGTCATAGAATCAAAGTTTTTCGTCAGAATTTCTCGTCGCATCCTGCAGATCTTGAAGATCAAGTCCTAGCCGTTATCTGGTCGCGGAAAGTGTCTCAAGGTCCTCTTCTGTGTAACGTGTTGGAGGCTGAATTGGACGGCAAGACCTTCAGTGGTCTTGCCATTTATGCTCGCCTCATAATCGGCCCCTGTATCAGAAAAATACAAGTGAACGTCTTCGGGGACTCGTCGTTTGCATGGTCAAATGTAATTGCCTTGATGAGGAAGGCTACACCACTTCATCTTTCAAGTTTTAAGGTGTTTGGGGCCCATCATCTACCATGTTTAGAGTCTGAGTCATTGGAATTCTTGTCGACTTTTCGCGGTGTTAGGACACTCGCCATCACCAAAATGTTCCTCACATGTCACGCCCTAACCATGATCGGTACACTCCCTGTGCTAGAAGACCTCAGGCTGTCAATTGCAGAAGACCAGATGCAGAACTACTGTCCTTCTGACGGGAACCACTTCCCGCTCCTCACTCACCTGGAGATCTGCTCAGAAACTATGAATGCCTGTCGATTGTTGCTGATGAAAATACAACCGAGGATGCTGCGATCTTGAAAGTCAATCAAACCGGGATCAATCATTGGCACCTGAGAGGGCTCTTTGTAGCTCTCCATGCATGCAACCTAGCATCAAGGTTGTAAAGCCTAAGCCTAGACAGTGTCTTCGCCTATCCTTTCGAGATAGACGCTCGTACGGTTGATGTCAAGCATTTAGAGGAACTGTATATCTATCCAACTTCCGTTAACCTGGACGACAATCATCTTATGCAACTTGCCAAGGCATTGCCTCAGTTGCGTTTACTCAGTTTTGATGAAGAATACGATACAGAAGTCATTCCCAAATGCAAATTCACTGGACTGCAGCACCTCGTTCAGTTTTGTCCAAAGCTGGAAAGCGTAACCCTTTGCATTGATGCGCGTCAAATCCCGATATTCTCTACTCAGCCTGACGGAGAGTATCCTGTGGGTGTCCACCTTACCACCCTCGATCTCCGCGCCGCGCCTGTTTCGAACGCTTGCGATGTTGCATCGTATCTCATCATGTTATTCCCAGCCCTTAGAATTTTTTCGACTGCCTATGATTGTGTTGAATATGATGATGACGACGATGTAGTCAACAGCTACTGCACAATTTGGTCGGAAGTGGCTGAGCTATATATTTAAACATGTAATTTAGAACAATGCCGCACAGAAACTCGCTGGCGCGACCCAAGTGCAACAAAAAGATGAGTAGGATGAGACAATTTTATTGGTTTTGTCCAAGTAGTTCTCTTTCGACACGTCACCAGTTATTGCTCGATATGGATGTCTTGGGCCATGGACGTTTCTTTCGCTTGCTTGTTCGCCAGATCGGAAGCCCCGGTGAAAAGGTCGAGAGGATGGTTGACTGGAGACGATTTTTCCCATCATCTGGTACCCTCATACCCATTTTGCCATCGAACGTCGAACAGGGTCAATCAGACGGTGCTTATATCGCGGCCAGCATGAGCCAGCATGGCTGATCATTTGGTAGCTTATGAAGGCACCCGTCTTTCGCCTGCAATAGCGGAATCAAGTGACGGTGGTACTACCATTCCACTGACACTTCCCGAGAGGTGGTTGACATGGACAGAGAGTTTGAACTGAAGAAAAGGGAGGCCGGTTGTCAGACGATCAAGTTATGATGCACGACGCCTCCCTCGAACTACGAAGGAATTAACCTCTGCGTCCGCATGAGCTTCTACCTGACAGTACCTGTCAGATGCGAAAACGATTCAGACTTGAAAGCGACCTCACATCTGGGAATGTAATTCAACACCCCAGGTGGTCATGCACTTGGTACGTTGTAAGCAGCTATAACGGCTCCGAAAGTTGAAAACGGCAGGCCTGCATCTACATTCCACTCGAGCGAGTGAAAAGAAACCAACTCAGCTCGCTTCAAACAGAAACAAATTATCACACAATCAAGGTCTCGATAATGAGTTCATTATAATTAAGTTTACAAAGAGAGCCTTCGAAATCGTACAGAACCTGGAGAATAGCAAGACGTTAGTAAAGAGAATCAACAAAACATGCCAAAAGCCGCAAGAAAGATCAGACATCCAAAGGAAGGTCGTTTCAACTCGCATCGGGCCGACCCCCGCATCCCGCCCAGCGCACACCACGAATGGCGGCCAAGAACTCCTCAATGCCTTTTGGGTTCAGCACGAGGAGGTGGAATATAGACGTTCCGCATTGGGGGAGTACTCCAAACGGAGGGCGCTAGAGTGGAAACTGCGAATGTGGTCGTTTATCATCATGAAGATGAGGCAGGAAGGTGATGGGTGTGGAGATAACGAAAAGAGGCTCACGTTATGACCACCATAGGTAGCTGCCGATGTGGTGGAAATCTGGTAAGAGTTGGTTAGTAAGATTGTCGAAGACAGTGGCGAGAAAAAGATGAAAAGATCAGACGAAATGGCACTGGCAAGTACACTATGCGTTCCGAAAAACGCGAGTCTGTTGCGAACAAACTAGCTCTGTTCCTCGGCATGGTCGTGTAGGACGGGGAAGAGAATAAAGTCATCATAAGAGAAGAATTGAAAGGAAGAGCTCACCATACCAAAAAATGTCACCAACGACAGTGGTGGTGGATGGAGAGAAACAAATAAATTGACGGAAAAAATTTATACGTCTGGCTAACGCCGTTATCTCCGCTTTGATGGCATGTGACACCCCAAATTGAAAAAGGCCTGGTTTGCCCTGGACATGTACATACAGTTGCGGACAAACAAACACATCAAATCCGGTATCTCAGGAATGCGAATTTTCTGGCAAAAACCGACGACAGATTTGAATCCGGACGGTCGAATACAGCCTAAAAACACTGTTTCTATAAAATTCCCACGAGGTTTTGGCGGCGCCAAATTTTTTTGGCCAAAATTTCGCAACTTTTTGGCCTGTCAAGAGGGTCCTGCAGTGCCAAACCACGCTGATGACTCCAAAGTTACTCGGCCCCCACCAACCTGAGACGATATGTAACCCATCATATTTTGACAGTTATGGGTAAAAAGGTACATTCACATAAAATTCACACTATAAAAATGGTCCATTGTTTGCACTTTAGAGCCAACTTGGGTATTATTTTATGCGAGAACAGCTCGTAAGAAAGTTCTAATTTTTTGGGATCAGAATCCATTCCTCAAAAGCTGTTCAAAAATGAATTTTTCGAGATTTTAGCGATTTTTTTCGACACACGCCAATTTTTTGGGTGATTTTTTGGCCAAATTGTCGAAATTGAAAATTCTGCTCGTGCAAATGGATGAATTAGATGTAATCCTTTCTATTTCAATGCTTTTTAGTGGGTTTAAACTCATGTGGTGACGGACATAAATGGTAGAATAAATTTGATGTGTTTGTTTGTCCGCAACTGTAGACCTTGCAAAGCCTTGCAAGGGTCGACAAAACATGAGATGAACAGAGGAATATACATTAAAAATACAAAGGGAGATCCAACGCAAGAAACCGAATAAAACAAGCGATTACACCTAACTTTCTACTATAAGTCTGATCCTTCTGTAATCCTATTAGCTGCCCAACAGTAGTGTCCACAACCCGCCGCACAAAGATGGCCTATCAACTTGACCGCCAAATCCGAACGAGCGGGGCTCATCCCAAAAGAAGGGCTCATCCCCAAAGACGTGCCAATTACGCTGCTGGCACTCTGAACACTGCTGATCGTGGACTCTGCGTCATCTTCAACGTTGGTCGGGGTATTCCGTTGCGCCGTCCGACCTCTGAAATCCACGGCAGGTAAGAAAGACCTAGGTAGCTCCACCATCGGCTGCCTTATGTAATAACGATGATAACATGACTGATGGCCTCCATGGCTGCAAACAGAGCATTGGAACAATAGGGCTCTGACAGGCAGCCGACTTAAGTAGACATGGTATCAGCTGGGATGATCTAAGACGTTGGACGTGGCATACTAACCAGATTGAGCAGGTGACACAAGAGGATTTGCAAGTAGCACAGTAAGAGTAGCCTCCGCGATTTGCTTTGTCGACGGTGCAAGTTCCAGCGGGCTTAACAATGGCCTTTTTGCACTTGCCACAGGAGGTGTAGATTGTTGTCTCGAGCTGGAAATGTTCTTAGATCAATCAGTTTTTAAACAAGGCGAGATCCTACCAGAGTCGCATTGCGAAGGTCTTCCGCCTGGCTAAATTTCCGCACGTAGGCAGCACAGGCGTATAATCGGAGACGAGTCAGATGTTCTTGTGACAAAATTTGCATCAATATCAATTTCAGATAATTTGGTAGACGACCAACCGGTATATGCATCAAGGAAGCGAGTTACTCGTTTATTTGAAATCCTGAGTTCTTGGTGTGCCACAACAGACAACATAGCGCACAGCTGGACTTCGCCCTATCAATCTGCAATGAGCCAGGTTAACAGAAGCGAAAAGCACACCCAACATACCTCAACTGCGAAGTCCTCCAAAGCATCACGGAGCGCCTCCCAGGTCATCTCCCGGAACCTCTTCTCCTCCATGTGAATAATCTCAATGCGCCTTTCAGAGACCCTTGATAAGTCGACTTCGTCGAGCTCATCTTTACCTTCTCCCTCCGCCATCAAGTCCGAAGCAGCCTGCGACTTTTCATATTTATGTTTTCGAAGGTCCATAACGGTATCCTCAGCTTTGACGCCCTCCGTATCTTCCTGATCCCTGAATGATGTTTCAACCGCGGTGACAGTTCGTATACTGCTGTGCGAGTCCTGATGCACGAGCTGTCGTTGAGGTACAGCTAGTGACGCCACAGTTGAACTACCATTCCTTGACTTCAACCGAACCACGTTTCTCTTGACCGACTTGCTGGGTGTCTGCCTTCGGCGGGAAGATCCTTCCGATTCTGTGTCAGTAGAGCCAGGTGAAGGAGATGATTCTTCATCTTCGTCGTCGTCCCTATCACCACCCTCTCCATCCTCTGGCCACTGTCGCTGAGCAACAACAATGGACAACGGGCTTGGTGTAGGGATCCCTCTTGTGGCGTGTAGGATGGGAGAGATCGTTGGATTAGAGGGTTGTTCATCCCCGCTCAATGCCCTGCTGGGAGTTTCCTCCCCACCTTCACTAGGTGAAGAATCAGAATCACTCAAAGCGCCTTCTCCAAGATGTCTAAGACTCGACGAGCTCCGCTCACTTGGGCTCGCACTGTGACCAGGCGTAGTTGATAGGGAAGGACGGCGAAGGAGAGCGAGACCTGAGTCAAGTGACTCACGACGGGAGAAAAAGGATGGCTTGTTTGGTGTCATAGGCGGAAGCCCGATAGAGACGTGGCGGGGTGAAGAGGCTGCAGATGAGGACGGCGTCAGTTTGCGAGGCGCTGATGCAGACGGGCTGCGGTGGGGTATTCTAGGTGCGGGTTCAGCACTGTGCACGGATCTACGCCCTGGGCTAGTTTTATAAGTAGCAGCAGAGGAGGGGAATGTGTAAGAAGTGGACATGACGGGTGGCGCTGATATTGGTGGTGGTACTGAGCCTTTTTTAGTCTTATATCGAGGAGTGGGTGTCGATTCAACGTCAGGTATGTAATCTGACAGAGCTGCTCCCATGAGCAACCATACTTGCACTGCTCGCTCCTGGCCTGCTTCAAGTGCCACCTGTTTTAAAAGCCGTAAATATCCAGGTGCGGAACGGGCAACCAACTGTCGCACCTGAGCATTCTTGATGCAAATACTTCGACGGTCCTCCCCTGCAAAAATGTAGCCACGAGCGAGCTGCGTAAAGACCTCAACCTCTCGAGCAGTAGTTTCCATTGCGAAGGCACCCAGCCTTTGTGTGGTAGGTTGGGCAGGGTCGTCTCCCAATGCTTTACCAGGGAGGTCTTCGTTTCCAGGTCCACGTTGACTAGGTTTTCTAAGAGAAAATATTGGGAGATGAATTTCAACAGTCTAATAAAAACTTACAAATCATCGTATGGAATCTCCCAGCGCATTTTTCGGTCACTGACAAATGCGAGCGTTCCAGTCGCTTCCCACGTTGCAGCTACTCTGGGAACCGCATCCAGGGGTTTCGTAACATCCCGTAGGTCAATTTGAGAGAACGATCCAGCTGAATGTTGAGCCCACAAAGCGTGCGAATCTCCAAACGCAATATCTAGTTTGCAACTTGAGTATAAGACTCGAAACAATGAATGTAAACATACCATTTACTCCACCATCCCCTGCAGTTCCTGTCAAAGACCATTTCCCGATCCAACCCCTCCGAACATCCCAGATCTCGACAGCATCGCCTGTTGAAGTTGGGTCCGGAGCAACCGGTTTTTCCTTGTCGTTGTCATTCCCTGCTCTCATCATTGCGTCTAATCCCAAGCTACTGCCTGCACTGGCCAATGTTCCAGGAGGGCTAGCGGGCGAAGGCGATGGCTGCGCTTCTGCAGCCCCATATTCAATGTTGGAAACAAGCGCCAGCTCACACTCATATCCCGGGCGCCATAACACTCGGCGGACGGGGAAAGACGGGTGTAAGGTATACGTTGGTTTCTGAGGTATGTGCGTATTGGATCCAGGAGAAGAGAGGTCCCAAACCTGCTGAAGGTTCAAAAACACGTAGCTCAATGGAAATTAATAACTAACCTTGACACATTTGTCCAAACCGGCGCTCACCAGCCATCCTAGCCCGTTTCCCGTGATATCTGGCGTAGCTGTGCTAACCGACGCCTGTGGAGAGCTGCACCAATCAAGAGACATGACTGAAGCACCGTGTGCAACTGGGAGCCTATCGAGCTGTCCGCGTTGGCCCATTCTCAAGTCCCACCTGTATATGCTTCCATTGTCCAGACCAACTACAGCTTGCAAAGGCTGATAAAGGCTGGGCGAAAAGACGAGGCTCCGGACAGAAGTCGGGTGGTGCACACGTAGAATAGACCTTGAGAAATCGCGCAGGTCCTAAAAGGGCGTGAAATTCCTGCGAGCAACCTGTAACACAGACATACCCAGACACGCATATCACCATCCGCGGAGCCCGTTATGCAATAGTGATGAATAATGTGCGACACGGACAGCTTGTGAATGGAACGAATATGGTCCTTCGTTCTTCGTTCTTCACCTTGAACTCAATATATCTGTTTAAAAGGAAGAAGGGGCACGTACCATACTTGGTCACCCCAGATTTGTTGAGGTCCCACATGATAAGTTCCCCATTCCGCGCGCTGGTCAAGATTTTGTTGTTGAAGGCTGTAATCCTCATTCAAACATTTGTTCAGCGTATTAAGCCACACATACGTACCTCCATGACCCCATGCAACATCAGTACTGGCACTATCAATCTTCAACCCACTGTTGTCCCAAAAGTTACGCGATGCATCAATTCGATGGCCTCCTCGTCCGACGGCCGATTTATGATCTGGATTATGAGTATTTGATGGATCCGACACACGTAATATCCTTAGTGCTGGAAAACTGTCAGCGAAAAGCCAGAAGTATGTAGAACTTGAATTCACATTCTTTCCCGGTGACGGCACAACGAACGCCGTCCTCAGACTTTGAGATCGCACCACCACCTCCGCTAGGCGTGACACGAGTCAGCCGAACTCTCCGCGTAGGTCCTTGGTACCCGTGTGCCCGTGAGTCAGAGTAACCATCGAATGGGTTGTTGAATTTCTGAACGCTTGCGAGCGTCGAAGCCATTGCTTGGAACCCCAGGTTTGTTTACTACACCCCGTTGTCACCAAACAATTGAAGGAGAGCCTTCAAGTTGGGAGAGCCAGAGTAACTTCAAGTTTGTTCAAAAACGGGCATGGGACGGTGCTTAGAGAGCTCAATACAGGAAATGGTACATCCTTTAGTCAGATGGTATGGTGGTAAATACACGAGGAGCTGATGCAGGAAGTGGAGATAAATTATTGGATGATGAATAAACGGGGAGAACATTCAGTTGCAGCAGCCGTAAAGGTGCCCATGATCGTCATAGAATTGCTGGTAGTCGGCGATCTTGCCCTCAGGATAAGGGTCATAGTGTTCTCCCCAATATCCGTGTGGATTTATCCAGCCATTGATTCCAGGCAACATCGAATCAACCGAATGATGTTCGACTTCTTCTGGATGGACAATTTTCGAGAGGTCTTCACTTAGAAGAGGAACCCGCTGTGTAGACCGTTCCCAAGCTACGTAGGAATGTGAGAAAACAGTTGAACGATAGCAAGGAAAGGGGATAACGTACCCCGGTTAACGATGAAGCTAAAATGACTATTCCTGAATCTAACAAAACATCAGCGACAGAACGACGGGAAATTTTTGCAGCCACAAACCCATCACTGATTTGAAAATAACCAGCATGAACAATATCTTGAAATGTAGCACGTAGAGCTGGGTTCGGTTCCAAGAGCTGATAACTCGTTAGTCCAAAATTTTCTGGAAGGAAGACAATGACGTTGCAAGACATACTGAGAGGAAAAGATCCTGGGCTTCAGGGCTCAGAACATCATCCGTCCGGAATAGCGACTGTGCATTCCCCCGAGCATGTTGTTGGATGTAGAAATCTTGGGAACTTTTGCCAGGGAAAAGGACCTGAGTTTAATGTATCAAAAGCAGAAACAAAAACGTAGGAGAGAGCGCGCACCCGAGATTTATAAGCCTCAAGTTCAAATGCAATACAACCAAAAGCCCAATAATCCACCTCTATACCGTAGACGGCTCTGCTTGAGATGGACTCCTCAGCATCATCATTATTCACAGGTTCAGCGGAGCGCGGGCTTCGGAAGTCGTCGTCAATCCAAGTCTCTGGAGCAGTGTACTCGGGGGTACCGACACCGCAAAGGTAAGCGTATGGGACCCCAGGTTCCAGGCTTTTGTCCTCTTGTGAAACCCAGCTCAAGCCGAAATCCATGATGCGAGCGTTGCCCTTCCAATCCACGAGGACGTTCTCAGGCTTCAGATCGCGGTGAATGATGCCGGCCTTGTGAAGGTAGTAGAGACCTCGTGCCTAAGTTATGCGAGGTCAGAATAGCCGTAAAGGCAGAAAGGTTAGAGAAAGACGCACCATTTGTGCTAACCACCGTTTCGCATAAATCCGACGCTTGAAAGGTCTCCATTCCAGTAGAACATGCTGCAAATCAAACTTCAAGTATTCCTGACAAAAAAATTGGTTAACAAAAAAAGATTTGTCAAAAAACCCGCTCACCATGACAAAATAAAAGGAGTCATCGTCCTCTAGGAAGGCGTCAGCTTCCATGACAAAGGGCATCCCATGTAAATGGTCGGCTCTCTTCCTGCGCTGAGCAACAATCCGCAAGAACGCGCGGCATTCCGCCCATAGAAGTTGAAGAGGCCTCTCCTTCATATTGCTCTTCTTGGTCACCTTCAAGCACTGATAGCGCCCCAGACGATTTCCCTTGGGACATAGCTCGACCGCAGCATAACAAACCGAATACTCGCCACCTGGAGCCAACTCCTTCACTATTTCGAAGGTACGAGGCGTTTCGTTGGTGAGAGGTGGCACATCGGATGCAGAGTCGCCTCCAGAAGAAGCCGTGTCCGAAACATCGGGAAAGGCTACCAAGCCATGTGTCGATGACGGCGAGGAAGGCTTGCTGATTATCCTCAAGGGCGAAAAGAGTGGCGAACAGATCACCAGTTTGCCTAGGGTGATATACAGTGGCTCCAGCCTGTATTGTTCCTTGTCTAGAGTCACGAGCGGGGCATGCTGTTTGCACCTGCAGTTCGAAAAGCGGCGCTCGGTCTTCGAGGTCTTTGGCGGAATTTTGATGGTAATTCCTGTCTTCGGAGAAGGCAACTTCTTTGTGTGTTGATCGCTAGCTGCGTTGGTGATCGAGCCGAGCACCGAACGAGTCTGAGGACTAACTGGAGATCGTTCAGCGACTTGGTAATCCTCGTCCTGGTAGTTAGGAACACGAAGGGAGAGCTTGGAACTCAAGCGAATGAGGGGCATGCCAGACAAGGTGGGTGTGAGGAAGCTGTTGAGGGGAGTCACGACGATGGGTAGAGATAATCCTATAGAGCAGTACTCTTATACGTGATGTTGAGGCCACATCTGACAAGGCCACATCTGAATAGGCCCTGGAAGGTGGCCCCAGTTAGACAATGTAGAACAGTGGCCACGCCGAAACTTGACAAATGTGGAACGTTGACCAGAATCATGATTCTGACGAGTATAAAGACCCTGTTCTTTGTTAGTCTGCCTTTTGTTTGCCTTTTGTCGCCGTAGATGTCCAGGAGCCAACGGTGTTCGATCCCAAGCAACGGTCAACGTTCAGAGGTTTTCGCTGGCAACTTCAAGGAAGAAGAGTCGAAGCTTAGGCCTTAAATTTTGTTGGCATCTGTGTCGCATGAGAATGATCACAAAATATGCACAATCCAACTCGCTACCAACGTTGAACGCGTCCACGCTCGTCTGTTCTCCTGTCTATTAGTTCTACCGATGTTATATGTTAATATCTTGATTTACGTTCTCTCTTTCTTGGAGGTTCAAACCATTCACTTAGCGCGACGCTTGCGCTCATACTGTGGACTCATTCATCATCTGGCCGAAGGCACAAGGGCGACAGTGTCCAAAGACAGATGCAAAGCGACGCCAACGAACCCAGGATACGCTCTTTCCATTCGACTGCCCACGGATATTTCACCCGTTCTCGCCTCCGTCTTTCTGATCTCAACACTGCAAAACCGTAAAACTGGATCTCTTGACCTATACGTCCCCGATGTTAAACGCGGTCCCTCAATTATCGGTTCCCGCAAGCCTATTACCTCCCACTTAGCTCCGCGACATCAACTGACTTATCCCGCCAAAGCCTGGTCGATCTCATCGCCCCCAGCACAAGAAACCTCCCCTGTGTCACTCATGTCGGACGGCGGGAGTACTTGTTACAAGCAACGTGAATAATTGCCTCTTACTTTACTCTGCGTGCTGGTATTTACCACATCCTAGCCCATCCTGAACCCGCAGATGTACCTCCGCATGGTGCTGCCAAAAAATGGATCAATACATGGCGTCCATCAGTGGTACGATCTTTTCAACTTGCTCTCTCAAGGGCGGACATACTCGACGAAACTCTGGGGATAGAAATTATTGTCTACTCGATTGCCCTGGTTTTGTGCAAGATTGGTGACATATTCATCACTCTTCTGCTTGGTTTCTTCGTCTACTTTAGCATCCGGAAGCTTGTCAACAATCGCGCGGCTCGGCCTCACCTATCTCCAGCGCTGCATGACTTTTCCTCTGTCCTGTCACTGGCATACAGCCTCACAATCGATGCGGAGATGGCTGGAGAGCGGGTTGCACCGTCGATCTTGGCAGCTTGTCCACCGCTATTGCAGACAGGGTTTCACACAAAAGTTCTGCGTCTCCTCCTCCCTTCAATTCTCTATTTTCCAGCTCAGGCAAGACTCCTTTTCCAACGGATCGCTCTATCTCGGTGTCGAATATCGGACAAGTTCAAACCAAAACGAAGCCAAAACGAATCAAGCTTCAGATGGAGATGCATGTTCCTGAGGGCAAGTCATTCCCGACGCTCGTAAATAGAGATATCAGCAAAACTTTGGACTATCCTGACTCAAAGTTAGCCACCCCGGATGTCGATTCAACCTCGCGGCCGCTCCTCCCGCCAGAGTACACATCACCCTCCAGCTCACCTTCAACGATTGAAAATGAGGAGTACTTGAGTTGAACATTGCGGAATGCACTTCTCGCTCGATTCATGAGGGCGCCACAACGGAACTTTTTTTTTTTTGACTTTTCGACCTTGGCCAGCGTCTGCTTCGGCTGCTTTGGCTCTCTTCTCTCTTCTTCTTCTTCAGGTTCTAAAAATAGATTGCGAGATAGGAGGGGAGGCACCGGTAATAATGAGGAGCGTTTCCAATCAATCAGCGTCGACAAGTCTCATCGACCGCTGTGAGCTGAAATTGAAGAGGTCGAGAAGACGCGACTGCGTGTGGTCGCGTCACATGCATATGCCAAGAGAAATCACGGAACCAAAAGTCCGATGATTCTGGAAACAAACACACCTTTTCACACATGCTCCATCAGTGGCGAAATTTATGTCGCCCAATACGCCTGTTGTTTCGAGATCATGGGCGTCAACGTTGCTTGGACCTTAACCACGACTATTCCACCCACTCCGCTCATATTGGACCCCTCTCTGAATCCTTCTCTTCCTTCCGTCTTTGACGGTGGCGCCAACTAGCTTACATTGTAACCATACTTGGAGGGCGCTGATATGTCGGTCGCAAGTTTTCACCAGTTTGACGAAAAACCAATTCCAAGCGATCATGACAAGATACCCCCACCTTCCCATCGTCACGCCGCGCCTTCAGCACCCTGGCCATGGGTAGATATCGAGGATGGTGCGTGCAGTACTGAGAGGTCGTCCACAATTCAATTAATGGTACCCCTTGCAGAGGTCGATCCTGTCCAGCTTGAAAATTCATTACCGCCCATCCCCCCTCCTTGCGATCATAAGACTTGTGGGGGTTGCTGGACTCGCTATCCACAATCCTTGTTTCCCAATTGGACCCCTCGGCAGGTGGAAAAGAGCAAGATACGAAGCGCTGTTACTGATTACCGACGCGACATCCCTTGTAAAATATACCACGTAGACGTGGGTGAGGATGGTTTTTTCAAAGATGCAGGTGTGGTAATTGCGGGGGAATCAAACAAAAGTGAAATCTGGGAACGTATCATTCATTCAACGGTGCGTCTCCTTTCTTCCTGACAGTTTTTATCCTGTCAGAACTCGCCCCTGATTACTCCACCTCCAGTACCAAGATCAAGACGACCTTCGGATTAGGGCTCTGTTTATCGAAAACATGTCTGGACCTATACTCCAAATGCTGGGGACACGGTGAGAATTCATCCTTTGTTTCACCGAGTCATTCTCGATGCCCAGAGGTGCATGACCACTCGCACGGTACTCTCCATCTCGCTGGTTTCAAGTGACTATCATCCACTTCAAACTGACTAGATCTACTCATACCTGCCAGGTACAACATCGAGCCCTTCTTCTTTTCATCATCTTTAAATTGGATACCATCACGATTCCAAGAGGAAATTCGCGAAGGCGAAGGCGATCGTAAGATTACGTTCGCGCATTTAGAATCTACAACTTATTCCTACATCATTCCAGATATAACCGTAACCTTGACCTTTCTACGATCCATCACTGCTGGAACCGCTGTTAGTCTGGATGCTTATGCCTCATCAGAGACATTGAGGGAAAGACCTTCTGTTGGTGAGTGACTTGAGCCTCGTGTGGCGCTTCTGCCAGTCTTATGATCGGATGCCAGCTACACAGTTGCTTGATACACAAGCACCTCTCGATCTACGGTCAGGTAAGCCATATCTTTCTCATGAATGATTATCGGCTAACTCACTTTCCCATTCGCTCCTCCAGGCGGCTGTCGACTCGTCTTGGACCTCCTTTCTGTCCATCTCATACGCCGGCGACACGGCAGCACCATCATCTCATTTCATCCCAGCTTGAACCTTCCAACCACTACTGCTCCGTATCTTCATCAAAGGATCCGCTTCGCTGGTAAATCTTGCTCTGTCTGCTTTGTTGATAAGGAGACTGATATGTTGACCGTTGATAGGACAAAGCGTATACTGGCAGAATATATTCCGTAAATACGAGGACCCAACATTTGTGCTCCTCGTCTTCATCTGGCACGCCATCTATGCTTGGGATGAATCGCTTGAGAATCTGTACAGTCACATCTGCGACCTGGTAAGCGTATTCAGTGCTTGACCCCCTTTACAAGCTAATTTGTTGGTTGGGTAGGAATCACGAGTGATGAACACCTCAGAAATGGACCTCACACAAGAACTACACATTATTCGCGCACACCACCTTCACTACTCATCCCTGCTCGACAATTTCAGAAAGACGGTCGAGTTCATCCGGGACACCCTCAATCCGGCTCTGGAGAGCCTTTCGGAAGAAGATCGGGCTGAGAGCAAAGAGGTTATGAAGCGGGAGACACATACCTTGCTAAGTGAGATTGAACGCTTGAACAAAACGAGGGATATGCAGGACAAGCGTTTGAAAAACGTGATGAACCTCGTATGTTTTCCTTATGCTGTGCTTTATACGACCCCTTAATCTCCTTTCTGGGAACCAGGTATTCAGCAGTGTCAACATTGATGACAGCAAACGTATGCAGAGGATGACAGAGGCTTCCGTTAGGGACAGCGCTGGTACGCTATGTTTTCAATAATGCTCGGCACTCAAACTGACTTGCGCTTTCAACGTAGCCGTAAGCCCCTACATTTGAACTCTCAAAACATTCATTCACATCAAAACCACAGATGAAACAAATCGCATACCTCACCATGATCTTCCTACCAGCCTCGTTCGTCGCAGTACGTCCTCCTGCTCCTCACCTCCATCCCCCTTCAATCCCACTTACCCATCCTTTATCAGAACATCTTCAGCATGAACGTTCACCAGATAGCTCCAGGCACGACAGCCACCCTCCCGCAGTTCATAGAAGGCGCCATCCCCCTCACCCTCGCCACAATCTGGATAATCATCGCCTTCCAGAGCAAATACATCTTCCCGAAGAACGCGTCGTTTTGGACACGGCTTGGCTGGCCGATCTTGATGTTGATGCGGGCGTTTGGGCGGGATCCGTATGCGGGGCAGAGTGAGGAGCTGCCCCTTGGGCATTTCGCTAAGTGATGCTGGGATCGGTTACGAGATTGAACGAAATGTTAGTCCACCCACCCCTTTTGCGGTTTTCCCAGATGCTGATGGAGTGTTGAATTTAGCCTACGACCGAGTCGATACTCTACGAACCCCATCGACTCGATTCATGATACACAAACTATTACTCATCATTTTGCTTAGAGTACATCAACGACTCGACACTAAGTCTGGAATCATACCCCTCTTATCCATGTATGTATCTTTTGCATGTATGTACGCACGGTTGGAGATATTAAGAAAGATACAATGGAAGTTTGTGGCTAATAACTCAATAGACCATTGGTTAGACCAGTCCACCGTCCGACGTCGTTCTAGTCACCACGACCTGGGCGCTTCAGAGCAGATGTGCTTACTCCGGAGGGAATAGGATTAGAACAGCTTTTTCCAGACGTTTTCCCATGTTTTGTTATAAAAGCCCTCCGTCGTACCCTCCTCAGGATTATCGTCATAGAGTTGCATCGGCTCTCCATCATGCGGGTGCGGATAGAACCACCCACACTTGAGCGACTGGAGGGAAGGGAAAGACTTCTCTAAAAAGGCAGCAACAACATCGGCATCATCGATGGGGGAGGTACATGCGTTCAAGCAACGAAGTGTCGGTGAAGGTACGGTCTGTTCCGGAGTAGGGAAATCAATCGTGGCCTTGAATCGAAGTGTCAATTCTTCAAGTTGAGGACATGCAGCGACGAAAGCGATAAGCCCGGCCGGAGTGACTTTGGCGGTTTCGATTCCAAAAGTGCATTCCTCGAAACATAGGTGCCGGAGGGCAGGCCAGCCTCTGGCTATTTCCATGAGGCTGGCATCGTCAATGTCGTAGCTTGCGTCGAGGGAGATCGATAATTCAATTAGATTGTGGAATTTAGCACAAAGGCAGCGAAAGATGTCTGCTGAGATGATAGAAGTATGTTCGCCCAGATGCTCATACCACTGCAAGGATGAGGTATTGTACAGTGCCAACTCCTTGAGGAGGTGACCATTTTTCAAGTTTTTGCCGAGGACTTCGAAAAATCCTTCAAGGTCCCAAACATGCGGAGCGGCGTAGCAATAGGTTCGCTCGATCACAAAACGTTCAAGTCTGCTGGGTTTCCAACGTGTGACAAATTGGGAGACAGAGGAGAGTAATTCGGTGGCAATGGCGAGGAATTTGAGCCTTGGAAAGACACTCTCGACGTCGGGTGGGATGGCAGGTAGTTGAAAGAAATTGATACCAGTGATGTTGATTGACAATTTTTCAAGTGCTGGCAGAGTAGACAGAAAATTGACGCCAACATCAGAGAGTTTTAGCGAGTTTATATTCAGGAAAGTGACGTTCGTCAGATGGGGGAGGAGCTCCACGATAGCGGGGGGGCTATCAAGGATATGTCGTTCGAAATATTCATTTTCCATATCCAACTTCAGGGTGGTAGGCAGTGATGAGGCAGCCCCTAAGACTTCCGCCAGCGTAACTAACTGGGGAACTGGCTTGGATGGAGAGATTTCGTTATCACGATAAACGACTTCCATAGATTTCAAGGCGCCTCCAATGACCAGGTGGGGTAAAGAAGCTTCTCCCTTGAAATCATTTAACAACACCTCTAACTCCCTGACATTTGGCACAAGTGGTCCTTTTCCGGAATTTATTTTCCGAATATGATCAAGGGCGTCGTCTGCAAGGGACACAGACGGTGCTAAGCTAGCTCGCCGTGGGTGGTAGGACTTGTATCGACTGTTCGACATAACCTTGATTTTGGCAGAGTAATAAAAAACTCGGCTGAAATCTTCAGGGCGGATGACATCCCGCTTGATAGCCTATAAAATGAGCGGTCAAAATGAAAAAGCTGAACGACCCATCGAAATGTCGCACGAGTTTTAGTCCCGAATGGAACATGGGGGTTCTCTGAGGAATTACTTCCACAGCATGTGATGGAAGACAATTGATAAGATTGAAAAGGTCTGCGGGTTGCGTGTGCCAGAGGACATCCGTGGCAGGGTCAGTAAAAGTTGTGCAGGTTCTAGCAAGACCAGCGAGCGTAGCTGGAGGGCTTCGCACTCGATCGCTACACGGCTCGCTGGAGATGTACTGAAATATCTCAGCAAGAATTTCCTGGATCTCCAAACAGTGGTGCATAATAACTTTAAGAGAGGAACGGTCGAGAGAAGGGTTTGAGAATTGCGAGGAGATGTCTTGGTCATGATCATGACTCGATCTAATCTAATCTGACAAGTCCAAACAGCCTCATTCCTGCAGAGAAGCCCCATCACATATCTGCAAAATGAGAAACTGTGGATAATTACCTCTGATTGTAATCGAGTATTCCCATACCTAATCTAGACAAGCAAGCCTTTCGCGAATCTCATCCCACACCTCAAAATAAGACTACTCCTTCTCATCCTCCTCGTGTAATTGGGTCGTTGCCGCAGGAAACGGGTGCCGATAAAATGAGCTATAACTCAGTTTCTGATGGCGAGGAAAAGTCTTGTCTAGAAAGGCGGCGACGGCATCAACATCACCAACAAGAGATGTGCAAACGTCCAGGTTGGTGTAGATACGATCTGTTCAGGGTTAGGAAACTAGTTGTGGCATTGAACCGAGTCAACTTTTCAAATTGGGCGCAAAGGGCTTGACAAAGTTGAGATCCACAACAGGAGTGATTTCAGCAGCTTCAATTTTGAAAGTGCGTTCACCCAGGCCTAGACTCCGGAGGGCGGTTGACAGAACCTTGAGGAGGCAAAGCAGGGGTAGCAGGTGAAGGAGTTGTATTTCTTGTGTCAAGTTCTGTAACTTGACTGCACTTGGGTTAATATTCAACCGGGTGCTAAGCAAGGAGGCCGTTGACGGAGGGGGTGGAGGTGAGCATACGGAAATCATACTGGAGCGGAGGAAGAATAGCATGATATAATGTAGAAGTTCCCGGTCCCTGTAAGGGAGGAGGCGGATTTCGAGGTGACATGGGCATTCCAGGATGTTGGGGTATATGTGAACCTGGAGGAGGAGGGTGGTGTTGAAACTTGAGGGTGCTGATGGACGTTTGCGGAGGCATTGGATACCAGTTATACTGGGGCATATGACGCTGGTTGGATGAGTAGTACATATCAACATGGATGATGATGTGCAGTCTGTGACGTCTGTCACCGTTACAGTCATTGCCTTATAGCTTATACGCCAAGACGGGTGGCAAAGATGGCGAACATAGCTCACAATCGTTGAACATTTCTGCAATATCCTACTCGGCAGTTCAAGTCTTTGAACACATGTATGCTCAACAATTCCGTTCTATACCACCGGCCACCGCAATTTTTCAAACGCGCCAATTTTTACAACTTTCCTCGAGCAACTTTCTGACCCTCCTCGACTGCATGGAATCATCTCAGCAACTGGGCTTTACTCTCGAGGTCTCACCCGACGATTAAACTCAATTCCGCACCTCCAAAAAGCCGATAGGCAACTGCAAATTGAGGCTTTCTCAAAAGCGGGATGGGATCTCCGATGATGGTATCAGGCCAATATCAGGCCTCCAGGCTCCCGGGTCCTTGACATCAGCGACACATTGTCATGTGCCTGGGTGTGTTGTTCGTATACCCTCTTATACCCTGGTACAATTGTAGTACCGATACAAGGCACGACTTTTTTTTTCTTTCTACCATTCCAGCAGTCAGATAAAGGTTTCTACAGGTCCTTGGCTGTCCTTGGGCACTGTGATATAGTCGTCAAATCTGTCGATGACCAATTTGGATCGATTTCGCGATCCTGCAGGAGGACTGGTTCATGTCAACTTCAGTTTCATGAATCTTGGAAAAGTGCCTTAAGGAGAATCATGCATGATGCGACCATAAAACCTGGCTTCCCAACCATCCTCCAATCCGTTTCAAAATGAGCGAAGCACCTCCTGCAACAGTCAATACCCCTCGCGCCTCCGCTGGCTCCATTGCTACTTCTTCAATCAGTACTGGCTCCGCTGCTACCGTTGTTCATCCTTTCGCCCCTGTCTCTGCTGCCGTTAGTTCCCCTCCTGTTTCGACTGTCTCCCTTCCCGTCAGTGCCCAGCCTGCCTCCACTGGATCCCTTGCCGTGTTTATCGGCGGCGACGCCCCCCCTACATCCGTTGCTGCCGATGCGACTGTATCCGACGAGGTCAGGCAGCCTCCACGTGAGGAATGGCTTAGGTACACTTGTGCTGAGGTCGCCGTGGACAAAGGCGCCGCGGAATCCATGAGATCTACGCCTGACCAGCTAGGTTTGACCGTTCAGAAGGCTGTTATTACGAAATCCAGCAATTTGTGGGACAACGGCGATGTGAGTCTTCATTTCTTCGTTTTCACCAACACAAATAATAGCTTTTCGCGCAGACCATCACTTTCGGCTTCATGAACGGAACACTCTATCAGCGAGTCAAGGTCTCCAATGTTATCACGGAATGGACAAAGTATGCAAATGTCACGTTTCTGCAAAACGTTCCCCCCCACAGGGCCAGTATTCGTATTACCTTCGACCCAAGTTCCGGTTCTTGGTCGTATGTTGGAAAGGAAATTAATAAGATTGACCGGTCACTTCCGACAATGAACTTGGCCTGGATAGTTGAGGATACTCACCTTCCTGAGATTACCGCGGACGAGAGAGGTGTCATACTACACGAATTTGGTCATGCTTTAGGCTTGATGCATGAGCATCAATCTCCCGTGCGTGGTGGCAAGATCCATTTGAAGCCTGAGGGTAAGTCCTATCGACACGCTCTTTTGAAGTTGGGATTCTCATTTTCTTTCCAAAGCGGTTATCGATTATTACACGGTCACTCAAGGGTGGACAAGGCAAGACGTCATTAATCAAATTCTCGACGTTTATGCGTTGAAGGACGTCTCCAATTTCTCCGAGCTCGATCTGAAATCTATCATGATGTCAGTTTCATTGTGAACTTTTTGATCGATACTCACGTTTTCATGATCAGGTACTTTATGCCAGCGGCAATGAATGAGGAGGGTATCGAGGTCAAACCTAACAATGAGCTTTCTGACATCGACAAGGCATACATGATAATCAACTACCCTTATCCCGTCGGTACTCCTCTTCTTGACCCGGTATGGACGTTCGATTACGCTCTGGGGATTGCGGGCGTTGAAGGCAATGCCAGGGACCAGATTCTTCAAGAGTACCGAAATTCGAATTGGTCCGAGGTTAGATACCAGTTCACAAATTGGTGCATCACCGCTCGTGCCGCTCGGGCAGAACGTTTAAACAGTGTGTCTAGCGGTAGTGAAGACACCGTGGGTAATCCCAGCCACGAAGTGAAGCCCGAAGATGACGTCGTGGTTGACTGGTGCGCTTCCCAACTCGGTGACAATGACGTTGGCAAAGGTGCTGCTCATGGCGTTGCCACGGTCAACAAGGATTTGTGGCTCCCCGGCGATACCATTACGTATGCTTTCATCCAGGGTACTGGAGATGCCACGCCGTATCGTCAGCAACGCATTGCCGATACCTTCAAGTACTACTCGGGTATTACAAACCTCAAATTCACCGCCGTTCCTTTCGACCCCGTCAAGGCCTCAGGCGATATACGCATTTATTTTGGTGAAATTCCGGGAGGCAAGATTACGGGTTGGTCTGCCATTGGCAAGACATCCATTAAGCATCGCCAAAGTCAAGATGATATGACGTTGGCAGGCGGATCAGTAGAATCTTCGATGGTTCTTAGCAAAGCTATCCCGAAAACTGCGGCTGAAGCGAAGGGTGATTGGGTGAAGCGGGTTGAGGAGAGAACCCTTTATCATGAAATCGGCCATGCTCTTGGCCTTAAGCATGAGCATGTATCCCCATTCACAGAAACGAAAAATCCACCGAATAAAGACGTGTCAGTTGCGACGCCGTTTGACAAGAAATCGGTCATGTTGTACGCGAATAAGAAGCTCAAGGTTACGAGTGCTTGGGATTCGCTCAAAAGCTTCTTCGACTTTCATTCGACGGATTATAACCACGCACCCTCGGCAATGGACCAGGCCTTTATTGGGGTGAGTTCCTTGAAGAATCTTTGTGACGAACATATTCTGACACTCTTCCCAGATTCTCTATCCTTATCCCGAAGGACACGTTAAGGACAGCTTCAAGGCAAACATCGACACTTTGGGTCTGTCAGATAACTTTACAAACTACGCCCAGCAGCGAAACATTGCCTTTTCCCATTCTGGTCAGCCGGAATTTGCGGATCAGATCGCAGCGTTACGAAATATGATCAAAGCTGATCTGGCACAGCTCGCTACAAGTCGCGGCACTAGCGGTGCACCTAGTGCTGCGAGAGGAGTGAATGCGGACGTAGAACAACCACCATTTAGGGCTCGAGGAGCCGCTCCGCCGCCGGGACCAACGACTGGGCCGTTCATCGACATTCTTGTCGGCAAAATCACCGAATTGTTTGCGCCCAGCTCGGGTCAAATTTTTGCGCTTCAGTTCCCAGGCCGATTTTTGGCTAAAGAGCAGTATGCTTGGGATAGCTCTAGCGCTGGCGTCTATGGCCAGTTTGTCAAGCCAACAATTGTTAACGAGAACGAATTTAGGTTGACCGACCAACTGTACAACGTTGGAAACGTTATCGGCGCTCCCAACGGGATCAACTTGTCAATTGTTTACGAGCAATGTCTAAACAATCTGGTGCCAGGTATCCAGCCAGCGGCCATTAATTTTGCGAATCAGCAAAATCAAATACGTAAATGGCTCTTGAGGGAGGTACCTGCGACTGGTTGGGTTAAGGACCTTATAGCCGCCCAGCACACTGCGCCTCCGCCCGTGACCGCAGTTGCGGCTGGGGGACCCGTTGCCGCTCGAGCTCTCAACGCTGGCGTAACTAGTGGGGCCGCCTCCTCTTCTATCGACACACCAAAGCCTGCCTTTGCAGTTGCCAACAAGCTTACTACTGACCAAAAGGTCAATCGTATGGAGCTTTCTGCTGCGCTTATGACAGAGTACTTGACGGCTCAGCAAGCCTGGGAGCTTGAACGCGACGAAATGATCAAGAGCGCCAAGGGCGATGCTTTGGAGGATGTCACTCGTCGGCTTGCCCATATTACTCCTATCCGTGAAGCTCAACTCGCATCAAAGTACGGCGATGCTGTTGTTCGCGGTTACTCGCATACGATTCGTCAATATCTTGGTTATATGGATATTAAGAGCGCCGCCGAATTCCTGCAGGACGCTAAGGATGCCCTTCGCCAGTCTGCCACCAGCTCCTTGGACGGAAGCTTGAAGGTTTATCCTGTTCAGATGCAACCCATTGACTGGTATCAAAGTCTTGACACTAATTTTACTATGGAGGATCTCACCGCGGACCCCGACTTGATCGAACAACAAATCGATGCTAAATCGAAAGCTCTTGACATTCTTCAATCACGCCTTGCCGTCATACGGCACAGCCCCACGACCGATCTCAAGGACCTGCAGGACAAGCTTGACGCAGCAGAGTCAGCTTACGATAAAGCTCAAGCTGAGCTGTCGACCACTTACACAAGCAATGTTATTTCGCTTGCCCAGACTTGCATTAACGCCAACAATGAGTTCGTCATGAAGGATTTTGACAAAGCAGCGAAGGCTGCCAAGATTGCCACTGCCGCTTTTGCCAACATCGAAGTGGGAATGGGCAAACTTACCTCAGCCCAACTCTCTGTTACTCAAGCTTCTCGTGCATATACTCGTCTGCTGTCAGCGAAGGTCCTTGCTGAGGCGACCGACACCACAAATGAGACGATTTTGATCACCACCCAGATCAACTCACTTAACAAGGACATTGCCGAACTCACCGCTCGTGTAAAGGCGTTGCGGTACAAGGACAATGCCAGCACGGCGGTTCCTACTCCGACCAACCTGACGCCAATGGGCAATGCGAAGATTGCCTCCATCAATGATGTTGATATTCTTCCTGCAGAAAAGACATCGGGCGGCAGCAGGTGGCAAGAATTCCTCATGAACCACACTGTCACGAGCACGTTCTCCACGAGTAGCCAGTCTAGCGAGGCGAACACCTCCAAATCGGATTGCAATTTCTTCTTTGGTTCCTACCACAGCGAATCATCCAGCGCGAGCTCATCCTCCAGTTCCCTCTCAGCAGACTCGTCAATTACGGTTCAGATTGGCTTCCGGGCCACCTTGATAACTGTCGATCGTTCAGGCTGGTTCCAACCTCAGTTTTTCAAACAATCAAACGGTTTCTACCACATCGACGACACCGTTTCTTGGTCCAAGTGGCCTTCGGATATTAAAACTGTCGATGACTTGAGAACTAAGGGTGCATCTACTGGTGCTTTTGATAAGATCAATAAGTATCTCTTCCCCACATTCCCAGCCGGTTTCCTTTTCTGCAAGGTTGGTTTTATTGGTTCTATCACCTCACTACCCTTTGCTAATTTTTTTCTTCTCATGCGTAGGATATTACTATCAAGGTCGCCCTATCGGCGACTGACGTTGCATCCAAGGGTTCGGCCTACGAAAACGCCAGTGCATCTTCAGGTGGCATTCTCTGCTGGTCTACCAGCTCAACTCACCAGGACCAAGGGTCCAGCAAGACATATTCCTATACGCAAGCCGAAGACGGTTTTATCATTCGCATTCCAGGTCCCCAGGTAACTGCCCACCTTTGTATCCCTCTTGTTAGCGTTGACGTCTCTTGCATAGATCCTGGGGTACATGATGCAGTTTACTGATCCAGACGTGACTCAGCCACTCCCTAACCAGCTTCCCGCAGGATTCCTCGTTCCCGATGACGAATTTGATGCTGTAGCCACGGCGGCTTCTCATGCAGTTGCCCCCACCTCCACGACCACCACCGGAGCTACCAGCACGGCCGCTTCTGCAGCCAAATTTAGTGACCCAACAAAATCTGACACTACTACCCCTGCTACTAGCAAAGTCCTGGCCTAGTGATGCTTTTCTGTGTATCTTTTGTTACTACCCTGTGTACATCAGTTTTCTTGTATAACCATGCGCTCCTCTGCCTCTTCCCGTCTGAATCGCTCCTCCGCAGCCAACCTTTCCTGCTTTAACCGAATGCGCTCCTGTTCCGGTTCTTCTTCTTTGCGCTTGCGTTCTTCCTCCTCTTGCCGTACGCTCACTTGCTCTTCAGCCTGCCTCCGTATCCGGTCTTGCTCCTCCTTCAAACGTTGCCTCCTCAGTCGTTCCTTCTCTTCCTACTTTCGCGGTCGTTCCTTTTCCTCTTCTTTCCTTTTCCGTTCCTCCTCCTCTTTTCGTACGTTCTGCCTCCTCTTTCTCGAGCCTGGCGTTTTCCTCAGCCTCCGCTTTGGCACGTATCTTTATTTCTCATCTTCTTCCGCGAGCCGTTTCCTTCGTTGGTCCTCCGTTTCCATGCGGATACTGGTGGGTCTCCAGGTGGGCGTCCAAAGACTGCCTTGTCGGTAAACAGAACCTTGGGGAGGCAAGGCAGTGGTAGCCGATGAAGGAGTTTTCTCAAGCTTGAACTTTTCGTCAGCCTCCGCTTTGGCGCGTGTCTTTTCCTGCTCTTTCTCCTCTTCTTCCGCGAGCCGTTGCCTTCGCTGGTCCTCTGTTTCCATGCGGATACTAGTTGGCCTCCAGGTGGGTGTCCCAAGACTGCCTTGTCCGCAGGCAGAACCTTGGGGAGGCAAAGCAGTGGTAGCCGACGAAGGGGTTTTCTCAAGCTTGACCTTTTCGTCAGCCTCCGCTTTGGCGCGTGTCTTTTCCTGCTCTTTCTTCTCTTCTTCCGCGAGCCTTTTCCTTCGCTGGTCCTCCGTTTCCATGCGGATACTGGTGGGCCTCCGGGTGGGCGTCCCAGGACTGCCTTGTCGGTAGACAGAACCTTGGGGAGGCAAAGCAGTGGTAGCCGATGAAGGAGTTTTCTCGGGCTTGACTTTTTCGTCAGCCTGCGCTTTGGCGCGTATCTTTTCCTGCTCTTTCTCCTCTTCTTCTGCGAGCCGCTTCCTACGCTGGTCCTCCGTTTCCAGGCGAATCCTAGTGCGCCTCCGGGTAGGTGTCCCAGGACGAAAGACAGGCAAAGGAGTAGTCGCCGATGAAGGATTTGTTTTTGTCAACTTCTCTAACTTGACTTGTTGCCCATCAGCACTTTTAAGAGTAATCTTAGCACGACCCGTAGGAACAAATGCATTTGAGTTAATATTCAAGCGGGTGGTAGGCAAGGAGGCCGTTGACGGTGTGGGTGGAGGCGAGGATACGGAACTCATACCAGGTTGAGGGGGGGTATAAGGCACAGGATGAGATAACTTAACGCCTTCGGACTTGATGGGAGGTGCGGCTGCGGGTGAAGATGATATTGGCGCTGAGGGATCATCTATTGATCCAAATGTAATCACTGAGCCTGAAAAAAAAAATCAATATGAGATCGTAAGAGAGACGAGGCTATGAATGAACCTTGTTTTCTGGCGGCGGCTCTTACTTTGCTACGAGGAATACTGACGCCGTCCTTGATGGGTACACCTTGGCCAAGAGCACTTGGACGTCGTGAACGACTTTGAGCAGGAGGAGAAGAGCGGAGAGTTGGGGTGAAGGTGTCTGCGGCGGGCCCTTTGACCAGGCTGACTTCTTTGGAATTGGACGTCGTGAATGAGATTGAGGAGGAGGAGACGGAGCAGGAGAGTAAGAGCGGGGAGTTCTAGGAATACTGACACCATCCTTGTTGGGTACACCTTGGCCAAGAGCACTTGGATGTCGTGAATGAGGAGGAGGGGGCGGAGCAGGCGAGTAAGCGCTGGGAGTGCGAGGAATACCGACGCCATCCTTAATAGGTACACCTTGGCCAAAAGCACTTGAACGTCGTGAACGAGTTTGAGCAGGAGCTGAAGAGCGGACAGTTGGCGCTGAAGGTGTCTGCGGCGTGCCCTTGGACCAGGCTGACCTCTTTGGTGCAGTTGCAGTTGAAGATTTGCTCATTCTGCACAAATCGATGAGAATCCAAACGACAAGACTACTTCCAGAGAAAGGTTGACGACTGACGAATTTTGCAAGGGAAAAGATGGATGTTGAACTTTGTGCTATCAGAAAGAAGGTCAGCCGAAGCTCCCGCTTTCGTCGATTAAACCCGTGAAGCACCGCCCACGCATCTGTCCAATAAGCGCGTTCGGCGCTTCATTTTCTTGTCGTGAGCCCTGTATGTGCCATACAGAACGAACATGCTAGGAAGCCACCAAAGACAGTAAGCCGCCGAGGAATGAGAAAGACGAAGGCGAGGACCTGGCGAGGATGCACTGTGACGGTCATCCCCCCTACTTATCGCAATCACGTGGTGAACGGCGACTTGACTCGAAATTTCCGCCTGTTTCAACTTGAACTTATACCTGTCGGAGTCTTTCTAAAGGCGCGAAATGCCATCCATTACAAACTCGTCATCCATTAAGTTCAAAAATCGTAATACGATTTTAGAGCTGCCTTGGAGGTCCCAAAAATTGGTATAAAGAGTTATGGTTTGTCGCAAGTTTCATGCTATCAAGCATCCTTGATGTTGTCTTGCACTTAGAGGGCCTAAGCACACCGGAAATTTCCTCTCGAGCCTTATTATGGTTAATACTGAGGTGCGTTATACGCCTTGCAACGATTCACAATTTCCGACTCATAGATTTCTTGCTTGGCCAGCAGTGCTTTTCGTTACAATTTCGTTATTAACTCTTTTCACAAAAAGGAGGGCTTTAGATGCTTCTTGGCCCTCATGAAACTACAACCGCCAGACTGACCATTCGTTTCTAGAGTATGCACATGCACATCATCAACCGCGCGGTTTGTGTCTTATGTTGACCACCAACAAGCCATCTTGATCCACAGGTGTTACCTTTTTGGAACTTGGTGCAACTAAGTCCTCGCGGGAAGTGCGTCTGCAAATGGAAATAACCTCCATCCTAGGTGACATGGGAATCTCACTGAACCTCACCATTCGGAACACACACGGAACTGCCCCCACGAAAGGTACCTGACAGGCATAGTTCCTCCAGCAACTTTGAAATTTAGATTTTTCACGCAAGGCATATCTTCCTGGGGAGAGTAGTGCGCGGCGTGATGAGAAGCTTCTTGATTTTCCAAGTGAGTGCACTTCACCTACTTAACCGATAATAGCAGCCTCACGATAACAATTTTTCGTCAGGGTCGCTTTTTGAACTCTAGCGCCCGCAAAGGACTTCAGGCACATTACTTACCGGCCTATTTAACACCCTTCAATTCGACGATTCCATATCTTTCGTTCTCACTCACTCCTTTTACACGCTCTTTCTTTCTCTACAATGGTATGTTCGCTCTTTCATCCGACTGCAATGACTGATCCTCTTCTCGCACTCAGCCTGTAGTTCGGCAAGCGGCAGAGCTGGTTGCTCGCTTCACGCTGAAGTTGCCCAACATCACGCCCCAGAAAGGCACCACGCTCATTGAAGAGATGAGATGCTATAGTCTTCCCTATGGCGCAATGGGGTTCGTGTCTCACGTCCTCACATACTACGCCATCGCCTGCCTTTGGGCTGCACGAAGCCCCCTCTGGCCCGCTCGGCGTGTCAAATACAGCAAGTTCGATTTAATCCTCGGTATCCTCGGCGTGATTATCTCCTCCGGTATTGCCATCTTCACAATCGTGAGCTGCAAAAACTCGTGGCAACTGCTCGTCATCGCCGTCTGGAAGATGAGCATGTCTCTGTTGAACGGTTGCACGGCGATCCACGCAGCTCATTTGGCCATGAAGGACGGTTACAAAGCCGTCGCACATCCTGAAAAGACCGCCTGGTGGATCCTGCTATGTATGTACTCTGTCCCCTCTCAAACTCTCATTGATAAACTCACATCTCTGCCACTCTTAGATGTCCCAGGAATGTTCGCTGGAATCAGCGGACTCATGTCCCTCGTTGTTCAACATCTTGACAACGTCGGTTTAAGGAAGCTCACAATCGCCTTCTACTCTATCATTGGCATTGGCGTTCTGATCTTTCTGATTGGGATGTTCCGCGGCGCCTCCCGCAAGGTGAAGTCGGTGGATGATGACGACGGAGAAAAGGTCTGGTACTGGGGAATTGGAGGCTTTGGGTTCTCCTTCACGCTATTCACTATCCTAGCCGCCTTCTACGGTGATTGGGCCTTAGGAATGATGGTCCACAACCTAGTTGGGCTGCCGAGCGGAGATAGTTCTGGACTCTATTGGTCGTATTGGCTGGCAAAGCGCTTGACTTTGTTCAGCTGGTGATAGTCTTGACTGTTGTAAGTCTGTAGCAAATGTAGGATTACAGGCTCATTATTAGGTTTGTCTAATTATTGTTCCCATCGTCTCCAATAACATATCCATTTGGACGTTGTTTTGTTTAGTAAGTATCCCTCAAGTCATCCTCTCCAAAAGATCCAGATCCGCCTGAACCTGAACAATAATACGCAGCGCTCAGCGAACTTCACGTCTACTCAGGAGGTTAATAATAAGTTATTTGACGGAGTCTGACCCCGTCATGCCCGTCACTGATAATAACCCGCGAAGGATCCAAGGTGTCCATATCTTGGCCAACTCTTGGCTGGCGCTTCCCAACGTGCAATTTTTTCAAAACTTCCCACAGCATCCTGTCCATAGGTTCCTACTTTCGACTTTTCAATGACGCTTGATGCCTGATATATGATACTTCATTGTTATGGGTTTGCACGGTGTTCAAGAGTATCCTCTTAAGAAGATTCGGAGTCAGAGTGGGCTTTTCAAAGAAATTTGTTCAGTTTCGTTGAAATGCACAAACCTCGAAGTTCCGTAAGCATCGAATCTTTCCTGATTGACGTCGTTCATTCAACTCAATGCTATGATCAAGATTTCAACAAGGGGGCTAGAACTGGCTAGAACTGCATTTCGCTCAGGCATCCCATTGTCAACTAACTGTCAACCGCTACACATTCGAAAGCCAAGCCAACCTACGTGATAACAGGTGACACTTGAGGCAGGGCCTAATAAATAATCAGGACAAATGTACCTCCTTAATTGTGGCCACTTGCAAAATAATGAAGCGATTGTGCATTCCGAAAACATTAATTCTCAAAATTAGAAAATGAAGAACAATAAGAACTTCAACCACATTTAATTTGCATATTTAAACAATGTCTTTGAGAAATAGTCTTGGTAGCCATGGCAACACCACTCAGCTGAAGAATATGTTAAAGAATAAAATAATGGAATTGGTCTGTCAATATGGCTGATGTTCTTATTGTTCAACAGTTTAAAATTTTGTTAATCAATGTTTTTGGCATACACAACAGCTTTATTATTCTAGGAGTGTTGACAATTATGGAGGTACCTTTGCCTAGATCAAACATTGGACCCTGTCTCAAGTGTGATAACGAATGGACAAGACATTTGACATGGATGGTCAAACCTATTCAAACTCATTTGAGGCAATTCTGAGGGGTGGGACCAAGGTGGGACTGGTGCGTACATACATATTTGAAAGATGAAATTTATTCGTCCCTGAAGCCTTCATCCAGGTATGCAGTGTCTTTTAAAAGCGCCCAAGAGCTCTACATAGCCCTGCCACGTACGACCTCCATGAGCAAACCACAGCAAAATCTACCGTTCCCTTTGCTTTGTTCGGGAATTGGGCACGTCAAGGTGCTTTTCACCACGAATCGCTCCTGCCTATTGCCTTTCTGAGGATCACAGAAAAGATCAAGATCCTCGTGAAAAAGTATTGAGGGTTTCAATTACACAGTTTTTGTTCTTCTCCTCATCGTCCCCGCCGATGGTACGCCCTTTGTAACAGGATCTCTCACCGTGTTGCGAAATAACATTGTTTGAACAGGCGACAAATTATGTCCTATTATCGCGAGACAACCCCACAACGTCTGTTTATAACACCCTCGCAAAGGAAGTTCAATGCTACGGTCTCCCATACGGCGGCCTTGGCTTCGTCTCACACGTCCCTATCTACTACACGATTGTCTGCTTATGGCGCGGTCGTAAACCAATGATGCCATTCCGGCCAGTCAAATACTCATGGTTCGACCTGACTCTCGGAGTGGTGGGTCTATGTGGATCTACGGCTATGTCGATCGTTACGATTGTGAGGTGCCGGAACACCTGGCAGTTGTTGGTTATCGCGATCTGGAAGTTGAGCATGTCGCTCTTGAATGGCATTACCGCGATTCATGTCGCTCTACTCTTCCTGAAAGCTTCTCAAAAAGAGCGGCTGGAGGGTGCAGTAGTTGAAGTTCCGATGGACGACTTGGGAACCGAGCGGAAGGAGCAAGCAGCGCGATTACTTCATTGAGACTGGAGCCGAGAATCTTGAAGTCTGTGCCGTTGTGGATTTTCCTTTGTAAGGCTTTATATATACGGCTTCTTACCATAATTGCTTACAGGTCGAGTTCATTTTAGATATCCCCGGAATGATAGCAGGCATGTCCGGATTGATGAATCTGGTAAAACACAGTGAAGGACACAAAGGCGTTACGAAAATAACTATAGGCTTCTACCTCATTGTTGGCCTCGGATTCTGGGTCTCTTTCATTGCTTCACGTGACAGCTAACTGCATAATCGTAGACCATATCTTGGAGAGGCGCACCATCCCTAAATGGTTGCGGCTGCTTAGTCAGTGCACAGCCACCTCGAAACTGGCAAATCGCGCGTGCATCCACTTCGAAACGAAAGTTCGAGGTATTTCAGGCATTCTACCCTGTAGAGCTGTGTATGAAACATGTAACATATAGTATATCAAAATCTAATCCAGAAATTGTTGTTGTCTGACTCATATAAGTTCTCTCCTGCAGTTTGATTGTTGGTGTCCATCCCAGGAAGTACCTGTCCTGCTATTTCCCTTGTATCCTCGAGCAAGAAACCTAGCAACAACCTTAATCAGCTCACAGACCCCCTTGGGCTTTGGCTTCATGTGCTCTTCAATGGCACCCTCTCCATGTGACCTCCACAGAGTCTTTCCCATTGTCAACCTTCATGCTTTCAAATTTTGGGACATGTAAGGTAAGAAAGTAACCTCTTCTGTAGGTATAGGAGGGTGCCACAGGATATTCAGTGTTATGGGATGTGATTTTGCATAGTCACTATGCTTTTGACGCGTTTTTGACGCGTATTATGTAATCCTTTAATTGGTCTTGTAGCCAATCAGCAATTATTACAGCCTTTCTCTTTCCTCCCTCGTGTTTGCCTCAAAATGAGCGCGTAAAAATGATGATCTAGCATTGCTGGAGGGAGACTTTGGACTACTTTTTTAAAATGTGTTTTCTAAATGTCATTTTTCGATTAAATTCCTGGTCCCACGCCCGAATTTAAAAAAACGAGTCCAAAGACTCCCTGCGGAATTGATGTTTGATTCGATTTGGCCATAAATCTGACCCAAAGAAGAGGCCATGCACTAAAAAAGATGATTTCCGTGAAAATCAAAGAAATTGGCAGTAGTACAACAAGTACAAACAACCTACAGCCCAAAGGGGCGATGTGCCTCTCCACATATCTAAATTTTACTTTGTGCGCCTTTATTTGTACAAACAACCATATTAGGTAGAACACCCTTCCAAGTTGGCAAGTTCCAACCGCTCCACCCTTATGACGTGTGGGGCGGGATTGGAGCGTTTGGAGCAACTACCGAAACGGTGCTAGAACGTGGAGCAATAGGCAGCCCGCGCGCATATGGGCATCATGGTTTACATAGCCGCGGCCTAAAACTTGCCTAAAACGGATGTTTATGCACAACCAAAGGCGCAAAGTGAAATTTCAGATGTGGTCTATGATTATGCAGTTAGCTGGAAGCATTAGTATGCCAACACGACAGTTCACTGGATTCACTGTGTGACCGTTTATTAATCTGGCCGGGGTGGATGTATGCATTTATGCTCCTTGCCGTGTTTTATAGCGACTTGGTATTGGGCATGATGACCACAAACCTGGTAGGAGTGGGGACTCGTCGGTGTTTTATTGGACGTACTTTATTTCAAAGCAGCTGCCTATGCTCAGTTGGTAGATTTGTTTGCGGCAGCTGCCTAGCCTGACTACCACCAGTGGGATTCCGAATATTGGGGGAAGGAGCAGGATTGATGGATTTGAACGCCGGACTCTCATACAATACTGGAATTGTGCGCTTTGTGCTTCACCTCGATTTTTATAATTGATTCGTCGGACTCGAGGATAGTGGAGTGAGGTTACATAACCGTCTCCGGAAATTTCAATTCTTGATGTCTCTTATGGCGACTGGATGTCGGGAACTTTGAATGGTGTCACAAACTTGGTGGGGTTTCCAAGTAATTCAAATAAAGAATTTCGTTGAATTTGTTATTTCATGTTGAAGTACCTGCCGTGAGTTAGTAGGACTTGGATAGAACGCAAAAATTAGGACAATGTGTTGTTGACATTCTCTTAACTCATACTATATAGTTTACAGGGCATAGAGTTCATACTTTGACCAAGGCATCAAATGAAATATTTTTTCAACACACGGGTGTACTACGCGCTTGCATCCGAACAATTGGTGTCCACAACCTATGGTTTTGGCTGGCAAGGCTGAAAGGTTTTAACGTTTCTGAGTTGCGATAGTTTAGAATTATGGGGCGTAGGAGTTTGACTGCGCTTGGACTCATCAAAGTGCACTCAGCGTCCCAGTCATGAAAGCGCAGGCGGGGAACTTTGCGTTTAACCTTCAGCGCCCATTTGTGGTTGTACTTTGATAATAAGACTTTAAAAGCTTGAAATAGCCTACAGGGTACGCTGCATTCTATTCTCTGGAATCACGCCAAATAGTGGATTATTTGCCCTTTCGAAGGAGATGTTCGACGTTACACATAACAATTTGCATCCCAAGCTCGTATCAATATCTTATAGGGTAATATTAACCGGGAAAAGCTGCCCTTGAGAAATTGTCACTCACTCACCACCCATATGTATAGTCGGGAGTGATGTAAGTGCGACTAATCGCTTGGAGGTTTGAACTGTCTTAACGGAGCAATGTCAAAGATAGTAACAGTTTTGGAGCAAAGTTACTTAAGTTTCGGAGAGGATGAAGTTTGGAGGGGGACTTCTTCGATTGTGAGACGTGCTCAACCGGATTGTTGGGAGTGATGAGGCCTTGACGTGTTTCAGGATTGAGGTGATCTAGTGTTTTCGGCTGAGAACCTCATTTTGTTTCCCCAAACATACATGAAATAGAATGGTCTAGCATGTTATGATGAGCGGCCAGCACACGGAGGCATGTTGTTGTGGTGAAGAACAGGCGTGTTGTGTACACGTGTTTGGAAGAGAAGCAGGGGATAAGAGGGTCACGAGACGACAATGTTCTAAAGCCAAGCTAAAGCCAACTCGCCTCCCTCGTCGTTTCTTCCTCCTCCTCGCCGTCGTCTGCAATGGCGTCCTCCAGTACTCCTGAGCCCTCGTCGTTGTCGTCTGCAATGCCGAGGATTCCCATGACTTCTTCAACCTACCCACCAACCACTCCCCGACCCCGGCCCGCCTCGCGACGCAGTGCGAGTTCTTACCAAGTGCCGACGGCGCGCCCTTCAGCATACCACAGTCATCATCCTCCCCAGCATCAGCGCACTGCATCGTCCTCTGCAGCGTTGAATTTCCCTACTCGCAGTCATCCATTTACGTCTCGAACAACAACACCCCCACCCCCGCCACCACCACCATTGCAAGCGCCACCTTCCCTCGTCGTTGAACCTCGTTTTTCCCATCTATTTGCAAGCGTTCTTGGCTCGCCGTTTCTTACAACCTCAGACGCTCTTCCCCATCTAAATGGCGTCGAATTAGATATGCTGGACTCTGGACCGGTGCAACGGCCTGCATCTCCCTCGCCAACTGCAGACTTTTCCATGATTGATGTGGACCCCGATGATTTAAATGCTGATAACTATTCAAATTCCTTTATTCCAGGTGCCTACCCATACTCGCAAACCCGCCATGGCCACGGGAGGTCGATGTCCTCCTTGAGTGGCTTCGGTTTCTCCCGCGGAGCAACCTTCTATAATAACTCTCCTGGATGGGGATCATCAGGCTTTACGAATTCAGGCGCCATAGGTAGTAGCCCGACCCCAAGGGATCAATACCCTGGTCCTTCGAGTGCTACCTCATCACCTCAGAATCCCCTAAAGTCCCTTCTTCCACGGTTATGGGACGTTCTTTCTTCTCCCGGTCGGGCAGTTCTCAACTTGTCGTCTTCCACGCCAAACAACCCTATGTCTCCCTCGTCTTCTCTACAATCCTCAAGGGCAGGATCTCCATCAACATCACCCAGAGGTCCTATCCCTGCGGGGTCATCTTGGTACACTAGCAATCAGAACAGCGGCCGTCAATCGCCTGTATACTGGAGTACCCCCAATCTTAATGGCGGCAAGGGAAAGTCAAAAGCCAAAACAACCAACTTCTTTTCGAATACTCACATGACCAGGAACGGCAGCCGCGGGGAACTCAGTGAATATATCAATTACTCAGAACTCCCTCCTCTAGACGGAGAAGAGGGCGAGTTGATCGACGATGAGGCGTGTTTTATTGACGTTAGGGCGGTTACGGGTATTGGTGGGTTTCCTTTCTTACTCTGCGATATTAGAGCTCATCCATCCACATCTATTGCGTAGATATACTTGGTCTTTTGCCTCCGGAACTGGCATTACAAATTCTGATGATGCTCTGCCCACCTCCTTTGGTCTCATCATCTTCTCGTGACAAAGTACCGTGGTCGTCGGCTTCTCAGTCCGAAGCAAAGAGCTCCACAACAGGGCTCTCGCCTAGGTCTCTCTCCACGTCTTCCAACAGCTCTAGACCCTTTTCACTAGCACTCTCACCAGCCGACCAAACAGCAGCATTGCATGATCTTCTCGCCTGCCGCTCAGTTTCCCGCACATGGTGCCGCCTTGCCAGTGACAACGACGTCTGGCGGGTGTTGTTCCTAAGTAGATGGGAAGTTGACCTCAGGAGGGGTGGAAAGGAAATGCGGATGAAAATGGGTTATCCCGATTTGAACAAAGTGCGATTGGGCAGTAGTGCTAGGGAAATGTTGGGACCAACTTGGGATTCGGCATGGCCTTCCTGGGCTGCGGGCAGGAATGCCAGCAAAAACACTCGCCCTTCTGGTGGGGGCAAGACACATAAATTTCAGCCGCCTACTCTCTCCCCAACCGTTCAGAGACCGATGATGACGAGATCCAGGTCCTCTGCCGTCGAATACGATCGAAGTGGACGCGTATCCATGAACGGCAGTATCAAAAGTAACAGACCCATCATCAGTGCTCCTCTCCAACTCGACTGGCGGGTTTTGTACCGAGAGAGGTTGGAGCTTGATAAGCGTTGGTCGGGAGCCGCTCGTAGGCCTGATGAAATGAACCCGAACCTTGCGTCATCCATCTCTGCATTGGGCGGAGAAAGAGGACTGGAGATGCAGAAGCACGATGGCGAGAAGAAGGCATTTGAGCCACAGCTCCTGCGCATCAGCGGGCACACGGACAGCGTTTACTGCCTCGAGTTTGATTCACGGAGGATCATCACCGGCTCGAGAGACCGGACGATCAAGGTCTGGAGTTTGAGGACGGGCAAGCTGCTTGGCACCTTCCGCGGTGTGCATAAGGGCAGTGTCTTGTGTTTGAAGTTTGAGAAGGACTGGGACTGGGTTGACGGATGGGATGAGTCCAACTGTTTGGATGACGACCAAGCCGAAGTCGAGCCGGGTTTGACACAATCTTCCTCGGATATTCGATCTCAAGGGAGGAAGAGGGAAGGATTTATGGTGAGCGGGAGCAGCGATTGTTCCGTCTGTGTTTGGAAGTTGGAGGTTGGCGATGTCATAAGCGGAGGTGAAGGAGGAAACGGGGAGGAGAGGGAAGTCAAGGCTGAGATGAGGGCAGTGCTTAAGGGTCACATTGGTGGAGTTTTGGATCTCAGGATTGATCGCAAGTGGATTGTCAGCTGGTGAGTCACCATTTGTCGTTCAGCAACCGGGCGGGCTCAATGATATTTTGATTCGACAGTTCGAAAGATGCGGTAATCCGCGTCTGGGACCGGCAAACCCTTGAGTTGCACCGCACACTTCGCGGTCATGAAGGTCCCGTCAACGCTGTCGGCTTACAGAGCGGGAGAGTGGTACGTGCGCTCCTCCCTCTGATTGTGACCTAATTAATTCCCTTGGTTTTAGGTCAGCGCCAGCGGGGATGGCAAGATGATCCTGTGGGATATCGCCAGTGGAGAACGTCTCCGAACCTTTGAAGGCCATGATCGCGGATTGGCTTGTATCGAGTTCAAGGTATGCCCCTCATGCCACTCACTGGTCCCTTCGCTCACAATCACGTTATAAACAGGACGACATGATTGTTTCAGGCTCAAACGACTGCAAAATCAAAGTCTGGTGCGCCTCTACAGGCGAATGTTTACAGACCTTAGTTGGGCACGAAGCCCTCGTTCGAGCGCTGTCCTTCGACTTACGAAGCGGTCACCTCGTGAGCGCCAGCTACGATAAGACCGTCAAACTCTGGGATCTAAGGACAGGTACGTTACGTTTCCCATGCACATTAAAGTTGTTTACTGATAATTCATATAGGCAAACTCTTGCGCGAATTCAAGGGCACTCATACAAGCCACATTTTCGACGTCAAGTTCGACGTCGCGAGGATCGTCAGGTGCGCATCCCTTGTTTGTCCTCACTCTCTTCGATAGCTGACCCTCAATTGTCCAGCACCTCACACGACCAGAAAATTGTAGTTCTGGACTTCTCAGCTGGGCTCGACGCCTCGCTCTTTATTTAGTTGTTCTCAATCCTTTCCCGATCTTGTTCACTGTATATCATTTCTTGTTCTGCACTCATTTTATTTTGAACGTTCTCAGTCATCTGTACATACAAACCACACCACCTCTTTCTCGTCATCATCTATGTAAAACGGTCCCAAATTTCTCTTTCATCAATCATTTTACATTACCAGCCTCATATTAGAAGCCTAGGAAGGTCGGACTTTCGGAAGCTGGAGGATGGAATGCAATAAAAATTTTGGTTTTCGGAAGCAAACTTGCTTGCCAGTCTCCGAAGGGTTGTAAGAAGTCTTAGAACGGGCAGAAACTATACTGCGACGACGGGCTTATCGTTATCATTCAATTTGGCAGTGAGAACCTAATTGCAATTGCTTGTAACTGCATTGGAGGCTATTAGAGGTTTTTTCTGATAAAGCTTGACGATCATCGATCAGCTTCGGTTCCTCTTCCATCTAGTAATAAAATTCCACAGCCTGAGTCAAGATGAGTCGTTTCTGGTCAACCCAGATGTTTCAATCAAACAGGCTTTCAATGTCTTTTTTGCGCACAAAAGACGGGTCTATCCAAACACGACCAAGATGCAACCAAGACTCTGTCAGTCTGGTTTGAATTCGTCGTCCCTCACATTTCTTTTAGAGATTATTCACACCTTTGATCAAGCGGACAGCGAGATCCGCGAAAACATGTACATAGATATCGATATTGACGAACCATTGCATAAGCAGAAACCTTCAAGAACCCTTGGCACAAAACAGCAATGCAATTATCCAACAATTATCCAACAGCTTCAAGCGAAATCACGGTCACGTGGTCCGCTTTGTCGCCCAAAAATAGATTTATGATCACGAGCCAGACCACCCAATATGCTGTATAAAAGGCCACAAACCCGCCTCGATGTCTCTTGTCTTCTTACTACCACCTCACCCCTCTACTTCTCTCCTCCACCGAACTCGCGGTTCACCAGAGCTCCTCCCACCCCTTTTGGACATCGGTGGCGTCCAAGTGCCATCGGCAAGGACCCTACTACTTAGTGAGTGGCTGACCGCTATCATCGATCCCTATGCTGTATATTATGCCCGCCATTGTGAGTGCGGTAATTGGCACCGCCCATTGGCTCCATCGCGTTCGGCAGGTCATCGTCGACTCGCCCGCACTCCACCATCGCGCTTGATCGTAGACCTCCTTGCCACTCACTGACAAGCGGCGTGCTGACATTGTGTTTCAGGAATTCCGTTCTCGCGACAAGATCTAGAGCCGACGCTGAAGAACCCCCAAGAAAGGGAAAAAAAAGTCCCACCAAAAACGAAGCCCTGGGTCCTACAAAAGCCATACCACACCAACTGGGCGCGTAGGGCGTTACTAGACGTCATTTCAGGGGTCTTTTTTGTTGGGTGCTCTGGCCTTGAGCCTCCGCCCTTCATTCTCGAAACCGTTTGGCGTGGTACGTAGCACCGCGCGTTCATTGGAAGTTGTGCGTAGTAAGAGCTCACAGGATTCCAGCGGCCATGAAGAAGGGCAGCCTTGATGAGTCGGCTTCAAGAGTCGACGAAGATACCACTTCAAGGGGGCGGCCTTTGAGTCGACGAAGAGAAAGTTCAAGAAGGGCGGCCTTTGAGCCGACGAAGACTAGAAAAAATTGGCCGATGAAGAATGGAAAAAGGAAATGTAAAAGAGAGTCGAGTGGGCCGATGAAGATGCGGAGGTATCAGAGTTTGATATCGAAGCACCCCCCAGCCGACGAAGATATGGAGCCATATGACCCATACGCGGGAGAGAGCGTTTAAGGTGAGTTTTCCCGGGGGCGGTGGTCTGGTTCATATGCCGACCTCCTCGTGCTCCCTTGTCGTGGGCCCCGGGCTTAGACCGCGTTGCTGTACGCACCGGTCGACCAAAAGCACGTTAAATTTTATCATACCTATTGTCCATTTGTGAGTAGCGCATCGAGAATTTGCGTCTTTGAGTTTTCGCTGCTTCCTGTTGAAAATATGTAGACTTTTGTTTGAACAATGAAAACGGTCTCACCAACAATTGCGACTACTGCCCTTCGCCAATTAGCCAACTTGAGTTTCTGTGAGGCGCACCGGAAAGAATCATCATCCTCTACAACCTGCTTTTAATCCGACAATAACAACGTTCCATCTATTCTGTTACATTTCATTGCAAAGGGACGTACATTCCATCTAAATCCATATCTTCGTTGTCCTTATCGAGTAATTCATACACTTCCAGCCTCAACAGCCGTATGTTCATCCGACTTTGCAAACCTTCCGATGACGCCTTTAACCAAGTCAATATCAGGCCTCTCAACATCGATGACCCTCTTCTCTTTTTCTAGTAACCCATGGAACTCTTGCGGGAGAACGTCCCGATCAAAGTTGAAGTGCGAGGACCCCTCAAGGGCTTTCGACACGGCCTCGGAGAACTTGGCTGGGTGGGCCGTGGATAGGACGATTTGGTATGTATTTGGGGAGCTAAAAGAGATTGAAGTTTGATAATGACAAACGCTAGCGGGAACAGGTACTTACTTCTTGGGTGCGATGATCCCCGCAGCTGCTAGCCCGACAGCGGTGTGTGGGTCAGCGACGTACGATGGTTGGCCGTCAAAGTAAGACTGGATAGTGGTCAAGGTCTACAAACACCATCAGAGACCAATCCTTTACAAGAAAGCATGGACATACCATTTCATCGGAAATCCGCTCGGCCAAGAAGTCCTTACGACCCGCTTCCAGAGCAGCAACAGGGACTTCGACGCGGCCGTCAATTTTCACCTTGTACATCCATGTGTCAAGCGTCTTGCTCGTAGCCGTTCTCCTCGCAGCATCATCTTCACCCTCTGCGGTCTCGTACGCAAGGTACCACAGCAACCTTTCAAAGTTGCTGGACACAAGGATATCCATGGCAGGACTCAACGTCTCCTTCACGCCACTAGCGTCCGTCCCCTGCTTCCCATTCGAAGACCCTCCAGCAGGAGCCGCAGCGCCTTCACCCTCTACCGCGCTAGAGTCGACTTTCTCGTACCTCCCTGTCTTCCAGAACCTAGCCAGAATATCATTCGCATTCGTCGCCACGACGAGCTTGCCCATAGGCAGCCCCATTTTCTTGGCATAGTAACCTGCGAGGATGTCGCCAAAGTTTCCGGTCGGGACGACGTATTGGATTTCTACGTCTTCCAGTGAGGTGCCCTCGGGAAGTTGGGATTGGAAGTGGAAGAAGGAAAGGAAGTAGTAGACGGTCTGTGCGAGGATGCGTGCCCAGTTGATGGAGTTGACGGCGCCTAGCCGGTGTTCTGAATTGAACTCTTTGTCAGCGAATAGGGCTTTGACGATGTCCTGGATTGCGTTCAGTTATGTTCACCACCCTCCCAAAGACACAGATAAGTACCTGACAATCGTCAAATGTCCCTTTCACAGCGACGTTGTGGACATTGGCGTCCGTTACCGTCGTCATTTGCGCTTCTTGAATAGGAGAAACACGACCCTTTGGATGAAGAATAAAGATAGAAATGTTTGCCTTGTTTCGAAGGCCATAAATAGCAGCGCTACACGCTGTGATAAGCGTTGCTGCGACCAGAGTTTACAAATCATTTACCTTCCAGTATCCCCACTCGTCGCGCCAACCACAGTCAATGTTTCCTGCTGCTCCCCCGGTATTTTCTTCGCATTACGGCGGAGCAGGAAGAATTCGAACAAATTGCCAAGCAACTGCAGCGCAACATCCTTGAACGCAAATGTTGGGCCATGGAACAGCTCCAATATGAACGTCTTGTCGCCCAGCTTTTTCAGTGGCGTAACATCGGGGTGCCTAAACGTCCTGTACGATTTCTCCGCCAGTGTCCTAAGCTCCTGCTCCGATATCTCGTTTGGGGATATGTAGAGGGATAGAACGGCAACGGAGAGATCTACAAAAGAGTAGTCTTTCCAGTTGGTTCTCCAGTCCGATGGAAGCGAAGGGATGTTTTCTGGGATGTAGAGACCACCATTAGGAGCGAGGCCTGTGAGGACTGTCTGTTGAGTATGTTTTTAGGAGAAATATCCATGTGGATTATAGTGGATGGGATTGACCTCTTCGAAAGAGAGCTTCTGGTCCCCTCCACGCGTTGAGAAGTACTTCATGGTCAGGGATCGGGTCAGGGAAAATTATTCGTCGATAACGCTCAATTGTCCGAGTATTTGTCACGGAACGCTGAAATAAACAAAGGACATGGCAAGACTTCGTTGAGCTGTGAGCTTGGCGAAATGGGTATAGAGATGATACATATTAGATACATAAATATTACAGCCCAGCTGCATGATGTAACAGTCCCAACATCTGGAACTAGAAAAACATTCAGCATCAGTTTCAACAAAATCCAAAACAGTCAAGATCACCTTTTCCTCCTCTGAATCCGAGTACAGCGACCACACCCCTCCATCTTTGAACTCAATCACAAAGGAGAACGGGATAGCTTCCAGCGCTTCGTACCCCTCACTCCATTCCTTCAATCCCCGGACTATGCCAGGCAAGTCCACCTTCTCCAGCACAACATGGGTCTCCTTTCAAATCCCAAGGTCAGCAACGGAAAAGAAAAACGGGAGTTGCAATACATACATTAGGATGTCGATAGAAATACACCGTATTCCCAACGAACTTGTAGAACATCCGTTTCCAGACATGGGCATCGCCCCGTTGAATGGTAACCCACCCCGTCAAAATTTCCGCAGCCTTCCCGTTCTTCGTCAACTTCTTCTCTGCCAGCAGAATCTTCTTCTTCCTTTCCTCCTCCTCCATTTTCTTCATCGCCTCCGCACGCCGAGCCTCCTCCTCATTCTTACGCGCTTGTTCAGTCCGCCACGACTCCAGCCGTTGATGTTCCTCTAACCGTCGTTGCCGATCCAACCTTTTCTTCTCCTCCAACTCCCTCCGTGTCCTGTCCTCCTCTTCCTTCTCCATACGCTCCTTCCTTCTTCGCTCTGCCTTACCCCTCCGCACCTCAGCCTCAATCGACTTACGTCTTTCCAACTCCTCCTCCTCTTCCTGCCGCCGAAAGTCCTCCTTCTGTCGCTTCAAAAGTGCCTGCCTCGCTTCTTCCGCGCGCAACGCTTCATACTCTTCCTTCTCCCTTTGTTTTTGAGCTTCCAGCCGTCGTCGGGCTCGCTCGGCAGGATCGAAGAACCCAGAAGTATCATGCGATGCCCATTTCCCATGTAATGGCAATGAATATAGTTGTGCCGGCTTCCGCTGGGGAAATTGTGGCTCAATTACCACAATATCGTCGGTGTCATGTCCGTGAGATATCACAGCGAATTCCGAAATGTTGGGGTGCTCTCGTTCAATCGAAAGTAGTCCCTTCGTGACATCGGAAGTGCGAGACGGTTGTGAGGAATGGACATGTGCATGTCTGCCTTCGTCCTTTGGGGGGATCGGTGGAGGAGCGTCATGGGAATCTTTGACAGTCTCGTTTGGCTTCTTCTTGCGCCTCAATAGATTGCTGAATATGCTGCTGCCCGCTTTCGGCGGTGACCGTGCTATTGGAGGAGAATTTCGGGGTGGGCTTGCATAGGCTTCTGAGAATGAGCGTTGTACCACATCGGTATCGTTCGCTTTGGGTATAGGAAGTGGTTTGCTAGAAACGTCGGCGGAGAAACTGCGGCCCATGCCTTTCACTTCAATGTCTTCTGGACCTGATAAAGCTTTGTGAATGGCGTCGAGAGTAAGTTGGGATAAGTTGTCCACTGTAAGCGTGACCTGGTTTTTCTGTGGCAGAACAATGAGGCGGCTTAGCGACAATGGAACAATGGCGGGTATCTACCTTGAAAAAAATTCCGACTCGTCGCGAGTGTACCAGTGCACGCGCTGTTGTCATGACAACAGGTCAGATTTCAATGCCGCACTTCATGGAGGAGGGTCGACGCACCTCTTTTGACACCAGAGACAGAGGGAGGGATATAGTTGATAAGGACGTAAATTGGGTCCAAGTCGACTTCTTCCCGATAAAAAGCAATAAAAACTTCATCGACGTCATAAATCTTGGTCTTCAGTTCTTCCAGGCCGTCCATTCCATGGGAGTAGAGCGCGAGATCTTCGTACTAACCCACATCTAATCAGATTTGCAATATGAAGGCTACATTCTTATGCCGTTCTCTTACGTTGTCATTGGCAAAGTGCAGCAGCAACCTAAACGATATCACCGAGAAATGAGCGCACAAAACTCTGGATTTCAAGAGGTAGATGTTCACCAGTTGAACTCGTTATTTATGATAGATTCATAAGCCGCCGTCAACGCAGCAGAATCCGACATTGGAAGAGACATAATGTAGAAAGATAGTGCGCCAACCAGGGCAAGATGTATAAGTGGAGCGTTGGAGAAGAACAATGAGATTGCATGAGAAAATGCGGAGAAAGTGGCTTTGCAACACGTGTATTTACGTGACAATTATTTCAATGTCGTTGTCGAGAGCTTGGCTCAACAGCATCCAAGCGCCATGGTCACCGCCACACACGTATTATGACTGGGTTATATCCATCGTACTGGACTCGTTTGACGTTGATCTCTGGCGCTAGAAAGAATTGGACTTGAACTGGACTCAGACGTGTAGCAGATCGCCATAGGGTCTAGTATGCCCAACGTCAAAGAGCTCGTCAGCTCCACGCTGGAAATCACCCCCAGCATCTCCGTCGACATCGTTCAGTATCAACCTACAGAGCGCACAATTGAGGACCGGTTCTCAACAACTTTCGACCAAGCTTCTAACCGCCTAATTTTGGGCGTATATGATGGTATCTCTCTTTTACCATTTTGGCCCGGGCGTCTGATCTCATAATTTCCTTCCCTTGTAGGGCATGGTGGTACAGCGACTGCTCATCACGTCAGTACGACTCTACCCGTCAAGCTTATCCAACATCCACCATCAAGGCATAGCACCCTATTCGAAGAGTTGGACAACTCCCTGTTGAACGCCTTTATAAATGATCATTCTCTCTTCCGATCCAGATCCGAAAATTGGGTTGCTCACGCTGAAGTTGTAAAATCGGGGTGCACAGCCTTGATTTTCGACATTGACTTGAACTCTATGCTGGGATCTTTCGCGAACGCAGGTGATTGTCGGCTGGTCGTCTATAACCCTTCGAAAAACAACGTTCGGCAAACCGTCGATCTCAATGCGAAAGCAGTGTCTGAAGTGGAGAGATTGCAACACCAACACCCTGGTGAAGATATGCTCATCGTGTCAGGACGGTTATTTGGCAAGGTGATGAGCACACGAGGCAAGTCTTCATATTTTAAACGCTGTAAAGTTCCCAGACGAACTGATGTCTCACAGGTTTTGGAGATGGCTATTACAAGCTCCCTCGTGGCGGGTTCATGGGGAATAGAAAACACAGAAATTACATTGACATCCTGTCTTCCATCGAACGGAAAAACAAAGTCCGCATGAACGCTCAATACAACTCATACTTCTATGGGTATCACACGCCCCCTTACATTACCGCCGCGCCCGAAGTGGGCACGCTGCCGTTAGAAACGGGAGATGTTGTGATCATGGCTTCAGACGGGTTGTGGGACCTCATCTCGAGCGACGACGCCGCGAACATTGTTCTCGCCGGAGTAGCATCTGGGGAAACGTGTTTGGCGACGTACCTTCTAGAGAGCGTCATCGGGACACAATCACCGGGAGATGACGTGACCATTCTCGTGTTGCAGATGTAATAATGTGGTTCCGAGTACGTGACGCTTCATCCCAATCTGTTCAAGTATATTCAATAGATGGAGCTCATCTTGAAATAGTTTTTGACAACAACACAACGGTTTAACCCGATGACCCTTGTTCACTATATGTGCGCATTACAACATTATCCGCTTCTCTAGGGAATCTCACCATGGTAGTCAAGTTTGAAGCTATGTTTTCGTTTCATCACCACCCTCTCTCAGACATGGCTTAAAATTTCGAACGTCGTCGCTGGTCTGACCCCTGCATTCAAAAAAATTCGGATTCCCGATGCCATCGGCATTTGCACCCTCAACAAGATGTGGCAATCACTACGTCACCACAGTTCTCACCGTATGCAGGTTGACCGTTCCTCGAGAACATGTATATGTCGCACAGAACGGTCTTTTGTGACCTCATCTTAATCCAGGTTTCTGTGGGTTCACTCAAAAGTTTCAAAGACTGTCCGTCTCTGTCCGTGCGCGTTGGAGATACAATAGACGCTGTCGGCCTTTACGCCCGCAACCTGCTGTGCTCCGGGCCCCGATTGCCTTTCTAAAATTTATCTCTGAACTGCAATCTTCATTCAAACTCTACCATTGCGGCACTATGGCGAAGCAAGAGCTTGGAAAGTCGGTCAGCCGACTTGAATCTCCAGAAATGGCTCGGCCACGAGGCTAACACGCGTTCTCCGGTTACTCATTAACCGCTCGCCTGGCATCAGCTGGCATCCCTCGGTCACGGGTGCCTCATTTAGGATCGGCGTTTCGTTGTCGGGCTACAGTGTCGAACTTCTCTAGGTTTGCTTACTACACTTTGTAAAATCTTTGCGCCTTCGCGCGTCACCCTTAACATTCGCATGCTTTCAGCTCCGAAGCATTTGATCCGTCGCAAAGTTTAAATCTCGGAGGGCTGTCTCGCCAAGGCTGCGTTGTGAGACGTCATACGCGTTCCATGCTGTTCCAGACCCGGCTCCGAGTCCTCAGGCCTCAGTGGATGCCATTCATCTCGGAAAACGGCAAGGCCTATCCTACTTGCCACCCGACAGTTCAAAAGTTGAATCAAGGGAAGAGGTGAAGTTAGTTCAGGTCGACTCTAGGTTGAAGGCGGCGTGGATCTTCTGTTTTTATGACATGATCGAGTTAGATCAACAGACAATTAAACGGGGACAGGGATTGAGTTTCTCGCTGGAGGGTTTTCATCGATTGCACCCGACTGCAACCTAGGGTGTCGGCAGCTGTCGGCAGTAGACTGTGATAGGGCGTTGTAGCGGGAGTTATTGGATCCTCGAGCCTAGAATAACATTATTAAGCGCGACAAAACGCAACCGCAGCTCTCTCCTGAGAAATGGCGGCCTTGAAGGCCGGCTTGGCTAGAAGGGTAAGCTGGAGGGGATTTTCAATTACCGAGCAGCAAAAATGAAAATTGGAAGCAAGCTGTCGATTGAATGGAAGTTGTATGTACTTGGAAAAGAACTGACAACTTGCTGAAAATGTGATCTTGCAAGCTGATCTGGATGATGTTGTATGGTTTTGTGTGCACGTCAGGTTCCTGAAATGACTCTGGGGCGCACAACCTGCCGTACTTTGACAGAGTGAAATTTTGGGCCAGCATGTGGTCTGCATCTTTTGTGTCCTGCATACCCCTGATCTCACCAGTAACTTACTGGCATGATGTAGGCTGCGGTAGGTAATGCCATTTCGCGACCCATGATGGAAGACACCCCCGATTCACCCCGAATACCCAGTTCAGATCAGATCATCGAAAAAAAGTGCGCTCACACAGCATTCGCTATGTGATTGCCTGCCTGGCGCTCAAGAATTAAAGCCGAACGATCAAGAGTCTCAATGAAAATAGAAAGCTTGGCACCTCCCCTGTATACGCCTATACCATCGGGATTTGGACCTATAAGTAGGGGGATTGGGAACAGCTGCCTTTCTGCCATACTCCTTGCGCCCACTCCTTTTCCCGACATGTCGCATATAACAAAGTCTAAACCCATTACATACTCCAATGCGGTACGGGCATTCAACGATAGAGATGTTCAAGAGGATATCAAGGACGCGTGCAGGAGACTCGCTCAGGCGATGAGCACTTTGGTGGAGAGATTCGACGCCATCATGAAGCAGATGCATACTATCGACATGAAAAGGCTTACTTCCCCTCTCAAACCGAGGTGGTGCGCGATACGCAAGGTGAGCGCCACACTTTTCGTGACTCGCTCCAAATGCTGAACCGGCAAACCCGAAGGAGTTTACAGAACTTCTATGGCAATATCGCACCAACGCCGGCTTCATCTCTGGACGCCTGAAACGTGGGTCATAATTTTAGAAACCTGTAGATTGATTGTCCTAAATGTGGTTTCCCTTTCTAGTGTTTTGTACCTCTGTTCTGCCCCTTGCTGCGCGAAATATTGAGGGGAGATCACGACGGTCACATGAGGAGTGCATGCAAGTCCTGCAATCATTCATGACCGTAAGAACTTTATTTTTTTTACAACCATTTCACAACCCGAATCCCTCCCTCGTTTCAGATATCAGCAGAACATGCTGCGTTAACGAGGTCACTCGTAGAACGTGCCATGAGCGTGAGCTCCCTCCTGCTTGGATTCCATATCGACTTTTCGAAGCTCGCCAGCAGCCACGTATCAATCGGGCAGAAAGAAATCCTTGATCTCTCACATAGATTATCCGAACTTGAAGGATATATCAGACAGTGAGTGTGGAAAATCCTCGGTTGTGTTACGGAAACGGTTTTATTTACTTCATACGTCGTCAAGGTTGTGCATTTCGGTGATTATTATCACCCACCCACCCGTTTCACCGCCAATCACAAACTCACACGCGTGCTTTATGCTGTAGAACGGCGAAATTTCCAACCCTGATGTATCGCATATTGTTTTTTCGACGTTTCGTATAGTCGTGGGTTCTGGTCGAAGACCCGGAAGGTCAAAAATCACGCATCAGCGATTAGTGAGATTTTTTCTTTCTTCACAATGGTTCTCCTGCTGATTTTTTTTATTACTCTGGCTAGCCATTAGCCGATGACCTGGCCAGTGTAACAAGGGCCTATGAAGGACTGGAGAGTAAGTCTCTGTTGCAACCAAACGCCAAACAACCCGCAAACATGCTTATCTCGCAACTTTCAGGAAAGCGGAACGAGGTTGCGCACGCCCAATACGCCGCACAGCTCCGTCATTCGGGAAAAGACTTCCTTTCGGGTGTTCAAACAACCCTCGCAACCCTGGTCTCTGATGATATCCTAACATTCGAGTCGGGTTTGAGCTTGTTTCTGGCTGTGTGGTCAAGGCTTCGGACGGACTGCAGTGAAATATTTCATTGGTTACAGAACCCGTCTCCTCAAGCTGTGCGTACAACTTTTATGTGATAATGCTACCGTTTGCGCTTACGCTTGGTGTCTCTTGCGTTAGAAAATTCCATTAGCCGTTAGCACGTACGCAGAGAGCAACCATAGTCTATATGTGACTCTAGCGGGCGCGCTCGACGTGTGTGCTGCGAGTATAGACCCATCACTCTGCACACACGGAAATCAGTAGGCCCACTGAACGCCCGCGCCCAACTATTGACACGCGCGCTTCGCCGTATTACTACCTACTTTTTGCATGGACCCACGGAGTATCCTCGCCTCAGATGGATATCTACCTCACACTTATGATCTTAGAACTCTGCATTGTATTACTATAATCGCAATATAATGTGATGAAGACAAAGGGACGAGGAGATCGTCCTTGTGTGCTTAGATTGAGAGTGTTTCGGCCGAAGTCTCTTGATGTGGTGGGCTCCCAGCACAACGAATAATACATTTTAGATGATTGTACAACTTTAATCTTTCTACCATGCAAAATAACAAATGTTGGATATGTGAGCGAGCAAATAATGTCCGTGGTAGGAAATCATCACAGTTACGGTTCGTTGAGATTATTCAGAAGCGTCGTAAGGCAGCGTTTGGTGACCATGTCGCCCTGAAACCCGAACTCATATCAGCTTACGTTGAGAGAGTGATGCCAACTCTCACTTACCTTCAATAGGGTATTGAAAGTCTGGTCACGCAGCGGTTCCGGCAGACATGCCCGCAAAGCTTCACGAGCCCTGTTAACGATCATCAGAACAACCACGCCAGAATGCGCAGACATGACATACCGCAGGTTATCACTCAGCCGGAGATAACAGCGCACAACATGCTTCAAAAGCCTCACAGCTTGCGTCTCGACGAGTTGGTTGACCATGTTGCTGAGGACGGTGCCGACGGCGTAGAACCGCTCGTACGTGTGGCAGATATACGTCAGGCCCGTCTCGTCCAAAAGAATCTTTTGAACGATAAAGATAGCGACCGTTTTTGAGAGTTCCGATCCAGTCTCCATGATGCGGAGGCAGAGGGGGATTATTTCCGTGGATAACAAGAAGTGGATTACAGTATTATTGTCGTTTTGCTAGGATAGGATTGGACGTTAGTTAGTGTGCAGCGAGAAAGAAAGGGAGAGAGGTGCGCTGACTTTTACAAGCGCGCCTATAACTCCCAGAGAAGTAAGACGGAGGTATTCAAAGGGGCGTGTTTTTGATGTTGTATTCAAGAAAGGATATAGAAAGAGAGGTATGTGGGCTTTAAAAGGGGTTAGGAGATCTTTAGGTGCACAAGTAAAGATGGATTCACCATTCAAGAAAAGTTGACGGGTCTCTGAATGTGACGCAACACATTGCAAAAGAGCGAGGGCGTTGCAGACGCGGTTCGAGACGTGGGCGGTGAGGTTTGGCGGTGAGAGCAAAGGATAGACGGAGACAATTTCTTGCAGAAGAGCGGGCATGATTCCTGCACTTGAAGTGTAAACAGCCGGGCTCGAACGAGAGGCAAAGTTGATTACGCACCAAAGGAATGCCATAGAACAAGGGCAAGGTCATCATACTGCTCTCTCTTCTTGCTCAGCTCAAGCAACGCGCCCTCCCTCGTATTGGGGTCCATCAACTCAATGACCAGCCCGTATATTTTCCCGTCCTCTTGAACGGGGGCATTGGTCATGAATTGGCCCACCGGCTGGTGAGGAACTGGGTGGGCCAACCCTGGTGCTGAAGCGAGGGACACTGAAGCGAGCGGTGGTGTCTCTGAGTAGTTTGAGTGGCCTCGTCCGTAGGAATACGGATTGCTGGTATGCTGCATATACGATACAGGTTTTGGAGAGACGAGGCTTGCCATAAGAGTTGCCAAAGGACGCAAGGGTCACATCCGTCACAATAAGCATATTTTGGTCATGTGATACATGAACCCTTACCATGTGATCACGGAACTTCTTTGCACCGTTCATTGCGTCCAACGTCGGATGCTCACCTTATCGAGGTCATCGTTATCGTTTGTACTCGCAAGGCGCTTCAGAAATGCACCAAAGGCTCGATATACGATCAACGTGGCGTCCAGGCTAAAGGCGACCCCGGAGGAACCTGTCAAGCGCAACGTTCCGGAGCATGCTGTCATCTCGACTTTTGACCTCTTCAGTATCGGAGGTACGTCGCCAGCTGCGCTATGTTGAACCACTGACAAACCGTTGCGTAGTTGGCCCTTCGTCCTCCCACACCGTGGGGCCTATGCGAGCTGGCAAGATATTCATAGCGGATCTTCAGGAATTGAATCTTTTAGAGAAAGTACGTTCCAACGCGACATTGTTTACATCCTCCTGACACGATTATACCTGTTATGTAGGTCAAAACGGTCAAGATTAATTTGTGAGTGTTTCCTTCCAGCAAGAGCCTTCTCGGATCTAACGACTCATAGATACGGCTCCCTTGCTGCAACTGGTACGTTTCACTCTGTAGGTAACAGATTCAGCTTTTTGACCGTATTTTCAACCTTTCAGGTAAAGGGTACGTCTCAAAAGTGACTTAAACCCCTCGGCTCGTCCACAGTAATTCTTTACAGACATCATACCCCTCAAGCTATCCTACTCGGATTAGAAGGTCAGCTTCCCACTCTCTCCTCAACACCTTGCTCACTGTTCCGCAGGCTCCGACCCAGAAACCATCGACACCGGAACTATCCCGTCCCGCTACGAAACCATCCTTCGGAACAAAACACTCCTTCTCGGCGGCCATCACCGTATCACGTACGACATGGATCGCGATATGCTCTGGCGCTGGGACCAGGTCCTCAAGACCCACCCCAATGGCATGCGTTTTAGCTGTTTTGGGGAGGACGGCGATTTGCTTGCGACTAATGAGTACTTTAGCGTTGGAGGAGGGTTTGTAGTCAATGAGAAGACGAAAGGTGTGTGATATACCACAACCACAATGTCGATGAAGACTTGCTTATTTGTTGTTTTAGTGGACGAAAATTTGTTCTATAAAGGAGTTGATAAGAAGATGGTTCATGGTGCCAGGTTGCATCAGAGCCACTCTGTAGCTGAACCTGCTTATCTCCCTCTTTCGCTTGGAGAAGAGCCTTTTGATAAGGAAGACAACGCGGATCTAGACAAGGTCGAGGAAAACGAGGGTCAGCCTCCATATCCGTTTGATACCGGCAATACCCTCTTGGCGTTGACGAAGAAACATAATGTAAGTTCCTCAAGCTTTTCCTCCATGCAACTTTTATTGACCTCTTTTTCATAGATGACAATTGCTCAGATCGTACATGACAACGAGGTCGGTCTACACAAACCTCAGATTATCCGATTCTAACATGTTCACAGAAATACTTTGGATATACAGACGAGGACATCTATAACAAGGTAGAAAGACCTTTCCTCTGAAATTGTTCCTTGCAGCTTATTGCTGACCATAAGCTCATGCGCATCTGGCAAGTCATGGATGAATGCATACGTACAGGCGTAACTACCAACGAAAGGACACTACCAGGTCGCTTGGGCCTGAGGAGACGTGCTCCGATGCTTTACAGGCGGCTGATGCGCGGGTAAGTACGCCAGTCGTTTCGTTTGTGAGCGTCGTGCTTAGATGTCGACTTCCAGATTTTACCCTGGCATATCATCTTCCGACCTCCCCGCTATCGAGTCTGGATGGACACCAGGGGCTATTGCCTCTCCAGAAGCCGACTCTGAAGAGAGTGAGGGTAACGTTGATAAAGCCTCTTCACTACCGCCAGCTAGTCGGGCAACGAGAGTCATAGGGTCTTTCGACCACGCGATTTTACCAATGCCACCCGTAAGCAACCTCCCTTTTCTCATTCGTGTGCTGATGCTGATTACGGCTTAGAGGAAAACAGTGATACCCGCCATGGACTTTCTCTCCTGCTACGCCATTGCTGTTAATGAGGTCAACGCAGCTGGCGGACGTATAGTGACGTCTCCGACGAATGGGGCTGCGGGGGTGATACCTGCTGTGTTGAAGTATATCCTAGAGGTGTGTTTGGGTTTTTTGTTGTTGCGAGCTTGTGATGATTGTTTGATAGTTCGTGAGCGATGATCAAGAGAAGAATATTGAGACGTTCCTTTTGACCGCTGCGGTGGGTGCATGCAATATTTATTTGTTGACGTTCTGAATACGCTTTTTAGGCGGTTGGCATGCTGTTTAAACGGGGTAGTACGATCTCTGCTGCGGAAGGTGGATGTCAGGCTGAGGTTGGAGGTATGACTCGGTGTTGATGTCTGAGTATCAGTGAGGAGAGGTTGAAAATCTTCACAGTTGCTTGTTCCATGGCCAGCGCGGGTTTCGCTGCTTGTATGGGAGGTAATGAACCTTTAGCTTTGGTGACGATATTCTATCTCAACGTTATTTCGGTTTTAGCGTCGCCGGAGACTGTTCTTCAGGTTAGTTTCTCGCTTTCACTTGGTGTGTTTTTGACTTTTGTGTAGGCTGCGGAAATTGGAATAGGTGAGGGTTCCCTGTGTATTCGAGTTTCTGCTTTTGACGATTATTTGATTAGAACATAACTTGGGGTTGACATGCGACCCCATTGATGGACTTGTCCAGGTTCCATGTATTGTAAGCGCCATTGATCAGGCTCTGATTCTTTGCCATGCTCACTTCTGTTGCTTGTCCTAGGAGAGAAATAGTCTTGGAGGTACGTAGACAGTCATTGCGACCTTGGCATTGAAGTAGACTTTTCTCTTTGAATTCCAGCCGTGAAAGCCGTTACAGCTGCACAGCTGTCCATGGCGAGCCACGGGGTGTATAGTGTCACTCTTGACGAGGCTATCGAAGCGATGCGGCTGACTGCTGCGGATATGAGCGTTAAGTATAAGGAGACGAGCCTCTCGGGATTGGCGGTGAGTGCGAGTGCGAATGGATGTAGCCTTCACTGCTGATGGTTTTGTTCAAGACGACTGTGAAAATACCTTTGACTGTGCCTGCTTGTTGAGGACTTTGATGATGGAGATAGATAATCATAGAGCTTTGTTATGAGGACTGATAATAGAGTACTGCGGCACGTCGATATTGTTCCTAGTTTCCTAGTTATGGACTTGTATCATACATAGATTGCAATCACACTTTGACCGAAAGACAATGGCGGTAGCTATTACCAAAATTGGCAGTGTGACTCAAGCGCTTGTTACGCGACGCGACTTGTCACGCAACCACAACATGTCCGATTCTCCTACAACCACAACCCCGGTTCCTCGTCGCTCACAGCGAGACAAGAGATCTGTAAATTATTTTGCAGCAGGTCAGCACCTCTTATGCTCACACCACCACCACCCCTCACTCCACCAATCACAGAAGCGAGCACATCTACCAACAGGAAGCGGAAACGCCAGGGCAGCGATACCGAGAACGATGCCGCAGGAGTAACCGACGGGGAAGACGCACAAGAACACGGTCAGGACGACCACGACGATGCCGATGACCCTGATGCCCCGAAATCAAAAGCCACTAGGAAGGGCAAGGCCAAAGTCTCACCTAAATCCAAGGGCGCCCCTGCCGCGAAGAAACCGCGCACTAACAAGGGTCAACCCAAGACCATGGGCCGCAGGGGACGCAAGGCAAAAGAAGGAGATGACGCGTATGACGCAGCGCAAGTCGCGAAAGACACTAAAATCTCTGCGGATAACCCGCTATTTAGTGCGCACCACCATCTTTATTTTTCGCTGGTCTCTGATAATGTGTGGGGTGTAGATGCTATTATGGATCCCGCAGCCGCACTGCAATCTACCGCGGAAGACTTTCTCGAATCGTTGGAACAATCGCCGGCTGCTGCCCAAGCTGAACTTATCAACCTCGTCTTACGCGCGTGTGGGTGCAACGATACGCTAAACGCAGATGAAGCACTCGATTACGACGGTGTTGTCGACAGCCTCGACAATTTCACAGAATCTCTGAAACAGGTACGGTCGTAACCTCCAAGTCTTTCTCCCCAATCCTCCTTATAAATGAGACATAGGACAACTCCCCTGTATACCCACTAACATCCAAACTCCCCGTATTCAAAAAGTTCCGCAAGTCCCTCTCAGAGTTCATCGAGCGCCTCATCGCCTCGTCCGCCGAGCTAGGGGCGCTCTACTCGTCCGATATGATGGCTACTCTTCAAGCATGGGTCATCGCAATGTCCTCGTCTCAGATTCGGAGTTTCAGGCATACAGCCACGGTGGTGGCGCTTGAAGTGGAGACTGCGCTCTGCGACGTCGCTGCGGCTGTTGAGAAGGAGGCAGAGGTCGTAGGCCGCCAGCGGGAAGGCGAGAAGAAGCGGAAATCGGGGAAGAAGGGCGGTAACGCGCGCGATAAGGAACTTGAAGGCAAAGCTCAGGAAATTAGAGAGCGAAGAACGAAGCTTGCCGAGTTCCTTAAGGAATTTGTCGATGGGTGAGTCGAGTATACATTCCGTTCGCCCATCACTTAAATTTATGATACCCAGCGTGTTCGTCCATCGATACCGAGACCTCGACCCAAACATCCGAGCGGAATGCGTTCGTGCCATCGGGTTGTGGTTCAGGAAATACCCAGGACACTTCCTTGACGCCTCCTACCTCCGCTATGTCGGCTGGGTCCTCTCAGACTCCCACACCCTCGTCCGCGTCGAAGCCGTCAAAGCCCTCGCGGGTGTCTACGACCAAGCAGACTACATCGCGTCCCTAAGCCACTTCACCGAACGCTTCAAGCCGCGTCTCCTCGAGATGGCCACGAGCGACACGGAACTTTCTGTGCGCGTTGCTGTTATCCAGGTTCTTGGATCCCTGGATAGTCATTCGCTCCTCGAGGAAGAGGAGCGCGAGAAATTGTGTTTGTTGGTGTTTGACGAGGAGCACAAGGTCCGGAGGGTTGTTAGCCAGTTTGTGAGAGGGGTTTGGGAGGAGGTGGTGGAGGAACGGTTGGTTGGGCGGGGGAAGCCCAGCGTAGAGGATACGACGCGTGCGGGCGTCAAGGCTCTTGCTTCGCTCCTTGTAAAGTGGGGCAAGGTGCTTGATAAACTTGTGGATGATGAAGAGGATGGGTCGGACGGTGGTGGGGAAGGCGTTAACGGCACTTCACGTCGTGGAAATAGGAGGAAAGAGGTCGTTGCGCTCGTTGGCGCGGAACAGCAGGGTAGGATCGCGTTGGCCGTTGAGGCACTGTGGGATGAGGTTGAGCCGATAAGTGATTGGGAGGGCCTTTTGGATTTGCTTCTTTTGGATCACTCTGCTGTTGGGGGGGAGGGTAATGATGATGATGGACGGCCTACGCCTAGAGCACGAGCGAATGGGAAGAAGAGCGGTGATGAGGTTGTGGTGGATAGTATTTGGAGGTTGGAGGAGGTTGAGGAGAGTGTTTTGCTTCAGGTGTTGGTTGCTGCTTTGCGCCGTGCCAAGGCTGAGTCTTCGGGTGCTAAGAAGGTTGGTGGTCGTGTTGCTCTTCTTTTCTACTCGGTGTTGATAAGGGGAACTTCACAGGGAGAAGAAGAAAATGTAACAAATGATATAACTCGTGCTTTGATCAAAGGCCTTCCCCGCCTTTTCATCAAGCACCAAACCGATCGAAATAGGATTGCAGAGGTTCTACTAATGCCAACACTCATGAACTTGGACCTGTATCTCGAGATGAGAATGATAGCTGTCTGTCTCTTTTCCTCTTCCTTCGTATTCCTATATCCATTCTGACACTTTTATCGCAGGCATACAGCAGCCTCTGGGACGACGTCATCAAACAATTCACATCCCACTCCTCCGTAACCGTCCTCTCGCACGGCATGGCCTCCATCCGTCACTTCATGGACGCAACCAGCCTCTCCAACACCAACAGCACCAAGATTCTCGAATTAGAAGACGAATTATCTTCTTCGCTACGGGATACCGTGGCAGGGAGGGAAGAGATCGAAGTGGCGACGTTTAGTGAGGACGAGGTGTTGGCTTTGACTGCGTTTTGTACACGGCTGACAGTGTTGGCTGGGATGAGGAATATGACGGCGTGGATTGAGGAAGATGAGGGTGGGAAGCAGAGTAGTGCGTGGGATATTTTGAGTGCGCTTGTTGAGAGGGGGCGGTTGGGGTATAAGGAAGAGGAAACGGTGAGTTTCTTCTTCTTTCTTTCGATTGACATTGACTCATTTGGATATTATTATCATTAGATGATCGAGCAAGCGCTTCATGTGTTGACGCTCCATATTATTTGGAAGAGCAAGGGACTTACGGTGGATAATGACCCTACTCCAGAAGAAGTCCGGTATAAAGAGACGCTGGTGGAAGAACGAGACAGTCTACTTGAAAAGCTTGTAGAGTACGCTGTGGGGACGCAGTCCAACACTGTTGAAGGTGTCAAGCGAGCCGTACGTTTCCCTCTCCTTCCTTCTCTCCTTCATTCCTAATCTCAATGATATCACTGCGACGACAGGCCTTCAAACACCTCCTAGACCTACACGTCCTCTTCTCCGATGCCCAATCCCTCGCTGCGGACGGCTCGCCTTTACCTCTTGCTTCTGTGGCCCTTTCGCTGGATGATGAGATCCAGTATAGGTGTGCTGGGTATGTTCAAGCTGAGATTGAACGATACGCGGAGTTTTTGGAGGGACAAGAGGACGGTGAGGAGGATGGTGATGGATCTGCGGGGAGTAGTGATGAGGAAGGAGAGAAAGTGGGGAACAAGGAGAAGGAGAAGAAGGTTAAGAAGGTTAAGAAACCGCGGACGGAAGGTGAGTCTGATTCTAATCATTCATACTGAAGCTGACGGTTGTTGTATTTCAGAGAACAAAGGGTTCCAGGCGTTGCTTGAACAAGAATATCTCTTCATTGACGTCATGTCGACGTTCTTGAGAGCCATTCGAGCTGGTGCTGTCAATGTCCAGCATGGGGCGATCGTTCTCGCTCATTATGGTCGCCTGGGATTGGCGTTCGATACGTGTTCTAAAGTCATTGTTGAGATTCTCAGAGAAGAAGGGATGATGAAAGATAACGCGGAGATTGTCATCACCGTCGTTACCCAGGCATTACAAGAGGTCCGTCCGTCAAGCCACTCACTGAGACACTGTTCGAATGTTTATTAACAACGTACATTTTCAGGCGTACACCCTCGTGCTGGACGGCGTGGTACACGACGAATCAAATGCCCTGCTCTTAGCCAAGCTTCTTTCGAGCTCTTTCGCGATCCGTGGGAGCCAGCTCTCGATCGTCCGACGCCTGGACAGCCAGTATATCGTCCAGATTCATACACAGTTGCTCAACTGGATTGGAAAAAAGTTGGCTGCTTATGAGAATAACAAGAATAAGAAGGGGCTCAAGATGGCTGTCATGTTTTTCAAAGTCATGGTGCCTTTGTTCTCTATCATTCAAAGTCGAGATGCTCTTAGAATGTTGGTTTTCTTCTTTGGAATATTGGTGCAAACGTAGACTCATTGGTTTAACGTAGTAAAGCGCACATGGACCAGATACTGGCTCAGGCAAAGGTGGAGGTTTCATCCTCCTCCAAAGCTTGGGAACCTCAACGCGCTTATGAAAAACGTTTGTCAGCGATAATGTCTAAAGAGAAACGTCTGTCCTTCTTTTCCATCACTTCTGTTTCTCATGCTCATCATTCAACATCAGGCTCGAAATCCAAAAAGACAGGCCAAGGTGTGAAAAGCGCCGCTGCCATCACAAGTGATGAGGAAGGAAGTGAAGGCGAACACGCCGACGAAGCGTCACCTCCTCGTCCCAAGCCCAAGTCTCGAAGACCAACGCGAGCCAACCCAGATCCATCATCACCACATCGTGATGATGATAAAGACGAACCTGAACCTGAGCCAGTCACTCCAAAACCAAAACCGAAACCTCGCCCTATTAGGCCCATCAACAAACAAAAGTCACAGTCCCCTCAAAAACCCCCTTCGTCAGCTACTCCAAAAACACCAGTGAGGTCTAGGTCACCTACAATGTCAACTCCTGCTGCTTCAGATACCGAAGATAATGATATCCCGATTCCTGTTGCTGTGACACCCACACCTCAAAGCTCTAGGAAGCGTCCGAGAGCGGACGATGAGGAAGAACTTGGGAATATACCCAACGGCGTCACTACGGGTGATGATGCGCCTTCGGAAGAGGAGGAAGGTACTCCGGAGATACAGGTCCGGAGAAAACGGGTTCGGCATTAGATGGTTTTCAACGATTTTTACTATTATTTTTCCTCGACGACCTCTGCCTGATTCATTCATTACTTACTGTGTTAGCTGTCAACTGTTGTTCTTTACCCTGCTGTCGCTGTATGAATTTATCGTTATAACTTATGGGTACTCATTTTATGGCCAGTCCCATTACAGCTCTTAGTGATAGCAGTGAAGTAAATAATAAACATATAAGTTATATCGACGAAATGACGGTGTCCTTCATGATGATGGTCCTGATAGCAACTCCAGCGTGGCTAGCATAGCGTTCCGCTGAGATGAAAGGTCAGCAGGATGATTTCAAAGAGATCGACTGAAAAAAACCCACATCAACATTCAGTGTGTTGTGCGCTTCTGCCAAAGCTGACTCTCCAGGGAAAGAAGAACGCCGGCCAGCAGACCCAGGTGGTCGACTTCGAGGGGAACGAGGACGAGCTGAAGCGGCAAATTCAAAATCACCCAGTAGATCAGTAGCAGATCGAGATCTACGAAACCCTCGTTCTGTAAATGTGATGCCGAGCATGTGGTAGAGATCATCCTGGGCTTGAACTAGTGCCCGAGTACCTGTGTTGGGCGTAATTCCCTCGGTTGACGTTGACTGCACATCGGGTTGAGCACGGTAGCCTTTATAAAGAAAGGTGTGGTACTTACCATGGGGCTCATTAGTGGTATATCAGTCAAAATCCCAGCAGGTCGACGGTGGGGTATAGGAGGAACAGGTGGTATGCTTTGTCGATACATGGGACTCCGCGAAGTCGAAGGTGCTGAACTCAACCAACCAACACTACCAATCGACGAACGCTGGCTTAGCCGTTGGTTTGAAGAGCGGAGACCAGCTTTAGATACTCGGATGCTCGACTTCCTCACTGCGGACACCCTGCTGGACCGTTTCGAGGACGGAGAAGTCGGCTGATTGTTAAGGTGGTCAAAGTCGTTGGCAACAGCTTCGGCCTGTTTCCATGCCTCGTCTCTCTCTGCTGTAAGGGTTTCTATCTTGGACTTGAGAACCTGGTTCTCGGCAACTTGCTTCAAGAAGCTGGAGTTGAGCTTCCGCAAAGCCATGGACAAGGCGCTAGAGGAGTGAGTCTGACATAGAGAGTCCAGCTGGGCCATCTGTTGGTCAGTTGCGTGGAGCTCTTCTGCAAGCTTATCAAGCGTTGCGTCAAGGTCTTTCACTTCCTCGACGACACTAAGTGCAAAGTTGGCATCATCCTGGTCTCTTCCACCGAGGTACGCCGTAAGAGTCTCCAGCAACGAAGCACGTCGCCTTGTCAGAATCTTGTACTGGTTTTTGACTTCGGTTTTATGAATCTCCAAACGACGCATCTCCTTTGGTATCTCATTGTCCAGAATTTCCTCACGCAGAAGTCGAATAGATGATGCTTCTGCAGATTGTTTGATAGCTTTGGAAACAATAGCTTGAAGTTCTGCAGACGTGAATGTCCACTTTGCATGTTCCATCGTAAGACCCCGATATTTAGGTGGGGGAGTCTGAAACTTGGGAGAAAAGACCGGTGCTGCAGGTCGTTGGGTTGGCTGAGGTCGTCTTCCCCCAGAAAACACACTATTGCTGCCAATCGACGTTACCGAGCCCGAACGAGTTCTGTTGCCTGCAAACGTCATTGCGAATGGTGAGAACCCGGACGTCTGACTTGGTCTACGAGGTCCAGCTGGCAGTGGTGGCCTCGTCCTCGTTCTCCGACTGCCACTCGACGATTCTCGTGCAAGATGGAGCGCATCGCTGCTGTTACTCGATGCCCAAGAGTTGTGTGATGCTCCAAGGGAGGGCGGCCGACCTCCAAAGGACAGCTCTTTTCGTCCACCTCCTGAACTGCCAGTATTCGGTGCCGGATCATATGAGCGATGATCATACACGGAATAATAGGGCGGCGGTGCTCCTAGTGAAGGGACTTCGCCTCGTCCGGCCGGGTTTCTGGCTGGATATTGAAGAGGTGTTGGCGGTGCAACAAGCGGAAAATTTGTTACTAGAGGTTCAGGTGATCCGTCTTCGAGGTCGCTGAGAACCTCTGCGAGCTCTGATTTTGAAGGGGTGGGCTGCGTATGAAGACGTAAAGCGGGTGGTACTCTGGCTCTAGAACTGCTGGCAACGTTCTCTTCCAAGATATTTTCTTCCGGCACAGGGGGAGCGTGTCCTGGAGATGGAGGGATTAGGGGCAAAGATTTCTTCCATGATTTGAATGACGCGTCATCTTGCAGGCTAGAAGCGCTGTGTGAATGGTTGATTTGAGATCGCGAATGCGAAGCAGCCGAGGTGTAGCTGGGTGATCTGCTAACATGATTTTCAGATGGCGTAAGAGATACGGAACTCCCAGTCCCTGGAGTAAGTGTTGGGAGGATTGGGGGATTTGGCGACGGAGGAAGGGAGCGCTTTGGCGCACCAAGTCTGTCAACGCTTCCCTTCCGTGAGGCGGGCTCATTCTTTGGAGGGAGTTCGTCAACTAGGGATTGTGGAGAGGAAGATCTTGCGTGCAGCTCAGAGCCGCTGCGACTTAGGCTGGCTTGTCTGGAATGCCTTGCATTACTCCCTGCACGCGTCAGTATGATTTGCTGAGCGAGATTAGGTACGGCATTGGTTAGCCCAGGAATGACGGCTGATTGTGGCGTATTGCCGATCAGAGCGGGGGTATACTCCAACTCGTTAGTATTGCTTGGGGCGTGAGAAGCACCGCATGGAAGAGGTGACCATATCGGACTAAACCCGTCTGGAGTCACTGGAAATGTTTGTGGGACATTAACATGCTCCTCAGCGCTATGAGACGCATCAGGAATGTTAGGTCTTAGGGAAACAGCAATCTTGTAAGGATTTAGATCCCTTGCCACGCTAATAGGACCTGGTGCGCTACCAGACCGTTGACGATTGAACACCTTGCTCAATGGTGGTGGTGCAAGGGGTGAGAGAGGTGCGAGAGGTGCTCGGAAATCGGATATGATGGAAGATGAAGAGGATGTGTTGTTTTGGGATTTGTCAGTGGCACGGGAGTCGCCCACAGAAGGCCCAGACGAAGGCATCTAAAAATCATCTCAGTTGAGACTCCATCTTTCAACTTTCATGATGGTAAACAACCTACCTGAATCGAGTGTGGCCTCTCACCGACAGTCCCAAGGGATGAACTCCTGAAAGTCGGCCATGGATCAGATGGCCGTCGAGGAAGACCTCGAGCTAGAAAAACGATCAATTTCCCGATACTCGACGGGGTAACGCTCGACTTACGACGAAAGTTTAGTGGACTACGAGCGCCGACAGGTGGTGGACCCCTCTGCGAATCACGTCTATCATTTCGGTAGGGGAGGGGAGGCGAGAGCTGGGAGAGAGATTCCTCTGTAATTGGCGTGAATACGGGCTTGAAACCGTGGGCTTCTTCCTTGCTTTCTGGTAAAGAGTAGTAGTCCAACACATCATCAAGGTGCTTGGATGACGGTGGTCCCCCTTCTGGAGAGAGAGGCGGTGACAGGTGGTGGTTCCCTGGAGACATGATGGTTGAATCCGGTCGGACAACTTGCGGCTCTTCAACTTTGACTGAGTGACAGTTCGACTTAGTCTGATCGTCCTGAGGTTCTCCTCCGTCTGCCGGAGGAAGCAAAGGTGACTCAGGGATAGGCGACCTGTCGTATATAAGCCCAAGTTCCATCTCCAACCCGGGACTCAAAACGACACTGTTGGAGCGGGGAAGAGGAGGAGAGGCCGGTAACGCATCATAATCAGGTTGACTCGCCTTCGAGTAGAGGCTTCCTGTGCTCGAGCGCCTCTTTAAATAGAACTTCCGCTTCTGACTACGCGACTCCGAGTTGCGAGGTGTTTTAGGAGGTACATAGGAGGACTCTGCGTTTTCAGGAATTGGGGGGGCATCCGGGCCCAGCGAAAATGAGCCGTCCCTCAAGAAGGCGTGTTCCCCCTTAGGGAGGGTGGCAGAATCGGATCGTGTGAGGCCAGTAGCCCCACTACGGTACCGTGAAGATCGGTTATCATTGGAAAGGACAAATCCATTTCCCATTAACTGACGCGCTAGAGTGGTCCCTGATACGGCAGACGAAGTCGGAGAAGACATTTCAGACAGAGGCCTTGAATGCCCTTGTAAGTAGCTGTCGTTTGAACGCAAAACATGGAGATTTGCAACTTGCGAAGCTGCGGGGTTGGGTATTTTAATTGGAGTAGGGGGTGACCTCTTGGACGGCGATATTGTTTGTGTTTCCTGTTCACTGACGTCAGCGGCATGCCACCTTGAATTATCGTTCTACACACCTCCCATCTGCTGAGCTTTCCAAAACTCGAGGCCTTCAAGAAAACGTGAGTGTGAGGTCTCATCATAAGAACATGGCCTTACGTCCATAGCCTCAAGGTTGGCAATTACGTCCTCTGATGAACTCGCCAGCTCCATCCCCTCTTCATCCTCGTCTTCTTCCTTAATCCCATCCTTTAGCGTCCCATTTTCCGTAGTCTGCGTTCTCCCAGCGCTCGAGCCTTCTCCGTTGTTCTGAAGACCGCCGGCGCTCGCTTCTGGAGTTTGAGGAAATCCCGAAAACCAATCGCCCAGTGGTTCAGGGCTCAAGTCAAGCTCGAGTTTCACAGGTGGAAACGAGTCGTTCCTGCCATAAACTACCCGTCCCTCAGCATCTGGTGAAGGAATATTTGGATCAAAAAAGTCTAATGAGGACGGCCGTCGTTCGGAGGGAGCATTGTGATTGATATCAATAACATCTGGAGCAGCGAAAGGATGGGGTGCTGAGGATGTGGGATCATAACGTCGCTTGCCAAATGGTGATCGTAGAGCTGCCTTTAGGTTTGTCTTCCGCCCAGGTTTGTAAGTCGATATGAAGGATGAAAGCGCCGACATGGGAAGATGGTAATAAGGTGAAAGGTGGTACCTTGAGAACAAGACAAGGTATTTGAGCGTGAACGCTGGATAATTGTGAGTTTAGAAATGAAGGATCTACCAATGCAAAGCTCACTCGAGATCAAGTTTCCGCATAGACGGCAACAGTAGTTTGTTACAAATGCCTCATCATTCAATGTGTTTGTTGATGTGTGTGATCTATCACAAAAGCTAGCGCACCAGTTTGCGATTGAACGCCCTGGTTCTGGCGCCTATCTACAGCTGGGTCAGCGCGGTTCAGCAAAAATGTGCAGTGCCGCATGGGCATGGGTATCACGGACCTGAGCGACTCATTTTCCGAACGAACTTCCTCCAGAGAGCCGAAATATTGAAAATGGAATACTCCAAGTGTCCATAACTCAGAACTGCATCAAGAGCTACATGTGATATGATCCATGTGATCATAGCCGATGGTAGTCAGTTGGGACTACGCCTTGATCAGATACAACTTGACAAGGGGAACGACTCATAACTTACTTCAAACACACAGGATTGTTCACAGCCTTGCCTTCGAGATAGTTTCTAGGTTTTGACGCTCGCAACATTTTTGAGTGCTGGAAGCCAGGGTAGAGCTATGTCGTTTCACGATGGATGATGGGAGGCCCCTAGACCGGTCGCGTTTCCGAATCCATGCATATGCTCGTGGGAATTCTGTTACACAATGCAACTTGCGCTCAACTACTTACGCTACGCCTCGGCAGTTTTGCCCAATCACTGAAAAGGTCAGGCGCCAAGTAGGTTTTTCTCGTCCAACTACACTGAGACGGCGTCTTCAACGATGTGGGCGCTGACATGTCTTCTCACAGATTGCAAACAACTTGAAACACACAAAATCAGAAGTAACTACTCACACGACACTCTTCGTTCCTGCTCTGTCGTTAAACACGATTCAGCAATATATACTACTCCTCCGCGATGTGTAAGTATGGCTACCGCGTCTTGTTAGCCAGGCATCACATAAGAAACATTCCGTCTCGAGAGTTCAAGGTTCAACGCGAGTCGGATGACTGGAAAATATTCAAAGCCAGATAAGATTGACTAAATTGTAGTCAAGATTATCACTAATGAGCAAAAGTTACTTATAGATCTCGTCCACGACCCACTGCAACTTGACGCTTGATGCATTGATGTTGGTGACTATCCCTTGATCACTCTGGCGGATTGTGTACATTTTCGCAGCTTGTTTGATCAACCCAACTCCTCGGCTGATATTTCTCTTGACAACCTTGAGAAATATATTTTAACCAGTTCTTACCTCTGAGGTATGACGATTTATTCTAGAGAAGAAGCCTGACAGATTTGACTTCCAGATTCCCTCCATCCGAATTTTGGGCATCAAGCTGATATGCCGGGAATTTTATCTGCGGATTCATACACCATTCGAAAAGTTCACAAATATCCAATCAACTGCTCCGCCGACGAACTCCTCAATGAATCTTTTCTAACCTCTAAAGGAAATAATTTTTTTGAAGGAAGCCCGTCGCGAGGTTTGTTTTACTCAGCGGGCCGACGTGGGGCCAGAACCTCACAAAGGTCGTCGCGTAGGTTTCACAAAAAAAAAAACAGAAAGAGAAAAGGAAAAAAGAATCACAACCCTAGGCCTATTAATCTCATACGAAGGAAAACGTCAGGATATTGGTTCAGCCAAACCGCAGCGCGGTGCTTTCCGAATTTTTTTCATGATCATGATCAACAAGCGGGGCAAGAGCGGAGGGCGCTAACAGAACCAGCCTGAACCTGACCCATAATCAGGATCGGATCTTCGCTGACTGCGAAATCCAAATCCGAGGTTTGTCCTCTTTTGCACTTGACTTTATTTTGTGAATCCAGAATGACAGCTCTCATGTGCCTCGATTATGACTTCTGACGCCCGCCTCTTCCCCGCGCCTGCCACACGTCGATATCGTCACTCTACGTAGACCTGCCAAGAACGATTAACCATCGAATTCTGTTTAATGAGACCTTTGACGTCGAGTAACTAGAAGAGATACGGTAAATGTGCCAATCGTGGTAGTTTCGTAATGTGTCAACGACGTGCTTGAGGGTAACATTACTAACAGCGCCTCGGGCCTGATAAAAACAAGGCAAGGGCTCGCTACTTTTGGTTGAGGAGCAGAACGAGGCAGAACGTAAGATGTCTTGCAAATAAGAAATGAGGCAGCAAACACTCTTATCGTGCCAGAATACAATAAGGTATTTCTTGCACGGTCATCTTTAGATAAGATGTAGGAAGTCCTCTGAAGATGGCATTAGGAATTATCTGAGTAAACGTACAACAGTCAACACCCCTCTTCAGTAAATCCAATCCCACCGTTTGACGTAGACACCTCAGGGGTTGCTTACTCAACAGAGCTTCAATCAACGTATAAGCACTAAATGAGCTTGAAATGAGCACCTCCCAAATTCGTCTTCGTAGCCTGGTGTTTGATCGCAAGGCACCCCCGATTTGTAGAAGGAGAACCAAAACAGTGTCGATTATGGGTCAGTAAGAAGCAGAGGGAAGTCTAAAATATTATTTCTAGGCGACTTCTAGAACATGTAGAAGGCAAACGAAATTTCCAACCCACCCACATACGCGAGATTTATAGATATCGATCGTATATTTATTTGGCATTGTAGCAGACAGGCGCCGTTAGTACCTTCTTCCACAGTCTTCCACTCGCTCGACTTGCAACTGGTCACGCTACGGCGATCCCCAGAGATGAAATGAAAAGGGAGAAGTTTTAACGATAGGACCTTGACGCCCTTTAACATGTGGAGCCTTCATTCCTCAGCCAAACGGCATGCGATGCCGTCGAATGTTTATTGATTCTGTACTATGTTTGTTCAGGTGTTTGAAACTTTTTCACCGCTGCGCGATTTCTGCCTCACCACTTCATTGAATTCTTTAAATTTTTAACAAGCCAATAATCTTTTTTCTCTTCTATATAAATATCTACTTTTTTTTGGTATAAATGTGTTGTGTTCGCTGTCGGAGGCGTTCCGGTGCTCAGGGTTCAGATATATCAGGAGATTGAAACTCGTGTCACACTAGGTAACAACGAATTTGGCTGATGGATGATGTGCGAATGTCACGCAAATGTCACGTTTTTCGAGCTGTTTTTCGAGCAAAATTTGGTATTTTGCCCTTCCTCCCGAGAGCACTTCATCTCCCCCTCTAGAAATTTGTAGGTAGACTTTCAAATACAATTTAAATGTACTTGGAAAGTTTCAGAATAAACAGTCTAGCCGATCCAAAGGAATCTGAGAAAACATTCCAATACTTTTGTTTGGTTGGTGTAATGAAAAGCACAAAGTCATGCCTCCAGAGCACAAATCTTCGAATCTCCCTCTGAAAATTTGGAATAGTAAATCTCATGCATAAATACATCTTCCCTGAAATTTACAAGATCCTAAGGTAAGCGGAAGGCAAGATAATGTGCAGTTTCAAACTCCTGATGGGTTTCAAACACCTGAACAAACATAGTATGGCCGTGTCACCCCAAAAGCCTTTACTAAAACTTAATAAGGAATCCCTCAAAGGAGAAATAAATTCACAGCAGATGACGATGACCGAGCGTCGGACCTTCTCCTTAAACGTTGGTCGTTGAGAGCTTTCTCCGAAAGTGGTATATACCAGTCTGAGGCAAGCCTAGTCCAGTTCGAGGTAGAGTATAAGTCACCATATTGATATTATTGGGCGGCGTGTATAGGGCCAAGTCCACAAAAGCAGGTCATCAACGTTTCAGGCGCACTTATAAACGCCATTTTTTCGCGATCGTCCGCCTAGCGTCAGAAAATCCCCATTGAAAGGTCGCAGGCTCACCAAGCTTGAAGCTTACCTTCAATGAGCGCTAAATTGCGGCATGGATGCAGTGCCGAGTGACTTGATTATTCGGTAGACGGGCGTCCAGGCGAATGGCATGATGGTGCCCTTGTTATGGACCTTTAAGTAGGTAAATTTTGCAAGACGTTAGGAGCGAAAACCTGGCCCAGCGTTCCGTTTTTTTTTTCGTGAGCTGTCTCTTGGGTGGGTCCAGAAGACACTTGAAAAAACACAAACCGAGGTAAAAGTGCACCCGTCAGAAAGAATGAGGGTTACGCCAACTTCTGAAAAGAGTGGGGGACCGGTGGGTTCCTGACATGTCCAACAGTTATCTCCAGTTATCAGAATTTCAGAATTATCGTGATTGTGGGAATGTTAAGATCGCTGTGCCGGATTTGGATAACCCACCGAAGGGTAAACGGCAACCAGATCTGGATCTGGACGTCTTTCTGATCAGACCTTTCGACCCTAGTAGTAAACCCCTGCAAAACGGACGACCCGACCTTGTGTTACCGGCTGGTGACTTGTTGTTTCTCGCTAAACACACATGTGAGGGGACAGGAAAGTGCTAGGAGCTCTTCTCTTCCAAATCTGAAAAATAAAGTTTGATGTTAGTCACGAGTTGGAGGGAACAAAGGAGCAAAATGGCGCCAACGGTCAAGGTGGCACAAAAATCGAATGGGCGCTGGAGCGCCCAGAAAAAAACAATAACGGGATCGGCATGAGTCGCCGCTGGTATCCACCCCGCACCCTGAATTGGAAATTTAAAAGCACGTGTAGCAAAACATACGAACAACTTCGAAGGTCGGAGGTTCAGAACAGAGAAGTTGGCTGGAGGAATGAAAGATATACTTGAAAGCTGCATGAGTAGCCGCGGTCGTCCTTGGGATCCTGCCGCCAGTGAGGCTTGGGAGTTTACGATTTCATTACGGCCAGTTCCTCAAGGCCCACGATGAAGGGTCTCGTTGTGTTTGGCGTATGAATTCAAAATGACGTGGAATTTTCACATCCGTGTCGCCGTACGCAAGATCGAAAAAGCAAAGCTTTGAGGCGCCTTCTTGGGGCATGTGCTCCACCAGTACGCTCCAGTAGGGCATCTGGATGACGGACAGTCCAGCAGCACTGTGCTGTGATTCCCTGGCTTCTGTGTGATTCTTGCGGTGCCTGCGGAGCAGGTTTGCAGGAACCAGGCAGGAAACTTGCCACGTCCATAGATGCTACGACCAGCGCAATACAAGCACAACTGGTCTGCGCTCGAGTCGGAGGACTTCGGGCAGCGCAAGCGCTGTTGGCGTAATATGTCTGAAAGGATATCTTCCGATAATAATTGAATCTTCCAAATCCGTGACAGAAGCTTTCAGGGTCGGGCTCATCGCTTATCTGGGAAAATGACGGAGAGATCTGTAAAAAAATTACGGTAGACTGCAACACGTTTCGTCGTGTACTTGTAGAGGTCTCACGAGGAACGGAAGCGACTCTTAGTTGCAACTAGTTCAAAGTGCTCCTCTTCCTGCTCTACTTCCACTCACTACCCCTCCTCGTCCCCCCCGTCGGAACTTGCACGGCAACGAAGGGCTCCCTGGAATCTTGACCGGACGTTTATAAATCACCGTCCCGAGTCTATTATCCCTCGTCGTCTTCATTGACAGACGTGTCTTTCTTTCTTCCCTAGTTCTTCCCCCCCATGGCTGGTGTTTCCCCCGCCCGCCGCCTTCGCACCAAAACATCTGATATCACCGACTTTTTTCGAGTGGGACACCACAGCGCAACTCGGCCTGTGCAAAACGACTTGTCGACATCAAGCAGCATGACGTTGGAGGTTCCATCCGCAGACGAAAGTACCGGGCTGACGAAGAAGAGAACAACAAGAATTCCGTTTCTTGGTCGCACCAGGAAGAAATCAAACCAGTCTGCTGCTTCAAGCCCTTACGCCTCAATGGGCGCGCGCGATTCTACGGACGTTGGTGAGCTACCAAGTAGCAGAGAACCAAGTATCGATCGGTGAGCACTATTTCCATTTCGGTTCGTTATATGTTTTGGCCTGGGAAAAGTCTGTGGTCACCATACGCACACTCGCTAACCAGACAAAATGAATCCCCCTTTCATCCCATATTGTTGAAGTTGACGCACTAATTACTTTTCTTTAGACGTTCCAAGGCTTTGCCCCCTTTAGCCTCCAGCCCATCTCAAATAACGGTGTCCGAGGTTGGCGTGCCTGTCAAAGCACCCACTCTTGGCTCCAAGCTGGCCGCCCATTTCAACCCTTCCAGAACGCGCAAACTCAGCACCCTGAGGCATGACACGACGCCTACTTCAGGTCCTTCTCAACCTGCCACCACCAGCCTCTCACCCCCACCGTCAAGTCCTCGGGCGGCCTCATTTGATTCCGGATCTTCGGGTAATCGCTCTCCTACACCTCAGCCAGGTCCGAAAATTATGGTGTCCTTATCTCCCGACAATGTCGAAGAGTACAAGGACCTGTTTACGTTGCCGCGAAACCAGTCAGCCAAGGAATTACCATATCATAAGCGATCAGCGCAAACGGCGCAAAAATCTTCCGACTCAGACACCACACCACCCGGTTCCAGCCCCACATCTGCCACACGCATGAAATCACCCGTCCAGACGTCCATTCCGCGTCGTGGCTCAGCCCCTTCCGTAATAGTCGATTCTACATCTTCGCGCCACCAGTCGTCGAGGAACCCAGGGGATGACCTCGCAACGAACAGGCCCAAAATCCCGCGGAAATACTCAGATAGCGAGAGGGGCCATCGGAGACAGGATAGCAATCCGACTCCCAGAAGCTCTGACTCTCGGGAGTCCCCACGGTTGGTACCTTCCGAGAAGCCTTCTACCATATCGAGGCGACTATCCACGGCTTCGACCACGCATGCACCTGATGCGCCGCATCTGCATGGCCGGTCATCTGTGGCAGGAAGCAGCCAAACCTCCGATAGTTTACCTCAAACTAAGTTGCGCAGACCTCCCACCAGTGCGTCTGATCGTAGCCGGCCGCCGACGATGCCCCTGCCCTCTACTCCTCCGCCACCCAGTACTCCACCCCCGCTTCCTCCCATCGCCACCAGCTCGAGTACGCAAACAATTGTCGCCCCCAAGACCCTCCTCCGGCCCAGAGCCCACACAATTGGCTCTACTCCTGTAACTTCGAGCCCTCTCACATCCCCGCCAACGAACCAATTATCACCAACAGAGACTGGTGACAGCGTGTCTGCCACACAACCCAAGCCTGCAGATTCAACTTTCGATATACATTTGGCTTCTCGTGAAGAACTCCGTCAGGCGTTGATTGCTCGCAACCAACAGTACGACGAGCTCGCTAGTTACTTGTTGAAGATTACAGAAACTCATGTTGCTGAGGTGACAGCACTTGAGAAGAAAATTTCTTCCATGGAACGGGAGGCAGCGCGACGGGACAAGGAGATCAAAGGCTTGACCTGGTTAGTGGTAAACAACAAAGGGTCCCCTGGCGGTATTCTTCCTATTAGTGGCGCCCCTCGTCCACCTAGCTTGCTGGAGATCGACCAAGCACGGAGCCAAGCACGCGTTTCTGTTCGGAAATTCTCTTACGCAGAAGATTCTGGGGCAGAATCCCATCCTACGTCTGGAGCGGAGTCGATACGCGGTTCAGGAACCTCAGGGACAGAGTCCGTCTCTTCAATTCGGGATAAGAAATTGCGACGACCATTCACTCTCGGCGAGACTAGTTACAGTCTCTATCGATCAGCCACGGCTGGAAAACGAGCTTCCAAGAGTCTCGCTCCAGATGCCGCTCTTCCAGAAGTACCCTACCGCTCAGGCGCAACTAACAGATCTTCTCTGAGCTCTCTTTCCATCTCACCCTCCTCATCTACCTCCTCGCTCTTACCACCAAGCCCAAGTGTAACAGTATCATCGCTCTCCGCGATTCCTGAAGCCCCCTCCCCCACTTCAGGGACGACTGATGACCAACAAGAGGAACGACTCTCCTCCCGCGCGTCACACCGCATTTCCTCGTCTTCCATGGCCTCATCGAGCACAGCAGCTAGCAGCGCCTACACTGCCAACCTAAAACGAAGCCGACCCCCCTCTATCGCCCAGGTGCTGGAAGAGACACCCAACATGGAGGACGTCCTCGAAAAGCTGCGACCCTTCGCTGCATGAATCACGTCAAGTTAATCGAAACGTCCTGGAAACCTTCTCCCCTCCTTGTGCCTCGCTCGCTCCATTCATCGGCCGAATCCATTTGCACCCTTTCATAACAAATCCCGACATTCATTTCGTTCGTTCTGTTTTCCTCTCCACCTTCCGTTCTGACATATCTTAGTCCCTTCTACTCGCATCGCATCTTTTTGCCCTTACACTCCTTTGGCTAAGTTATTTCATTTATCTCTCAGGTATCTTTAGTGTCGGGCCGTTCGTGCCATTCATTTATCGACCGACCCTGCCTGCATGTCAGTCACTGCAAGGTTGACCGTTGCAGTAGCTATCTACTTACCGGATCGGATTGGACTCTCCCTCATCCCCTTTCTCTCTTTTCATTATCCATCCAATTATCCAGCTCTACCATCATTCCCTGTATCACATATCATTGCACCCATCCCCATCATATTTCACGTCGATTATGTCCCATCTGTTATGAAACTGTACATCCCTTTTTCATACTGGTGGCCATCCGGGTTTTTGACTTGATAGAGCATCTGTAATTTATACATTACCAGCCTTGCCTTGCAGAAGACATAAATATAACCCATTTTCCTCTACTGCAGGTCGCGTGGACACTGGACATTGAATAATTTTGAACGTTTGACAGTGGCTGACAGTTTGATCAGAGTAGGTCCGGTTTTGGGACTTGGCGTTCAACAACTTCCTTCCTTCCACAACTTCCACCCCACCTTTCCTCAACATGTTTTCCGATAATCAGATTTTTCGAGAACTTCACAACGCAGCAATTGAATCGCTCGACAACTTACAACCCATCAACTCTTTCCCCGTATTCGCCATTATGGAAGTCATGAAATCCTCTTGCGAAGAAAGAGAATTTCTCGTCGCTACTGGCAGCGTCTGTCTCTCAGACAGCCTGATAAAGATGTTCATGGATACTATACCGCCCAGCAGGAGATCATCGCATACCCTCACGGTTCGTCGTTGTCCTGGCAGTCACCCATACCAACGTTGAGCAACTTTCATCGATCAGGTCCTCCGACAAATAGCGGGCGGGAAAGTTATCCTCATAAAAGTCATGAAAGTGCTCTTTCCAGATGGCGTAACGGGGCTCGCCAACGACCGGGCGTTCCTCGCTATTCTGGGTGCATTATTCAAAGCTGGTTCTCGCGTTTTCGCTGTTGAGTGCATTAAGATCATTTTTTGCCGGTTGGTACAGGCCGTTCAGAATCAAGTCGAATCTCTGTACGTTGCCCTCTCCCCTCCGTTCTTGACGAAGGCATTGAGTCGTTCTTTCAACGACATTCAGAGTGCGACGTGGACTTATGGTCATTGCCCCACTTAGAGCTCATACTGACCGGAAAACAAGCTTTTTCTTGAATGGTATACGTGCCGTGAGCGAACGCTCTCGGCCGAAAAAGAACTATTATGATACCAGGAGAGACGAGGCGAATGTTATGCGACCGGTCAACGACGCCAGGCGCGATCCCAACCGAGTTTGGGCACCGCTCCCCTCCTTTGATGACAAGAGGAAACGACGGACACGTGCCAACGGGGCAAGTTTTGGTGCGTATTATAGACTTCTTGCTGTTCTCTTTTGACATTGGACAGAATCGTACTCTAAGAGATTTAGGACGCAGGTAGACAACTTTGACAACTTTGTTCTACCTTCTTCGTCGCTTTCAGGTCCAAGTACATCTCCTTCATACTCGTTAGGTGCAAGTAGCTCTCTTTCGCCGCCATCAGGTTCTCCCTGTTCCTCGTCAACCCACTCGACTGGTATCCTGGTGAATCGCGCAAGAGAGGTATCGAATTGTGGAAGCACAAACGTTGATAAACCGGCCAGCAATTTACCGAACAGCAGTCAAGATTCACGCAAGGCGAACGAGTCTATCAATCAACCTTGGCGATTCAATGAAGAAGCAAGCAATTCCTTGCCTGCATTGGCGGGGTCTTCGTTGGATAATCACGCCTCAATAATCCTCGATACCACTACACCATCTGGTTTTGGGACCATGACGAATGTCTCCTCTATGATGATTTCTGGGCTCTCCGGCGCGTCTCAAGGTCACAGCGAAGTTTTTCTCTCAAACGCTCAGGCTTGCACCAGCTCTTCTGGCGTGATGGGCTCTTCCCCACAACGAATCAGGAAGGCCTCTTCACCCCCTCAGCAACAGATCAATGGTATCCGTGACTCGATTCCTTCAACGCCAAGCTCAAAAAAGATTTCTGGCCTTGTTCCTTCGCCTATTCGACCATCAGTCTTCGGAACTGTATTCACGACTAGCCTTTGCCTTTGCAACAAGGTCGACCCTCCGACAAAGTTACCCATCCAGCGAAATGAAGATTCCGAAGACGAAGAAAGTGTCGCCCTCGCCCTCATGACTGATATCCCTGACAGCCCCATATGCCCTGGCTTCTCCTTCGACGATCTGCCTCTTCCAGCTGACTCATCCAGACCGATCTGAGGCCATTATCTCGAGTCTGCCCCTGCCTTCTATTCATTACAGCTAACTGGCTCGTCGAACATCTTTTATCTCATCTTACTCTCTACGTTTTGGAAGAGTATACTACTACAGCTTAATAGCAAATTAATTGCGCATCCCATTGCGAAAGATTTGTAGAGATTCGGTTTCTATCTTCATCTGGTGTTTACGTCCATTCAACTACGAACCATTTATAAGTACGTAGGAGGTTTTGCCATAAACCACGCTGAGGATCGTTTTGAAAAACAGTCATCAGACTAGTACTGACATCGCTTGCGAGCTGCGGCATTACGTCACGCTCTCGAGTACGCCAAATTTTTCATTCGAGGCGTCCTCAGCATGCACATGGGGTTCACCACAAAACCAGTTAGACCTGTTACTATCCGCCTATGTCAATCTCCTTCGGTTATCAGTTTAGCTAACAAGTTACGGCGGACTTGAATCGATACAATTTTTTTTTGCGTGCTGTGAGAGAAGCTATTTCTTTTTGCAAAGCCTGTATAGCTCAATTGGACAGAGCATCAGACTCAAAGAATGAAATCGGCTCTGGATCTGATGGTTGTGACTCACGGTGGGCCTTTTTCAACGAAGTAGTCTTATGATAAAAGACCGTAACCTTACATAGGGGAAGTGTTTCGAAAAATATCGCTGTCTCGAGACGATGCTGATATGAATGAGGGTGGTTACGACGGCTAGGACTACGGCGGATGCGGCCAATGTGGGAGGTAACGGAGATTGGCTATACCCCGAGCGTTGGCGGCCAATGCATCGCCAATTTATTCCTCTCCATTGCGCCATTCCCCGTCACACCCCCAACCTATGACAATGAGATAGGCCTTCTCGAGGCGTTTATCCATTTCAAGCTCCTCCCACACCTTATCGTCGTTGATGTCAACAAAGCCTTGGGACAATTCATAGAGGTGGTACCCAATGAGCTGCGAAATCTCCGACAGCAAATTGATCCACATTGGATCGCTAGTAGTGATGTGCCAGGCCCGGCCCAAAGCCGTAAGCCAGCCAGAGCCAGCTGTCCCAAAGCCGGGCCTTTTTGGGCCGTCGTCAAGGCCCAGGAAAGCCCAAGGCTCAGGCTCACAATGCATGGAGCCTTGAGCCGTGGCCTGAGCCATGGATTCAAAGATTGGTGGGACCTTGCTTTGGAGACGTACGGTTGGTATGATTAAGTAGTTGAATATTGAATAGAATGGCCTGAAAAGGTGGTAACTCGCCGTTGTCCAAATTTTTCCAAAAACTTTCCCATTGTGCATCGTACTCTCATTCTCAACTGCATATTGCAAAAAAAAGCAGTACTTGCAGACGAACATCAGTCTCGAGTCCTGATTATCAAACCAAGCTCTGTATACCCAGTTTCTGCAAGATAGATCATTTAGTACACATGTCACATTGATAAATTAGAGACTGCATGAAAATGTGGTAACGTACAGCAAGATATAGGTGTTGGGTATTATTCTGATAGCAACACCTCCCGTCCTGACATGCCGGCAGACGTTTTTAAGCACACAACACGGCTTTTGGACAGTCTCAGAAGCGTAGTGCAGGCAAAATTTATTTGAAATTTATCAAGATGATGTCAACTGGTTGCACGAGTTTTGTAGGGGAAAATGCGAGGAAGTGAGGTACAACGTGTGAGGTGAACTGTACGGTCAGCTTGGAAGAAAGTGATTGAAAAGACGTACTGTAAACCATAAAGAATTTGCAATAAGTTCTCGACAAACTGATTGTTTGTGCATATTTTTCAACTTAGTACCTGAGCCGTGGCTTGAGCCTGGGCCAGGCCTGAGCCAGCCTGAAGCCTTGCAAAAAGCTCAGGCTTGAATAAAGTCAAGCCTGAGCCGCTGAAAGCCGGGCCATAGCCGTGGCTTTCAGGCCAAGCCGGGCCTGCACATCACTAAGATTCGCTAGGAATGTACTGGGATGCCAAGCGGATGAAGGAGGCATATACGGCCGATGGACGGGGAATGAGGATCTTGGGGCAACGTTGAGAGGGGTAGAGACGCATCGGCGGTTCTTCAGTAAGTTCGGACATGGAAAGGGTGGAAAATGAGAGAGGGTATAGAGCGATTTGTTGCAGATCCCAAGACTCTGTCCCGACAGTGATTCTATGAAATTTGCCTTTCAAGTGGAAATCACCGTCAACGTTGATGCGAAAGTCAGATAAGGGCATAAGCGGTAGGCCTAGGTTGGAAAGGCAAGCCGACGCGGATTCTAGCTGATTGTCCGGTACGACATAGTGGAAATTCTAACAAGAAACACGGCGCTTACACGACAATGAATTCATAATTGAAGTAAGATTGGACGTACCTTCACGAAGACGGGTACCTTCATCCTGCGGGAAAGTAGAGCGCGCCACTCGATCACTTGGATACCCTCTCGCTTCATCGTCTGGAGCGCTTTATCGACCAACACAGCAGGCTGCTCATCCAAATCTAAAAGCGTCGTAGGTTGTACCCCATGAGCTTCGTCGAAGAATATATGGGGGTTGCTTGAGACTAAGGTGGGCACCATTATGGTGGTCAAGCCGCGAGCGGAGGCAAAATTCAAATCAAACACCAGTAATGACCTAGAGGATGAAACAGTTAAAGAAGCCCAGAAATCATGCTTGGAGTCCGCAATTGGCTCCCGTAGACTTGGCCCAACATACCAGAAGCATTTTGAATAGAAATCAAGTCGGCCACTGGGCTGAGAAGCTGATAGCCAGTTTTTGTTGAGTTGGTGTGGAAAAACTATATTTAGCCATGAAGTTTTGGTGAATGTTACTGGCGACCCAATTACCACCGCCAACAGCTTACATCCGACCTCCCCGAAGCAGAAACACCTGACTGAGGAATGAACAATTCAGACTTACAAACCCTCGAGTCATCTATCCATTCTTAACAATTAGCAGTGCTGGTGCAGTGCCGAACCCTAGGGCTATTGTTCGCCGAGAACCGTTCCAGCCGATAAGGACACTCATCATGACGGATGGATCCATATCATTCTTATTGTTGTGCACGTCCTGCCCTTTTGTTGTCTCCGCGGACGGGCACCCAGAGCGCTCATAAGCTAGGCAAATACGGTTGTTGTTGTCTCCTGGCACATACCATCTCCAGCTCTCACCAGCGCCAACGTTTGACGCTTGTTTTTCTATTCAATTCGAGTGAGGTTTAGTGCATCAATATTTGATCTTGTCCTATACCTCCAGGTAGGTGCGATGCAGAAATTTTGAAGACTGATTGCTGATCATGATGGTTGGAGTGTAGGATGGCAGTTCAGACGTTGTTCCAGACCCGTACAAGATCCCCTTCTCCCTCCTCGACAAGCCATGGTAGCCATGATTCGGGGAACTCGAGTTCTATTCGTTCTTTTGATATGCATCGTCTTAAACATGCTGCAGTAAGTCAAGCTTGCCCTTTCTTCCTCAACGTACTAATCATGTATTAATCAGTCATCATTCCTTCATCAACGCTGCTTATCGAGTCAAATCAGCCAGAGGAGGCATATAAACAGTCTTAATTCCGCATGTTCGCTTCCTGAAGCTGTCCTGCGCAAGGTTTTCATAGCTTGTGCACGGATTTTTGGGAATGACGATGCTGCGTGGAGTTGGGTCAATGTGACCTACGTTTGCTCCTCTTGGAGGCAGGTAGCCATCGACTGCCAAGACTTATGGCGCTATGTCGACTTTTCTCACCCCAAATGGTTCGCCGTCACGCTGCCTCGGGCTAAGACGGTCCCTCTCTGTATCCGAGCCACAGTTGGGACCCATAATACTGGGCTTCTACAACGAACATTTCAGCTCGCACACCGGATACAAAGCATAAACCTTACTTGCCCCATCCAACACATTCACGGTCTTCTTCCAACATTAACATACCCTAATCCCGCGCTCGAATCACTGACTATCAACGTCCGTATACCCAATTACGACAATACCCATAGAGTTTACGAACCCTTATCGTTCCCTACGACTGGCGCGCCCCTTCAGCGCCTACGATATCTGGAATTGCGCTGTGCGCCGTTCTACATGATCTCTCCACGTTTCAACTTTCTCACCCACCTTCATCTTCATGATCTACCACCATGTGAACGACCTACTCGCCGTCGTTTCCTTTTCATGCTCGCGAAGATACCCCTGCTACAAGATTTAGTCCTGGAGCGAGCTTTCCCCATCAACGTTGAATCAGATGACTTTGCCCATACGGAGAAACGAGTCACACTCTCTCATCTCGTTTCAGTTTCCCTCACTGGGTCTGTGACGGACCTTTCGGTCGTCTTAAACTGCATCACGATGCCACCCACCGTCTGCCTCTCCTGTGTGATCTGCACACTCTCAGACCTCAAGGGCAATATCTGGAGGCTCGGCCAGGCTATCGGAGCCCATTCATGGGGGGGAACTGATGGTGTCCGGCTCGAAACACTCGTGATAACGGGTCGAGAAGAGTCAGAGCGGTTCTTGCCCGGGGTTGACATCAACCCAGATTTCAGACAGTCTCTCCGCCTTCGGGCCTATAGAGCTGATAGTGAAGTCGGCCGTGCTGCGTTTGACCTTTCCATTGGACCTGAACAGGGGTTTTCGGGAGACGACGTTATGGTTACTGCGTTGGGTGCGATTTGGAAAGCACTCACGCTGACACATGTACATACGATGGCCCTCCAGAATCTGGATATCGTCACGCAGAAATCGTGGTCCCAGTTCCTGCGCACTCTGCCTTCCCTTCGGGTTTTGGATATCAGAGGTCTCCCGCCTTCAGGTTTGGTTTGGGCACTTTTGCTGAACGCACGGGCTCATTCGCAAGGTGATGGGGGGAATGGGGACGCTCAGCGTCTTTTGATCCCGAGGCTTAATGATATTTATATTCATGGTGTTGATTGTTCGGCTGGAGGGTTCATGGTTGCTTCCGGTGCACTTGTGAACTCGCATTGCGACCTGGACGACTCACGTTTCTTGGATGTCCTATCCGCATGCCTGAGCGAACGGCGGCGGTTTGGGTTGTGTCTCCGGAGTTTATCCATCGCACGATGCGAGTATGTGTACAAGCAATCAGCAGAAGATGCGAAGAAGGCTGTAGCGCATCTTGTTTGGGATTTGAGGGGGATCGTGAAGCAGGAAGCGGTCACGGATGAGACTAGTCCGGCGAGGTATAGGAAGGATTGGACAATTTCAAGTTATCGGCCGAGGCATTATCACCGAATGAGGACTCTTAGGGAGTTGGACTTGGAGCAGGAACAGGAGAGCAGTCAATCGTGACATGTTTACTATCTTGTCCTTTCTTACTTGTTCACCTGCACTTCATGCTTTTTGGCGATAGCCTTCTTTCTCACTACGTAAAGCCTCGGTATTCAATGGCGATATATGCCTCATTCAAACCTCGGCGCGCCCTATGGGTCGGCACAATTTTGATTGTGCACCTTGCACACATTTTACTGCCACAAAAATTGCTCCTGGCTCTAACTTTTTTTCGTTATGTAAGAAAATACGAAGAGAATTCCGTTTACATTGCTGCCTCCCACAATTGCTAGGTTGCCTGTGCTACTTACTCTACAACAGCACTGGTAATCGTTCAGAATCGATAGATGACCCTGCGCCACACCACACCTCTTCATAAAAGTTCTGATATTCTAATGTATATGTAAAAGTACATGTCTACATAAGAACCCTACATTGACAACCTAAGTGAGCATGAAAAAATCTACCGCAAATTACGCGTATTAAACACAATTAAATACGTCGACACCGTTATAAGTCCAATCGCAAGCACCACACCAGCATAACAAAGCGCATACCGACATCTCTGAATCCAAGGATCGAACATCCTCCTCCCGGACTCTGGGCGTCCCCTCACCTCCTTCAATTTGACGCCATAGAGCAGGTGATCGAAGACCCTGTTGGGCTTTGACACCACCACCTTGAACGTCCTCGCGAACCAGCTCTTGGGTCTAGTTCGTTCTGAACACTGCACGGGACGAGAGATGAACGGGTACCCGAAGGATATCCCGCGCAGGGACCGCTTGGGATCGTTCAACCGAGCCCTGCCGTCCTCTGACGCCTGTTTCTCCGCGACCCATCTAGGCAAAGGCGGGCCAAGACACTGTACCGGCGCCTTCTTCCCACCACCACCACCTTCCCCAGCTAATCCCTCCCCTGTGGCACCAGCAGCCATACCCATCATAGTAGCATTCATCACCATCAAATCCCGCTTCTTATTCCGCCCACCACAAAACTTCTCCTTCCAATACCCAGCATTGAAATAAAACTCCCAAAACGTCAGACGAGGCGGCTGTTCCCCGAAATTGGTGAAATGCCAACCACCGACGAGCCATAGGACGGGACATAGGAAGCCAAGCCAAAACGCCCAAAATGCTGGAGTTACGGTTATCCATTGCCTTTTCGCGCGAAAGGTGTGAGGTCTGCCTGAACCGAGAGCGGCGTCTCGGTCCCATCGTCGAGCTATGAATGATTCGTTGGTAGATTGGGCTTGGGATCGTATAGAGCGGATGGACGGTAAACTTGGGTTGTTTCTCCTGTGTCCGTACATCGACACTTTCTCATCCTCTTCTTCCTCTTCCTCCCCTCCCTCCTCGTCATGGGGAATCTGCCTTGAAGACCCACCAGGACCAGGCACCCGATCTTTACTCGTAGCGGTAACAAAGCTATCAGCATGCAACGACTCATGATCACCTCCATACTCCTCTGGATCTTCATCGTAATACCCCTCTGCGCTGCCCGCGATAACGGACATCGTCGACCTGCGCAGTCTAAGCGGGGGTCCTGAGCCATTAATTTGGCTGGGGTGTGGACCGGGAAAGGGAGGTCGGAGGTCGAGAGGGGGAATGCTTGGGGGTTCGGAGGTTTTGGTTGTTGTCGTGCCAGTGCCAGTGCCGGGTGGGGGACGGGTGACGACGGTGGATGTTGTTGATACGTGTGTCCTTGAAGAGGTTTGGGATGTTGTTCGGTTGAGTTGGCGTGTGATGAATGGCGAGGAATAGGATGGGGAGGGTCCTGTGAGGTTTGTTAACATCGGGTTTTACTTGAGAGATACTCTACTCAGGAAGACTTACGAGTAATTTCGGATCCTTGTGATCCATCTGGACTAGCATTAGCCGATATACCCGAAGGAGGTCCAGACGCAGAGGCAGATCCAGCAGAGGTAGACCTTGATAAATCATTCTGCGACCCTTCACGACTAGGCAACCCAGTCGACTGCCTCGTCGAACCCGGCGAAATATAATCCTGCTCCGCAATGGGCGACAACTGTTTCGCCAGCGGATAATTATACGAGTTTCCATACATATCAGTGTTGACCGAATGAGGTTGAGAGTCCAATCGTAACGAATGCGTACTTTGCGAGAAGATCTCGGGTGGTTGAAGCTTCAGCTTCATTTTAGTTGTTGTGTTTGAGGTCGTTGTTGTTGACTCCGTCGAAGGTGATGGCGAGGGGCTACGAAGAGACGCCGTGGAAGGGGGAGAAGAAGCAGACCGGGTCATAGGAATAGGATGTACATGCCCATGGGGCACCACCGACGGCCTTGGTATACTCCCACCATGGCCATCCACGCGCACAACAGCAGGCGGAGGAACTTGGACAGTCGACGTCGCCTCTTCATCATCCTTTTCTTCCGACGGTACTCTAACGCGAGGACCAACACCCGGACGACGAATCGGGCTAGGCTGCCGATAATGCTGCCAGTGCGTAACATGTTCTTCGCTGAAACCCGTGAGGGAGCTTGTTCCAGAGCGTGGGATGGGCGGGCTGATGGCGCTAATGTCCAATTGGGCGGAAGACGCTGAGGGGGGTCCTCCGTGTCCCTGTTGCGTTACTGGCCAAGGGAGGCGTTCTTCCTCTGAAGTGTCCTCTCGTAGACGCCAGCGGTTAAGAAAGTCGAGCATCTCTCAGTCAGGTCGCGTGCTGCGGTGGAATGGATTAGTAGAGAGAAATGCGAAGGGGAAGAGAGGGAAAGTTGAAACGCACTTGTTGTGCATGAATTTTATATACATCAGCGCTCCTCGTGTTCGGGTGTGGTGGCAGTCGTTCTTGGGAGATTGATTACTTGCGCTCTACTCTGTAGATGATCATACGACCCCGAACCTGAAGGCATGGCATGGTCGGTCCAGCCTACATGCAGGGAATCGCCAGGTAGCAGTGACAGATCACTGTGAATTCCGAAAATACTCTTGCCAAGTAACCCCATCGAGCACTGCCGAAGAGATAAACGCGGTGTTGATTGCCAGCGTCCAATCGATTTTGAAGAGGTAGCTTTGCCACGAGATCATGTGCGGAAAACATGGTTGCCTCGAGGATGGTGGATGGCCAGATTGGGTCAACGTCAGTTCCCCCTCTATGACCGAGCATGAGGAAGTAGACGTTCATAACGATGAGAGTAGATAGCCAACGTGGTTGAACGTTTGCATTAACGGCGAGGGGACAATCTTGTTTCGTTGGATGTCAATGTGATCATGAGCACAATCGTGTCTGTGAAACTCAACTGACCCGTCCAGGTTCCGATGGTCTTTAGCTCTGAATGAAATGAAATCGGGGTACATAGGCTTCAGAGTGTCTTTTGATACAGGCCAGTTGAGAGAGTACGTGTAATACAAGATAGCAGTACGTCAAGATCAGTCGATAAATCCAATAAATGACAAGGGTATCACAGTTCGTACAACATCGCTTCACTTCGTTTCCTCAACTTTGTCCTCCGTCGTCACCGCCATGCCTTCAACTTTATTCTGTTCCGTCGTCGCCTCCTCCATGCCTTCAACTTTCTGACTCTCCGGAACCGTTTCGCTGGCATCTATAGGTCCCGTCGTCTCTTCCTCATCCACAACCTCCGTCGTCGTTGGTGGGGTAGACGCATCAGAACCCGGCTCATCCAACTCCCCAGGGGACGTCTCTTCAGGCAACGGCACGCTCTCCGGTTCCAGTTCCAGCGCCGTAACCTCACCTTCTTCTTCCTTCTCCGGAGTCTCGCCCTGCAAATCAACCTCCTGCACGCCCTTCGTGACCTCCTTCACTTCCTGCGTCTCAGGCTCAGGCTGCGCATCCCCATTCCCATTGTCCAAGTCTAAATCCAATGTGGGTCCGGGGGTGGCACTGTCCCCGCGCGCCTTCTTCTTCCTCTTCACCTCCTCCTCCTCCACCTCCGCCTCCCTCTCCGTTGAGCTTAAGCGGCGTTTTCGGCGCGTACGTGGGGCGTTGGAAGTTGCTTTAGGATTGTTAATTAGAACGCGTCACATGAAAAATGAAATGAAATGAATAGGGGGTGGTGAAGGCACTTACGATCGTCTTCCCAAGGTCTATCTGGTCGTGGTATTACGCCGTAGGAAATGCGTCGGATGAGGCTGAACATCGTTATTTGGGAGGAGGTGGGTTGGCGCTGGAGGGTTGGTGGCAACTGGCAACAACTCAAGACGCGACTTGAGAATGTGCGTGACTGAGTGTGGTCGTATTTGGTACGCACGTGTGGAGATAAGATAAGATAAGATAAGATGGTAGATAAATTTCCTAATCAATCGATCTTGACTCGAGCAGTTATATCCCAAGTCCACACCAATCACCCCCTCACCTGAATCACCATGACGCTCGATATCCTCAGCTTCATCGACAACAAAGGCGGTAATGCAGAAGAGATCCGCGAGTCTCAGAGAAAACGCGGTCACTCCGTCGAGCTCGTCGATGAGATAGTCCAGATGTATGCGGATTGGGTGAAGCGTGCGTTTTTTTCAATCTTGTTCATCGATGACACTCATGAAAAGGGATAAATAGTGGACTTTGAGACGAATGCGTTGAGGAAAAAGGTGAATGAGGTACAGAAGGAGATATCGGCTAAGAAAAAGGTTAGTTGGCTTTTTTTCTTTTGAAATTTGTGAAGATGATGGACAAGTGATGGACGATAGGCAAAAGAACCCGCAGATGACTTGGTAGCTGCGAAGAAAGAGATCGACGCGCAGGTTGAGGCGAAGAAGAAGGAAGCAAAGGAGTTTGAGATCAAGATGCGTGCAAAGGCTTGTACGGTTGGGAACATCGTTGGGAAGAACGCTCCCATCTCTCTTACAGAGGTAATGCTTTTTAAGAAAATCTTGATCAGGCGGATCTGATTGGTACAGGACGATAACACTACACTACGTACATGGGACCCTCTAGGCGAGACTGACGACCCCGCACCAAGACCAGGAATCCTTCCCCACCACGAAGTCCTCCTCAAACTCGACGCAATGGATCTCGAACGCGGTAACGTCTCCTCTCATCCTCACACCCCTCCTCACTCAAATCCATACTATATCATAGGAGCCAAAATCGCCGGTCACAGGGGATACTACCTCACCAACGACGGCGTCGACCTAAACCAAGCCCTCATCTCCTACGGGCTCGACTTTCTCCGCAAACACGGCTACAAAAAGATCCAACCCCCCTTCATGATGAACAAAGACCAAATGGCAAAGACCGCGCAACTGGACCAGTTCGATGAGGAGTTATACAAAGTCATCGGGTCGGACGACGAGAAATACCTCATCGCCACATCCGAACAGCCCATCTCGGGCTATCACTCTGACGAATGGTTCGAAAGTCCCGATACGCAGCTCCCTATCAAATACGCGGGGTATTCGACGTGTTTCCGTAAGGAGGCAGGGTCGGCTGGGAGGGATATGTGGGGTATCTTTAGGGTGCACCAGTTTGAAAAGGTTGAGCAGTTTGTGATTAGCGATCCTGAGAAGAGCTGGGAGATGTTGGATGTGATGATTGGGAATAGTGAGGCTTTTTATCAGAGTCTTGGGTTGAGGTATAGGGTTGTGGGTATTGTGTCGGGTGCGTTGAATTTGGCGGCTGCGCAGAAGTGTGATTTGGAGGCGTGGTTCCCGTTTCAGAGGGCGTATAAGGAGTTGGTATCTTGTTCGAATTGTACGGATTATCGTGGGTGGTTTCTTTTACTTTTCTTCTCTCGCTGATTTCTTTTTGTTTGACAGAGAGCAGGAGGTTGGAGATTAGATGTGGATTGAAGAATAAAGACCAGACGCGCAAGGTATATGTGCACATGCTCAATGGTACCCTCTGTGCAACAGAGCGTGCGCTTTGCTGTCTAGTCGAGAATTACCAGACGCCAGAGGTGAACACTTTCCTTGCGGGCACCATGAATTTGACTGACATCTTGTACAGGGCCTCGTTATCCCCGAAGTCTTGCGACCATACATGCAAGGACGAGATTTCATTCCGTTTACCAGAGAGCTCCCCAAAGGAATGCAGAAGAAACAAGCATAGAGAATGGAAGGATAACCTGTATAATTTATGTAGGACTGCAAGTTGTAATTAGACTTCCATGAGATTCCCCGCAGTCTAGTCACACGGCTGTGTTAAATTCCGCGCTTCCACTGATCATCACAAAAACGAATTCTTCCACCACCACCACCGACGACGACAGCAGCCAAATCCCCAGTGCGGGGGATTTCGATGACCGCCGATGCCGCCCATCCTATACCTTCTATACACCGCCCTCATCTTATTTAAACTACTCTCAGCATCATGTCTCGCAGACTCATCCACAAATTCCCAAGCGCTCGTCCAACGCTCACCAGACACACCACCTCCCCACCAGGACGACCTACCACCCACATCACCACAGGACCTAGAACTCCTCGACATAGTCCTCGTCGCATCCATCGACGGGAAATTTCACGCCCTCAATAGGACGTCAGGCCAAACACTATGGTCCATGTCCTCATTCGCCCCAACGACCACGAGCGTCTCTGCCCCTCCGACGCTGGGGCCCCTCATCCGGACGACCCACGTCGATCTGGATCCCGAGGACGGGGCGGCGTATCAGGAGATGTACATCATCGAGCCACAGTCGGGTGACATATACATCATGGCGACACCTTCGAGCCCATTACAGCGTTTCCCCTTTTCCATGCCAGAGTTGGTCGACATGTCGCCGTTTACGTATCTGGGGGACGAGGAAAGGCGGGTTTTCGTGGGGAGGAAGGAGACGTCGTTGCTTTTGATTGAGCTTGAAACGGGAAAGGTGAAAGCGACGCTCAACTCGGAGTGTCCCTGGGATCCGTTTGAGGATCTGAAGAATGATGAGATGGATTTGGATTTGGATGAGTTGGAGGAGGGCATTTTGAAGCCTTCTGCCCCGACGGAGGTGTTCATTGGTCGGACTGGTATGCGATCTTTTTTGCGCTCACACGAGCACTTGCTAATTGACTCTAGACTACCACATCTCAATATACAGTCGACCGACGAACCGTACGCCTGGGACACCTCTTCCCCCAGTCCAGAACCTCTCATTCTCTACATATGGTCCCAACAACCAAGATAATCACCTACAAGCATCCTATCGTACAACTCAAGACGAAGGGTACATCCAAAGCCTACCCAACGGCGAGATCATCTACTTCAAAGCCAAATCCACAACAAGCACAGGCGGGCGAGCTGTTTGGGGACGCAACTTTAACACACCCATGTACGCTCTTCTTCTCCTTTCTTTCCTTCACCCCATGCTCAATCCTTCCGAATGCAGCGTAGCGATATTCGACGTCCTCCAAAAACCCTCTCACCCACACAAACCCCACCCCTTCGTCCTCCTCCAGCCTCGTCCCAGACTCCAAGACGTCATTCCCAACCTCAGCCATACGGCCCGCTTACCCAACCTCGACTCTGCCTACGTCGGCATGGTCGAAGAGACGGGAAGCTTATTCGCTATGAGCCCGGACCATTACCCGCTCGTCGTTTTTGGGGGGCCGGAGAGGTATACCCAGGGAAGACTTTTGGATGCTCCAGGACATGGTGATGATGATGATGATGAGGACGGGAGAGTGCCTACGGCTGTTGATGAGATAACGAGGTTGAGGAAACAGAGGCAGAGGATGGATGAGAGGAAGAGGGAGGCGTGTAGTGATTCGAGTGCGGGGTTGAGGGATAGACGATGTTTGGTTGGTGTGAGGAGGCTTGAGGATGGGGATGGGCATGAGAGTCGGATGAGGAGGTTGTTGGATGGGCCTGTGAGAAGTGATGTTGGCCCTGAGGTGCTTTCGAATGGGAGTACTCCTGTTGACGAGGAGGAGGGGGAGGTGTTGGAGGAGGAGCCTGGGTTGGGTAGGGTCACTGGCCTTAAAGAAGCGAGGAGGTTTTGGGAGGCGGTGGTTGTATCTGTGGTTGTGGGGATTTTGTCAGTGTGGTTTGTGGTTGGACGGGTCAAGAGGAAGGTGGAGAAGAGATTGAGGGTTTTGGTTGAGGAGGAGGATAGGAGGAGAGCTGAGGAAGATGTTATGACGCCAACACCTCCAACGGCAGAGATTCCTGCAACCCCTTTGACGGCTGGTCCAGTTGATATCAAAGAACTGGTTCAATCGCCCATTATGAATGGATTCAAGGACTCACCAAAGTCTAAGGATGCAGCACAATTATTGCCCCCCATAGCAGACGACGGAGAAGAGAGTGGTGGAGATGGTGAAGGGGACAATGACCCTGTTGCAACTCCTGGTAAGCGGAAAGGAAGGAGGGGGAAGAGGGGAAAGAAGAAGAAAGCTGGTGCTATACCAGGAGGTGGTGGTGCTGCTGAGGAGGTCGAAGAAGAGAAGAAATTGAACGGAGCTGCGCATGTCAATGGGTCTGCCGTTGTGAAGGAGGTGGAGACGCCTCCACCACCGCAGACGTCGCTCGTAATCACTTCTTCTCCCAAGCCTCCTCCAACTGGTCCGTCGTTAATCGTTTCCGATACGATTCTGGGTACGTCAATGAGTCTACACTATTCCGGACATTTTATTCAACTTCTCTTCTAGGCTTTGGCTCACACGGCACTGTAGTATTCCAAGGCTCCCTCCAAGGCCGCGCAGTAGCCGTCAAACGGCTCCTGCAAGACTTTGTCACCCTCGCCTCAAGAGAAGTAAGCATCCTGCAAGAAAGCGACGACCACCCCAACGTCATCCGGTACTACTACCAAGAAGCCCACGCCAACTTCCTCTACATCGCCCTGGAGCTCTGCCCCGCCTCGCTGGCAGACATAATCGAGTCCCCAGACCGAGACCAGTTCCGCGACATTGCTATTTCGTTTGACCCCAAAAAGGCGTTGAAGCAGATAGCGGGTGGGCTGAAACACTTGCATGCGCTGAAACTCGTGCATAGGGATATCAAGCCCCAGAATATACTCGTGTCGACGAGTAAAGCGGGCGGAAAAACGGGGAACAATAATTATCGCATGCTCATATCGGATTTTGGGCTGTGTAAAAAGCTGGATGTTGACCAGACGTCTTTTTATCCCACTGCGAATGGGGCAATGGGTGCTGGTACGGTGGGCTGGCGAGCGCCAGAAATATTGAGGGGGGACGTGAAGCTCGACGAAGTCACTGACGAACACTCGCTGTCTTCTCGCGGGAGTACGTCGACTATCAACGGGTCTGTGTCATCTGGAGGAGCACCTACGACGGGGAAAAGGACGAGGTTGACCAAGTCCGTGGATATTTTTGCATTGGGGTGTCTTTTTTATTATACCCTGACGAATGGGGGACATCCGTATGGGGATCGATTTGAGAGGGAGGTTAATATCATGAAGAATGCGAAGAATTTGGATGGGCTTGCGACGTTTGGAGAGGAGGGGACGGAGGCGAGTGATTTGATTACGCAGATGCTTGATCCAGAGGCGTCAGAACGGTGTGTTGTTTTCCTTTTCTTTTCTCTTCTTTGGTCTGCCAGGCTCAACTTTTTTTTATAGACCAGATACCACGACATGTTTACTTCATCCTTTCTTCTGGGACTCTAGTCGTCGATTGAACTTCCTCCAAGATGCTTCTGATAGATTCGAGATCATGTGTCGGGATCCTAAAGATCCGAATCTGCTGAATCTCGAAAAAGACGCGATTAACATCGTTGGACCAGATTGGCATGCACGTCTGGACCGTGCATTCACAGAAAACTTGGGCAAGTTTAGAAAGTACGATGGGAAGTCTGTGCAGGACTTGCTACGTGCTCTACGGAACAAGGTTCGTTTGCCACCTCACTCTGAAATGAAATGCTGATTCACTTTGGGTTGCGTTAGAAACACCACTACCAAGATCTTCCAGAAAACGTAAAACGCAGTCTTGGGCCCATGCCTGATGGATTCCTGGCATACTTCACCCGCAGATATCCCCGTCTGTTCCTGCATGTGCACGCCGTCATCAAGAACACGGGACTCTGCAGTGAACCGATGTTCAGGGCCTACTTTGAGCTGCCGGAATCATGAGCCTGCGTTGCTTTTCTTGCTTTCATTGTTTTGTACTCTCCGAACTCTATTCATAGTCATGCCTTGAACCTAGACCTCGCACTGCACACATCTGCATCATATTTATCCTTCCATCTGTATCTTGTACACTACCTGTGCCTTTTTATACCTCCAGCATTCAATGGAATCTTGAGTGGGCGACGTCTCCGCACAATGAAACCCATTTCATTCAAGTGTCCCCATGAGGTAGAAAGAAAGAAACTAACATATGTATAATAAACATCCATACAACTCAAAGATCATTATGACTACAACACCTGCCTACTCTACCTTTACGCGCATGAGTCCCACCTCCCTCCTCACCACGCCAACCACTCTCCATACATATTCGGACGTTCCCCGCGTATATACGCTTCGAATGTCCTTTTAAGCACCGTCGACCAGTCCAAATCTCGCTTGTCACCAACAGACACTGGCAGATCTTGTAGCGGTGAAACAACATCGTCCGTTGCGGTTTTCCCTCTCAAGGAAGCAGCAGCAGCAGCTTTCTCAGCCAACGCAGCTCTCCTGAGTGCTGCTTTGGCTTGGTCCTCGCCGTCCTTGAAACGGGGGCCTAGATCAGGGAAGTTGCGAGCTGGGTCAAAGGGTTTCCACCTGTGATACATATGTGAGATTGGGATATGGGGCGCGAGGGGGCAACACGCACCAAAAGTTGTGGAAGTGGTATGAATAAGCACCCCGGAAGAACCCATGGAATCCAAGAGCCTGGGGTGCAGCACTATTTTGTACTGGGGTATCGAAGAAGTCACCAAATCTGTTAATACAGATCAGCGAAGAATGCGAAGTGGGAAAGGGAAGACGTACTCGGTGAAATAAGGTTGTGGTGGTCGGTCCCGTTGGAAGTTTTCGGTATTGAGCCAGGCGGAATCAAACATCGCGTCAGGAAGCCGTAAAAGCAGACCCTCAAGATGGGCATCAGCAGCATAACGTGACACTGTCATAGGGTGGAAATCGAGTCCGTTCTTCAGCGCCGTGCGGAAGAGGAAAGTTCCCAAGGCAGAGTTCTTGTTCATGCGCAGCACTGCCGTGTTATATTTCTCCAACCGTGACCAACGGTAGGCAAAAGCGCCCTTCCAGCCCCACAGTTCTTCCCAGTCACGAAGGAGGATGGTATCAGCATCGAGATATATGCCTCCGAATCGATGGCAGAGGACGAAACGAGCCATGTCTGAGAGGATGACGGAGAGTCTGTCGTATGAAGAGGACGACTTGGATCCTAATCGGCTTTCCAGGTCGTCTTCATCCGTTGATGAGGTGGCATTGGCTGCAGCGCCCGAACTTGTCGCAGTAACATTCTTTTTCTTGACGCTGATGATGTGACCGCCAGAGTTGAACAAGCTTTCCTGCAATGCTCTCCACTCATCCTTGATCTCGGGAATGCCGTCAAGCTGCTCAGTGGTGTTCCACAGTTTGAATTGAATGACATCCTTGAAGCGAGGATGGAGGAACGGTGCGGCCCATGGGCTATTCTTGAGCATAGTGAACATGTCACGGACGGCCGAGGGGTTGGGCACCGCTGCAGCTGGGCCTGGGTTGATCCACATCCAAAATTGAGGACGGCAAACTTTGGCATCGGAAGGCCAATCGCGCAGGTGAATGCCCGTGTTTTGGGTATAAAGGAATGACATGAGGGCAAGATAGGGCTTATCGGTGAATGGTCCAGTCCAGAACATATGGTATACGCGGGGGTTTTCTGGATCGCATGGTTGAGGCAACGTTGACGCAGGTCGGTGACGGAGTGGGGAGGATAGAACGACCTGAGGTTCCCATTCTGCCCCACGTTTTTTGACCAGGCCTTCGTCAGGGTCAACCTCGCCCTTCTTTTTCGCTACTGCTGGCCGTTGGGCGGAGGGCTGTCGAGGAGGGATGACAATCGTTGCTGTAGAATTATTTGGTTGTTCGAGGTATATGTACTTCCAATCGTCCAAGTTGTCCCGTCTCATGCGTTCACCGTTGTCCAATCCGCCCCCAATTCGGAGAACTTCTAGGCAATCTCGTACATACTGTCGAAGGAGATGAGCAAATGTGGGTTAATTAGCAGCAAGTGCAGTAGCTACCTTTCCTTGTGAAAAATGACAGTGCTTCATAATCTCATCCATGTCTGCAACACTTCCAGGTACCGGCCGCGGAGGATATGCAACATTTGGGGGCTGACTTTGAATGTCAAGGTATACGCGGTTGGCGCCTGACCCAAGAGTTTCCGTAACCACGTCGACCGCGCCCGGGGAGCGGTATCGCGAGGGTTTTATGCTCGGTGGCCGGGGTGGTAGAGCAGGGTTAACGACGGTCTCAGTCATTCCAATTTGCAAAGGTACTGTCATACATGTTAGTCTACTGCCGACCAAACTAAGCAGGTGCGTTGCAACTCACTGGGGTCATGACTGGGATAATGTCCACTCGCGACCTCCCACTTCCATATCCTCTGCAAATCCTCACGCCTAAACACGAGCGTCGGCGGTTCTCCTGTCGAACTGTATTGTTCGCTCCAATCTGAGCCTCCAAAGCTTTTCGACATTAAAATGACAGTGAAGAAGACGGCTACGCAAGCAAGACCGACAAGCAGTGGCCCTCGCCTCCTCCTGAAACGCGCGGCATGGAGAGGGTTGAACGGACCAGCATTAGGCACTAAAATACGCAGCCGCCGTGTTCTAACACCGGGAATGGGAAGAAGGAGAGGACGTGTCCAAGCGGAAGGGTGTGATCGGTGCCGTTCAAGCTTCTCCTCAATGGCAGAAGAATGACTTGGCAGCTCGTTGTTCATGACGGCGACCAGAGGGTCTTTGTCGAGGTCGATGATGTGGTGGACGTGGTTGGCGACAATCCTGGAAAAACTTGTCCTTGACGTGGAACTACATAGCACAGCCACACAATTTCAATCGACGTGTGGCCCTGTTTTCGCGACTTCAACATCCTCAATCTTGTCCCGAACGATGCTGAGATATAAAATTCAGTGCTAGAGGCCTATGGATCCGAGAATATCACAGAAGATTGCCCCAAGCTAGCCAACGGAAGATATAAACGCAAATAAAACAGTATGAAATTTCAGCTGGCCCTTGATTTGACTGTGATAACTAATTTCGCCGTGCATATCCCAGCACATGGCATCCAAAATTCAATAACCTCGCCAATGATTTGCGATCGACGAGGTTCGTCGCTTCTCAAGTCTTGCCTCGACAAGCGCCGCGTCTGGACTATCACCACGTATTAATTAGAAGGAAGCCTCAAGAATACACCACGAGTCGTCTATCCACATCTTCACTCTGCCTCAACCCTGCCACTCCCTCCAATTGGCCTCTTGGATGGCGGACTACGGATAGTTTGTCAACGATCACGCAGCTTCGTATTCGACTGGCAGTCCCATTAGTGGCTCTTGGTTGTCTGACCTATGTTTCTTATAGAAGCTCAGCGTCATGGGTCGACTCTATCGATGTCAAAATGGACATTACTCTCCACAGGCACCGCACAAAGACAGATGTTTCAACTTGCTTCACATAGCTCTCCACGCCGTCCTGTTCTCAGGGCACCACCAGAAGACTTGACATACTAGGCTTGCGTAAGAAAAAATTTGAAAGAGTATGGCTGGTACATACCGGAAATCACATCGAACCTCAAAACTCGTAGCCTACTGCATCATCACAGTCTTCGGTTGAACCATTGGTCACCCCCAAACTCCGTAAAGGTGTCTGTAACCTAATGACAATGTACATTAGCCTCCTTCATCCAAAATGGAACAGTCAATGCTTACCCATGACGAAAGGATCGAGGGCAGGATTGGACTCATCAGAGGTCTCCTCAATAATGCGTTCCTGAGAAGCTGGATCTTGCTTAGTCTTCCACCTTGCTTAGTCTTCCACCTCCACTCGATCGGCTCTGTGACCCAGTATGTCCCACCATCATCGTCGGCGTTAAGATGGACCACGATGAAGTACCACTTGATGCCAGTTGTGAGAGCCCCACGTATATGGGATTTCCTACGCATAAAAAGTGAGTTAAACATACATGTACATATCTGCTACGTCAAGATAAACTCACACCTGCGACTTTCGATGCCGCGACAACAATTGTGTAGTCAATGATCCCTGGGACAATGTCCATACGTGACAGCGTTGGACGGAAGGCAGATATCTGGTTCTCCACATCATAATGACGACCTTTTGAGAAGGAGCCATGGTAGACAATCGGAACAAAAAGGTGTTAACGAACCCATAAAAAGAGGTTTCGGGGTTGAAGTTGAAGAGGAAGGAGAGATGTTTGTACATGGCCTGGTTAGACCACTGTTAGTTAGAACCGAGAGTCCGACAGTCGTCGATTGCTTGCCGAAGTTCGGCTTCAGGACGGAGGAAGAGCACACCCTTTCCAAAGCCTTTTTAGTTGCGGCGGAGAACGAGAGCGACTAGAAATTGCAAAGGAAAAGAAAGTAACAGCCGTAGTACCAGCAGGCCGGGTTGTTGTTAACTCAGGGATCCGCAAATGTGTCGGTTGGCGCGACGTCAGATTCTGGCACATCAATAATAGACGAACGAAGCGCCCGCAGTTGACCAAGTGCGAGTTCAAGTTCCCCACTCGAGTCAACAATCTTCATGGTAAGTGAATGAGTTGTGGTTTTGAAATTTGAAGTCCGACGGTCAGCTAAAACGCCTTTGAGCTTGGTATCATCGTGTGTGATGCTCTCTTCCATTCTCAAGCTATTGACAAAAAAACGAAGTGTAAGGCTGCCTACGGCTAGTGCGTTCTGTACCAATTGTATTTACTTGAAATTTACCCCCTCAATAGACCAGGATTTCTTCCGACATACTACCAATACGTGGTTGTTCAACGCGAGTGCTCGTAAGTGATGCCGACCTTGAACCTCCGTGGGTACTCATGAAAGTCTTGTGAAGAACTCAAACAAAGGCATGTCGTATTCAACGTGCAAGCCCTGATTGCAGAGGCGGTGAAGGCTTCAAACGCATCAGCATGTGTGGGTTTTCGAAAGTTAGCCGAGCTTCAATTGGAGCCTCCTCTTCTGAACTTATTTGAGGGACGTCAAATCGCATTTTTGAGCTGGAACTTGATGATGGCTCTCAACTCATCGCCAAGATTCCGTTCCCAATTGCTGGCCCCCCACACTACACAACAGCCAGTGAGGTCGCAACAATACGGTGTTATGCTCGCGAGATGCTACGAATACCCGTTCCTCGGGTTATTTCTTGGTGTTCTAAAGCGGAGAACACTCCAGTAAAGTCCGAGTTTATCATTATGGAAAAAGTACAAGGCGTTCAACTGTACGACCACTTGGCCAAACTCGACAAGAAACCCTGGATCCAGTTCACGTCAGACCTGGTCAAAATGGAGAAACGACTGACCGATGCGGAGCTCAGCGACTTGGGAAGCCTCTACTTCGAAAGAGACTTGCCTCCAGGAACTAAAAAAACTTCCATGCGGCTGATAGACAAGAATGGAACGAATGTCAACCATGATGGTATCTGCATTGGTCCCAGCGTCGACAGGCGGTTCTGGCGCGGGGAGCGCACAAATATGCAGACCGATAGAGGTCCCTGTACATCTGTCACTACTTTCGACAAGATAGCAACTAACCATTCGTCACAGGGGATAGTTTACCGGATTATACCCGAGCAATCATCGATTGCGAGATTCAGTGGCTTCGATCTCATGCGAAGCCGCATCCCAAGGACAGCCCCTTGTTTCGCTCAGACAGAGAAAACGATCCACAAACACACATTCATCTTCTCGAGAAATACGCCCTTGTCGTGGACGCCCTCGTTCCACGCGCCGATTTGTGTACTTTCCGCCTGTGGCATCCAGACTTGCATCTCTCGAATATTTTGATCTCCGGGCCCGACCTGGGCAACGTTGCGGGTGTTATTGACTGGCAGGAAGCTTGCATAGACCCGTTGTTGGTCGTTGGTTCTGTTCCCGACTTCATGGGATATCCCGGTGGCAAATATGTCCCTCAGACGTCACCACCTGGTAAAGCTACTCCGGATCCAGTCCTTCCGGAAATTTTTGATGAACTGGACGCCATAGAGAAGCAAAAGGCGGAAGACGAGCTGAAAGCTGCCAAACGTTATCAAGGCTAAACATTGCTCACTGAGAGGTTCAACCCAGCTTTGCACAAACAGAGGACAAATGAAGAGCGTCTTTTGCTCTGTAGCTGGCCGCTCTAGTACTGGGCTTCGAGGACATGGGACGAGGGATTAGCATTCTTTGAAAACTGTCTGATTATGATCTGCGACTCTTGGGACTCCTCGATCGATCCAACTATTCCATGTCCCATTTCGTTTACAGCTGAAGACCGTAGCGAAAACGAACGGCTGCTTTCCATCTGGTGGCGCGACCAAGAAATTGAACAACTCGTGTCGGAGATTGGTGTGCAACCAGATGGGGTGGTTGACAATGACAAGCTAGAGGCGGTGATTCAACGTAATGCAATTGTGAGGGAACGATTTGTTGGGGCGCTTCCTGAAAATGAGCGGGAGGACGCACGCCGACGATGGCCATTTCAAGATGGTGCGTTATCGTTGACAACCGAGCCTTGCCGTTGATTACGGAAACACATTGAATGGTTTATGTAGTATACAAGATATAAAAATCTGTATATTGAAAAGGGGGACGAAAGGGCGACGTCGAGGGGAAAGCGAAAGCTATAGTAGCGAAAGGTGTGTGAAGCTTATAAAGATCGACATGTTCCCAGAGTCGGATGTGTTAACGAGGGGCATCGGACAGCCACTGCTGGATACGAGTTGACCTCATCGTCAACAGATGAAATTGATCAGCCAGACGATTTCATGGAATGGGATGAAAGTATGTAAGTGCACAATACCATCGATATTTTTAGATCAGCCAGTTTAACAGCTTTCGAGCGCCCGGCAAAGGCCGAACATATCGCTCTTACTGTCAACCACCGATATCATCTTCCTGCGTAAACCACAACTATCCAACAAATTATACCCACCCCGCCATGTTCTACTATATCCAGGACGGTATTTCTCAGCGCACCAGAGAATCCAGCTTTATCGCTTTCTTTCCAGCGTTACACCATCTTGACTGGGATCTAATCTCCGCTGACATGCAGAGAAGAAACTGCCTCGAAACTCTTGGGGACGCCGTGATGTCTCTTTCCATCACCAACCTTCTTCAAAACCTACTCCCAGACCGGTCTTTACAAGTGTACTCTGTAAGTGATATTTTTTCCTTCTCAGCCGTCAGCCTCATCAAGAATGCCCATCTAGGCAATACGACCACCACTAGTCTCTAATCAAACATTTCAGCACATTTTAGCAAACGCGGGTATATCTCATGGTCATCCACAAACAAAATGCAAGGAGGCAGGGAACGCGTTCGAGATCTATGTTGGTGCGTTCAGTGAGACGGAGGGATTCGACGCAGCGAACGGCTGGATCGCAGAGTTATTCGCGCCTCTGGTATCCGCAGCGGTAGACGCGTACGACCTTCACTTTTCTCGACCTCCAGTGGCGACAAGTCTTGCTGCTTTACCGAGCAAACGCCCACGCGACGAAGATCAGCTTGTCCAGGATCCGGAGCCTCGCAAACGTCGACGAGGAAATTCTTACAGCGCATCTACCATTCCGAGCTGGTTGGACGGAATAAATGCCGCTGATTGGCGTCTAGCCCATCGCACACCTGCTGTCGCCCACTCCACAGTTCGCCGTGAGCACCCTACAGACGGAACAACGAAATATGAGAAAAGAGACGACCGCTCGCTTATCAAGGTCCTGGCCGACAAGAATTTTGCGCTAAGGAAGCCTCGTCAGTCTTCAATTTCACAACAAGAGCCAATTGCCCGATCATGGGGCGACTTTGCCAGTCAGCTGACATGTGGTTTTGAGCGCAACCGTTGATAAATGGCCCGAGAGCGCTGCTTGTTCATTTTTTCTATCATAGTTTGGATATTGAGGATGTCATCAGTTTAGGTAATTCTTGCAGCAACGCAAAATGCCTGAGTTGGAAACACAATTCTCGACAACACCCTATTCCTGAATAGGTCGTGTATAACTGGGTAGGAAAGATAAACTCGTGCATCTTACATTATAAATTTGAGTCCTCAGACGGTCGGATTTTCTTAATTGCGGGAGAACTTCGAGTTAGAAATCCATAACTACTGACACTTGACAATGGACTTGAAAAAAAGTAAGGGGTGATGTGGCTCCTGGTGGCCAAGAGGCGTAAACTTCCGTTCGACGCTGAGTCCGAGTCCAGATGCAAAATCACGATCACGTGGTCCGCATTGTCGTCCAAAAATAGACTTATGGATCACGAGCCAGGCCACCCACTATGCTGTATAAAAGCCCCCAAACCCGCCTTCATGTCTCTTGTCTTCTTACTACCATCTCACCCCTCTTGTCTTCTCCTTCAATCCGAACTGGCGGTTTACCAGAGCTCCCACCTCTTTTGGACACCGATGGCGGTCAAGTGCCATCGGCGAGGATCCTACTTAGTGAGTGGCTGACCGCTATCATCGCTCCCATGCTGTATATTATGCCCGCCCTATGGAGTGCGGTCATTGCCATCGCCCATTGACGCCATTGCCTTCGGCGGATCATCGTCGACTCGCCGGCACTCCACCATCGCGCTTCATCGAAGATCCCCTTTGCCACTCACTGACGATGCGCGCCGTGCTGACATTGAGTTTCAGAAATTCCGTTCTCGCCACAAGATCCATGACGAAAACAAGTCCGTTGCCGCTACAAGAGCCAACGATGAAGAACCCACAAGAACCAACGGCCGAATGAAAAGTCCCACAAGAACCAATGATGAAGCCCTGGGTCCTGCAGAAGCCATACCACACCAACTGGGCGCGTATGGCGTTACTGGTCGTCACTTCAGGGGTCTTTTTCGTTGGGTGCTCTGGCCTTGAGCCTCCGCTCTTCGTTCTCGAAACCATTTGGCTATGTAGCACCGCGCGTTCATTGGAAGTTGTGCGTAGTAAGAGCTCACAGGATTCCAGCGGCCATAAAGAAGTGCCCGGCAGCCTTGATGATGAGTCGACTTCAAGAGTCGACGAAGATACCACTTCAAGGGGGCGGCCTATGAGTCGACGAAAATACCACTTCAAGGGGGCGGCCTTTGAGTCGACGAAGACTAAAAAAATTGGCCGATGAAGAATGGAAAAAGGAAACGTAAAAGAGAGCTGAGTGGGCCGATGAAGATGTGGAGGTATCAGAGTTTGATATTGAAGCACCCCCGGCCGACGAAGATATGGAGCCATATGATCCATACGCGGGAGAGAGCGTTCAAGGTGAGTTCTTCCCGGGGGTGGTGGTCTGGTTTATTTGCCGACCTCCTCGTGCTCCCTTGTCGTGGGCCCCGGGCTTAGACCGCGTTGCTGTGCGCACCAGTTGACCAAAAGCACGTTAAATTTTATCACACCTTTTTCTTCCTTTCAAATACGCGCTGACCTTCTAGCTTTTTTGTTATTTGCGAGTAGGCTGTATGTAGATACAGGATTTGCGTCTTTGAGATTTCGCTGCTTCCTGTTGAAAACATGTAGACTGTACAAGCTAGGACAATTAAACCATTCTCACCAACGATCGAAACGGTGTCAGGTACTGAGTGGGACTACTTCGTTCATAAAAATTAAGGTTCACCGATGGGCAACCAAGGAAGCTCGGGTGTTCTCCATGCGCGTCTTGAACGATGTGTAAACTCAAGAGCGGGTCGAGAGCCATTGTAGGCGCAAGCAAAGTTCAAGAAGCAAACAAATACATCACAACACGATCGTTGCTTCCGCATTGGGACTTTCACGATCTGCCCACTGCCGCTATGCCAGAGATTGACGTCGGCTCACAGATTTTTGATGTTGTCTTTCACCCGACATTCGCGACGGTCTACACCGGTCTTCTGAACGGACATGTCAAGGCTTTCGCTTACAACGAGCAAGGAAAGGAGCAGGCGGCATTCTCAGTACGGCCTTCAAAACGGTCGTGTCGTGGTTTGTCGATTAAGCACGATGGAACGCATCTTTACGCTGTGGGGAAGGCAAAGGCGTTGAAGTACGTCCTACTTTGGATAGAATTTTATTTCTGGGCTCATCATCCGTTGCAGTGTCATTGATACGGCCACAGCTCAAATCAGTACTCGACCAGGAGCGCACGAGTGAGCCTGAAGCGCTTATCTGCTATATTCTGACCCACCAGGCACTTCCAAGTTCCACAATCAACCGCGTCAAGTATTTGATGCCATGGCTCATATCGACGGGTGATGACGACGGTGTCATAAAGGTGTGAGGAACGTTAGTCTATTGGAGATTGCATTGATCTGGTTGATGTTGATGCCATAGCTATGGGATCCCAGGCAGCAGGAGTGCGTCCGAGAATATACCCAACATTTCGACTATATCACCGATTTTTTGTGGCTGGACGATAAAAAGCAGCTGGTCGCGACGAGGTACGTGAGATGAAGATAACATGCGAACTTTGATACTGATTTAAGCAGTGGGGATGGAACGCTATCCGTGATGGACGTACGATCCAAGAAGCCAGAGCCTTTTGCCCAATCGGAAGACCAGGATGATGAATTGCTCTCCATTGTTGCTATCAAGGGGTACGTGGCACTTGCTCTCACATTTGGGCGCGATCGCGTGGAAACGTTGGCCTCCCATATGGTCTCAAAAACTTCTTGTTACTCATCAGTTCTGAAACTTGTTGCTTTGAGCAAATTTTTTCCTCGCGGCTTTCCGGGTAACATTCTCACTGCTCATTATCAATTTTAGGCATTCAAAAATAGTTGTCGGAACACAACTTGGTATTCTATCCATCTTTAACCGCAGCAAAGGGTGGGGAGATTGTGTCGATCGTGTACCTGGGTGCGGCGTTCTCGCGATGTCAATTTTCTGTCTTCGGCTAAAGGAGAGTTTTTCATGTCACGTCACAGACATCCACTATCAATAGACGCGCTCTGTAACCTGCCTCCCGGACTACCGAACGTAGATCCTACGAGCACAGTGCTCACTGGGTCTTCGGACGGTTATGTCCGAGCTGTCCAGATTTTGCCCACGAAACTGTTGGGTGTGGTAGCCGATCATGGAGAATGGCCAATTGAAAGAATCGCAGTTGGAGGTGGCGTCGGAAGTCAATTGACTTCCGGGTATGAAGAGGACAGCGCCGGAAAGAAAGATGGGACACAGAACAGAGTCGGACAGGAGATGGATATTGATCAGATGGAAGTTCTCAACGAAAATCAATCAAGGTCCAGCAAGTGGTGGGTCGGGAGTGTGGGCCATGAAGATCTGTTGAGGATGACAGACCTGGAAGGCTTTTTCTTGGATCAGAGTGAGGACAAGGAGCTGAAGGGTGCGCTGGGAGTCACCAATGAAAATGAACAGAGCGACGAAGATGAGGAGATGGATGTGTTGGGAAACGATGCAGGACACCCTGAAGTTGACGGATCTGGCTCTTCGAGTTCGGGCGAATCAAGCGAAGACTCGGAGGCATCGGACGGAGAAACGCCACAAGCCAAGCAGCGAAAACGAAAAATAGAGCAAAAGCCATTAGATGTAGACAAGCCAAAGGGCAGGAATGAGATAGACGTCGAGAATGCATTTTTCGACGAGCTCTAATAGTCGTACCGAGGCTCTACTTTTTTTTTTTGGCAGACAGTGAATCGTCTTTGCACCGGAGATACCCTATGCTAAGGATTTATCAGGTGAGTGTGTTGACGAACAAGAGTTCATTCAAGTATGGCTTGAGTATGGCAGTGGCGATATACCTAGCAAAAGAAACTTTTTAGAGCGCTGGATCCCTCTTGCATTCCTGGGAGATGTAAATAGAGCGAGTGCGTGGTTTCCTAAATTGCTTCAAATCGCGTTCTGAAATCTAGGGTGGAGATTATGACACCAAAAAGGTTGTGACGTTCCCGACAGCCTCGTCCCACATGGCCTCCAGTAAGTATTGACGGCGATTTGCCCAGGTGCTTCCACCTGAAGGAATTTCAAGAACGAGCTTTCCCGATCGCAAATGAGGGCTCTATGGCGAATTGGCGCATGACAGGGTGGGTTAATGTCCGAGACGGATTAACTTACGTCTCGTCACCCGTTCTTATAGGCGAATGGTCCCCGGCGGGCCAACCTACCAGAAACCAGAAAACCCACCATCGAATGATGACAGCCGGCGCATGGCCAGATGATTGCAAAGAAGCTTGAAAAATTCCCTGGGTGTAGTCCGACATAATAAGTGAAGATTGTGATGAATTTTACCTGCTCTTGTGCATCACCGTCTTGCACAGGGTGAACTTTAAGTTAGTCGCTCGGCGGAGATCTCAGATATTTTGAAAATGGCTTGATACACGTGACCTCAAGGACGGATCATGCACGAACACGCACAGACCAGGTTTGCGACGACGATGATGGCAGGTTTCAAGATCCGTGTTCCTTCCACGACGACCGGAAACACGAATTTTTGTTTTCTAAGAAAAGCATTTCAGCAAGGACACAATGCTTCATGTTAGACGCCTTATTCCTGGGGGGCGGATGTCGCGAACCTTGTCAAGCAGAGCATCAAATGTCCTAGCATCTCTAGATATCTCAACTACTCATGAGATTTCGGGCGTTTACGATGGAGAATGGCGCGGCTCGGGAGACCTCGTATCGTCCACTTGCCCTACAACTGGAGAGGTCCTAGCAAGGGTGAAGACGGCGACTCCAGAGGAACTTCACGCCGCATTGGAACGTACACGCGAGGCATACATCCATTTCCGCAGTAAGTCCGGGCTTCGTTTTATTGTTTATTCTTTAATCTCACAGGAATCCAGATGTGCCTGCGCCTCGTCGTGGAGAAATCCTGCGGCAGATTAGAGAAGCACTTGCCTCCAAGGTGGGTTTGCAGATTGTCTACGAGAAATTATTCAGCGTTTGACCTGTTCTTCTGCAGCGAGATGAACTTGGTGCCCTTGTTTCCTTGGAAATGGGGAAAATTAGGACAGAGGGAGTCGGGGAAGTCCAAGAGTTCGTCGACATTGTGAGTCAAGGCTGTACGTGTGACAGAAGTCATGAGTGATAGAAAGCTGGTAGTGCGACTACGCAGTCGGTTTGTCTAGGATGATGAATGGACGTGTGGTCGCATCAGAACGCCCAGGGCACTCTATTCTCGAAGGTGCGGAATAGTAGGATCTTTGGCTTATCTCCGTTCATGGCGAAGCAGTACCAAACCCACTCGGGGTGGTCGCTGTTTTGTCCGCATTCAATTTCCCCGTCGCGGTTTATGGTTGGTACGTCCACTCAACCTCCTTATTCCTGACAGTGTAGAACTCATGACATACAATAATAGGAACCTTGCTCTCTCGCTGGCCGCTGGAAACGCGACAATATGGAAGCCTTCCCCAACAACACCGTTGTGCTCGATCGCCGTGACGACTATAGTCTCTCGTGTTCTCGAGAAAAATGGTGTGCCAGGTGCTGTCGCCAGCTTAGTCACTGGAGGAAAGGAGGCCGGTGAAGCCATCGTCGAAAGTCAAGACGTGCCTCTAGGTAAAAATTGCGAAAGACCTTTAGGATGTCTTACCAACTCCAACGATAGTGTCCTTCACTGGGAGTGAACATGTAGGACGAATTGTGGGCAAGAACGTCGCAGCTCGATTTGGAAGGTCTATCTTGGAACTAGGTGGAAATAATGGTCAGATACTATTCTTACAAGACATTGTTGACCGTTGACACTAACCCGCTGTCACTTTTCCCAGCATCAATCGTGATGCCTGATGCTGACTTGTCGCTCGCCGTTCCTGCTGTCTTTTTCGGTGCTGTCGGTACCGCGGGGCAGCGCTGCACATCCACAAGAAGGCTATACCTTCACAGGAACATTGCAGATGAATTTTTGGACCGTCTGCAAAAGATGTACCGTACGGTGGCACCCGGTGACCCTTTGATTGACAGCACCCTTTTGGGCCCTCTCCACACAAAAGCGGCGTGTGATATCTACGACAAAACAATCCAACACCTCCAGGCCATTGACGCTGATATATTGACCGGTGGAAAGCGATACGGTCACGCGAGCTTGAGTGCTGGCAACTTTGTCGAGCCCACAATCGCTATCCCTAAATCGGTCAACCCAAAGGATTTCATCTGGAAAACGGAGACCTTCGCCCCGATTCTTAACGCCGCAATCTTTGACGACTTGGAACAGGCTATCGAGTGGAATAATGGAGTTCCTCAGGTACTATGATTTCATCTTTATGTTTCCTTCAAATTCATAGTTATCTTTCGAGTCTCTAGGGATTATCCAGCAGCCTGTGGACGCGAGATATCAGAAATCTTGGTCGCTGGATTGGACCAAGCGGATCCGATACAGGTATTGTTAATGTGGGTCGGGTATCTTTATGTGTCCGTTACTTTTCACCTGATCGTTTTCGTAGGTAAACGTGGGGACCAGTGGCGCCGAGATTGGGGCTGCCTTCGGAGGTAATAAGGTCAGTGTCCTTGACATCTTCGTGGTACTGGCTAATCACACCAATTATGTTTTTTCAGAGCACCGGCTGGTATGTATCTCAGTCTTTGATCCCCTAGATTTTGTCCCATCAACGATTCAATATTTCAGGGGTCGCGAATCAGGCGGCGATGCTTGGAAGCAATATGTGCGCTGGAGCGCTTGCACCAGTGCGTACCTATAATATAAAGTGCCAAATAATTGGCTGATGCTAGGTTCTCCAGTCAACTTATCAGACGAAGCCCCTTTGGCTCAAGGAGTGACTTTCCCTGCTTGATCCTACCTTAGTACCTAGGTTCCAAGGTGAGGTTTCCTGACGTAATTGGCGGTGACTGGCTGCTCTTTTTTGCTCCTTTGTTTCTACATGTGTCGATCGAAGTTTGATTGAGTTTTGACAATTTGTGCACAGATATCACACCTGTTGATCCTCATTTGGAACCTGTAATTCTTTGACTTCAACTATTTTAATATAGGAATTCGCATTGAGGTTGTGTCGCCGACCTGATGACAATGAGAAAGGTCGGGATTCGGGGTTGTGTTGACTGCACATCTAAGCGGCACATGCGTGTGAGAAACCGAGAAATTTTGGTGATTTTAGCCGGGTTACTCTTTCTTCTTGGGGATGAAGCCTGCTTAGGCGTTACCAGGGCTCTCAACATGCGGATGTCTAAATGCCCAAGAATCAAGATCAATCTTGAATCGACGAATCGATCCACCATTAAGCGAGATTCAGAGATTGGCTCCGCGAATCTAAACCCACCCCTCAATGCCGAAGTGAAGAACCATTTAATGACCTTGCTCTTGTTTGTAGTCTTGCCACCATCTATAATTGCTGCTTGTCCTCGAAGACGCTACCTTCCCCTCCCCATTCCGACATGTCTACTCCTGACGACCTACCATGGCCAGAACTAGGCAATGTTTCTCGTGGAGCCACTCGAGGCAATCAGGGTCAGAAGGGCGTCCTTGGCCCAGCAGACAGAGAGGGTCGATGCATCTTGCAACTTCGAGTACAACCTGGGGTATTGGCGGTACGATTAAACCGTCTGGCGAGCGATTGGTATCGTACGCTTGACAACGAGGTTAACCGCGCACTCAAGTTGACGAAAACGTTTTGGAGGAAGGCCCGCAGACGACAGGATTACGACGCTCGCGCAGATCAGGACCATATGGAATTACATGAGTGGCTTCAGCAGTTGAAGGACAAGACTATGGCGCATCTCGAGCTCCTCATGCAGAAAGGGGATATCCAGGGACCACCATACGCCATGCCCGACGATATCGAGCTCACATTCCTTCGAAAATTTATTGAGCGTCAGGCAGCTGGCATTCCACACAATCCTCGCTTACGAAATTCAGAAAACGGACAATTTATCTACACTCAGCGTGAACAGGAGTCCTTCTCACCTGAGCCTCCCGATCAAGGCTTCGTCGATCAAAATCATCGGGGTATGGGTCCGTCCGAAAGTCGTCAATTAAAAATACAAACCTGACAATCATGCAGTTAACTCTGACCTTATCTCGGACGACTCTCACCTTTCTCGAATGTCCGACTCTCCATCATTATTCAGCCCAGAAGCTCTAGCCGCTGAAGCTAGTTCATCGAGTTTGATTATTTTTACAAGTTCGCAAGACCATTACTGACACACCTATAGAACAGACTCTTCAAGCTTCCCGCATGTCCCTTCTAAGAGCCCAAAAAGACACACAGGACGCTTTCATGAGATACACGTCTTGCCTCGACATCGAAAGACAGGCAAGGAAGGCGGTGGGGGCAGCCGAAAAACGTCGCGATGACATCAGTGAGCTCTCACAAATATCGCCGGTCGCTCATTAATCGCCCATCACAGTGACAGTTTTGCTCGCCAGAAGTCAAATGTCTAACGGTACAACCCTTTCTTTCGGCCGTCATGCTTTGTGACCGACACTTATTACAGGGACGACGTCAAGAAAATCCTCCGTTTCAGGGGATGACCATCATAGTCCGGGGAGGTATCCGATAGAGGTGAAGCCCTGCATTTTTGATACTACTCTCAGACCCAACCACGTCATTTTCTAGGATCTTAGACACCAAACGGTTGACCCATTCATGAACTCCCGAGTGACACAAAAGCCAATGGATTGGCCAACAGCGGATGATCAAAGTCTCTATACCAGCGACACCGTACATCTGGAGGTGAGGATAGATTTTTGACTACTTAATCCCGTGTGCTCAAATGGTAAAAAAGGACGCAAGGAACAGAAAGCATTCACGGACGTGGGATCAGGCAGGACAAAGCTTACAAGGTATATCTGCGTTTTTGATGAACTCCGTATCTGCTAACAGTTTCATCTCTAGATCCGTATGCTTGTGAGGTAGCCAGGATGCCTTCGCATATTTCCAATGCATACCGAACTAATATTCCGGATGACAGGACATGTCAGGTCTTCCTCCGAGGAAGCGTCTTCATCAGATGATGCCTACTAGTTTTGATGTTATGAACGGCGCAACCCTCACACAAAATACCATGGGCTCTCTACAGCCATGACTTCCTAGTACATATTACTTCAAGTTACCTCGTGCCAGACATCACTGTGCCTCGATACCTTCTTCCTTTCCTTTCTTTCTGGAGCTAATTTATTCATCTACAATACTGAGTCCTGACTCGGATGGATCGTCGATTCACTGTGGCATAAATAGTTTACTACGAAATAGATAATTTCTCGACGCACACTACCCCTGGCGATTCCGAGTCCCGAAGTTGGGAGCACCCTCGGGTGATAGGAAAAAGCGGAAATATTGCTACATCGGTGCTACGTCAATTCTACTACGCCGTCGTCATTCAAGCGATTGCTTATACTATCACGGAGTCAGAAAGACTACAGCTATAGAAAATAATTCCAGGCCTTCTACTTGAGCTATAAATAGGTTGCTCGCTGTCCTCACCGCGCGCAGCCAATCTTTTTCATTGTCATAAAATACATGGCGGCTCGAGACAACCGTACGGTGAGACGGGGATAATTATGCGCTTGAGCCGAAGGCTGGATGGGCCCGATTTTAATAGTAGTACTACTGTAAGGCAGAGTGAAGTCAAAAAGACGGCGGATTTTTTTGGCGGGATTTGGCAGACAAGAAACGACTCGAGCTAAGTTTTGAGGACCTCCAAATATTGTATGGATCAACCACAAGACTGTGTAACCATGGTGTTTTCCGTAGATTACTCATGCATGGTTGCCGTCCAATTGCCATCCCGTACTACAACATCCTACTTGCCTAAAGCGAACCTCTAGTGACGAGCATGGCTGGCCATTTTTATCTGTTTGTTATTTTATCTTGCGCAAGCGAGGCCTTGTAGAGCTATAGAAGTGCTGGGCCGAGACAGGAACGGTCAGTCGATCCCTACTTAATTTGGTTGACAAGATCTGCTTCCACATTCGGTCGCCGTTTTTATCAAGGCATCAAAGACAACCAAGCCGCTGCATATGGTCGTGAATTAATTTGTGACCCCCCAGAATTTTTTGTGGTGGTTGGCATGCCACGGGTGGCCGCAATAAATTAATTGTGTTCCCTTTGACCATGGAGAAAGTTTGTGGCAGCGGGCCACCAACATACGCTCGATCAAGCAAGGATGAACCACCATTGTTTTGGGCTTTTTTTGTGGCTTGACGCTTTGCCCTCAGTATATAAAGGCCCAAAGGTTTCTGAGCTTCTTCAACTCGCTATCTCTATTTTTGCCTTCTCGCGTGTCGTCCACGTGCGATAATTCCCCTCATTCCTGTCTTTGTGCTCTCGCTCAGCAACATATAATGGCCTCCACTGTCATTTCGCGCTCCTCAAACATACCGCGTTGCGCGCCCGTTCCTTCACATACCGTATACCCGCAAACCTCTACAGCATCTAGCGTCAACGTCCTGCAGGCAGGATATCCAGCAACTGAAAGTCAGTTTCTTTCTTTCTTCTCTAGCTTCTTAAAGGCTGCGTTGACTGAAACTTTGTGTTCAGGACCAGATTGCGTTTTAATTTACTTACATGGCTACTGTTCGTACGGGGAGTCGTGTAGGTTCGCCCACCCTCCCGGTTACGAGCGCGGAGTCCCTTCAGGCGCGACGGTACCCGTCGTGCCCTACGCACCACTTGGGCCAGTATATTTCCCCATTTCCACATCTAACCCCGACGTGAGGAACTTGGGTGCCACCTCGGCGGGCACATGTCATGGCTCCTCAGTCGTCTCCCTGCCTGCTAAGCCATTGGAAGAATCGACGAAGACGGAGGCCAACCTCGCACACAAGACCGCACCTTGCAGACACTATGCAAGAAACGGGGGGTGGTGTCCTGTGGGAGAGGAATGCAAATTGTGAGTAGTCCATGGCGGTTTCCTTCACCATGATCGACAATTTAACGTCGACTTCAGCATCCATGATTTCGCATTTCCACCTCGCGAAGACGCGTCTGTGAGTTCGAAGGTTGGCAGTCCCCAGCGCAAAAAATCTAGACATTGCTGGGCGTTCGTCCAGGGTAGATGCCGTTCCAGTTCCAACGGGTGCGAATACTTCCATCCGGAGGCCGCTCTCGTTCCAAGTTGTAAGTCTGTTTTTTATAAGCAATGCACACTACCTTATTGACCGACTCGCGCTAGACTTTAAATACACGCCTTGCGCCGCAGGAAAGACTTGCTCCAATTGGAACAACTGCCCCTTCAAGCACCTGTCGACTCAACCCGCCGACGCACCAAATAACAGGGTTGCATACTTTCCCATTAACGTCCAAGGCCTTGCCCCACTAGAAGAAGAGCCTGCCTCAGTTGAGGATTCGACTACCGAGTTTACCACACATCCCACCGCACCTACGGGCCCAGGGCACCTCAATACTGCGTGGCAGTTCCCAACTACCGTGACCAATGCGAGCACGGTCAACAGCAACAAAAATAATAATATGACTGGGAATCGCAAGGGCAATGGTAATAAGGCACGGCATCGCCGTACTATCACACTTGATGACCGCAAGGTATCTTGCGCTCCTCTCATTCCGGGAGAAGCACGCGGACATGCACGCCGACGCAGCATCGTCTGCACCACCGGGGAAGTGTGGGTCCACGATTTTCCCGCTTCACAGTTGCGAGCGCGAAATTCTTTTGACGAGAGCATGGTTTCTGGACCCCTGGTAAGGTTCAATTATTAACCTAGCTAAATCGATGCTGACGAAATCCTTGGCTAGATGGGTGGTCGTCGAAACCTCGCAGGCATCTGACGGAGCCCTGGTACGATTCTAACTCGCCACGACCTTTCAAAGAATTGAAAACTTAATTAAGCGACCTCCTGAGGGTATATCACTAGCGACTGACCTTTATCCGATGATCTGTATTAAAAGCTGATATTATAATAAATCACCAATGACGCAAATGGTTGGATCTCACCGTGCATAAGCATCGATTACAGTCGTAACGTAGTCAGCCTGCAAGATCAGGAACAAAAAAGCAGGTGATCGTGATAAGCAGTGCAATCGTAAGGCTCATGATGAGCAGATAAATGATCGTCTCTGCCAACACGCGTAGATATCGTGTCAGAAAGCGCGTGGTTGTTTGAGTTGGCCGTCGAAGCGCCAGGGTCCGAAGGTCACCCTCAAATTTTAGGAAGGGAGGGCTTCCCGTGACAGACGCTTCGTAAGGACAACGGGGATTAAGGGCTTAAGCTCGATTCGTTTCATATTAGAGCTGACAGCGGGAGATGAGGGGGGTAATAATGTGATAGACCAATCAAGGGTGCAAGTAAACTGAACGTATGCCTTGTTTGATATCGTATGGCGCGATAATAGTAGTCGGAGTGACGAACATTAGCTTTCGCTGCGTGTCCAAGGTAAGTAGCAAATATGGCTGGCACCAAGGATGATAAGACGCCACTGATGCTAGCTTTCTAAGCCACAGTGCTTTCTGATCTCGATCTGGCCCACATATGTAGTGCGGGGATGGATAAACGGCGACGCTGTCCATTCGGAGTTCAGAGTGGGGGAGCAGTAAATGAATTGGCAGGGTGAAGGGGTCAGAAGCATACGAAAGCGCTGATAGATATATCGGCGGACGTAGTTGACCCAGAGGATCCGGTGACATCTTGTGCATGGCGTAACAGAATTGTTGGAGGGTTGTAAGAATGGTGTGCAACAGTGAAAAAATTGGCCAATCACGTGGTCACTTGATTCACTTGAAGCTTGCAGCTTGAGCGCGAGCATATGTGTCGATTGGGCGCAAAAGGTTTGCGGGAGGCACGCTCCATTGCGCGTCTGACGACATGCCCTGATCTCCGGAAACTAACTCGGCGGGTCCCGCAGGTTGCGGAATTGCTTCCCTAGCCTGTCAAGGACGAATTATTCCAAGACCAATTTCATTCCTTGCGGAATAGGATCTGTGGTAACCAAGTTTTCTGGAGGGGACGGCCTTGAACCAGCGCACTCATGGAGGAAGTCGATGACAGAAACCACCTGCATTCCTAATTGAGGGCCATTACAACCTGCACTGTCGTGCGTTGTAAAGACAATGTCATGAGCGTCAATCAATGGATGCTCTTTTCCAGACCTTACTGCGATTGATGGCGCTGAGGTGTGGACACTTTGATCTTTGATGCTGTCCAAAAAAATGGTGTCACTAGTTAGCTGTCTACCAACTTGTCTTGATGTTTACTAAAGAAGAAGAAGTCAATGTCCCATGGCTTAGTTGGTTACGGCGTCCGACTGTTATATGTCTCAACAAAACAATTACATCGGAAGATCGAGAGTTCGAGTCTCTCTGGGACAGACAACTTTTGAAGATTTATTTTCCGTCTACAAGTGTCGTCTCTGAGACAGATACTATGGATAAATATTTTCCCCTGATCAACCGCGAATGAATAATATCAGCTAAAAGCGTGTGCGTACATGCAAGACCAGTTAGTCGTATCATGTTCACGGCGTGGGCATCTCGCCAAGGGGAACGCGGTAACCTTGGTGGATGAAACCACTCAAGCGTTCGTATCTTTCTCATCCATCGCGACAGTACGCCAAATATCCGCGAAAATATCCCCTTTTTTCTCCCTTTTGCCGGTACAGATGCTTGTTTTTTATTCATGCTTGGTTGTAGAGTGGAGTGGAAATGAGACATGTACATTTTGGGATTGCTACAATATGTTTGCATTTATTGTCCAACAGCCCCGTGGAGGACATCAATGATTCCCTTGAAGAAATAACGAAAAGAAGGAATGGAAAATAAGTAAAACTGAAGAAAGCAGATGAAGGTCTCAAACACGGGGATGAACATTTAAACGATACATAGCTCGATGTGCAGCGTGCAGGAAAAGAATGGGATGTAGGACAGCAGGGTATAAATCAGAAAAAGGTGGGATGAGATGTAGAATTATAAAGAATCTAGTTCAGGAAGCCGCGGCACTTGACAGAGCCGCAGAGACATAGAATTTTGTCTTGCTCGAATGGGAAATGATAATCTGATTGTGTCAATTAGGGGTGCAGGGTCAAGAGGACAAAGGAGACGCACCATAAGTAATTTCGTCGCCCAACTCTATATCCTGTTTTGCGTAAATGACAATTTTCTTTTCCCCACTAATCGTAATGATCTTAGCGGTGCAATTGGGATCACAAGAATGGTTGATAAGTCGACTGTCACAAGTCATAAATCATCAAAACAAGGAAGAGCAAAGAGAGAGCAAGCCAACGTACCCAAGATTCCCTTTCTTCGTTGCATCCACCACCAAATCCTCATCAATACGGAAGAGGTAACTGCTTCCGATACCCTGGCGCTCATACGTCTTCTCCCGCTTCTCAGCGACCTGCGCCCGAATAACCTCTCCAACATACTCAATCACCATCTCCCCCTTGGAAATCTTCTCCATTGCGTACAAACCCCAGTCATGGATGGGCGAACGAGCAAACCGAAGATGCTTCTTCCTCGTCTGCAACTGGTTGAACTTGAACGTGAGTTCATTGGCAGCCGACTCTCCTTTAGAAAGCGCCACTGCCCGCTGCACCTGGTTGATCTCTTCCAATCCTTGGGCTCGTCGACGAGCATTGGCACGATTGGATCGTGAAGAAGTGACGTGTTGCGATTGGGGGTCCTCTGCAGGGCCAGGAAGCTCAACTTGACTGGTGTTTGTGCGCGACTGGTATTGTGCGACGTAGGCTGCCTTTTCCGCGTGAGTGATCTTGTAAAAGCCTTCCGTTCGAGCAGAGCCAGTGACGTGCTTCCTGAAGGGAACGGCAGTGGCTGAGGGCGGAGGTGGTTCCGGCACGTCCACAGTAGGAAGCTTGTAGCCTGATAGTGCAAGCTTGACGAAGAATATGTCTTCATCATCCTCACAAAGACCCAAGCCCACAGGATCTGGCGGAGGAGTGGGTTGGGGGGTTGGGACTCGAGGCCGACGTTTGGATACCGGTGGTGGCGAAGGAGAACGAGAAGGAGATAAAGACGAGTCGAATGCATCAGTGATCTGAACATCTGTCACAGAAGGAACGTCAAAGTCGGCAGGTTGTACGACATCGTCCACAATCTCTTTCTTCTGCAGGAACTTCTTCTTCAAAGCCTTCTTGCCCTTGACCTCGACAGCAACCTCCTTCCTCTGCTTCTTCCTCATTGGCTGCTCCTCTTCCTCCTCTTCGTCCCGGGCCTCAGAGGTAAGCCTCTTCCGCCTCACCTCCTCAATCCGGACCGTATCAGCCTCATCCTCCTCTTCCGACTCCGCCTCCAACTCCTCCACCACTTTTTTCGCAACCTTTTTCACGTCCTTTTTCCTCTTTTTCTTCGGTCTCTCCTCCACTTCCTCCTGCTCCTCCACTTCCTTCACTTCCACCGCCTCCTGAACAACTTCCTTCGGCTTCGCCTTCTTGAAGGACAACCCCTTCAAGCCTCGCTTCTCAAGCGGTTTCTGCTCCATCAACGCCTGTGTACGATGACTCCTCTCCTCCAGCATCACCCTCCTCAACTCAGGCATGACGATCCTGTCGGTGATGTCTTTAGCGAGCAAGGCACGCAGCTCGTCAATGATCATCTTCTGCGCCTGTTCCACCATCTCTTCATCCGTCCAGCGTTTTTCAATCACACCAGCCGAGGCAGAGGTTGGGGGAGGGCACACAGTGAGCGTGACACTTTGATGTCCTAGGGTCTTCCTCTCGAGAACAGCAACTGTACGTCGAGCAGTGGTGGATTTAGAGAACGTCACGTAAAATCCTGTATGATCACGCAGGACCTTCAAAAAAAAAGCCACAGGTCGTCACCAGAGAAAATTTATATAGCATAACTAAACGCACCTTATCCAGATCATGTTCAAAGTCTTGAAAAAACGTCCTCACTTCCTCATCCTTAATATTACGCAGCATCCCTACCTCAACCTTGACATGATCATGCCCATTCTCCTTCAAAGCATTCATCAACACCGCCCTCTCCTTCTCCTTCTCCGCCCTTTCCTTCTCTTTATCCACCTCAGATTTGTGTTCATACGACGACCGCAACGCAGACTTACGCACAGGTGACAGAGATGGGGACGGAGAACGCATAGGTGAAGGATGATAGTGATTAAAGCTATTCGCATGATACCTTGACCTCTGCGAGATCGAGTAGGACTTGAGCCGGCCCCGCTCACGATCACGATCGCGTTCATGGTCATCTTGACGCGGAGATCCATCTCGGTCTCTTTGATCCCTGTAATCTCTCGACCTGTCTCGATCCCGATCTCGCGGTGCCATAGGCATGGCCTGTAATCGGGCTCGAATCAGTGATTGGGGGATTGGGGGCGGGGGTGCGGGGGCTAGAGGCTTTGCAGGAAGCTGGGGGTTTAAAGCTGCTCCAGGTTTAGGAGGGATAACGCCATTCGGAAGAGGCCCAGCAGGCGGATGGCTGGATGGGGCACCAACGTGAGGGCTGCTCCCGCTCGTAGACGCGGCAATGGTCGGGTTTGCTGGCAGAGAATGATGTGGCGGCAGTCTTGGGACGCCTCCTCGATTATGAAGAGGTGTACTTACAGACGGGGTCTGTGGCGTTCCCACCTTCGCAGGGCCACCGTTACCACCACTCGTAGCAGCCGCAGCTGGAGGAACAACCCCATTGACAGTCGGAGTCGGTGCTTGCAGCGACGGCAATCCTTTATCCCTGCGCCTTTTTTCTTCCCGTTCCCTCTTCTTCCTCTCATCCAGCTCCTTTAACACCGCTTTCATCTTGAGCCCCTCCCCATCCAGTACGGCTTTCCATTCCTCAACTTCTCCAGGTTTGGATATCCCTTGCAAGCCGCCCTTGCGCCCATTCTCCTTCTCCGCACACTTCTTTGCCTCATCGTGTGTCGCAAATCTAACTAACACAATCCCCAGTGCACTCCCATTCTCCTTGTCAATTTGGGGTTCATAGGACTGCAGCGGACCGTATTGACTGAACCTTTGCTTTAAAAGATGGTTTGGTGTCAGGGGTGAGATGTTCATGACCAGGACGGAGGTTGCTGGGGGAGGACCTGTCGAATTAGCGTCATGCTACCATTTCAGAAGATGCAATGTATCAGCAGTATTTCTTGATGCATAATCAAACGGACTCACCTCGTACTTGAGCTCTATCAACTCAGTCCTCATAGACCTCATAGTAGGCAACTTCTTGAAACCCTTCTCCCTCCTTGGATCACGAACAATAACCTCTTCCTCCCTCATACCATCACCATCCCCTTCAGCTGGACCAATAACCTCACCCTCCATTCGGTAGAGCACTTCCTTTCCCTTTCCTTTCCCGCGAACCCTCTCTAGTATCACCGCCTCACTTGCATGCTTTTTCACATGTTCGATCAGTTGGCGGTAGTGTGACGGTGGCTTCGTGTTTGAGTGGTGGGAGGAAGAGGAAGAAGAGGTTAGAGTGTCAACAGCCGGATCGTACAGGACTTTAAACTGCCTATGATTGGGACAATCAGATCGCGGCGCCGGCCATGGGGGAAGAGGGGGTAACGAGTACAGCTTTGGTTCAAGCTCCGTTAGGGTCTGAGGTTTTTGCGGCTCCTTTGGTAAAGGTGTTTGTCGATGCCTGGGAACTGGGGACGCAACACGATGGGAGAATATGGGTAAGTGAGGCAGGGGTTCGTCCAGTGGGGTGGGCGGTCGTGGGGGATTTATCAAGAGTGGTGGCGAGGATGAAGGCGGTGGCGGAGACTTATGGGATATCTTAGCCCGGGATGGTAGATGCGGCGAAAAGGGTAGTGAAGGTGATTTTGACCGAGGAGAAGAAGGAGATCGTGATGGTGGTAGCGGTGGTGGTGAAGAAGCTGGAGGCAGCGGTGGTGGAGGTGGTTGTGGCGGTGATGAGGTCGGGGGTGGAGGAGGAGGAGGTTGTGTTGGAGGTTCTGATTTAGGTTCAGGTGGTGGTTGTGATGCAATAAATATTTCAGGACTTGTTGAAGGGGGCGGAGGGGCAGGCGGAGGTTCGTAGTTTGGAGGTGGAGGTGGTGGTGGAGGAGGCTCATTTAACAGCGTAGCACGATCACGACGCGGCTGCAAGGGTATGTGCAGAGATGGGCGGTCTTTGGGGAGAGCTGTCGATCTGGAGACAGCATTGGGTGTCATTGGTATAGAAATGGCAGCTCTGCTTCCGCTCCCACTTCCAGAGGCAATTCCGTTAGTCCCGTTAGTCGCGGCTTCTTGCCAACCATTGGGCTGCGAGGGTGCGGATTGCCAGGCCTAGATGAAGTTGAAAGGAGAAGAACGAGAAATGAGCGATCGGAACATTAATGATGGATGAAAAAAAATCATTACTCCTGTGTTCGACCATGAGGACACCGTGTCGGCTTTTTTCCCTTTAATCGATATTGGATGCCTGTTGCTCTGGAGCGCGTGAGACCCGAGGCCATTTGGTGTACTTGGGCCAGCGATATTTGAGTACCCATTTGTTGGATGATTCTTGGGGCCTGCAGGGGGCAACTTTGCAAAGGCGCTATCTCTTAATATACGTGGACCAGTTGGTATTGGTTTAGGAGCAGCCGATTGTTGCGACAGTGATGTGGCAGAATGTCTGTGAGGCTGCTGTTGTTGTGGCGGGGGCTGGTTGATCGCAGGAGTTGCCAAAGGCGAAGCAGCCGGCAACGAGCTCAACAAGGCTCTGGGACCCTTCGGAGGGGCCTTGCCTGACATTGAGCGCGCCCCAGACGGCCGTTACGGCAAGAAAAAAGGCAAAAGGATGAGGAGATGGGGGATTGAGCAAGGAAGGTCTGGCGCGCGTGGCAACACAGGTCGTCGCCAAACAATGCCAGACACTCCTCCTCGCTGCCCACCACCATCTCTCTCCGATATACTCAGTATAGCACGTTACATGGGAGGCCACTGGAGCGCTGACGGAAGCGAGGGTGATGCCAATGTAAACCGCGCTTAATGTGAATTGTCGTATCTACTCAGGCTATCACTTTACGTTGGCAACAAGCAGCGACAAACCCTTCGGAAAACATGGCAACGACGAATATAAGGGGGGGGTGATGAGGGAGGAACCAAGGAAAGTTTGAAGCAGAGTCCGCAACCGACCCAACTTGTTGACTCGTTGGGAGTCATTGAAAGTTTGGGTTACCAACTCACCAAAGGCAACATCTATCATCTTCAAGATTAACCAAATACTCCATCGAAAGCGTTGGGGGATCTGCAGGCGCCACCTGCAGAGCTACACGTTGCTCATCGATCCGCGAGAGCATCAAACTGTGTGCCTTGGTCATCGCGAAGCTTCGCAGACATACATCGCCCACGACGGTGACAACACCGTTTAAATTGCCACCATTTACTCCAAACCCATAGTGCGAGCACATTGTAGGGCTTCCCCAAGATGCGAGCAGTCGAGTCATGCGCTTCAACTCAAGTTGGATAAGAATGGGAGCAGGACAAACTCATCTTCCAACATGAAGTGCACGACCCAAAAACGTTTGAACATCCGGTGCTAAGAAACGGGAAGACCGTTCGATCGAGGGCCCATAACAGACAAAGATGGTGATGCAATATATAATGATCTACCTACACAAGATCCCCCTTTGCCCAGAAAGATATACAAGCACTACAACGTCCGCAAAGCATGAAGGACCTCTTCATAACCATCCACAACCCATCTCCGACCTCCCTTCTCAAAGACCCATTTCTTCCTATATCGATTCCTACGGGAAGTCTGGACAACCCTCCCATTCGATAAGATCCACGAGTAATCCGCTTGCTCGCCCTCTTCCTCACCCTCATGTTCCTGAGATACCACATCCTCAAACTCTTCCTCATCCTCACTCGTCTCCGCAGAATTGGCCCCATGTCCATGTGCAGAACGGCAGTGGTTGATTATAGAGGAATAACCCCCGTGGTCAGCCGACGAACCTAAAAGGGACATCGACCTCGAGTGGCCTGCACCGAGCTGGGGAGTGTCGCCACGATCAACCAAAAGGTCAACCACGCTCTCTCCTAAATGTCGTCGCAATTTAGCAACGCGTCTCCGCTGAGCCGTCGTCGGGGAAGGAACTTCTGGGGGAACACCACTATCCGCATAGGCCCATACCGAATCCAGCTTCGGTGGAAAAAAGGAGGGTAAAGTCGACTTGCACCCATCCTCAAAATTTTCGTCAAAAGGCGAGGTAAAATAAACGGGGCACGGTGACGGGGGGTCACAAGCTAAGAAGGACTCCTTGCCATCAGAGGACGGTACAGGCGACAGCGGGGGCAGCGGAGGAAGTGGACGTGGGGAAAGTTGTGTTTGCGATTGGTGAACAACCGGTTTATCCCAAAACGTCGGAGGGGCTGAACGCGGTGCTGGTAAATGTGCAGCGGCAGATGGGTGTGGGATCGCGGGGAGTGGGCGAACGAAGGGCCGTCCACCAGATATCGAATGCAGAGAACTTCGGTCGGACTCGAAGCTCGTGCGGCAGATAGGTCTGGAAGACAGCAGGGGTGAATCTTGCCACGATAGAAAATTTAGTTGTGCGTCTTGGAGAGCTTTGACCATCTCTGCGGTTGGCTTCCCGGCGATGCCTTGTTGCTGCAGCATAGCTTGATTTTGAACCGTTGGTATCATGGTGGAGGGTATTTTTCTTGAAAAGCGCTGCTTGCGGTTTTCAAAAGTGGGGTTGATATATTATATACGAGAATCTTCAATGTGAAGATGTTGGCACGTTTTCTACGCGGGTTGTTGTGCGGAGTCCATGGGTCAAGCAATGTTACAATTCACATGCTTCTGCTGGCCAGGGTTTCAACGAGGATTCGCCTCAGCTGAATATTTAATATTATAGTTGCAGGAAGAAGACCAAACCGCAATATTTAGATTGCGAGACACAGAAAATCCCAGGGGGACATTCGACGTTTTGCTTGATATTTGGATGGCAGTTCGACGAACTGACTGACAAAAATTTTCAAAGCGAAGAACAATGCTGCCGTCGTCACCTTGGTATCCGGCTCCCCGCATACACGAGGTATTGTAGGAGATCAATCGATCAACCTCTGCGGCGTGAGGTAAATCATGGGGCGCGTTAGCAATCACCTTTACATAAGCCCACTCTTGATAAATTGATCAAGGATAATGAAGAAAAATATACATACTGCAGGCTCCTAGGTGCATTCTCACTGCTACGCATGAAGCTGAGAAGAGTTGAGAGGGAACTTGCACGAAAGGTCAAGCCAGGCACTCATGTTTTTATATTCAAATTGCCCATGCGCTCTTCCCCGTCAGGTACCAGAGCAGTTACTTCCCCGATTTCTATTTATATCTCTAGCAAACATCATCCGTTTTAAGTTTCGAGAACAAGCCTACGCAGACATACATATCTGAATCGAACTACACGTACGCAAAGGTCCACAGATTTCCGCGGATTGTCATCAATATTTTTCGGGTATGGGAAGCGGTCTGCGCACACGTCAATGAAAAGCCAAAAAGTCAAATCATAGACTTGGAAAGTGGCAAATCTGTAATGTAGGCTAGAAAATTATTATTTGAGGACGAAAAGCATAGAGTTAGAAGGAATAAATTCACCGAAAGGTTTGCTGGTCAGGAAGAATAGATAATTTTATAACGCCACGGTTGCCAGTGATTTGAGGAGCTGTCGGAATAAATGGACCAGGCAAGCCAACCGCGTTAGAGCGCAATAGAGCTTTCCGGCTTTTCGTTTGACAGACTTTCAACCGCACCCGTTAATTTGAGGTCGGCGTCTTTGCAATACATTTATTGAGCCAGTTAAATCCAAGAACAGTAAACGAAAGCATCTGTCGAGATGGATGACCGTCCGGGAAAGACACATCACTGAAATTTGCGAGGTACGGTACGCTGACAGTCTCAATTTTGGTAGAATTCACACTGATAGCGTGATCTTCAAAAGGTCTTCTCGACGTCCGTAGGACCAGCAAGGTTGCCCAAGCGCTGAGAGAAACTCGTCCCAGATATCCTATAACTCGTAAATACCGAATTTATACGCACGCCATGCTCCAGGTAATTCCCAGACACGGTACCCGCGATTATAACCGATATACCCCTAGGGATCCTGATCTTTGATGAGGAGGACCCTCGCGCCCGCGAGCCGCTGCCAATTGAAGCCTGTGTTTGGCGCAATGAAGACGCCTCGAATTCCATTTTGTTGTTGGAGGCTGATGACGGGCCCGGGGAGGATATTTTGCCAAACGTCGGAGCAAGTGGGGAAATAGCCTAACGAGAGGCACGCATCTGACACAGTGGGTCGTTTTGTGCAGTCAGAGGATTAACTCGCTTGGGTGGCCATCGAGTAAAATCGTACACGGCCTCCTTGAAATCATGGTCCGTTTACCAGAGGAAATAAAATTCAACAAGGTTGCGGGTAGAGTTGGACAGCCACGGACCTGGACTGTCGTGCTGCTTAGCTTGGAAAGCGTTGCGCGAATATCGTTCGTCGATTCTCGAAATGGTGGCGGGTATTTCAGGTACAGAATTCGAACGTAACCGTATCAAATACGCGAGTCATGTTCGTCAGGACATTCTGGCGAAGGGTCTAGTTGGATGGGTTGAACGACTTTAAGCAGGAAAGAGCGTCAGATGTTTAGCCAGCAATCTTAACTCACGGGTTGCTTGGAGGTGGGACAGCATTAGATCTTGGAACTGTACATGGTGGGGGTTCATCGTGGGTGACAAAATTCCCCTTCATATGGGTTGAGAATCAGAAGAGGTCCCGCAACAAGCCTGGATGATTTCCCGGCGAAAAACAAGCAGTTGTTGTTGATGGTGGACAGATGATGGATGGTAGTTTTCCACGAAGGTGACGCCCAATTGACGCCAAACGCTCCTCCACTCCCCGACGTCCACAGTCTCCATTGCCAATACATAGGTGCTGACTCCTGAGCGGCGGGTTGACAATTTAAATGGTGAAGCTTAAAGATTGACGCGATGGAGCACGTGAATTGATCACTACCGCGTCGGTTCTCATCTTCTCCGAGGACGTTCATATTCATATAGTACTTATAAGATATCCACAGTCACCCAATACCCCACTGACAGCGCCGCCGCCCAAGATGCAGTTACAATCATCATACCCAAGACCACCCCCTCACACACGGACACCCATGCAAGTCCGTACACCCCTACCCGTCTACCCACCCCCTGAGCCCCTCTCACTCCCTTTACCCTCCCTTCCCTCTCCACCCCGGAATCCAGCATTCAACGCCCCATTCACACTGAGCACGCACATCTTCCCCGCGTCGTACCTCCGCACAAGCCGGTACGTCGACATTCCCGCCGCCCCCCCAGAATCAGCGAGTAAAGCCGAGAGACACGCGTTCCTGCTCAAAACGCGTGCGGAGCTCAGGGAAATGAGGGGGTCGACGTGGACGGATGGGTATCCTCGCGTTTTGTGGAATTGCGTGAACCGTTATGTGCGGAATGATTTGAACTTGAAGGCGGGGAGTTCGACTGGGTTGACACTTTTTTTTGCGCATGCGAATGGCTTCCCGAAGGAGGTGCGTGTGCTCTGTAAGATAACGATTGAATGTGCTTGATGCCTTGTTTGAACAGATGTGGGAATCTGTACTTGCGGTTCTACTCTCGTCCCCTGCAGGTCAAATTATTGACGAGGTATGGGCATGGGAGTCTGTGCAGCACGGTGACGCGGCCCTAATCAATGCAGGAAACCTCTCTGCAGTCTGTGCGTGTTCTTCTCGTTTCTGAATTACGCCCCTCACCATCCTAATTGATTGTATATAGTCGACTGGCAAGATAACGCAAGGGATATCATAAACTTCATGCTCAACTTCCTTCCAGCCGCCCCTTCAACCACACCCCTCCCAACCCACCTAGCACGTCTACCCCACGCCGAAGCAGAACTCCGCAAACTAAACGGCTTCGCACATCGTACATTCATAGCCGTAGGGCACTCTTACGGCGGATGCACCTCGTAACTGTTTTCCCCCGTCTTCCAAGTTCCAAAGTAAATATTCACCCACCAAATCTACCCACCCAGAACCCTCGCAGCACAAATGTTTCCCAAGCTTTTCTCGGCCCTCGTCCTCGTCGACCCCGTGATCGTCAAACCACCCAGCACGGAACAAGAATACGCAGAGGGTACCCAAGCGCGGACTGATAACCTCATCCTCGGCGCACTCATGAGGCGAGATACATGGTCATCAAGGCATGCACCTCTCCTCTCCGCCTTTCCTATCAACTCACCTCTTCCTTCCACACAACAGAGAAGAGGCCCTATCAACATTCCTCAAAAACCCCTTCTTCCGCGCCTGGGATCCAACCTCTTTAGAGCTCTACGTCACCTGCGGAACATACCTCACTGGCACCCAATCAAACGGCACCCAACAGGCAAAGCTAAAAATGTCAGGTATGCAGGAAGCCATCGTCTTTTCGGAGACACACACCGAATTTGAGGTGTATGACCGTCTTCCGGCGTTGGATGAGAGGATAAAGTTGAGGTGGGTTGTTCCTGGTAGGGAAGATGCGCCTGAATTTGGGCCGAAGGGGTCGACGAGGAGGAGGGTTTGGGTTAGGCCTGGGAATTCGACGAATCTTAGGATTGAGGGTGCTGGGCATTTGGTATGTTTTTTTTTTCGCGCTTCGTTTGTGTTGGGGTGATGTATTGATTTTTGGGGGGGTTATGTAGATACCGCAGGAGAAACCTAAGCTACTTGGTGGGTTTCTTTCTTTCTTTAGATGTTTACAGCTAACGCTAATTTTTTCTTTCGTAGCGAACGACCTACGTGATTTTATTCTGCAACATTATTCGCCGGTCAAGCCATTAACGATGGGGGCTATGTTGTAATATAACGTTCTACCTACTGTTCTTGGTGCTTTTTGGTTCTTGAATGTGTGTTGGGATTACGGCTGGCGTATAAAGTAGTGAAGAAGTAGGATATATGAGCGACAGCCTGTGGCGGCTCAGGATCTTCAATGAGCAATTGAAATTCAGTCGTCCTTGCCCTTTGCACACGACACCTATAAATAGAATATCGCGTCAAGTTAAATTTAACTCTTGATTGCCAGTGATACTTTGCTACTTAACGGGGCGACAGGAGCCCTCCGCCATCTTGAATTAGCAAGCATGACCGTTCTCAATTTTTTGTTATCGGCCTGAACTATCCCCAGAAGTTCAGTATCGTCGCTGGCCACGCTGTCAACGTTATTATGCTTACACTTCTATGTCCTTGCGCTGCTGCGCATACTCAGCGCTCATGATCAACCCGTCGGCTAGAAGTAGGCCTGGGCTGACGCGGCTTTCAATTTTCGGGACTGTGCACGTAGAAATTTACCCCGAGTCTGCCGAACGGTAATCCATCTATCCGTCTTCCTTTTGAATTCCTCGTTGGTGGCCCTTGGGCATGTCGCTAGTAGCGACGTGCTCCTGCGTTGCATCTGAGCCATGCAACTGCGATTCATAAGACACCTTTCGATTTCTCTTGCGAGGTCGAGTTTTGGACGCGGAGCGCTCGGAAAACTTGGGGTCGTCGGGGAACAGTCACTGATCTAGCGGCGTTATTAAGCCCAGTTCTTCAAGTATTCAACTTGTCAACAACTGTTTCTCGAGATAGAAAACATCTGAGGTTTACGACACCATGTGGTTGTAAATGATGTTTGTGCTGTTGGCTGATGATTCACAGTCCATCGACTGGAATCCACCGGTGACAACTATCCGCCTGGGTTTCTTCCCACTCTGCTGGTATCAAAAGCAGTCTTGAGATGTTGATAATTGTGAGGCATTGCCACTCACACGACTGGCATGACTGCATGGTGTATTGTCTTGTCGATGTTGTTAACGTTCAGCGCTCATCAAGCCGTGGGGTGAATAAAGAAAAACCGTGAAGATTTAGTGAGCTCGTTCACTATAGCAACAGGCTATAAGCGCGCAGTCGACATTGTTAATTGGATGAGTGGTGTGTAGTGAGCGTGTCATTTGTGCAATCAAATCGGGAATTTGTCCTGCATCCATTCCCAGCGCTTGCTTTTGCTCGGACCTTGTTTTGACCGTTGTCTCTCACAGTCCTCACCATTCCACTCGACGATTTTTTTTGATACATGTCTCTTCTACGACCCAATAATGAGCGACACGACGCTAACATGCCACTTGACACGAACCCCCGACGACCCCTCGGTGTCGTCGGCCGCAAACCATTCACCATCGCACTACTACTGGCCTCCGCGCTGGGTCGTGCATCCGCCAGCCCAGTGCACAACGACATCTCTCCGCGTAACCTCGGAAATTCTTCCTCAGCACCACCCTCGTCATTCAATATGGCCATTTGGGTACGCGCTCTGTCATTATTCCACTTTCGTTTCCGACTTACTAGGTGGCGTAATTAGATACCCGTTATCGTTGTCGTGGTGTTCTTGATCGGTTTTATAATTCTCTCTTGGAAAGGTGGGGTCTTTAGCAAGCTTTCAGCTTGTCTGTCGCGCCGGAGAAGGGCGGGACCTGCAACTCTTGGAGGAGCTAGAGAGCTGACGGCGGAACAATTGGTTGGGGCTATCAATAATAACGGAGCCACTACCGTGGTGGGAAATGCTGGGAGAACACGGAGATCCAGGAGGCCACGACGCACCCCCTCTCAGATTTCGACAACCTCGTTGCCTGCGTACAACAAGGAGCCTGGAGAGGAGGAGCTAGTTATCTTTCGGTGAGTAATCCTTTCTTTTGTCTGTCTTCCTTTTCCTGAATGTACACCTTTCTTCAGTGGTCGGGACGCAGAGGATGTCACGATGCCAGCGGCCGTTGTCATGTCTGCGGTAGACGAAGACGGTGAAGGAGATAGTTTGAACTCTGGAGATCACTCTCAAGTATCAAGATACTCTCCAATGCCTACAACCCCTAACAACATGCCGCTGCTTCAGGGGGACGAGTCTGGCGACCTCTCTCTTCAAAGTCTCAACTCTGGAACCGCAGCAAACACTGACGCACAAGAAAACAGCTCACTGCCCGATCCGCGTGGTGAGGCTCCGCCGTACTTTGAAGTTGTCGACCAGCCAGAGGGGCCCAGGCGAGAAGTGACGATGATGACTGAGTCACCCGTTGCCCTTGAAGCACCTCCTCTTTCTTCCCCCAGCTCCCCAGAACAACGTCCTCAACGGCATTCAACCTTCCGTAATTTCCTAAACCGCATGTCCGTCGCCAGCACCTCGCACCACTCGCACACACGCGTAGGCTCTGACAACTCCATCACCTCTTCAAGCTTCTCGCACGGCACACGAGAAGGAGGAACAAGCCGTGCCTCTCACCGCCCAACACCCTCCGGATCAAGCTCCCACCTCACCTCATCCATGTTCCGCACCCTCTCCCGACAGCGATCTACAAACACCCTCGCCTCCAACCGCCTAAACTCCCCCTCCACCATCTCCCTCAACTCCATCTCCGCGCCGCTCACGCACACCCTCAGCCGTACGGAATTCACGTACCCGAAAGCCGGCCCAACTCCCGAACAACTCAAGGTCATCTCGTCGCGAGATTCGTTTGCTAGGTTCGCTGTCCCGTATGGGCCGGATGCTATTGCGTTTGCGTCGTCTTCGAGGCAGGACTTGAGTTATCCGCCCCCGGACTTTGATTCTGCTGCTTCGGACACCCAATTGCCGAGGTCGGCGGGCCCGTCGAGGCTTAGAGCCTCGAGTAATGCTGCTGAATTGTTGCAGCATCAAGAGGAAGAGGCGGATAGTCCAGAGGAAGAGCAGGGTCAGGGCGAAAGCCTAGCTCAAGAGTCGAGTGCATCATCGTCCTCTTCGCCTGCTGCGACGTTACCCGCGCCCGCAGACTCATCAGTTCCTCAATCTGCCCCTTCCTCCTCCTCATTATTGGAACCACAACCCATTACAAAAAGTGACTCCATCTCCAAAGCATCCATCAAATCAGCTTTATCCCCCTTATCAATACCTCTCCCACCCACCATCAAAGGAACCTCCACATCCACAGCTTCTTCTTCCTCCTTCGCTACCGTATCAGAGTTCGGCCAACTCACTACCTCGACGGCACCCGTCCGCTCAGAGTCCCGCGCGAGCAATTACTCGTATCAGTCGTATGCGACTGCGGCGGAGTCGATGGGAGCGTCGACACCACGACGGAATGCTGCTGCGGGTGGTGCGTCTGAGCCGACGACGCCCAAGCATGAGATGGAGGCGTCGGATTCGACAGTGGTGATGACGCCCGTAGTTATTAGATCTGGGAGTGTGAGATCTACAAGGTAGTACCTAGCGTGGTCGACCCCATGACGAAATGCGGCTGGGGCGTCTGGAGGCGTCGAATTCGATGGTGATGATGACGCCCCTACGCACGAGCTCTGTTGCTGGATCTGGGAGCGTCAGATCTACACGGTAGTGGTACGTTAAAACGACAATCTAATAACGGATTCTTGGAAAGTTCAGTTTCAATCTTTGTTGCCTTCTTTTTAGATAAAAACTCCCCTGGAGCCCTTTTCCCTTTTTTTTTTTTGCATCGCATATACTTTTTAGCTTCATTGAACGCACATTGCAGCATGCTTTTTTTTTGATTCTTTTGTTCTAAATTTTTTTGTTTGATTCTCATCACAAATTCTTTAAACATGCACTGAACAAATTTTCTCTTCGATTACACCTAGTTTTACTTACCATCTACATAGACCCGACGAGATCGCATTCTTATGATTCCGTTTTGGTGATTTTGGGACGATGACTTGGAACTAGGGTGCTATTCTTGGATTGACCCCTCCTGATCCGCACAGGCTCAAAGGCTCAGATTATCTATGTATCCGAAGAAATTCAAACTTGGCATTAACAGCTTTGATTTGACTCAAAGAAAAAACACCTCCAAATCTCCAAATTTACACTACTGGGTGATGAAAGGCGATTTTTGGGGGACAACTCCTGCTTTGCTCAGCGGCGCTTCCGCTTACGGCCGTTCTTCTCTTTATCTGGCTGCAAGGAAATCGAAAAATACCAACATTTTTTGGACTCGTATCTATCCCATGCAGCGTGTGGCCCACACCTACATGTCTTGCAGATAGGAATCATATTGGGGAGACTGTGGCTAACTTAGGCGTGCTATCCTCCGCCAAGCCACCAATCTGGACCCTCCTCTCTTGCCCGCAATTTCCATTCGCAAAGTCTTCCATTCTGCTCAGCATACATCATGTCACCGTCCGGATCGAATAAAACATTGCTACGCTCTGGGGGCGTGCGCAGTATTGGAGCCAATTTGAAGTCGAGTGTCTCTTCGATTTCAAACGATGTTGAGTCAATGAGGCGAATACGGATAGCATCAAAAGTAAAGTGCTGATGCTGGTTCATTCAACATGAAGAAAATAACGTCCAGCGAAGTTGACTTACTTCCGTGATTGCCAAAACTTCTCTTCCAAGAGTTCCACTACTAAATTTCAAAGAATACACGTCATGGACGTCAGGATTGGGCTTTTTTACCATCAAGGGAATTTTATTTCGAACATCCCAAACAGACACTGTGCCATCCTTTGCAGCGACAGCAAACTTCGACCCATCGGCAGAAAATGCAGGTGGAACAGACGGAATGTGGAATTTTGGTGTAGTGAAGGGAATTGGCAGCTGGGTAACCAAATCGAATCCAGCATCAGCTGAGCTGAAATGTAACATCGCAATCACTTCCTTGTCAAGAAGTCTCACACCAAAAATCCGCCCATCAGGAGAACATGCAAAGTTGGCACCTTCTCAGGAGTGTTAGCTCGGAGTAGACTAATATTTCCAACAGATTTATGACAAACCCGGGTCTTTCCCCAAATTCTGGAAGTGAAGTAGCCCAGCCTCATGGATCATTGCAAGTAGCTTCATCTGGCCCATGCAGTTCTTGTCAAATGTATTGCCCAAAATATCCGTCGGCCATCTCAACGGCATTAATAATTCATCGAGATCTGGTTTATCCGAATCCCTGCGGTAGGTCCACAGAGCAGGGCCAAGACGGTAGTGACAGATTTCGTGAATTGAAAGTTCGAGATGTGCAGGCCTTTCCGAGTTGCTATGTTCCTCCGAGTCGCTACACTCTTCCGAGCCACTAAACTCTCCCGAGTCGCTACGCTCTTCCGAGTGACTAAACTCTTCCGAGTCGCTGCGCTCTTCCCAGTCGCTACACTCTTCCGAGACGCTACGCTCTACCAAGCGGCCATATTGAGGCAAGTTCGTTCGGGGCCCGTCTAGTCTCATGAGTAGGACTCGATTGGTTTCAATTGGAATGAGCTTGAAAAATAGTAGTTCATATGAGGCCACGCTTTTGTCGCTAAGAATTCGTGGCTAGAGGTACATTACTCAGCTCGTCATTTTCAAGTTCTTTGGGTAGCATGGAAGTATACCTCGTGCTTACTAAAGCGATGAATATTGCGCTCAAATAGCGTGTTTCCTCGACTATAGTAAATGATTCCTTTTCGAAAGGGACATTGGAGGTTTCTGACAGGTGGATAGCTACAAAGTCGACTTGTGATGAACTCTTGGAGATCTGAATGAAAAAAATTCTCACCAATAGTTATCAAGATCTGTTATCCTGAGTGTCCTTGACTTGAGGAATGTTGAATCGCACTCGCCCATCGATAAGAGCAAAGGCAGGGGGTCTGGTCCAAAACGAGCACAACAACCAAGCTGATCATGAGAGTCGGGAGAGCAGGTAGCTATACTTACTAAGCGTGATGAAAAGGTAACGTGGTCTTCGTCACGCTATCCAACACAACTAAACAAGCGTTTCGCTGCGCAAAACATAATCTGGATTCTGAGCGCTCAGCGCTGTAAGTAATCACAGATAATGTTATCGCAACTCGAAGACGCCCGTGCCTTTCGGTTTGTTCATCATAGACCATCAATAGTCCGCCATGAAGCTTCCACCGACCATACCATCTCCCTCCAATACCCCGCAGCTTGAAGAGAAATCTGACTTAGCTGGCTTGCTGAGGCGACTTTCACTCCTTTACAGAGTTTATGATGAAGGCAGTTCTACCGTCCTAACTGATGATGGGTTTATTGCCAATGCTTTCGCAGGCTCTGCAAATGTCAGCGAAATTCTTGAGAGGTATCCCACAGACGATGATTACAGAGAGCTACTGCGACATGTTCGAAACAGGCACCGCGGTGCTAACAGTCCCTGGATATCAATTACCCCGCTGTGGCTGTGGGCCATCGTTGAATGTGTTAAACGGTGTAGGGCGGGTGAAAAGGGAGTTGGATTGGCGCTCATCGATAACGCACAGCTGGCTCTCAGCAGAGATGTTCAACAGGTTTTCTATGCGATGGAACGTAATGAAATCCGTGATGACCATTTAGCCAGCCAATGGTCCAATGATCCACAAGAAATTTTGATCTTCGCTGCTCTTCCACGGAAGGCCATAATATCACAAGTCCTGTTTGCAGACATTATCCCCCATCTACCACCCTTCTTCTTTAAATCTCATCACTGCCGTGCAATCGAAAACATATGCTGGAGAAACGTGCGGACATGGGACAGATTTTATTTCGCTCATAATGAACTGCTGTCCTCCTTGCAGCAACATCGCGACGCAACATCCCCGCATAGTCACGGAAAGAGGGCCTACGACCTTGCACGCTCTTTGATTGAACCCAAGTGGCAAGAAGTCACAAATGATATCTTAGAAGAAGGACAGGAGGCTGGGGAAGAGATTATTAGGAGTCGGGACAAGGAGGCCCTTTCTCATAAGATGTTTATGATGCGTTTTGATACCACTGCTCTCACTGCCGAGGATTTTGATGTGGAGGCCCAAGCTTCCATGAAGCTAAATGAGCTGACCACTATAATCAGGACGTTGGCCGGGAAGATTGCATCCTGGGGCATAGATTGGAACAAGGATGTCGATGGTAGTGCATGGAAAGAAGTGCAACATGCAATTATTCAGTGCACAAAGGAGGCTCAATCTGAAGTAATCGATCAAGTGGGGGAACTTCTGGGGTGTGAGGACGAATTGAACGAATGGGGTTCGAGTGATGACTCGGAGGCGGACCACGAGGACTATAGTAGCAATGACGTACTCGGATGACATGATGGAATTCGGACATACTAGTAATGCGATATCCCGGCTTCAGGCGCCTCGGTTATGTACTCATCTTTCTTTTACTATTAGCCTCCTTCATATTGCTCGAAGTATCTCAGTTCCTGTGGTATGTTATTTTTTTGTTGAAGCGACTCCATCCAGGGATGATTACCCCCTCCGATATTCCTGAGGCGACGGATCGTTCATATGCCAGCGCTATGGCACCTTGAAGTTGGCCTCCAAGTCAAAATTTCGAATTGAAAAAAAAACCTCCTACATACCTACAGTATCTTTGTTCGTGTTAGAAAATACGCGCCTCTGCAGTGGAACCAAAGACCTCTGAACTTTAGATTAGGTGGGACGCCCCCCCGGAGCAATGAGCGCCACCACTTCAGATTCCGTTTTACAATTTTTCCCGTCTATTCGTTGTCCACGTATTTCCTTGGGAATGAGCTTGAATGATGGTGATATGTAAAAAGTAGCCTGGTGGAACAACGTGAATACTTGAGCACTTGAGCACACAGTCAGAGTCAATGGTCCTACGGAAGTCATGAATTACGAACCTGGGCGTCAGAGAGAGGTACAGGGAGCTGTGCGGGAGTAGAAACATCAGCCAGATCTGCTGAAATTATTCCAGTCAATAATAAGACCCCTAAGGTTTGAAGCCGCAGACTGAGCGATAGCAGCGTAGCGGAAAAACGAGGACGGCGGTGAGTTGAGGGTTTGAGATGTGAAATTCCAGATTAGCATGATGGACTTATGCTGGACAAGTCAGAGTTCGTTCCCGGAGTTTCGGAGAGGGCGGGCAAGGTGCATGCGACGCTCTATGGAAAAGGATTGACATTTGAGGCAAAATGGTGGGAGATAGGATTTAGGCCAAGACGATAATTTGTTTGTTGAGGGGGAGGATGAATATAAATGTCTCTGGTACGTGTAAAGCAAAGTCCACTCCCAAAAGTCGTCTCTATTGAAGTCGGCGGCTGACGAGCATGAGCCATTATGCCAGGATACCATTGAGAAGTCGGTGTAAGGAGGTAAGGGGAGGAATGATGGCATGGCTCTGTGAGAATTGTGCGCGTCTAAGGAATTCAGTAGAGCCAGCGTCCCCCGGTCTCCATTTCAAACTTGCCGGTGCCTGTTACTCCCTCCGAAACAATCCCAAGTGACAATCGAGCAACAGGTTCATCCGCGCAGGCCCGAGGTCGACTAGGTGGGATTCACGGAATACATATGGGTGCCCCAGGCCAAGGTGTCTTCTTCTACGAGGGAGTGCGAGGGGTCGGATGTTGCGTTTTTGCTCAATATTTCGTTTGGAGGAATCGGAGCGCGTCGCACACCAACATCTGCGCCCCAGAACCTCCCAGTGCACATCGTCAACGACGAAGGGTAGGCGGATGGGATGTAGATTGGATAGGTCGCCTAATACCTGAAGGCAGACCTGACTCGAAGTAGAGGCTCCCAATGTCACTGCGCTCAAAAATAGTCATTGCTCTTTCTATACGGGCGAGTTTTGAAACCAGGCTTCCTTGGATAAGTCGGCCCCGAGTTTGTACAATTGAGCCCCTTGCACCTTTTCCTGTTCTCTGCTCCTGAACACTGGCATCAGAGAATCCGAGAAACGGGTAGCTGTAGCATGTCGGCATAGCGCATTGTTGCAACCTCGCTGGCTGCTGTAAAGTGTGCTGCTCCGGCAGTTGGAAAGGTAAGCATCGAGCTCCAGCTCGAAATTATGATTCGACGTCCCTAGGATGACTTTAGAAGGAGGACTCAGGCCTTCGTTGACGAAGTACTCACCCTCAGCCAGGAATACTCACACAGGCCGATACATTTGAAGCCTTCACCACCTCCGTAATTAGGGCCTGCACGTCATTGTTTGCGTTCTTATTTGACCACCCCCGCAGATTCAATGTCGGGAGCACCTACGAGCATGGGCGTTGAACAACCACGTATAACCGGTATGTCGGATAGTTTTCTGGATTAGGTGAACGAAGCGAATCAACTTGAATTTCAAGTACGATGTCCTGAATGAAACGAAAGTAACAGGTTACAGAACACACTATTGCAAAAACAAGGTTTGTTGTCAACGTTCGCTTGAGTAGTTTCTGCGCATGCACGGACGAGAGCGTCGTACACCAGAAAGGGATACAAATCGAAGCTTGCGGCCAGACGCATCCAATAGGAAGAAGATGCGTTTCGATTTGGTTTCGATTTGAACTTGCAGGAATGATGGTATCTATTGAAGACTCACTCAGAGTTTTATGGAAAGGGAAAATTCAGTTTTCGGTCGAACGCGGTATAGAGAAATAGATAAAGCGTATAAACTTTCAAACTCAACATGATCTCCTCCTAATCAACAACAGCCACAGAACTACTAGTAGCCAAATTCGACATCCCCTCCGCCAAACTCCTCGGATCCACAACCCAAATCGCCGGCGAGTTCACAACCTCCTCCCCTCCCATACCTCCTTCATCCAAAGCATCCAACCTCCCGGTAACCCTCGCAATCTTCATCTCCCTCAAAATCGCCTTTACACTCATCCTATTCGCAGTGAGCGTCGTCCATCCCAAATCCGCGCCCCACAGCATGCTCTGCACCGTGTGCGCAGTCAACCTGGGATTAGCCTTGGTCACGATAGCCCGCTGGATCTCCCCGCTGTCATCGGGTGTGTTCACGAGGTCCTCAGGGAGCGCACGCGGGTGAGGGATAGTTTCCTGCGCGAGGATGTCCTCGCATGTTTTCCCCAGATCCCTGTGGAATTTCAGACGAAGGTGCGTTTCGGGTGGAGAGAGGGTTGCGAGCAAGGCAGCACGATCGTCGTTGGCAGATTCGGGGTAGAGGCGAAGAGGGAAGAGGGGGATGAACTTGGAGGGGTAGCGAGAGTTCTGCCAGTATTGGTCTTCAGCTTGTTCCGGCGTGAGCGGTGCATTGGAAGAAGGAGACCCAGGGCCTGGCATTGAGAATAGAGCAAACGCACGACGTTTCTCATTTGAGCCCCCAATTTTAGACACGATGCGGAGGCAGCGGTCACGGGCTTCTGGTGTCGTCCAAAACTCCACCTTTTGCATGGCCAAGATTTTGTCATGAATTTCTTGTAAAAGCCCCTTTCCCATTTCCTGCAGCAGCTGATTTGTTAAAGCCCGAGAGTGTTTTGCTAGATCGTGCTGCACAGCTGCAGCGTCCTCGTCCGTAGCTGGTTCAATATGACGGGGTTTCCCCTTCGCCATACCGTTTATGGTCTGCCTCTTCTGTTTCCACTTGCAATATTCTTGGGGAGGTATGAAGCGTCGATTAGCTTCGTCAATTGTCGATGGGAGTTGGGCATGCGTAAGATCAGATATGACCGCGATAAGGACAGAAAGATCGAGGTTGATGCGCGGTGTGGGTTCAAGAGGGAAAGGCGGGGAGGGGGAGGGCACTCTAGATGAAGGCAGTATGAGTAGTTCGTTCTCTCCCCGTTCTCCAAGCTCCACGTCGACACCCAGATCAAGAAGACATTGTATCGTTTGCGCGATTCGTGGGTCAGCTCCTGCGTTCAGATCTAACCTCGTCAAACGAAGTGTCACTTTAGGAATCTCCGATGTGCCCTCAATAATAGGATTGGCTTTGGCCGCCTGCAAAAGGGATCGACCCATACGTAGAATGGAGTTGTCAAATTCGGTTTGAGCAAGAGTTGGCCGATCTGCTTCCCATTCGTCGTTCGAATCATCTTCGGAATCGGTTAGATAAGAATCGATTTCGCGGAATTCTGAAAGGATACGAGAGTTCTTGACGCTGCGGGTCGTGTGAGATGAACGCGTTTGAGATGAATTAAAACAAGAACACACGTATTGACCCGAATCCATCGTCGGCCGTTGTCTGCCACTACGTCAACCTTCGCTCCTGGAGGTCTTTGGGCGCCTCTCTTTCTCGCAGAGTTGGGTAGCTGCGAGGTAGGCTGGAAGGGGAACGTTTTGAACACGGAAACTATAGGCGCTGGACCGCATAAAACCTCGTTCCAAACCGCGATGAGGTATGGAGCATTGGTTGACAATGGTGGGAGATGGATTGATTCCGGATCGTCAAGAAACTACTGGAAAAAAATCGAGATGAGATTGCGAATAGATTTTTGGGGCAAACAGAGTAAGAACCTTTTGAAGCACGTCAAGATCAATCTTTATGTTATCTCTTAAGTTTTTGAGCCCCGGGATGTGCTCTTGCTGAAGCCATTGACTATCTTCGCCGGCATCGGTACTAACGTCCAGTGACGAGTCAAGAATCGGAGGTCTGTCGCTCAGCGGTTGGAAGTTGGAGATCGCTTCATGAATCTGCTGCAGTCGGACGTTAAGCTGCTGGAGATCTGAGTGTACTGCGTCGTGGACAACGGAATTCATGGTGAAGAAAGCAGAGCTGAGGTTGTGGTTACGAGCCAAAGATCGATAAAATTGCCGTGGGACAGATTCTAAATTTGGATATTCGTAACTTCACCAATTTCAAAGAACAAAAAAAGTCTTTACTCATTTTATCTTTATCAACATGAGACTTGGTATTTTTTAACTCATTCTACGATGACGGAATATGAGAACGATCGTCTGCTCGAAATTAACAACCAGAGGCGGGTCAGCTATCAGCTATCAGCTCATGCTTATCGCTTTTTACGAGGCTTGTCATTTTCGAGTTGACTTGATAATAAAACAGTGGTTCTAATACAAGGGTACAATTTCTAATGATAGTGGCGAACCTAGTTTGAACACAATCAGCTATCATTCCGTGGAGATCAACGTGGCAAGCAACTAACTTGGAGTCCATTGAGAATTTCTATGTCGTATTCCTCTCCTTTGATGAATTCTCCTGTGCCGTAGCTCTTGACACGGGCGGACTCCCATCTATGAATTGTCAGATGCAGCTACAAAAAAAAACAGAGGATATAACATACTCATCGGTTGTAGGTGGCTTTCCTTCGAAGATCTGATGGCCTTCCTTTTGTACTTTCTCCGAATCGAAAAGCTCTAACGACACGCCAGGAATAAAGTGCGCAAAGTGGAAAACACCGAGGCGACGAAAATGAACTTGGTCTTTTGGTGGTCGAACGACTAAAAAATAAATGGACAGTCAGACTATTTCGGTAATGCCGCGGAGGAAAAAACAAGCTACATACCGCGATGCATCGTTCCTTTCAGAATCCCACCGCTCATGAAGGAGAGCTGGTCACCTATGTTGATAACATATGCACCCTCCCTGTGTTTAACGTATCGCCAGACGTTATCCGGCATCAAGACTTGAAGAGCGGTGACTGGTTGAGAAACGAGGCAGCTAATGCTGTTGAAGTCAGTGTGTCCATTCAACATGACGCCATTAGTCTTCTTCGCTTCTTCCGATGTAAGGGGGTCATAGATCATGTATCTAAACACCTAGAAACACAATTATTAATAGATAACTGGATGGGAGGTAGAATAAGAATCATACATCTTCACCAGGTTTTCCTTGAGGAGTTTCATGGAGGTCCCAGAGGTGACCTTCCTTGAGCCCCAGTACGCCGTCGATGAGTTGAGTAACTGGCTTGAGGACCTTCTCACGGGATTCCTATATCCCAGTAAATACGAGCTCCCCTTTAAAAGCGCATTGAGACTTACAGATAAGAAAGCTTTGATTTCGGGCATGTGGGGTTGGAGAGCTTTGGGATGGCGGGTGACGGGATCGAGCCTGGTGAAAGTGTTAAGGAGGGAAATTTAAAAATTAGGATGGGTACTAACTCGTTCGCGTAAAAATTGTAATGCTCTATCCTGTCGCGGATGCCATTTGTGATCTCCCAATAGTTTTGGAGCTGTTCGAAAATCGGATGAGATGAAGGACGTCGAAGAACCAGTGAAGCAGGTAAACGAACCTTATAACCGATGAAAGACCCCTTTTCCTTGATTGGGGCGACATGTTGTTCTTTCTCCTCTCTTGAGACTGCATCGAACGCAAGCTGGCCTATCGAAAATTGCCGAAGGAGCTAGAGAGATGAGATGAGCCGCGTTCAAAACAATTTTGACAACAAGTTACCGTTTCGGGAGCAATATCGTGACCAATCACGTAAAAGAAACCGTCGCGTTGAAGGGCCGTCGCGACTGTCTTGATCAATTCCTCCTTCTCCGTCGCCAACTTTGACAAGTCAATCGTCAAAATGTCCGCCCATTCGAGGTCTTCAGCTGTTACAGGAGGCGCCTCCCATACAGGAACGTCAGGAACGGATGCGGTAGCGTTCAAGCTGAGCTTCTCAAATGCTGAGGAGGACTCCGCGACGGCAACAGTGGTGGTAGAAGACATGGTAGACTATGTGTAAGTTGCCTTTTGAATTCGTTATCTACGTACTTTTAAGCTTCTGCGACTGATCCGTAGTACAGCACGAGCTATACCAAGGTATGGCGTGTATTTTCGCCAATGGTGCGGGGGATCACGCAATGGACAAGTTTCGCCACCGTTGCTCCTTTACCAGCATCGGGTCCTTCCTCCGATGACTGCCTAATAAGTTAGTCAAAAATGAAATTGACGCTGCGTGACACTCAAATCTACTGAAATTCAGACAAAAGGCTTGTGCACGAACGGCAAAACGTTTCTCGAACCCTAGATGCTGCAATATCGCTGGTGCAATGCGTGATTGGGAGTGAAATTTTCGTGCTTACTCTGTGCTCACCAAACGAAAATCATGCATCTCGAATTCTTGATAAGAGAGCTTAGGTACTGCTTGGGTACTGCCTTGTGGACTTCAACTTTCCGCTCTAAGGCCTACCCACATGTCTCCTACTCCCCCACTTCCTCAAGGTGCTGGCTATGCCGTCGTACTTGGTCTCGGGTTATTCTTTGCGTTGTTGATGAACATCATCACATGGATACAGCAGAAATTTTCTGACTTTTCGCCTAATTCGGCCTCTGAGTTTTCGGCTGCAAGCCGATCGCTCAAGACCGGTCTGGTTGTCGCTGGTATCATCAGTTCATGTGCGTACTTCTTGGTCACATATCCTGCCTCTCATCTCACGAACCACCTTTAGGGACATGGAGTTTGACCCTTCTCCAAAGCGCGACTCAATCGTACTCTATGGGAATATCAGGAGGGTACTGGTACGCAATTGGAGGCACCCTCCAAATTGCCCTTTTCTCCGTTATTGCTAGCAAGGTCAAAATGAACGCTAATAGAGCGACTACCTTTCCTGAAGTGAGTTGAGTCATCAGACCCTGATTCCCCATTCAGAAACTTTCTAAATAAGTCAATTCAGGTCGCGTACATTCGTTTTGGTACCGCAGGCCACCTTGCTTTTCTATGGTGTGGGCTTGTCTGCAATGCCATCGTATCGGCTTGCATTCTCCTTGGTAGTGGCACTGTCGTGACGGCGCTGACTGGAATGAATGCGTATGCCGCGTTATTCTTGATTCCCGTTGGAGTAGCTATTTACGTCGCTACTGGGTAAGTAGCGCCGATTTCTTCTTTATCAACTGACTCACTCTTTCCACAGGGGTCTGCGAGCAACGTTTATCTGCGATGCGACACATACATTTGTGCTACTGCTCATCCTTATCTGTTTCTCCTTTATGTAAGTGACTGCTATATTTTTTTCGAAGCTCTTGCTCATCGCCATGAATCATTAGTATCATGACTGGGGACAACGCCATTGGTAGCCCCAGAAGGTTGCACGAGCTTCTTGTGACGGCATCTGAGTTGTGGCCTGTCGAGGGGAACTACCACGGCTCTTATCTTACGTTTCGATCGCGGTCTGGTTCCATTTTTGCGGTTCAAGTAAGTGTCATGATGATGTGACGTAGATCAATGCATTCATGAGCTCTGCCCCACAGTCCATCATCACAGGTACGAGTAGATGTAGGGCGTTTTCTGGATTAGAGCTGACCTGTGTTGTTTAGGTTTTGGCCTCGTTACCTGCGATCAAGGTGCGTAAAGCGGCTCCGCATGATGTCATCGCGCTAAATCAGCATTCTAGGGTACTGGTCAAAGGCTATTGCCTCCAACCCGTCAACAACAGCAAAGGCCTACTTCCTTGGAGGTTTTGCATGGTTCTCAATCCCTTTTACGTGCGGTACTGCGCTCGGTCTGACGGCCCGCGCCCTCGGCTCTATTCCCGGCTTCCCCGTCCTGTCAAGCTCTGATATTGGTTCAGGCTTGGCTGCTGTTGAGGCAGTTAGCTTCCTTCTCGGAAAGGCAGGATCCGTCCTGATGCTTCTACTCGTTTTCCTGAGCGTTACCTCGGTAAGCTCTCGAGCTCCTAACACCATTCTTTCTCTGATCAAACACTTTCTCAGGCTCTCAGCGCCGAGCTCATTGCGACATCAACTCTCCTTTCTTATGATGTCTACCGTCATTACTTCAAGCCGAACGCCACGAGTAAGGAGGTTGTCACTGCTTCACGATACTTCATCGTATTTTGGTCCGTGTTTTCTGGAGCTTTGGCATCTATTTTCCACGCTGTGGGCATCGTGAGTTCTGTTCTGTTCCATATGTTAGTATTCTTACTCACGTTGCGAAACAGAACCTTGGCTGGATCTTCTACTTCCTTGGAGTGTCAACAGCATCTGGCGTGTTCCCGATCGCCTTGACTTTCCTGTACGTGTGCGGAAATTTGCATAATTTAGGCTGTGCTCACATCGTGGCAGATGGAAAGACCTCAGCGCAGCAGGTGCCGTCGCAGGATCTATCGGCGGCATGATCATAGCGCTCGTCACTTGGCTCGTTACCGCAAAATGCTACATGGGATCTATCACTGTTGACACACTCAGTGATCAGTGGGTTTCATTCGCTGGAAACGCTGCGGCTATTATTTCTGGTGGTGTCCTATCCATTGGGTTATCGCTTTGGCGTCCCGCGAACTTTGATTGGGAGAAGACACGAGGTATGAGTGTTGTCGAGGAGGAAGATCTATCAGCCACTTCAAGCAGAACAAGCGTTCAATCGGAAAAAGTGAAAGCGAAGGACGACGTCCAGAGTGTTCACTCCATTGAAGAACGGGCATTCGTTTCTGGCGCTGAAATCGACGGCTTGGATTTGGCGGCACTGAATAGGACCTTCAAAAAATACAGCGTTATCTTTACCGTTGTAGCGGTGATTATCACTTTCGTAAGTCGTATCTTTCCTTCTTAATCTATGGTTCCACACTAACATTTTTATTTAGGTTATACCTGTGCCTCTGAGCGCTGCACCGTACATCTTCTCACCAAAATTCTTTACGTTTGTGATCGCTGTCATGTTTGTGAGTCGAAGCCACCTCCGTTCGTCTGCATCGATGATAGAGCTCATGGTATTATAGATCTGGCTTTTCTTTGCGTTCTTCCTTGTAGTCATCCTGCCTCTCATAGAATCGCGTCATGCTTTGAAAAGAATTACCCTTGCTGTACTTGGAGTACGTTCATCTCAATCTACATAACTTTTTAGATGTCCCTCTTTCTCTCTACACGACTTTATGCCCTTGACGACCCGTAGTTACATATCCTGTATTAGTACCTTACAAATTGAAGTTGTAACTGCCGCCACTTTATCAAGTCTTTGTTAAGTGACCGCCTTCTCGACAAACACCACCAAAGCCATGCACAACTACTAAGGAGTTGTGCAACAGCCTTGAATCGCAAGTCCGACTACTCGAGGAGATCTATCCCCCAGATAGTACGCGCTAGTATCACAACGTTGGTGAGCGTTTCACTTTTTTGGTTCATCTTGCGCGTTGATCGTGACGCGCTTCAACACTGTCCATCGAGCTTCGATCACACTTTTCCAAGGACCAAGCTACGCCAGTGGCTTGGGTAACACCCTTTGAATTGGTTTTCTCATGCTGGGAAAACTCTGAAAGCTATCACCCTGCGACTTGCCCTGTGAGTCTGACAACACTTCGTGGATCCAAATTGGAATCCTGCTGTTAACTGCTTCGTTGGTCGCCTAAACGTTGATTCTACACTAGCGCCCGATTTTACTGTTTCCCAGCGCTAGTTTACCCTCATCCTGACTCACTTGCGATCCCACCACAAAGCTTGAGGTCCGCTAGGAAAGGCTTATCCCACAACCCTTGATATATTTCTATTTATTGGAAAAGGCTGTGGGCTTATACTTACTGCGGAACTCTGGGCGTTTTCCTTTCCCGACAACTTGGTGAAATCGATGCACGTCGCCGCGCACGCAACTTCTTTTGGGACATACGGAACTTTTTGTCACTCTGGTTCCTCGTATATCAAATAAAGTGGTATGTGTACACGTAGTAATCTGGTAGGCGTTGTTCTTCTGGCGCTCTACATACTACCACATCTTTTATAGCATTGCTATATGAGAATCTCATCAAACCCTTACGCGCAATCAAATTTGATTTTTTTTAAACAGGGAAGGCTACAAGCCTATTTTGCTCCGGTTCCGACTGTGGGTCGTGGTACTATGACTCAACTACTTATCTTTTGGGTCCATCCGATATATTCCCTTGATCAAAACCTGTCTCAAGTGTCTTCCTCAGTGTCTGTAGCGATGGCGCGTCCTTATTTTGGTCGCACACACGAGGCAACATGACTTCGCGTCGACGGTACCGAGCTGCAACAGGAACCGTTGTGGGATCGGCTTGTGCTCGATCAAGCAAACAATGGGAAGAAACTGCCTAATATCACTTAGCTATGACTCGATAGGCAGCTCTGGAGACGCGTCACGGTCAGCCGATTCGCGCCTTGTATATTTAGTAGAAATCTCACCAACCTTTTTGGGAGAACAATGCTTTTGATCGCGACCAGGCGAGCGTCCTTTGATCATGAGGCGGATACAACTCGGGACGCCTGCGAATTTCGACCGACTTGTTGTATTTGTGATATGCTTGATATCTGTGCGTTTCCAAGATACTTTTTTTGTACAGCCGATTCCGCCCTAATTCTTGGCCTTGCTGTTACAAGCCTGATATTGTATCATGGACCCCTGTCAAACTCTTAGAGATATATCACAACGTTTTTTACAGCTCTTTACCCCTGAAATCGCGATCTCAAATTATTCATTGGGTGTTGGCCTTGAAGTCGATCTCATGTACAGTTAGGTAGTTGGTATGGCCTGTCAATATGGTAGAGTTGGGTACTTGATACAGGGGATTTATAAAAATAGGTAAACCATCATAGTAAGATACAAAAGAAGCAAGTAATGAAGTAGTATACAGCCAAGAAAGCATAGGTCCGATATATATCCCCAACCTTATCTAGATGAAATACAATGAGAAAACAAAAAAAAGACATCCTGGGATTTTTTGAGGTATTGTCCTCGAAATGACTACGTCAAATATGAGGGCGCGTGAGTGGGGCATGGCGTCAATTACAAGGGTTGTTACAAGAGTTGTAGAGGGAAGATTGATCGTGTATTAACGTAGGGGGTTTGAACGTGGCGCCTCTTCTGCGTGGTAAGAAAAGATTATTAGGAAGCGGCCGCAGTGTGGAGTGGTAGGGGAGTTATTGTAGGATGGGAAGATCTGGCAGGTGATCTTGGCCAAGTCACAGTGAGCATGCCGTCTTGAAGTCCTGCTGTGACTTCTGACTCCTAAAGTACGCGTCGTGAGTCAGTCTATCTCAAGAGTGAATAAGCGGGAAAATACCTTGATACCCTCAGGCATTGGAATGGAGCGGTGAAAGGTTCCGTAACGGAGCTCCTGGACGCGTAATATTGATTGCGGGGCAGCAGTGTCAGCATCGCCCTCGCCTCTCGCAATAGCGTCGGCAGCGGAGATGGGGTTTGACGGCAGTGGCAGGCTCCTGCCAGGTACAGAGTACGCTGCCTGTCTCTTTCCTGTGATGACAAGGCTGCCCTCAAGGATACGGAGGGCGATATCGCTTGTCTTCACTCCAGGAACCTCGAAAATAGCTGTTATATTCGAGGACGACTGGTCGTCGAGGAGATCCATCCTAAAAAATATATAGTCAAGGGGCAACTCCAAACTAAACACAGAAAAATATATACCTTGGTGTGAATTGTGTGGTAGAATGTGTAGGGGCTACAACGCGCAATTTCCCAGCTTTTATAGCTTGTCTGCACATGTAAACAGCAGCGCGTTCAACCGCTCTGTGGAAGGTCGGGTTGCGAGTCGCCTCTGAACCATTGCGACGGCTTGTATCCGGAAGAGAAATCGAACTCATTGTGGTAGAGTTGTAGTTGGTAGGGTATGGAGGGGTATGGAGGTTTCTTGGAGGAACTTGAATCGAGTTCGATCGACTGCTTTTATACCAGACTGCGGCATGTGCCGAATCATCCAGAGTCACCGAGACCTTTCTCCAACCAGATGCAAATCTCTGGGTTCGGTCATCCCAAATTATTGGCGCCGAGGCCCGTATCGACGTAGGAGGCTGTGCTGAATGAGTCATTGGGGACTGTGTGGTTCCAAAGCTTGTGACAAAGCAAACATCGTCATTTTGTAAGACGGATTTGTTGAAAGGACGCGTATGCCAGACTACGGATGTGCTAACGGATGCCCGAATGCTGTCCTCCGCACAGAATAAGAGGCGATGACGAAAAGGCAGCCGCGACGTCGGTCGGGCATTTTGTTTGCTCAAGCCCGCCGAGCCAAACATGGAAAAAGCGGAGTCGGCAAGCTCCGGATGCACGTGACGTCTGTGTTGAGCCTTTCCAAATTTGCAACGACATACCAGACTCCAGTGCCACTGGCAAAGCGAGTAGCCTTTCTCCAACATTCAAGAACTCTCCACAAACTACGTCTAACTCTACGGGAATGGCGGCCAGCAAGGTCGTTTTTGGTGCGTATCTGTCTAAGCACTGTGACGCAGCCGCTGACACACCACACAGTTGGAAATGTTCCCTACAATATGGCGGAAGACCAGCTGATCGATGTCTTCAAGTCGGTAGGACAGGTGATAGGTTTTAGGTGAGTAGTTCCATCCATTCTTTCAAGGAGACATAACCAGCGTGGGGTGTTGATGTTTCTGTGCAGACTGTCCTACGATAGGGACACGGGAAAACCCAAGGGGTATGGTTTTTGTGAGTTCGCGGGTACATCAATTTATTTCTTTTGTGCACGAAAATACGTTCCGTCTGACTTGAAATCCATCCTCTATTCAAAACCTCAAAAACCGCAATTCGCAATCGTCAAAACCTCGTGCACTTCAAACAAATCACACTCACAAATTGACTGCAATGCTTCTCTTACCTTCAACTTGTTATCTGGTGTGGCGTGATGTGCTGTCCGCAAAATCTTCAACCGAATTATATTCGTCCATGAAATGATTGAATTCGACCACATAAAGACCACGAAACAGCGATGTCTGCCGTACGCAATCTTAACGGCGTTGATGTCGGCGGCCGGCCTCTTCGAATCGACCTAGCAGAATCCGATCCGCATCTTGAAGGAAAGACAACTGTGAGAGGAGAAATCTACCCCGACGCACCTCCTTCATCTGGGTGGCGCGGTGGTGGTGGTGGTAGTAGTGGACGAGGTTTCGATCCAGAAGCCTTCCTCGCCAACTTGCCACCAGGTGTGCAGATACCAAAAGGATCTTCGTCATTGGATCATATCAGCCAAACGCTTGCCACCATGCAACCGAGTCAGCTTATGGAAGTCCTGGCCCAAATGAAGGTACAGCCTCTCGTTTCAACAACATATTTGGCGACACCTGATGTAAGAGTAGGCTTTCGTTATTACACATCCAGATCAAGCAAAAATCTTGCTTGTGAAACACCCACAGTTCGCCTACGCGCTCTTTCAGGCCCTCCTTCTAAATAAAATTGTTGATCAAGCGATCCTGCAACGCATGCTTGAAGCAACAGGCGCAGGAGCAGTTGGACGCGGCCCGCCACCACCTCATGCCCCCCCAGCAGCCCGACCGCTAATGCCTGTCCCTCCACCTCACCTGCAGCACGGGCACCTGCCACTTCCCTCCCATTACCCTCCATCGCAAATGCCGCCTTTCCCGCCTCAGGGTGCCATCCAACAACCTCAGCCCGTGGCTGGAATCCCTCCACCGATGCCAGGGATGTCGGCCCCACCCGCTTCCGCAATGTTTACCCACCATCAGCATCCTCAACATATGCCCCCTCCCATGATGCCTCAATACTACAGACCTCCGGCTCAAGCAGCTCCCGTCCCTCCGCCAATGGCGCCTACTACCCCTCAGCCTCCCCAACAACCGCAGGCCCAACCTGCGCCTGAGATAAGCGACAGCCAACGGGTACGATTTACCTCAGGATTTGCTCGTGTGAAATCTGACCCATTCATTGCACAGACGATGTTGATGCAAGTCCTTAGTTTAACGCAAGAACAAATCAACGCTCTTCCGGATGCGGAGCGGTCAGCAATCTTACAACTGGTCAGTATCGTTTCTTGTCCGTTTCGACAGCTGTTGGTTAAACCCTTCATAGCGAAATCAGTTTATGGGGGGTTTAGGTGCCGCTTAGTGTGTCTAATCTGGTCCTTCCTTTTCCTCCCATCCTATCCTGCCTTTTCTGTGCATCATCTCGGACCGTCAGCATTATATCCTGTCCAGTATACATTTGAGAATGGTTAACTTCTGTATATATAGCACAATTAGTTGTTGTGGTCTTGCATGCCTTTCACTTAACACGATTTCCTGACAAGTCTTGATTCTATATCCTAGAGTTCTGAATCCTGTGCTCCAGATCTAGAACAACCACCGTATTATACAAGTTTGTTATCTAGGCTCCGCGATTTCTTCAATGCCACCAGTTTCTCAACGATCAGATTTAGAGGCACCATTTCGCCCTTGGCCTTGGTACCAACGTCATCACGGTTGCGTACGTTCACGGAACGAGCATCAAGCTCCTCCTGACCCACGACTAAACGGACACTAACATCAGCGGGCGATGTCAATGACGGGCTCCAAATGCCAACATACCAAGTATAAAGTTGTACTGCGCAATCTCTCCATTACGGATCTTCTTCGGTAGGGTATTCTCTCCGTTGTCCACGTCAGCGAAAAGTCCGAGCGATGTCAAGCGTTCAGTGATTTCCGCAGCGTATTCTTTCTGTGTTTCGAAAAAAAAAAAAAGGGTAAGCACAGCCACGATGAACGGATCATCGGGATTTGTTCTCACATAAGGGGCCGCGACGGGTATGACGAGCACCTGTCGAGGCGATATCCAGAAGGGCCTTTGAACCGAGGCTCACTCAGCATAATTCCCTGCCGAGAACAAGATAAATTGCAACGTACCACTTTCCGGCAAAATGCTCCGTGATTATCGCTATGAATCGTTCGAGACTGCCAAGGATCGCACGATGGATAATGACAGGCCTGTTGTGCGCCTCCTCGGCTGACCGGTACTTGAGGTTGAAGCGCTCCGGAAGCTGGAAGTCAAGCTGGATGGTGGCGCACTGGAATGAACGACGCAGGGCATCGCGAATGGTGATGTCGATCTTTGGCCCATAGAAGGCACCATCACCTGGGTTCAGGTCCCATTTACCAGGATAATGCTTTTCAAGCGCTAGTTTCAGTTGCTGTCAAGATATGTCTGTTTGAGTCAAAAGGAAGGGGTAAGATCGAGGAGAATATACCGCTTCAGCTTGATCCCAAGTCTCAATGGTGCCGAGGTAGTTGTCTGGACGTGTGGACAATTCCAGGCGGAAATCGAAGCCAAAGAGACCATAGATGTGCTGCATGAAATCGAAAAGCATGCTGATCTCTTCTTCGAGCTGTAAGATAAAAGTAAATCCAAAGTTTCTTCAAGGCAGTCAAGACTTACCTGGGAGGGCATACAAAAGACATGGGTATCATCTTGCACGAATCTCCTCACGCGGGTCAAACCAGTCAAAGCACCACTGGCTTCGTTTCGGTGGATGATACCGAACTCGGCCATACGTATGGGCAGTTCTTTGTAACTTCGATCTCTCGAGTCAAAAATTAAGCAGTGACCAGGGCAATTCATCGGCTTGAGTGCCCATTTTTCTTTCTCAACGTCAAGCAAGAACATATCGTCCTTGTAGTTCTGCCAATGACCCGATGTCTCCCAAAGTTTGCTGTTGTACATGTTGGGGGAGATGACTGCGTTCTATTGAGATGACGGTGTCTGGAAAATTGAGCATGACAAACTTACCTTCTTGGTATCCACGCTTGAAGTATTCACTCTACGACAAAAAATGTGAGTTTTCGGGTGGAAAACAAGTTTTGCAAACTTACTCGCATGAGTTCTACAAGTGAATTGTATATCCGCGTTCCGTGAGGGAGGAAGAAACAGCTTCCAGGGCTGAGATCGTTGAAGAAGAACAGCTCTTGGTCCTTGCCAATTTTGCGGTGATCACGCTTAGCAGCCTCAGCGAGGAAGACTTTGTAATCTGCGAGCTGCTTCTTGTCGGGGAAAGAGATACCGTAGATCCGTTGTAAAGAGTCGTTGTTCGCGTCTCCGAGAAAGTAGGATGCAGAGTTCTTGGTAACCATGAAAGCCTTGATCTTGCCAGTATGTGGGATGTGTGGGCCAACACAAAGATCGACCATGGGACCGCACCGATATACGGTGGTGGACGTGCCGTCAGGAACTTTGGTCTGGATGAGGTACTGTTTGTATTTATTGTACTAGAGCAAGTTCAGCAAAAAAAAAAAACTCAACAACGGAAATCGCGCACGTTGAACATCTCAAGGAGTTTCTCCTTTGACACGACTAGCCTCTCAAACTTCTGCTTCTCCTTGATGGCTGCTTCGGAAACCTTCTCCAGCGCGGGATAGTCAGCGTTGGTGACTGGGCTGCGACGAGATGTGAGACAAGATTCACGAATATAAACTATCAGACGCACCGTTCTTCAATTGCCATTTCATAGAAGAATCCCTCATCCGTAGGGGGGCCAAGACAGAGATGACAGCCATAGTGTCGTTCAGCAGCCTCTCCGAGAACGTGCGCAGAAGAGTGCCAGAAGACTTTCTTTCCTTCTGGGTGTTCAAAATCAAGAAGTTCCAGTTTGCATGCCTTTTCCAGCGGTCGGTCGAGGTCCCAAAGCTCTCCATCAACCTTTGCGATGACAATTCTTTCTGACAAGCTCTTTGAAACCTCCTTTGCTACGTCCATAGGGCTCGTTTCCCAACTTTTTCCTTTCCGTTCCGAACCATCAGGCATGGTAATGACGATTTCCTCTCTGGGTTGAGCTTAAGAAGAGTCAATCTTTTATCCATTCTGCACGAAACCTCGCGTACATTTGACAAACTCATCGTATTCCGCCTTGAGCTCGTCGAATATTTTTATACGATGATCGAAAAATGCTGGTCGTGGTTGTAACTGTGTTGATCTCGCTCAATCCCTGTTCGCGAGGAATTTGAAGGTTAAACGTACTTCTAGGGGGTATGTAGATGTAGATGCTGGTTTTCCCTTCTTTTCTTTTGGTTTCTTCTCATCACTCGCGTGAGGGCTGTCCAGGGCTGGGATCTGGGCAGCATGGGCGGTAGAGTGTACTGGGGTAGCCATGGAGTGCGCTCTGATCGTTGCTCTAGACAATCGATATCGATAGGGATAAAAAGCAGAGATGTTGCAGTTGTGCAATCGAAGAGGACTTGGCTTCAATCTGCAAAGCAACTTTTGAGAGAGCATCCAAATCGATTTGAGTCACGCGAATGACATATGACTCGATCAACCACCAGGAATTGAAGAAAGGGTCAAGAAAGGGTCAAACTTGTACCAAGCTTTGCGACCAATTTGCTACCAAGCCGCACGCTACGTTGTATCATGCAAAGTTGGTTATCGACTGAAATTGGTTTCCTCTGCACGACTAGCTGTCTCAGAGAAGTTATTGTGGCACCAACAATTCTCGTTTTCTAAAACATTACTGACGATTACCTTTTTTCTAGCATCTTTCCTCGCTCCATTCGCCGTGCCCAATCTCCATCGGCATCCAACGTTATAGGGAGGACTACTTGACAAGTTATTCCAGATGTGATACTTTGGCACAGTCCCATGTCCGCACGTCATGAGGAGTGGAAGAACTGGCTAAGCTACTCTACCATGCAACACGAGCTGAATGACAAGACGACGCATCTGAAACAGTTTTTCACGTCTTGAAATTGATGGAGCAATTTGGCTGCTTCGTGTTATGAATGGACCCGAAAGGCTACTTAAACCTCGAACATTGTCAACTTGAATCGAGAGGAACCTATTGTCCCCCTTTCACGCCATGGCTCCTTCTTCCAATATCATCATCACGATCAGCGACCATACAACGTCCTCAACCCCCCGCCCTCATATTCTTTATACTGTTCAAGTTGTGCGGGACGGCAAGGAAACCGTCATCCAACGCAGATATTCCGAGGTAAACCTATATCTGCGGGTTTTTATTCGTTCTGACCGCATCTTCAGTTTGTCGCCCTTCACGGTAATACAAGCTTGCCTCGCCCTGTCTCTATTTTTTTCTGATGTTTCGCTCAGAAACTTTGAGTGACCCTTTCAATTTACCCCCCAAGCGGCTCTTCGTCACTACCTTCGTCCCTTCCGCGTGGCTGGACGACGCCTTGATCGCTGAGCGCAAGGCTGGGTTGACAACCTACCTCTGCGACCTTCTTGCTTCCAAATTCAAATACAGCGAAGTCCTCACCGAGTTTCTTTCGCCCGAGCCCAGAGAATATCCTTGTTTCTTTGACGTGGAGGATGCCTTACCTTCGACCCTCTTCAGGAAGGTTCCGTTGGCTTCCAATCAGGAAGTTAGCACCGCAGCGGCCATCATTGCTGCTGCCTACTACCCTAGTTGGAGTGCAGGTACAACCCCTCCTGAGAAGCTCGACTTTAGCAAGTTCGATATCCTCTTCTATGGTAGGGCATCATTCGATCGTCCGTTGACCACCGCTAATGGTAGCTTCAGCTTTCGCTACACCGAACTCTTCTTCTGGCCTCAGCTGGGATTCTGGAAGCCAAGCTGTTTTGAAGAGACTTGCCGACAGCGCACGCAGCAGCGGGTATGGCACCAAGGTTGTCCTCTCCATCGGTAAGGTTGTTTTTCTTCGCTGTCGATGCCATTTCTTACTGAACGCTCTGATTTATCAGGTGGATGGGGAGGATGTTACTGGTTCAGCCAAGCTTGTTCGACTGCTGCCAATAGAACAACTTTCTGCAATGCTCTCGTCAGTGCTGTAAACACCTACGGCTTGGAAGGCATCGATCTCGATTGGGTATCTATCTTTGACGTACATCTCGCAATTTCAACGCTGAAGTATCGTTCTAGGAATACCCCAATTCGCCTGGGGCTGGAAATCCATACTCTGCTGCGGACGCCGCCAATTTACTGAGTCTCATCACGTTGCTCCGCACTGCCTTGGGTAAGAACTCGTCTTCTAAACGTCGAGATTAAGCACTGATAAGTTGCTTCAAGGCCCTTGCAAGATTATATCTGCCGCTGTTGCTCACCTTCCTTGGTTGGGTTCGAACGGCAAGCCTCTCACGGACGTTTCTGCCTACGCTGCGCAGATGAATTTCGTGAACATCATGTATGTTGAGTCATCATCCTACAGACCGATCACCCGCTGATTAGTGGCCATCAGGAACTACGACGTTTGGGGCGCCTCGTCTACTCCAGGACCCAACGCGCCTCTCGGTACGCCTACCACAGATCAATTCGTTCTCGTCTCACCTCATTTGCAGGAAACCTCTGTGGTACCTCGAAGCAACCTCAAGCCAGCGCTCAGGCCGCACTTGCTCAGTGGAAAGCCGCAAAGTTCCCAGCTTCCCAGGTGCGCACTACTTCCTCTATTTCCAAGCACGCTCTCACTGTCGTACAGTTACTCCTCGGTTTACCTCTATACGGCTACGTCTCCCAAAGCACCAAGACTGCTTTGACAGGCAGCTTGATGCCCTCTGACGACATGGTCCTTCTTCAGAACATTGAACGTCCAGGTGATCATGGAGGTCACTTTTTGAATGGAGCACACCCCGTGTCCAAGAAGCAGCCGAACCAGAATAACGAGGCTGGGTTAGCTCCGGCTAACTTGCAATCTTGGTGGGGCCAGCAGATTCCGTTCAGCGCTATCGTGAAATCTGGAGCACTTGTCAAGAAGTCCGACGGTACTTATGGTGAAGGTGGAGGATTTACTATGGGTAAGGACTTGCCTTCGACACTGTGCCACTACTTGCGCTGACATTCACCTCTGGCCAGGTTGGGATAATTGTTCTGATACCCCAGTATGTTTGTGCATGTCAGACATTAGGCTGTGTTCACTCAATCGTACCTCATAGTATCTCTTCAACGTTGCTCAGAAGACTGTTGTTACATACGATGGTTAGCCTTTCTCTCGTTCATAAGCGTTCGACTACTGAACTTCTCCTTGAGACACTTGGTCTTTGACTGATAAAGCAAAGTTTGCGAAGCAGAGTGGAATGGCGGGATGCTTCACTTGGTCCCTTGATCAGGTTTGTTTTGTCCATTTTACACCCATACAAACTTTCCTCACTATCTTTCGAACTTAGGACGATGGCTTGACGTTGCATAACGCCATTCGGAAGGCGTTGGGTCTATAGTTTTTCCACCTCGTTCTGCACCGTCCGTGCATCGTAAGATTGGGGCGGTGATCATGCGACAAGATGTAATTGTATCTAATGAAATTGAGGCAAAACATATCCTGACAAGATAAAACATCAATAAGTAACGTAAATAATCAAACCCAGAACACGTCCCTCCCATGAAATAAATAATACAGATACAAGTTTCTTCTAATGGTCGACCTGTTCAACTCTCCAAACCTTGATAACACCTGCCCGGTCACCACTGATTATCCCTCCACGGAAAGGTGAGTCAATACAGGCCAGCACAGTGACAACATCCTGATGAGACTTGAGCAAACTCTGCTGGTTATTCGTGATGAGAGAAATCCGCTGTGGAGGTCGATTGCTCTGGCCACCATTCAGAGTTGGAGGCCATGTCTCGACAAACGCTGACGCAGTTCCGACCGTTAAAGTTCTTGATGATTCAATGAGCACCGTGTAAAAGAGTCAGAGATAATACTCACTCGTACGAAGGCTTCTCGGTTTCAGATTCTAGACCGCTGAGAACGGTAGTTCGCTCCAACTTCCCCAAGTCCCACAATCGAATCTTCCGGTCCTCAGAGCCAGTGATCATAAAACCTCGAGTTGCAGAACGCCCTGAAGGACTTGAATCCGCAACCATCTCGCCATACTCTGATCGGTGCGCCATAGAATAACCACCAAAGTCAAGCCCAACGACCAAAGCACGAACGTCAGGCGCTGGTGAAGGAATTAGTTCGTCACTGAAAGTGTTTCGAGAGGGCTGCCTATCCACTGATTCACTATTGCTAGAGTTTCGTGAGCGCACCAGGGCTGCAATAGCTGCTGCAGGACTGGGTTCAGCATCCACTCCTGTCATCTCATGAGGCTCTGGTATAGGGTCGCTTGGCGATCCAACCCGCATTACAAACGTCTCAACAAGGACGGCATTCTCTATATCCCAAACTTCTACCAAATTCGAGTAGGTTCGATCTGTGGGCTTCTTGGAAGCATTGACGGTGACCATGATCCATTTCCCGCGCCCTTTTGTCGGGTGAACGACACATTGGTGTATTCGTGCTGATCGACCGGATACTGTGACTCCAACATACCAACTTCGTAGAAGAAGACCAAATCGTTTGTCCCAGAGCGTCAGGACTCCTGTTGATGTGCCCACTATTATCCAAGCCCGTTTACGATCTATGCAGAGGGCTGTTATGGAACCATGATGCCGAGGGTTCTCCATGATCTGGAGGATTCGCATCGTACGCAGGTCAAGAACTACGATGTTGGAGTGGGTTGTAGCGTAAACGAGATTCGAGGAAGAGTCTAAAATGATAGAAGAATATAAAAGAGGTGTAAGTGCAAGAGAACTCACCAGTGTTATAGTGTGTCATGCAGGTGATGTATTCCCCAATAGTATCCACACGATGCTCTCTAATCACTTGAAGTTTGTTGTACTTGGGTAAAGCCCCGCTTTGCGTTATATGGACCCGTACTACATGCAGACTGCCATCATCGGCTGCACTGGCGAAACAGTGCACGCCCTCCAGAATGCAGACACATTTGACACGTGCATGATGCTGACCATATGTGTGCCGAGGTTTACTGGTGACATTTCGTTCCAAACGTGCCGTATCCCAGACTTTGACTGTTTTATCGTCTGAGGAAGATACGAAGAACATGTGATCAGGAGATACAGCCAACCCAGTGACCGCTTCTGAGTGGGATGTTAGATTTGCGATGAGAGACGCCTCTGTTCGTCGAGTCGTCCCATCTCGAGAGGTAAAGCTGTGCCGAGTTGCGTTGCGTCGACGAATAGGACCTTCGTGAACGTGGGGGCCAAAATCTTGTTGGAGTTCTCTGTTGTTGTCGAGATACAGGTTTTCAAGCAAGTTGCTGATCCCTGGTTCCTGGCCATCTAACGATGAGAGCATTAACGCCGGCTTTAACGGGCGAGAAAGAAACACTCATACCATAGGTAGAGATGGGCAACATCGAAGGGACTCGTGGACGATGTGCACGAAGGGTAGTGGACATAGACATGGGAGAAGATCTTCCTGATCGTTCTGGGGAACCTTCTGAACGAATCTTTGAATGAGCTTCTAGCACACCTGTTGCATTGGTTTTCGAAGATCCAACAGCAGGAGCTGCCTTGGTTCCATCAGTACCAATCTGTAGCCGATTTATTGGACGTAAAGAGATTGAGTTTGTGAGAGATGCTACAGATTCGGAGGGGCTTGAAGGACGTTCTGGAATTGGAGAAGGCTCAGCGAGGGCAGCCAGGGAAGAACTTGATGCTCCTCGTCCAGAAGCGGAACTGCGATGTTCTCTGGACGTATTAGCCACACTAAGAGAAGAGGATGAAGCGTTGATGGTTTGCAGCCTGCGACGGAGATCTTCAAATGGGGCGCCGGTGCTATTGCGATCTACGCTCGACCCCCGGAGTAGACGAGGGCTCAGAATCGGGGTACGGGAAGTAGAAGAACCGTATGTTGACCTTCTAAACGATAGTACTCGAGAAGATCGTGCGGTTATGTCACTGTTCCTGGATTTGAGGAAAACTGTTTGCGGGACAACACCAAGCTTTTGAAGCTCGACATCTCCGCTGACTTTCAGACTCTTTCCTGTGTCAGGTTCATGATTGAGGCGTGACGTAAAACTGATGGACTGTTAACCCTTGGGCTCTCTAGGGCAGTTGATGAGAGGAAATACCTGGAAGTGGCATTGGCAAGCTTTATGATGTATTCCCTCATTGCGAGCAGCTTGTTCTCGTCGACTGACGTCATGCCAAGTTGTTGCAATTTGGTCAAGTAGATCTCATCCCTGTATTGAGACAATGCATGAGATGAATGAACCGACGTCAAAACTCAGGTATCTCACTCCTCAGATTTGTGCCTTGATATACCCCCAGTCGCGGTTTTCCGAACAGATACCACACTTTCTCGAGGAGATTCCACTTTCGCACCCCGTCGAGGTCCCCGCCAGAAGCCACTCTTGTCAGCTTTCATGGCCCATTGTACAGCAGCGTCCAGAATCTGCCTAGGAAGCTGGAGAGGAGTCAATCGACAGCATGCCATAAACAATCTTAACATAACGTACAGGCGGTTTCATAGCTCCCAGCAGACTAAGCGTATCAATCTCTGCAATGTCTGACCTGAGAAAATGTCGAAGCGACGGGTACAGTATACACCAAATATCGCTGCTTGGGAGATGTTGTGCAGCAGAGCTGATGAAGGTAGCCGCCCCTATCGGCCTGTCAGCAGCGAATTTGTCACGTCTCCTGAAGCACATACCTTGCTGTATCCATATATTTGGATGATACAAGAAACCCAATATTGCGCTCATAAGCTCCCATATCCGCATCTTCTGAAATAGGCCAAGCTCGCAGAGACTAGTTAGAGCCGCCAAAACTTTGGCTACGACACTTTCCTCGACATCTTCAAGGTGGTGTTAGCGTGTTCGAACTCTCAGGCTATAAAGAGACGGCGGACCTGACAAAGCCTGCACCATTAGTGGCAGAATATATTCCTCTAAGCTCCTCCCACCAGCACAGGCAGCAACATCCACGATGCTCTCGAAGAATGCGTACCGAAGCAGCCAATCACGATCGTTCAAGTACGTTATCATGTGGCTCAGCAAAACATCATTAGTCTTCTGTCTGCCGAGAAATATGCAAAGGGACGATATATCATGCAAGACAGCACGCTTCACAATACTCGATGGGTCCATGAGCAGGGCGGAGAGATGATCCTGAACTTGATTTTGTAGCTCTTGCATACTTGCGTCGTAAGAAATCTGCAACAGGTAAGACAAGGTGACGACAAAAACCCACGAAGCTCGCAACGCACCTCAAAGTGAGCATTGTCATATTCCTGAGCTTCGGCTGATAGGTTGAACGCCCCATGAGCTCTCAGTGCTTGACCCATCTCGAGGTACCGCAAAGCTGTGTCCGCGAGCTGTACAATGCACTGCGCGTAGGTACACCGTACGGAGACTTCTGGGTCTTGAACCAGATGCTTGATGTTAGGGATGATATACTCGGGGAAGATGGCTACATTGGAAGGGGTGATTACAGTCACGATCATGAGCTACATAAAGATTAGCAAGGTGCGAATAGAGCACGTAAGGAAAACAACATACGACTTGCATAAGCGTCCGCAACGCGGCGGAGCGGACGAGGGCTGCGTCATCATTGAGTAGCTCGACAATGTAGGGCACCATCCGGTCGAGTTTTGCTTCATCAGTCAGATGGCAAGAAAGCGCCAAAAACGCATCCAATGCGCGAACTTTGGAACTAGGCAGAACAGAATTCCGGATATTGGCAGTTATGAGCGCCAATATTATCAACGCAGGGCCATCTTTCAAACAGTGAGCACGGAAATGTCAGAAAGGAGAGGGGGTGATGACCTTCAATAGCAGCAAACCGTCCACTAGGTAGAGCACCACGAAGCTTGGAGTCACGGTTCGGTATGTTGAGCTCCACGGGCAATACATCCTGGAAGGGTTTCGAAGCAATGTTAACGGAGACATAGTCAATCTTCGTGTCCATTTTTGGGGATTCCGTTGACTCCATGATGACATACGGCTCGATGCTCTCATAATCCGCCCAGATTCTTTCTAATCGGTTATCTGAGTCACTAGGTAGAACTTCCGTTGCTGTATCTCCTACACTCGGGTTGGCTGTAAGCCCCATAGACGAAGAAGGTCTGAGGCTCGTCGTAGATATCGAGGGGGGAATGCTGGTCGGTGTAGAGGTCAGTGGAGATACGCTAGGGAATGTGCTCGACAAATCATTGATGGTTGACACATAGTTATGCAAGAAAGAGTAAAAAGCCTCTGGGAAGATGGATCCTCGTGAGGTATGCAAGAGAGCATCGAAGGTTGGTCGGGCGTTGGGATCAAGGCTAATCATCTGCTTGATAAGGTGCTACTACCAATAGTAAGACAAGGGTCTGATAGCTGAAACTAAAAGACACTTACGCGGACACCTTCATCCTCTATGGGTGCGAGGTGACTGTCGACATTGAATTCGCCCTCCCTATACTTGAACAGCTGACTCAAGGTGAACAAGGGTGCACCCTCTAAGAATAGTTCAGCGATGACACAGCCAACGCTGAAACAGTCCATCGACTCCGTGACTTTACCATCCCTCTTTCCCTCGGTATCGTCTGCGATCCTCGATTTCTTTGCACTGATTTCCGGGTTGGTGACGTGAGTGTAGAACCTCTCAGGTGCAATGTAACATGTCCGCCGTCCGGACGTGTCAAAGAAGAAGGAGAAATCAGATGGGTCGTCGAGTGGAAGATATGTGGGCTTATATGAGGCAAAATCTGTCAAGTATATCCAGTTCCATGAGGTGACCAGAATGTTCTCGGACTTGATGTCGCCATGGGATATCTTGCGGTTGCGTGCATCACGAAGTGCGTTAAGCAACTGAAAGGCAATCCATTTCTTCTCTACCATTGTAAGAAACGGACGAGTGCTAATCCGGTCAAGAGTTCAGTGGGCGCAAGAAGAAAATAAAGGAAAGCCGCGCACCTTATGCGATCATAAAGGTTACTCGCAACCCACTGCCGAATAATGTACCCCGCCTTATCAGTCTCCACGAACGACTGATAATTATAGATGTTCGCGATATCTGACAGCGTTTCCCTGTCCACTGGTTAGACGCGTAAGTCCAGTTCGGGCACTTTTACAGTGAAGCTCACTCTTTAGCCTGCGGTGGTAATTTCTCAGAGATAATCCAGGGTCCGGCTTTATGAAGATTTTGACAACGAGAAATCCATTTCGATGTCGGCATTTAACAGTCTTTAAGAATCGGGCGGAACCTAGGCTGCGAGGTAACGAGTTTGGTGAAGAGGAGAGAATTGTGGATGGTGGCATCCTACACACCTCTTCTCGTAGATTATATCACCTCCCAGTTCCGCCACGAACGAATCCAATGCTCCCGTCGTGCGCGTCAATGCCGATCCCGAGTTAACATTTCCCATATGTTTGGTCCAGTGGTTAGAAATGTATGTCAAGGCAGCCAACTAGGGGAGCATAGCTGTTGTGACTTGTTTATCCCATAACGGCTGCATGCTTGCTGCACGTCTCCCTCAAGTAGTTGTATTTCCTTCAACTAGATTGTGAGACTGGAGTTGTGGCTCCCCACAGCAAGTCATTTTATTCCTGATGTACACTACAGAGCTCCATGATGAAGTGAGCTGATACTAACTAGAGGCTGACACTTAGCAGCGGCAGCAGGCACCTTGCTTGCTGACAAATACACTGCTTTGCACCAATACGATCCGACTTTTTTTTTCGTAACAAAGGAAATAGTGTTCAAGAGCTATAGCGCTACATAGTTATGTATATAAACATTGGAGCTGGTGCTAAGAAAGAGATGACGATATCATGTTTTGAAAAGACCAGTTGTTTGCACCGGTTTGCTCGCTCGCGTGCGCCATATGCAAGAAAAGAGCCCCATGGCCCGTAGAAAGTTTGTTTGTTCATTGTAGCGTGCGCATTATATTCTACAAAAAAAAGCTCTAGGCTCAAAATTTGTACATGATTGTTCGCTCGCGTGCGCATTCTGCAAGTCAGAGCCCTATGGCCCCTAGGCTCGTTGTTTGTACGTGATTGTCCGCTCGCGTGCGCATTCTGCAAGTCAGAGCCCCATGGCCGCTAGGCTCGTTGTTTGTATATGTTTGGTATTTATGACCTTGGGAGACCTTGACAAGCAAGGTGATAGACAGCTGTAAGGTTGGGGGAGCTACTAGTAAGCAACAACTCCGAGGGATGGATCTCCCTCCACACAACCTACACAACGAAAAGATTCTGGAAGCCCGGTCGTATCATAAGCCCATTTGTATCGAGGAAAATGGAACATCAGATTGAAATATTGTGCAAACCCTATCATGAAACTGGAAGTTTGAGGAGATCTTCAATAGCCTTCGCCAATTTGCCCTCCAAACAATCACGGAATGTATAATAAGGAGACATCAATCCTACCAAAACAACTCCAGGATCCAACGGTAATCGCCAGTAGCGATTACAATCAAACTCTGGATCTTGTTTATATAGAGGGATGATACCAATTTGGTGTCGCAGTCTTTGAATCTGCCCCACTGCTGCGGGGTCAAATATTCTGGCCATTCTTGGATCATTGTCTGGCGTAACCTCCGGTGCTGGGGTGAATTGACCTTTCCGAAGGATTACACGGCCCGGCAGGAACGGGGTTACAAGCTCCATTGGTTGTCTTTCCCCTCCGTCTGGTAAGATCAGACTGTAAAGGCCAAGGTACGGCAGAATATGCGTCGGGTCAGGCAATTCCGTTGTCTGGCCTTGCTTCAATAAAGTGAAAACCTGCTCCATAATTAGATTTTGGTAGTTCGTATGAGGGCGGTGATACCTCATATAGTGGTTTCCGGGCCTCTGGATGAGTCTGTTTGAGGTAATCCAAAACATAGCGAAGCAGGGGCACTGGTAGCGTCAATGAAACGTAACCGGGGCCAAAGATACCTATTTTGCACGAACGGCAGACTGAAATTCGCGTTTGAAATTGAATATCTCAAGAAAAACAAGATTTCCACTTACGGAACAAGCTACTTTCTTCAGGTCTATCCGTGTGGCGAAAACGAAAAGATGGGTGGAGGAGGCCTAACTTGCAGCCATGGGTATGCTTATGATCGTCCAATAAACAACAATCGCGTGGGCACTGCTCAAGTCACCCACTCGCCTCTGACCCTCCCCAAGGTCGCTCAGTAAGTTTGCCAAAATATCTCCAGGTGAGTCACGGTAGCCTGGGGGAAGCCTTGAAAGACAGATCGAACAAGGACCCACAGAAATAACAAAGCCTTTCACAGGATCCAGTTTTTCCGGCATAAAAGTATGATGTTTCAAGAGAGGTTGACCGTTGAAGAGAGGTGTCGTATTAGGCCCACACTCGACACGTGACGACGTTGCCCTCCTCGCTTTCAAGTTTGAACATGGTCAACCCATCGCTGCCATTTCGTATGTACGACGCTGAAGCATGGGAAAGACGACCCAACGCTCCCACAGTCGACGAGCTTTTGCAGGCCAACAACAAAAAGTTGACGTTCCATTGGCGCTGCGGAATATGCCTCACAAAACTCCCCCCGCCCGGTTGTCAAAGCGGGGACTACTTTGATCTTCAAGGAGTCGAAACTGGGGCAAAAATGGTATGTAGCCCGGCATGAAATAATGGCCGCTCAATTATTTAGATAGCTTCTCTCAGTTCAAGCTTGGAATGGATCTTGATATTTTCTCTGCCTTCGAACAACATCGCGATGACCTCGGACAGTTTTTTTATGCAGGAGATCAAGAGAAAAATGGTATGGTCCGTAAGTGGAAGGTTCATCTGCGACGAAAGCGGCGATGCAAATTTCGCTTAGGATGTGGATCCTGCCACTTTGGTCTTTTCCTACCAAATTATGTCTCCTTATCTCCTCCACGGCAAATACTCGAGTACATTTTGGAACACATCACAAAAACGGGTCCAGGTTGTTTAAACCTGGCCGGGGTACGTCGTTTACACTTCGTAACTTCTAAGTTTCACGAAGCCAAAATATTTTTCAAAGGCACTCGCCCTCAAAACGCTGCCTAAATCTCTTCAACCATATCTCTATTTATACAGTCTCATTATACTCAAGGAAAAGGAGGTTGAAGACATACAGATCCTCACGCCATGCCTACCTCCTCTATCCATTTTACAGGACGATAAATTTGTCCGAGCTCAGAGAAGCGTACTCCCGGGCCACTCGAATGCCGTCCGAATATTCGATGTTTCCGCTCTCGGCAAGGAGTTCAGTAAATACCATTCACCCCCCTTGAAGATCTGTGTCGTTCCACTGAGCAAATCTGGACTGGCTCATGAGACGCGATATTGGCGGTTACCAATGATAAACCCTCTGGTCATGCTGGCGTGTTTGATGCAGCAAGTGTGCGAGGGGGATGGTATAGAAGTTGAAGAGGAATGCGCCGAATTGAAATTAACAAAAGAGATTTACGAACAACTTCGGCTGCGATCAACCACTCTATAACATTGTAATGCGGAAAAAATTAATGTCCAGCAGGAAATAAATACGGGATACGGCGGGAGGGAGGAAACCAGGTTAGATATCTGCCCATAAGATGGGTTCATCGGTCAGTGGCATGTGTATGATGTCATGGCAAACACACCTCACAGTGACATCACATCGTACCTCACTGTCAAGAAGGATGCAACTGAACGAAGATCTGTCTCAATATCGCGAAGACGTAAACGATAGTTATTGTTCCTGGAAACATGAAGAACTATACGCCAAATTCAGATATCGTTGCGCGATTTGTCTCACAAGGATTTCTCCCGCTGGTGCTCAGTACGGAGAGTTCTTGGAGCTATCTACACGTATAGAGAACAAATTCAATGTGAGCAAATTTTTAACGTCAAATTGAAAGAGATCTAGGTTTACGGCTTCTAGGTTTTGAATGGAGTTTCACTTGGTGTGCTTCACCCAGGCTTTGGCAAAAAGTCCATACCTCGCCCAGATAATCCCATGCTCAGTGAGTACTACCATGCTCCTTGTTGAAAAAATCCGAGCCGGATTTAAGGATGTGGGACATGCCAATATAGTTTCTTTTTCCCCAACTTTGTTGCTCTCTCGCCTCCAAAAGAAGTCCTTGAATATATCGTCAAATATATCACTGAGACGGACCCGAATCAACAGAAGCCTTTATACCAGGTACTATCTTTTCCCTTTCCACCAAACAACGTTTGAAGTTTAAAGATAATAGGTTTTCACGTTGTTAAGCCAAGGCAGGGTTGACGGACTCCCCGACCCAATGTCAATTCTTCCATTTCTTGGGCTTTATTCCCTTGTCCCATTGAGAATTGAGGAGCTGGCGAGTGCAGACGTCAAAATATACACTCCACTTCGTCCAGACCTCTCTATTTATCGAGAGGGCCATTGGCTCATCGCCCCGTTCGACGAAGTCCTTCCTGACAACGCCTTAACAGCACGAATTTACGACGCTGCTAGTCTCAGCCCAGATCACTTCCTTTCCAATTCGTTCGGGATAATACCTCTGGTAGAGGAAGACCCTGAATTCGATAAAAATCATTTCTGGCGGTTACCAATCGATCTGGGGGTGGTATTGGCAGCCTTTTTGGACCGTGCGATTGTTGTTCCCGACAGCTGGAGCACTTATCATGTGAGGCTGGCTAAAAGCATATACGCCCTCCTCTACGTTCAGAAACATAGCTGGAACGGGGACAGGATTTCCTTCCAGCCAGAGAAAGAGAAGGACAGTCTCCGGAAGCGGAAGCGCTGAGCGAAGCTAGGAAATGTTCCACCATAAACCGCCTCTCATCGACCAGTAGTGTAAATTTGGAGGTTCGGAGGTGTTTTTTATTTACAATTGAATTGAAGCTGAATGCCAAGTTTGAAGTTCTTCATATCAACTTCGGATACCTATTGAGGCCCGCGCCGTCCGAGGCGGGGTTAATCCAAAAATAGCATCATAGCCAGTTCCAAGTCATAATGGCCCAAAATCACAGTTACAGATATGTACAAGACTAGAATCGGGCGAAAAAAGAGACAACGAAAGGGGTTCATCGGTCTAAAGGCAAGTCGCATAGGAGTTGCGGTGTTTCTAATTTCTAGCACATGTGTATGTCAAGTAGGTTGCAAGTAGGCAAAATATCCAGGATAACGTAGGAAAGTGTGCTAAATCTGCCAGCAATCCTAGACACCCCAGTTTAATCGAGTTACAGGATAATCTAGCCACAAGACAGAGTTAACCAACAGACGTGCCATTACACCACACGGAAACGTACCGTCGAAATCCCATCTCTTCGACAACTTCCTCGAGCGGCCAGAAGAACATGACTTCCTTACTTCATCTGTATCGTCCTGCCATACAGCCACCTCCTTCCTTCCCCACCTCGTTTCGTACGCAAACCCCTCCAGATCCTTGACCAAAATATCCACCATCTCCTCACTCACCTCTCCGGCTTTCAAGTTTCCCTGAGCATCGTACATATCCTCATTTGGCGGCATAACCCACGGCAACTTGACCTTCCCATCGCTTCCCCGATGATAAAAAGTCGGATTCATCTGACTCCACTGCGAAACGGAATTGTAGGCACTAAAGAAAACGTCGCATCCATAGCACAGATCCCGCGAGGCACCAATATATGGGTATGTGTGGATGCCGTGCTGCCGGAGATAGCATAGCACTGCGCACTCGGGGTGGTAGCCAGTACTTGACGCGTTTGATTCTAAATCTGAAAAGACCAGTTTTCGATCGTGTTCGTTCGCCCAAGATGGTGATGGGGAACGGGACTTGGCCTTGATGTCGTTGAATAAGGCTTGAAACCACCCCTCATGGATGGTATCGAAATCTGCTTCCGAGAGATATCCTAGTTCGGTGGATTGAACGGCCGAGCGCCAGACCTCCCTATCCAGGTCGATAGTGATGGGTTCTTGGTTCTTGCGGCTTGCAGGTATCGGTATCACATCCAAGTCACAATCAAGGAGGACTTTGAAGCGAGGGGAGTAGGCTAGACTAATGATTGTATGACAGTGGTATCGAAAGGTGGATAGTTTCTCAAGATAGCGGCGAAGGAGCGATGAGTGGCTTTTGGCTTGATCACCAGGCTAGGGTTAGCGTGATTCGCGGGGTAAGCAGGAAACTCACAGATCATATCGAGACGATCAAGAAGATTGTCGTCCCCTCGAAGTCTGGGAAGCCATCGCGTCTCGAGATCCATGAAATAGGCAGCAATGTCTTGTGCATGCGACTTCATCGGGGCAAAGAGATCGTCCAATCTCTCGGCAAGGCTTTGAATTTCGGCGTAGTCGTCTTCACTGACAATAGCAGAACCTGAAGAGTTGTGAAGCTGTCCCTCGAGGATCTGAATGATCTCCTGGACACAGACACGCAATTTCTTTCCAACGCCATGTTTGAGCTTGCAGGAGTAGGATTCACACAACATTGCATGGAGAGCCTTGCGCTTCTCTGTAGCCACTGTAGAGTCCGAGTCCAAATCGCGAAGTTGTCTAAGTTTCTCCCAGAGGTCCTTCAAGAGTGGGACAATCAAAGCCTTCAACGGGTCCTCGATCATAAGTTCGCCACTCGTACCACCACCGCCTGAAGCAACGTAAAGGGACGCTACCGCTCCATCAACCGCCAAAGCAACAGCAACGTGAATACCTCTTCCAGGAACGCAGATAGAGGCCAGCGAGTCCAAGATAGAGAAGAAAGGCCGCTGAGATGCGCGAGCGTTGTCAAAGGAATGTTTAGCAATCTCGCGCCGGCGCGAGACATATCGAATGTCTATATGTGTCTTCAATAGAGCGATGTAGCTCTCTACAGAGAGTACAGTGACCATTTCCAGGGATGCAATTCAAGGGGGAGAGAGAGAGAGGGAGACAATGATCGAGTTCAACTCCCAGAGTGCGGGTAAAGTACAAGTTTGAAATTGCATCCGAGCAACATCCCGGGCGTTATCCCGGGCGTTATTCCGAATCCATTATCCCATGGCCATGGCCAATCTCCACGAGCCAACCCGTCACAACGAGCCAACGGTCAGCGAACGCCTTGGCGTTGATCGTCTCCACAAATGGTTTCCTCCTCGCTTGCTGCCTTTCACAACGCAATCGAAAAGTTCGCCAGCCTGGTGACAAGTGGCGTGTGCGCATAACATCTTCGACAAGGCTTCTTTTGATTGTGCATCTTCTTCATTCTCCAACATGTCCGACGGTGCTGGTGCTTGTGCTGGCGTTTGCTGTACTTTCTGCTGTACGTTTACTAGTCTTTCCCGGGCTCATTCTTGTTTAAAAACAATATCACAGGTCTTGGTGGTGAAGCAGGCCTAGCCACATGGTGCAATACCCGTAAGCCCTGAATTCAGCTCCCCATATGATCCCAATCCATATCCTGTCAATGTAGAAACCTTCGGCGCAGGCGGATGCCCCTGCTGTCGCAACCACGTCAACGGGTGTTGTGGCTCGTGCTGTAACGACTCGTTTGACGAAGACGCTTTTGACAAGAAGGTCAGGAAGGACCTCGAAAATACACGAGATCCCAACGCTCCTGCAGATTCGTCTGCGCTTCAGCTAGCGCCTAGTGGGGATATGAAGGTGCCCCAAAGCTCGCCGGGTAAATGAGTGACTGTCTTGTTCAGTCGTGAGTAGCCCCACTCTAATTCATGTTTCACGCTGACGATCATGGCAGTCGTTTACAATTGCATTTTTTTTTCCTATGGATACATGGCATGTGTACATTACTGGGTGATACCCCTTATTCTGCTGCTCAATGTAAGACGGACCATACGCCCCGCAATACGACCGCTACAGTGTGTGTGCCCCTTCAAGAAATGAAATCACCATCACGATCGGAACACGTTTACAATTACATAGTGTTGCTACATTGTTTTATCGATACATTTGCGTCGGGTCACCCAATAAATCCATAATTCATGAACGAAGCCCACCGATCATCCAACATCGCTCCATCGCCCATCGGCTGCCCTTGATTTGGGCCTCCGGCATACACACCACCGCCCTGCGTCGGGAGACCATACGAAGGCCCTGGAACTTCGTGAAACAGCCCATCCCACCCGCCACTAAGCTGTGCAATCGTTTGGTATTGGCCATTGGAGTCATTGTTGCGCTGATGGCTAATATTGTCAACACTTAATGATGGAGGCTGGTATGGTTGTTCGGGCAATCGAGACATTGAATATGGTTGTTGGGGCGGTTGATATTGTTGTTGTTGTCGTCGTCGTCGTTGTGGTGGTGGTGGAGGGGGAGGAGGAGGAGGAGGAGTCATTGAGGGTGTTGATGTATCGTCTGGTATCACTACCCTTGCTTGCCCACCAAAGAAAGAAAGACCATCCGCCTCCGAGGGCATCGGCGGTCTGCCTCGCTCGCGATAATGGTCATGGGCCTGAGTAGCTTTCTGGAGCATGACCTTTAAGATCGGCTGATGTTATGGGTTCAGCAACGAGCGTTTTAGACTACAAAACAGTAATATCATACCAAGGCTCGTTCAGCACGGTTACTCGTCTGAGCTGCTTCGCTGAATACTTTACAGATGGCCTCAAACTCTTGCAGCGGGGGTGGTATGAGGTTCATATGCGCGCCTCGAATAGCTACTGTCCCAACAACAACCTACGCATCACCTTCAGTCATGAGTGAAATCTCGCAAAAAATGAACGACTCACTGCTGCGGAGAAAGTAAATGACCATATCCGCCAAACACGAGCACAGAGAACCGGTTTCCGTGAGAACTGGCTCCTTGTATCTTGCAGGACGATACATGCGCTAGAATACGCAGCTTTAACGGATTGGCCATAGGGGCTCTGGAGTGGGTTCATGGGATATTCTGTCATGGCTTGTGCGAAGTACGCGCGATGAAGGAAGAGAAGCACTGGTCAGATACACCACGTCAACCTCCAAGATGATTGTCGAACAAAAACAGTCAACGTACTCAGTTCTTGGTAATGCGACCGCACGAACGTCCTCATAGAAATAGCCGTCCGTTCTGTGTGGCTTTGCAGAGTGTCCATGTCCGTGCGGGGTACTGCAAGACCACGAATTTTTTGGTCGAGTTCAATTATCACATCATAACTTGGAGGTTTTGCAGCTAGCACCGCTCTCACCACCGGCATTAGGCAAAGCTGACTCGCTTTAAACCCCCATATCCCGACTGGAGTGGTTCAGAACGAAAACCAATCCTCAAAAATGAATGACTTACAGCCAAGAGGAACCTCGCCCTGTTGAAAGAGGTCCTCGTCCTCCTCGGTTGGGATCCTGCAGTCAACGTAAGATGTGAGAAGACTTGGAGGACGTCCAGTGACCAGGCTCTGAAAGAATCAACGCACGTATCAGATATCGACGGGGAAGGAAGGTTGGTCCGTACGCACCTGCCAAAGGACAGCGGACATAAGGTTCCAAAAATACACCCGCCTATCGTACGCTTCTCTTCCCTTCAATCCCCATATAACTGGATCAACGTCTGGATGTACAAGCAGTCAGTGATACAGCAGAACATGATGGGATGAGGGGCGTACGAAACCCGATCTGGTCGTGCCAAAATGAGTATGGGATCGTCGGGATAGAGAATAAACCCACCTGCAACGCAACTTGGCCGGCTAAGTCGAGAAAGACGTAAGATTGCTCGAGGTTGGACTCCTTTCCACTCATTCCATTGTAGATACTCATTAAGTGCAAGACCTGTAGTCCCTGAGCTGAGAACACGACAAACAATTGATATTGAACGAGAAGATACCTTGATTGTAACAACCGACCGTTCAGCTAACACGGATTGAAGGGCAAGGGTTGCTCTGGCTAATTGATAATAATGCTGGGCTTCCAGGTTAAATGGACGGAGCTTTAAGTCCACAAGGCATCCGATGCCCAGAACGATCAGGAGAAGTGCTAAATCATGAGGGCCGTACGGTTTGGCGTTCTGTTTGTATATTGTCGGAATGAGTTCGTTTACACACAGTTGACGCGACACGATGTGGAACATCCAGGACAACTGCTCCAAAAAGTTGTCGCAGAGTGCGATAGCACGTTCCATCCCCGGGAGAAATGATTCTATCGTCTCCTGGATTGGAGCGGCTATTACATTCGGAGGGGTAAATGGGAATGACTGATAGCATTGTTTTATTTCCGGAGGGAGGTACGACAAATCCAAGTCTTGCAAAACTATACTCTTTGATGTCTGCTCGTTCATTTTAGCATAAGAGTGAAAAGGGTATATTTGGCAAAGTCACCTGTAGCAGACTCTATGGCAGATAATGCAGCTTCTTAGAAAATAGAGCAATGTCAAAAAGGGAAATGTACACGTACCTCTGAGCCTCCAGATGCTCCAAAAAAACGAGATCCTCCGTGTGGGTCCAAAAACAGCGTACCTAAAAATGGTTCAGTCTGTTCTTCAGGAACGGGCTTCAAGATCGATTCCACTTCTTCGTCTTGGTCATTCGTTGGTACGAGCAAAGGATGTGGTCGATCAGTCTCTGAAGTATGCATAATAGCTAAAGCGTCTTCTAAAGAGCGCATACGCGCTTCTAGTCTTGTAATCTGGTTGCGTAAATGATCCGTGGCCGCTATGACAAACCTAAGAGAGTTGTCAGCACAAACGATAGGTATATGTGACGAGCAAGGAAACCCACCGGCTCCCTTCACCAGGCGGGATGGTACCTAGAGCAAATTTACCTCATTCAGACAAGCTAAAACCTCTCAGAAAATCAATGGACGTACCATTGGGGCAAAGAGCGTCGCAGCCTCGTTTGACACATGTTGCGCATGGTATGTTCTTATCGCAGCGAATTTTAAGTCTCCGGCACTCAGCACAAGCTATTTCTCCCCTGTACGTCTCTTTACTCTCGAGCTTGGTGGTGATAGTAGAGATGAGCACTCACCTGATCCTTCGTGCTGCCTTCGTCGGAGCGCGTGCACTCGGTTTGCCACTCTCGTATGCCCGCGGGGGCGACTCGTTGCTGAGCTCTTTTGCTGATTGTTGTGAAGATTCTTCTACTTGAAAAGGCTGAGGAGGATGAGGAGGGGTGTTCATAGAGGTTTGTGACTCGGATGCCGAGGCTGTGATTGGACTGCGCGTTTGTACTGCGCTGGGAAATGGAACCGAGTAAAGTTTGCAAAGCGAAGAGATCGTTGTTCAGGTGAACGTTCGCTTGTTAATATCGGGTATTTGCATTGAGATGCATAAGTAGACTCTTTACAACGGGCTTGCAGGAGGTTACGTAGAACGATGGCGGATGAATGCAACTAAAGTTCGAGGCCAAACTTGCCCGAGTTTGAGATTTGCTCATTTAGAAATGCCGAATTTTCTCCCATCAAAATTTCGTCCTCAAAATCTCTATCCATATTATATCCCAGGTACAGATGGTGATGTATAGGGGACTTCACAATTATGTAGCACATAAATGGGCGCAATAAGCGTTGTTTTTGGCGTTTGCAAACATGGTAGCAACATGGTAGTGACAGAATAGATTGAGACGGTGAGGTAGTAAACTTCGGGGTGGAAATCAAGCTTCGGGTACTTACAATAGTCGATCAAGTAATTTAGTGAAGAACAGGTTTGGACAAGGTTTGGAACAGGTCGAATCGAAAGCCAGATCAAGGGCGAAGGTAGGTAATCCGAGTCTGAAGTTTTCCGTAAGTCCTGTAAAAGACGGTCTGGTCACAAGACCCGAAGTAATGCGCAAGCAGATGGGCAAGCAGTAACAAGTCCCCGGGGACTTGCTCCCTCATACATCACAGTCGAAGTCATCCAGAATCGCCTTGAACGCCTCATAGCACGTTAGCATCTCATGTCTGTTATCGAGAGGCTTCATCCCTTCACTATGCCGACGAGCAGGACGAGGGACAGGTGGATGGCAATAAGTGACTCGTGTTTCCGCTGGAGGATAGGACCCATGAGCAATATGATCCGACAGGGTTTGCGTGACGGGAATCTTGAAGAATGCGGGCGATGTGCCAACCAGGCATGACCTAGGGGAAGTAGGCACCAGCTTAGGTCAACCAATCAGCCAACTCAAGAAATGGCTCACCTTGCTGGCCATTGGTGGAAGTCCCATAGCCTCCCTTTGTGCGTTATTCTCATTGAAAGCCGCGACGGCTTTTGCTACAAGCTGAGCCCGCGCACTGATTGGTTCCGATTTCTGTAACCTATTGTCCACCTGGACAACGAGAAGGATATCATTCCGAGAGCGATCAACAATACAGACATCTGTCTTGGCATGTCTGTCTTCACCGCAAATAAAAAAGGGGAAGTCCACTCTCGTGCGTGCCAATCGTTGCCGCCGAACATATCCCAGAGCCTTGAACAGTTCGACGACAAAGTCAACGACGGCGGTCTCACCCTCATCGGGGATCATGGCGAGACCAAGCAACCCGATCAACTCTGCGTTGTGGTCTTCTTGCATATTGCCCGCATCGAGAACAGTCAGCAGCTCTTGGTCAGTCACAGGTTGTGGCAACTCCTGGGATGTAAAAATCGGTAAGTGTAACGCGGAGCTGCCGCGACTCGCCTGTAAGCCAAAGAACAAAAGGTGGTCTTCTTGATGGATGGTGAGTTTAGGTCGCTGCGCGTCCAGTCACTGCCAGACTTGCCATAACGCCCTGGTGAGAGAGGTGTGCGATTGGAGTCTCCCCTTTTGAGGGGCTGAGTGGGTCATGAGTCATCCGACGCGTGCATAGGAGTTACTGGTTACTGAAACTTAAAGTGAAAGAGGGCGCCACGTGATTATGACGTCATCAAGTAATGATTATCCCAGTCATTTTATTCTTTCGATTTAGGCCTCTACCTGGCTGAAAATGGAACTTGTCTGCGAATCAGACACGTAACGATGTAAAGGCGTATACATGGCTTGAATAGTCATACGTTGCTGAAGCCTCGAGGCTAACGCCTCAAGGCCCGGTAAGGCCGTCACATATTCTGCCAGTCATACTTACCAAAAATCACCCTAGAATTTATGCCCTGAACGTCGAACGAGCGGCAGCTTTGATGGCATTGCCGTATGGTAATAGGCGTTATGGACCAGAAACTTCGTGTTTCCCGCGTGTACTTCGCGTTCCGAGGCTGTAATTATAAACCAATCAAACGTGCCTTCAGCTATTTTTGTGTCAGAGATCACACGACGTCCGCAAAAGGGTTATTCTTTTTGTCCCGATAGGCCTCGCCAACAGTGGGAGGCAACAGCGCCAAATTTAGCGATTTCCGTCAGCGAAATTTCAATATGCATTGTTATTGTCTGACCTCCTGACCGGATTTCAGACGCATCCTGGCAACATCTTGGTCAGATTTTGTCAAAATGGGCAAATAGATATCGAACATCATGGAAAAACGACATATCACCTCAACAGCGCTTAGTACGCCGTTAAAGACTGGATACTTCCAAAGCGCCAAATTTCGAATTCTCTTCACCGCGCCCACCTATCCACCCACCATCAGCCTTATCTTCTGCCATGGCGGAACAGCCTCAGCAGCAGCGACAACAACAACAACTGCCGCAGCAGCAATATCAACAGCCTCTCGCTAGCCAGCAATACCAACAGCCTATAGCTAGCCAGCAACATCAACAGCCTAGCCCGCAGCAGCAGCTTCATCAACAGCCTAGCCAGCAGCAGCAGCTTCAACAACAGCCCAGCCAGCAGCAGCAGCTTCATCAACAGCCTAGCCAGCAGCAGCAGCTTCAACAACAGCCTAGCCAGCCGCAGCAGCAACTTCATCAACAGCCTAGCCAGCAGCAGCAGCTTCAACAACAGCCTAGCCAGCAGCAGCAATATCAACAGCCTAGTCCGCAGCAGCAGCAACAGCCTACTAGCCAGCAGCAGCAACATCAACAGCCTAGCCAGCAGCAGCAATATACCAGCCAGCCTGCTGCAAAGCCACCCATGGGTACGTTATCCGTTCAGCGTAGGTCTCCTATACCCAGGCTGACTGGAAGCAGCGGCAACTTCCTCAAAATGGTCGACGCAGTTGGCCGCCCTTGGAACGACGGTCGGAACAGCGGCTGCACGCGAGGGCGCCACCGAGCTGGTAGCCTACGAGAAGAAACACGCCCCACAACAAATGGCGGAGGCACGAAAGGGTGCTGAGGGGGAGTTCAAACATATGGAGACGGAGTATAAAAATCTGGAGACGGAATTCAAAGAGGAAGAGGTCCACATTCTTTCTTTGATCTCTTTCGATTTTCTCAATTCTTGACGCTTTCCCAGATGAACTGGCTTTGCTGCTGCTTTGAATCATCCGAGTCCTCTGAACGCCACGACGAGGATAGGAGATGAGGACGATCCAAGCGCCCATGTATTCCGAGTCAAGTTTATCTTCGCATCCAGAGATTCAGTTTGGAAAAGAGATCTAACGCATAGAAAATACTATCCACTTTGAGCAATGTTGTTGTGACTATTGAATTTCACACGTTCCCTACGGATCAATAGAGCCAACTTCGAGTAGTAGTTGTATGTGGGGCCAAGTGGTGCCAAACACCTGCATATTCTAAGTAGCGCGCACCACTAGGTCAAATATATCAGACAACATACCCATATTTTCATTTGCTCGTAGCCCTCCAAACCGCTCAGCCCTGGGTACACTAGGCAGATATTGGGCGATCAATGACTACCAGAATTTTGCTTTTGTTTTCGAGGATTCCACACGAAAGTAGTAAAATGGAACTTGGAGGCGCCGAGGATTCTGAATATACCAACAATACTGGTGCCATGCTGTTTATCGTCGCGTTCTGGCCGTATCGAATGAGGTCAAATGAGCTTGGAATAGCAACGAGTTCACTGTCTCTCTTGAGGAAGAATGAGTAGACGATTATTCCACCTTTATTAGAGGACGTACGATTATAGACAAGAAAGTGAGCGGGCCGCCGTGTTGAGTGAGCTTGCTGACCATTTTCAGGCCTTCACTGGTGCTGCTTGTATTCATGCGAGCGTTTGAAGATAATTGATTCAAAACAGTTACCAATTGCGTAGCAGTGCGGTAGACGTGTACGTACCGCGCAGCTCATTGGATTGTCACTGAAGAACCAAAAATAAACTCCAGCGTTCGCTTGGCGAACTTGAACTTCGTTATCAACAAATTATAAAAAGGGAACACACACATTTTACTCCTCGTCGCTACATTCGGCGTGTGGAAACCCCTGAGCAGAGGAGAGCTGCTGATAACCAATGGTAAGTTTTAGTAGAGAGGCGGTTTGTTTTCTGACCGTCGGGTGTACTGTAATCCAGATCAAGCGTCACGGTGCCTTGTTCATTTTGGAGAAATTAGAAATCTCAAGAACTCTCACGAATCCCTGTAAGTAAAAGTCATTGAAGGGTGACCGCTATTCTCAGGGACGGTCTCATCGTCCTGGAAACGTTCAGGACCTAATAAGAGTTTGCTAGTCTCTGTCGTCTTGACTCTTAACCACACCCCACGATAAAACCGCCTACTATCCTCTCTCATGGCAGAGCAACAACCTCACACCAACCAGCCGGCTGCCAAGCCGCCCATGAGTACATTCTCTGTCCCAATCTCCCGAGTCGGCACTGATGGGCAGTTGCAGAATCAGACATCGCGAAGGATGTCGGGACAACCTTTTTAAAGAGCGCTGCGAAGGAGAGTGGCAAGCAAGCCGTGGATTATGAGAAAGACCATGGCCAAGAACAGTTAGCTGAAGCAAGACAAAAGATGGATCAAGCCAAGGCAGAGGCTCAGGTGAGTTTCGAGGGGCCATGTCAATTGTTGCTCCTCACCTCAGTTTGACCGCTCCCAGGGCATGCTCTCGAAGTTTTGCCCTTGCTTTGGCGGATAGTCACCTTTCATTTGGGTTTTATTGGTTCTCCATGTGCAATTATCTTTAGGGGCATTCGCCACATAGTCATAATTTGTCTGTTAAGTTCAGAATCTAGTCCGTTATATGTGTCATCATTCCATATTGAATGCTCACCTCTGGGACCGCTCAAACAGTACAGCTCTACCATTCTAAGTATCGTTTTGTAGCAAATGGCTGCAAATCACGCAGGGAGAGGCGACACTTCCGAGTCTGCAGACTGTCAGTTGGCGAAAGTCGAAAAAGCGTTCCTTGTTTGATAGATATCGAGTTTGTAATTTGTAATTTGATCCTTGATGACGATGAAAACTGACAATAAGCTTGGTCCAAGTGCTCCGACGTAGGGCAGGTGGCGGGAAATGCGAAATCAATCATCTTGACATCTTCAGCTTTTCACCTAACCCAGCCGTTGCTCGTGGCTGTCCATTCCCAGGATTAGAAGGTCGTTGAAACGTTTGATCCTGTTTGATACGTGAAAAGAGAGGAATCTTTGCCGCTTCGATGGGGAAGGTTTTCATCTGTCGATTGACTGGTTGACAGGGAGCCAAGCATCGGTTATCACATCGACTGACGGATACCAGCGTGAAAAGGTTGGTAGCATTCTCCTTGATCGAGCACTCTGACTCTCGTTTCCTCGCAGAAGTCGAAGAAAGTATCGAATACTATGTCGCGGTAGCCGGAGATGTTCACTTTGCAGGAGGACTTGCAAGTTGTCTGTTCTGCCTTGAATCACCTGGCTCCATGAATTGTCAATGTGGGGAGCTGTCTTTAATCGGAACGTACATTCAAAGACTCCGGCGCTGGAAATTCTGTACATACGTGGTTGTGGATCAATCATAATAGGGTGGATCATTCACTCGCACTCCCCACTTCCGTTGATGTTGGCACCACCATCTTCTTACTTTCTTCAGGCTGCTTTGCGTTCTTCGTTTTTTCAGCGCTAGAGCTTTCGTCAAACGGATCCGAGTCGAAAGATTCAGAGAAACATGAGCCACAACACCCAGCGTTGCTGTTGCTGTTGCAGCATCCGCATCTCGCTGAGAACGAATTAACTCGGAGATATAGTTCGTATAGGATGATCCCTTCGACACACACTCGTATTGCACCATGGTGCTAGTGCTGAGAACAACGTGGTACCTGTACTTGTTGAGGATGCGCACTACCAGACGGGCAGGATACCACTTACAACAAAGTCCACAGCAGATCGCTGTGCAGATTCCGTCGGTAGACATCGCAGAAGTAAACGAATCCTCTCTCTTGAAAAGCTAATGCACTATGTAACAGGTTGCTGTGCGTGTGACGTGACGTCATGAACGGCAACCATGCAATTTAACGTTTAACGTTTAACCCCAGCACACTTGACCTTTTGGATGAATGGGTAATATCTTTGCAACTGGAGCAGTTTTCTTGCTTGTTCGTCATTTGTCTGTTTCGATACTGGTCAGTAACTGGGCCAAGGTAGAGCAAAGGTTGAGAGAAGTCCTGCCAGGAAATGGGTGTTGCGGTATGCCACTGAGTTATCAGATGGACATTGTGGGACGGCTTGTACCTCATTTGACGAAACCTTCCGCATCCTACTGATTTTTCGATTACTGGATTGAATGGAAAAGATTGCAGTTGGTGTCCTTTGTTGTTTATGATAGCTGAAAACAACGTCGATCTGTTGGTAGAGCCTTTGTTACAAAGATCTGCTTGATGGGCAAGTGTGGTCATGCAGGATTGAAATCGTCGTCAGAGAAGAAAGGGAGTTGATTATGGTAATATACACAAAGAGAAATGGGAAGATCGCCTGTCTACCGCCCGTATCTGTAAGTGGAGAGAACGTTGGGCGTTAGTAGGCCTGAAACATGAGGTGCACAACGTACTTCTGCAATTCCCACTCACGGTTGTCCAATGGGCAGACATTTCTCGTCTTCAACCAACGAGAGATGCAGTGAAAGTGGAACGCATGCTAAGATTAGACCTTGGTTAGAGATCGACTGTAAGGTTAAGGCATGAGATACGTACGTTACAAATGCCCCATGCCGCGTTACACTCCTCACTAGTGGCGGATACTTGATTTGCTTGGCAATCGATACCTTCGTTGTGGAAAGGTCAAGTCATGGGTCATTCAAAGAGCGAACAACGACAACGCACAAAGATCCATGATATGATTTCTGCAGATGGCGCAGTTATCAACGACGATGTCTGGAGTGAGAGAGATTAGCGCCCTCCTGATTCACAATCAAGATTGGTGCAATCGTATCATACCCCACGCCCACAAAGATACAGCGTTCCACTATAACCATAGGGGTAAATCAAACTAGAAATTGGGGTAGGCGTTCTCGATGAACTTGACTGCACCTTTTTGACCTCGAATCTGGGTTTTCCGGCGTCTTTGCCGTCTTTCTTTCCCTTTGTCGCAGGAGGATCTACATCCATGTCAACGTCGGCCATTATGTGGATATGATGAGGAAGTCGTGTGAGAGTGGTGGGTGCTGGTGACTGGGATGGTGGCGGTTACTGTGAAGTACTTACGCCTTACGTAACACCGATCATCTCGTGGAGTCATACTAAAACCCAACCAAAACCTTTCAATGAACCCCTCAATCCTTGTGGATTTCCCGGTGCTATCGGACTCTTTAATCGAACGTCTTTGGCCATGGCCAGTAGCTCTACCAAGAGTTGGTAGTTGCCTTATCGGCTACGACGGGTTATAATTATGTACTGGTCGAATTGCTGAAGGCCTCTGCCTATGTATATGCCATATACTCCGAAAAAAATAAAATAAACACCATCTGTTGCACACTTTGAAGGGGCTTTTGAACACAAACCAAATTTCAGAAGGAGCACCTGCTTTAGTTGTTCCGTTCAAGTTCAGTGAATGGACATTGGTTAAAATATCTCACTAGAAAAAATTAAAGTGAGTAGCAGGAGACCGCTGAAGTTTACAAGACCAATATGTTGCATTCTAAACCTACAATACGCGATGCGCCGGCTCTCCAAGTGGCTCGGAGATGAGGAGTGTCGTAGAGTGTCAATGATGATCACATGATCAGATACGGTCGCGTTTTGACTTGCCCTCAACGAAACCTTGTTGAATTTCCTGATTAGGTTGTAGGCGTCCCTTTGTGGAATTCCTGGTCGTCGTTGATACCCCAGCGCTGCTCGCCGACTATGGCGAGCTACTCTTCAGATCCTTGGTCCCCTCGACAAACTACAGAAAACACATTTACACCAACAGGAACATCTCAAACTCCATTATCTACCTCAAGACACTCATATACATCTCATTCAGGTATTTGTGCTATTTTTTTTGCCTTTCGAGGTCTTCTCAGAGTTCTCCAGATACTCAGCGCCAATCCTCCGATGGCGACGACTCGGCACACAACATGCGACGAATAGTTATTTCTCCCTCTCCTTCCCGCGAAAATTCTCATTCAGACGACACGTACTCCGACGACAACTCGCTCGAGGAGGTTGAAGCCACTCTCAACAATCTCGACGACGAGTTCGAAGACACAGAGCAAGCCCTTTCACATTGGACGCGTGGTTCTTCAAGGCAGAGCTACACATCTCCTGGGACATTCACCAGCAGTTACACCGGCTCCCCCTCATTCACATCGCTGCCCACATTCACATCTCGTTCACCTGTTCTACCCCATGCCGACCCTCGTATGCGTCTTAGCAGGATTACGGAGCGTACAGAGGATTCCCGACCCACGTCAGGTGCCTTTTCAGCTGCCGCAGCGCGCCAGGTCACTCGCACACCCGACAACCTTCGAAGGTCTGCATTGCTGGGGGGAGGCACACCGTCTCATTCGCGGTCCTCTACAGATCCCAGTTCTGATCGCACTTTACCACCTCCTGGGAGAACTACAGAACTCATTGCGGTGTTTGAGGCGCAGAGTCCTGCAGGGGGGCATGGGCGAGCGGCTTCTACTCCAGGGTTTCGTGCCCCGAGTCCGTTAGTTCCACCCACAACGACGACAGGTTATGAATATGGGAGCACAAGCTATGGATACGGCAGCACTAGCTATGGTTATGGGTCGCGTCCATCGTCTCCAACCAAATCGAGTGGGTCTTCGGGGTCCTACACTGGGCCAAGCCTTCTGTCACCACCTGTTCATACAACTTCAACAAGTGGCTTTCGATCTACAACCCCAGGGGGGACGCAGACTGGAACTGGCTCGTACACGAGCCCTCCCACGTATACCGCGACTCCCAGCACCTTTTCAAACACATTGACCCAAAGTTATACTAACACCAATACAAATACTTACACCACCGGCACACCTTACACACAATCAGTAACAGGAACGCCCTACACGCAATCAGTAACAGGTACACCCTACACCAACACTGGATCTTTCACTCAAACTTCGGTGACACCTCCAGCAGGGCTTCGACGTCCGCAAGCATCACCCCGTTCCCCTCTTGCATCTGTGAGGAATATCGTTGCGTTATGGAAGGAGCGTACTCCAACCAAGTCTGGAGAGAGACCGGGTATTGGATCTGGTTCATCAGTATCCCCTCCCCTACCGGACGATGAGGGATTATTTGGGATTCGGAGGAGGGTGCAACGCGCCGGACAACGTCTCCGCGAGACGGGCGTGCGCGACCCAATCGCTCCAACCAGACCTGGCAATCAACTAGCAGCCGCGGATAATGCAAGTATCAGAAGCATTCGAAGTGGAGTGCTTCCCGCTGGGTTTGACGCGGCTGAATTTAGCCCATACACTCAGAGTGAGGAAGCGGTGAGCATATTTCTTCACCCTTTCTCTCTTCATCTCGCTTATTTTCTTCTTTAGCCGTTGCACATCGGCATGCTTTGGTATCTCAACGTTCACGCATCGCCCCCGTATCGTTGGCAGCGTTGTCAGGCTTTGCTTTATCCACACATGCTTCTGTTGTCCTGGCTTGCACCAGGAGGAGGTCGAGGGATTGTTGCCCTCGATTTGCTGAATTGCACAAGCGTTCAATCTGCGCCTTCGCCGACTCATCCCAGTGCTCGCGATGATGTTGGTACCTTTGCTGCTAGACTTCAAAGCTCGGAGAGGGATGGACAACCCTTGATGGATATGCTTGTTCCTTTCCACATGTTGTATGCAGATGGAGTAGAGCGTTTGGCCGCAGAGAGTCTCCTTGAGAGACAGAAATGGGTCAACAGGCTTTGGTTCGTGACAGTTACATCAGTTGTTCATCAAACATTGACATTCTTTTTTTCTCATACAGGGAGGCCGTCAACCGTCCCGTTGCCATGCCTGAATCTTCATCCATTACTCGCTCTCCCACTGGATCTATCAGGACGATATTATCCATTGACAGCCGAAGCAGCAACTCAAGTGTTGGCTCCCGTTCGACCGTCTTTGTACCCCCTCTCAGCTCTCTCCCAGACATCTCAGATGTGCCATCCAGCCATTCTTCTTACCGCTCAGGACTCTCTCGTCACTCCTCCCTTGTATCTTCGCACCACACTGGCACAGTGGATGATATGGTGATTCAGAACCAGGAGTATGTTTACCCTGGTGATCGTCGTGTTATCAATCCTCAGAGAGGGCCCTCGTTGAGACGTACTGGGTCTATGACGGACTTGGACGAAGAGTTTAGATCAGCACTTGAACGTGCTCGAGGTGCTCGTCCTGGACTTGGTTTCCCCAGCCAAGTTCTTGGTGGGTCGCCTGTGACCATTTCTAGTGGTTCCTCCCTCGGAAAAAATATCTTTGTCACGCCTCCTCCTAGTATTGGACGGGGCAGCGATAAAGCTCGCTCTGACATCACCGACGAACACTTTTTCAGCGCAGGTTCGTCGGGGACCAGGTCGAACGTGTCTTCCACCTACTTCTCTCAATCCCCAGCCTCCTTCACCTCCTCTGGCGGTCTTCAAACAACCACTGGCTTGAGGAGCGACACTATCACCGGTCTGACATCTGATACCCAAGCTGGTCCTTCTACGTTCTCGATGACTCGAGGATCGTTGTCTGATTCTGGATCTTACCTGGGTGATTCCAGAGGTGATTCGGCTTCGTTGACAGCGATGTCTTCAACGACACTCTCGAGGGCTAGGCAGGTCAGACGAAGGGCTGGGACTGGCACACGCTCTTCAACGTTGTTGAGCGAGGGGATTTCGGATAAAGAGAATTATCTTAGTGGGAGTGGCAGCTATACACCTGGCAGCGGGACTTACACTCCAGGAAGTGGGAGCTATGTTGCTGGAAGTGGGAGTGGGAGCTATACCGAAAGTGGGAGCTACACGCCTGGAAGTGGGAGCTACACACCTGGAAGTGGGAGCTATACTCCGGGAAGTGGGAGTTATACGTCTGCCAGCCGCAGTTTGGAGAGTGGAAGTTACACTCCGAGCGGTGGCTATACGGCGAGTGGGAGCTACACGCCTAGTCAAAGCTACGTTGGCTCTGGAAGTTATACGCCTAGTGGGAGTCATACGCCTAGCAGTGGGAGTTATACTCTGGAAAACGGAAGTCGAACGCTTGGGAGTCACGGCTCATCAAGCAGCAGTGGTATAGGCAGGACTCCGATCTCTTCCAGTGAAACGGGTTATGACATCTGCCCATCTTCCGATTTTACCTCTCTTGAACCAACCCCCTTCACGAGCGACACTGAAACCGCAACTCCCGTAGCTCCTGCCTCTGTCGTTTCCGATGTTGCGTCAGACATTCTCTCGGAGAAATACGTGACTGCATCCCAAGCGAGTACAGAGTATGTCAGTGCGTCGCAAGGCAGCGATGAATACCTGACGGCTGAGGTGGCTTCTTCCGGCGAGTCCACGTTATCATTCAGGTCTCTCTCATCCATCCCTTCGCTCTCGAGCTACAAAACAGCGAAATCAATATCCTCTTACCGCACTGCCTCTGAGCCTGGTGAACCGACAGAGTATGTCACTGCGGACTTGTGTCTATCCGAACCAGCAACAGAATACATCACTGCCGAGTTGTGTCCATCCGAGGTTGAAGATATTCCGTCTGAAAAAAGCACTCCTCGGCTATCTTCGTTGCATCTCAGCTCTGAGCCTGATGAGGAAGTGAAGAGTATTCATAGGGTCCCATCTCTTGTCCCCACAATCAGATCACTATCCAGCATCTCTGACCTGATGCCTGAGGAGATTCCCCTTCCTATCTCGTTGTATTCTTCCTCAGCAACGCCCACACCAGTTATTCCTCTTTCTACGTTGTCTCCAACACCATTGCAGTCCACGGAGGAATCATCAGATGTTCAAACTCCTTCCTCTTTGCGCACTCTCACTGTGACAGCAGAGACACGGAGACTCGAGACTGAAGATTCTGAGAGCCTGGTATCGTCACTGCCTCTTAGTACCTTACCTCCCACTACGTTTGGTTCGGAAACGTCTGTCCTGACTCCGTCATCACTCGCCATTTCCTCTGGATCAACTACAGCTGGTACTCTCCCGCCATCGACAGCCCGTGTATCGCCAACCACAATCGCCTCTTTTACGAGTTCTTTAAGCTCATCTATTTCTGATTCGGTAGATCTCACGACCTTCACGCAATCATCTTCATCTCTAGCTCCACCTCCACAGCGTTGGGATGCGGAATCCAATGCATCTTACGAGTCTTCGATGCTCGAACCCTCACCTTCTCTCTTGTCAATCGCCTTGCCTGAAGGGCATGATACCTCGTTTGAGACATCTATCTTGCGGGCTAGTGGATCCGTTTCATCGATTGATCGTCTGAGCACAATTCCTCAGTCTCCTCTAACAAGTGCCTCTGCGTCTGTTCAGAGCCCACTCCAGTCATTAACACCTGTTCCTCGCCTTCCATCATCCATTTCATCTTCTTCAGATATAAAGACTCCAACAAGTCTGTCCTCTTCTGTGTCCACCCAGAGTGCACCTCAGTCACTCCAGTCACCGTCACCTCGTCTTCCACCATCATCAATATATTCTGACGATGCGATGACTCCAACAAGCCTATTTTTGTCCGTGTCCGCTCACAGTCCACTTCAATCTCTCACTCCCGTTCCTCGCCTTTCACCCTCAACTACTTCTGCAACAGACATGGCGACTCCTGCAAGCCTCATTTCGTTCGGGTCTGCTCACAGTCCACTTCGATCACTTACGCCCGTTCCGTCTCTGCCGCTAACAGTTTCATCTGCGACTGATGTGAGAACTCCAGCAAGTTTATCGTTCAGCCTTGCTTCGTCAAGTTCGTTGGGCCGAACTCCTTCGACTTTCTCTTCGTCTTCCTTTGTCTCCCAGTCTTCACTGAGCTCGTATATATTTGACTCAAGGTCTTTGTTGGAAGAGCCTGGGTTTGATGTCGATCTTGAAAGTGAGCCCTCAACAGAGCCGTCATTACTCACTACTCCGCCGGGATCAGCGCGCTTGGTACGTTCCTTATCTTATTTTTTCTGCTTCTCAGCTGACAACGATCAATCAATCTTATCTTTAGCCCTCTTTGGCACCGTCGTCACCCCCCAGCACACATCTCGCAACTCCTGAGGGCTCGGTCGTCGTGAGCTTCTCCACGCCCCATGGAGCTGCGGACAGTGAAAAGTCAAGTTTGAAGACAACGGAAACTGAGAGTGCGGTCACTGAACGCGACATTGGTCGAGACATTGACCGTCTTGCTGAGGAGCTTCGTCGATATGATGATGCAAGAGGGTTGGAGAATCAGGACATTGCTGACAATATCAGAACACTACAAGACGAGCTGCGAGGGTTGTCAGATTTCTTGCATAGAGTGCCTTCGCCTGAAGCTGTCCAGCAGACGACTCAACCACAGTCCGTCCCGGTGACAACAACTCCCCGACCACAGATGCAACCTCAGATTCAACCTCAAACTACACTAGAAACCCCACGTGGAGTGCAATTAGTGGATCGTGCTGCTGGTGGAAGCAGTGTTGTGTCTTCGTTGCGTCCTGGTGGTCCACGCGACATGGATCCTGGTGTCTCCCTCAGCCGTGCTACCAGTTCTGCAAGTAGCATTGGCTCATATCTCTCTTCTCATCACTCCGATGATGACCTTCTAGAGGAATCTTATCCGCCATCACCTCCCTTGTGGCACTCGTCAGTTGAATCTGATGCAGACATTGAAGAGACTCTTTCTTCATCTACTTACACCAGCTCCTCGCCAGGTAGTTCATCCACCCCACCTCTGCCGCCCTCTTCTCCTAGTCCATCGTCATCAGTGACGGAGACGGAGACTGTGCGGCCAATCGCATCACCACCTGATGTACTAGGGCCTTTATCTGCCATACGAGAGCAGCTGAATGCATTACAGGAAGGTCAAGTGCTGACGAACGAATTGATGGGCACACTTCGTGATCGACCCGTTCCAGTTCCTGAGGACCATACAGCGGAACTTACTGACCGACTCCACAGAATTGAGGAACTTCTCCGGGACCTGCTTGGCCAGGAGCATCCACGAGCTCCACAAGTTGTCATCGAGCGGGCCCCCACGGAGCCTAGTGAGGTTGCAGAATCCATTTCAGGTTCAACTTCGTCTGAAGGTCGTCTGCAAGCCATTGATCATCTCCGAGACATTCTCCGCAATATCAGTGGTGGCACAGAACCTCACATGCCTATTCCTGTTGCACCCACAGTGGGTCCTTCATTATCCCAGCAACTGGATGAGATCTTATCTGCTGGCTCCACACTTCCTCCCTTGCAAATACAACACCCCCCGCCATTTGTCCCCTTCGTCTTCGAGCCCACAGATCGATCGCGACTGAGGAGTACTAGTCCCATTTCGATAGAGACACTTCCAACGCGGCCATACACAGAACCGCCTTTGCCAGAGCCGGTCTACCGAGATCCTCGTGGACCTGGCCGTCGGCGCACTGTCAGTCGGCGACTACCACCGCGGCCTGAAGGAACAATACCTCAAGCACCAGCTGATTTTCCACCTCAAGAACCAATCCAGTATCCTGTAGACGAGGATGCAGAGCGTATTCTTAGGGACCTACGACGACAGCGTGACGAAAGGCATCAAGAACCAATAACGCAGCCTGAAACTTTCCACCACGGACGTGGCCCACCCCCTGGTCCTGGTCATGTTAGTATATTATTTTTCAACTTAGCTCGCTTTGCTGATGAGTTCAACAGCCACCACCTATCTCGACACAGGATATTCCACCTCGATCCCAAACTGCACCCCATGATTTAGCTAGTGGTGACCCTCGGCGGGGTCCCAGCTGGTACCTTCCTTCTCGAGATCAGAGACACAGGGTGAGTTCCTCGTTCTGTCCCAGGAATCCTTTACTCAAATTCTCTAGCCGCCACCTATTATACCTCCACCATCGATCCTTCAACAAGGACAGCCTCGACCGATGGCACCACAGACACAACAGGTGCCACAGGCACAGCAGGTACCACAAGTGCCCCTCCCAGGACAGCAACAAGTGCCCACATATTTACCTATGCCTGCTGGTCCTGTAAGTTTTTCTCCCAGTGACCACGGATTGTATTTAACATTTTCCGATAGACTGTTGTTCAGATGCCGCCGCTATTCAACTCGCTTTTGGAGATATTAAGGGTATGAACCTTGGTTTACTTACTTAATCTCGCTCTATTGACCATTTTTGCAGGAGAATCGTCTTGCCCAACTTGCAACAGTGGACCAACAACGTGAACTTATGAGATATATGCGAGGGTTAAATGGCTGGTTGGAGCGAGACGTACGTGATCGCCAATCGGAGCTTCGAGGGGTCATTGCGCGTGTCGACCAGCTGCGAGATGATCTACGGGGTATGCGTTCACAAGTCCACCTCATAGGTGTGTTCTTACTTGCGATAAATTATGATCTGTCTGTTTATGCCATGTAAGGTGAACCCAGTGATGGCACAGGCTCTCCAGATGGCCCTCTGGGTCCTCAAATGCCCCAGCCACAATTCAGACCTGGACCTCAAATGCCTACACCGCATCATTTTGGAGGCCCTCAAATGCCTACACCGCAACATGTTGGAGGACCTCAAATGCCTCAACCGCAACATGTAGCGGGCCTACCGCCTGGCTTCCAACCATATCCTATGCAGATCATACCTCCAGTGATCCCCCAAGAACGTCGTACGCCCACCCCGCCTTTCCCCCCTGTCATCCCTCAGATGCCTCAGCAACAACCAGGGTTCATCATGGTTAATCAACCAGGTGTTCCTGTCATACCAATGGATGGCTTCCGTCCTCCAAGTCGTATGCATTCTGTGCCACCCCCACAGCACATGGAACAGCCACCTACTCCCTTCATTCCACCCATGACTGGAAGCCACAGCACAGGCTCACCAAGGCGGCATCCGATGATGCAGATGCCAATGCATCATCCCATGGGACCCAGTGTCATTCATGTCCCAGCGGAAGAGGAGAGTAGTAGTGCTCGCTCTTCCTCCCCTCGAAGTTCCAGCCGTGGTCGTTACAGGGATTCCGGACGCACAAGGCCCAGTCGCAGTGGAACTCGAAGAACCGGTAGTTCTCGTAGAAGCCATCGACGCAGTCGCAGCTCCAGCAGGTCAAGTAGATCGCGAACACCGCCCCAGCAAATCCTTGTTACACCAGGTCCTGGTATGACCCCAGGAATGATTCCAGCTGTTATGCACGACCCTCGTTTACAACACTTCCCTCCTGTGCATGTAATTCCACCATCTGCACCGGGGTCTGTTCTTAGTCCGGGTGGTCCACGCCATCCGGAATTACAAGGTCAACTACCTCAGCAGCAGCCACCAAGCACTATCATTATACAGCAGCCTGGTCAGCAACCTATGATGGGCCAGACTCCAATGCCAATGGGACAACCAATGATGACGGGACCTTCTGGACTTCCCTACGCTCCCCCTGGGGCCGGGCCAGTCATTTTCCAAGAAGAAAGCCCCCTTTCGTCTCGCTCATCTAGTAGATCCGGCAGAAGACGGTCTCACAGTCGGCACAGAGCAACTCCACCTATCATGGCGGGCCACCCAGCTGCTCCTCCTATTATTCTAGCAGATACGAGGCGCTCAAGTTCCCCGGGACGACCTCTGGAACCATACACGCAAATGCCACCTCCCACGACGATCTTACCACCTCAGCTTTACGGAACTGGTCCCCCAGGGGCAATTATCATACCTGCAAGGTCAAGGTCGCCAAGGTCTAGCTCCAGTCGAAGTTCACGCGGTCGTCGCCGTAGGCGTCGCAGTGATAGCTATGAGCCACCAATGATTATTGGAGGGACCCCCTCTGTTCCTGCATATCCTCCATATCCTCAACCAACAGGAACAGCTCCGACACAAGTTCTTCTCCCAGGTGGTATGGTTGGCCAACCCCCCCCTGTTGTCTTTGCCGGCTCACATTCAAGGTCACGATCTCGATCTCCTCGACAACCGGCTGTTCCTATCATCGTTCCGCCGATTCAGCAACAGCCAACTCATCACGATCATCGGTCTTCACCCCGCTCTTCTCGACGGCGTGGTGATTCCCCACGTCCTGCCTATCCTGCCTATCCTGCCCAAGTGGTTATTCCCAGCGGATATCGTGATTCGCCATCACCTCGAGGAGGGGAAAGGTACCCACGTGATCGTGGCCGTCGTTATTCAAGTTACAGCCCTAGACGCGACTCACGGGGAAGGAGGTATTATTCACCATCTCGCGATGACAACTATGGAAGGGGCTATGGAAGGGACCGTGGAAGAGATTATGGGGACTATGGAAGGGGACGTCGTTCTCCCCCCCGTCGTGGCTACTCGCGAGGTTACACTCGCTCTCCCACTCGTGAAGACGATCCGAGAGGCCCTCGAGACAGACCGCGAGGAAGATATCGCGAGGATCGCTCTCCCACTCGTGAAGACGATCCGAGAGGCCCTCGAGACAGACCGCGAGGAAGATATCGCGAGGATCGTTCTCCCACTCGTGAAGACGATCCGAGGGGTCCTCGAGACAGACTGCAAAGAAGACATCCTGAGGATCGTTCTCCCGAACGTCTCAGCAGGCCACCCACAGGGATACATGGAACTTTTCGATCTTCGAGGGCTCCTTCCACTGAGTACCAGGAACATCGTCCTGGTGATGCTCCACATACCCCAAGCAGACATGAGTACCAGGAACGTCGTCCCGGTGATGCTCCGCATACCCCAAGCAGACGTCGAAGTTCACAAAGCCCCACACGTGTCCCAGCACCAACCTCTCGAGGCCCAGAGCATGTTCAAGCTGACGATGACGACCACAGAGCCCCCCCGATTAGGGTGACCGTTCCTACTTCACAACGCCCTCCAACTGTGATGACACTTGAGCCGGAAGAACTTCATGGAGTGAGCCGCGTTCCTACTCGTCACCGGCCTTCTGGTGGTAGGCGTATTTCCTTAACCCTATCCTTCTCATCTAACATACGCTTTTGCAGCCGATTACCGCATGCGCCCTTCAACTTACCACCCTGATGAACCTGAATACGATGAAGGGGACAGCCGAAGACCACCTGCAAGCGTACATCGGGCGCCAACGAGTAGGCGTTCATCGCCATCTTCATCTCCACCTAGCAGGCATACCTCACCCAGCAGGCGTCCATCCCCACCTAGCAGGCCTTCCACTCGGCCTCAAGAATCACATCCTGCAGCTACTACTGAAGATGATGCGGGTCGTCCAGCACGAACTCACGAAACGGGTGACGAACCTATCCATGGCATACTTCGACCTCCAAGGACTGAAGCCAGTACGAGGGCTGATATGTTTGACGCACCTGAGCCGTTCCCCCCCCACAGCCACGCGACAGGAGATTCTTATTTGCCACCACCTTCTGTTGTTCGGCCTGGTCCTCTACACACCGATGCTGATGCCCCACATGTTACTCCGCCAGATCGCAGGGCAACCGCGACCCCATTCGACCTTGGACCCGCAGACGACCAGCGTGAACGTCTCGAACGACTGGACGAAGTGGCTCTGCGCTTGCATGATGCGGCTGTTGCCGCCCAAGAAGCTGAGGATCAGAGGGAAGTTGAGTTCCGCCACCAAGAAGAGGAACGCCAGCGCTTATTCCTAGATAACGAAGAGCGTAGGAATGAAGACTCTCGGACGCGGAATGATACCATCTGGCGAGAGCTGGACAGTCGTTTGGCTGCCCTCCCTCCTCCGGCATCGGCTCCAGCAATCTCAGCTGAGGACGTTGAAGGGGAACCCCTTGCCAGTGACAGGGCATCAATTGCTTCGATCCGCACTGCAGCCCAGCAGGCAGCCTCTCAACATGCCAGCGACGTTCTAGAAACCATCAGGCTCGAAAGAGAAGATTTTGCGAAGGAGAGAGAAGCCGCTGCCGCTGAAAGAGATCGTCTCATCGCGGAAGTGACGGCTGAACGAGATCGCCTACTCGAAGATCGAGAATCGCGCATCAAAGCATTGGAAGATGAACTCGACCAGGTTCGCAATGACTTGGAGAATGAGAAACAGCAACGTCTAACTGAAGAGGCTGAGACAAGGGAGAGAGAACGACAGGAGTTTATCGAGCGTGATGAGTATGTGCGGAACCAGCTTGGGGACATCACAAATTTGGTTCAGGATCAGGGGGTCGCATGTGAGAGGAAGAAGGAACTTATGGAGGAACGATGGCAGGATAAGTTGAGTCGACGTCAAGAAAAAGATGACAAGTGGCTTGACTTGAGTGAGTTGGTGCAAAAAATTCACAATGATATGGAGAACGACCGTCAAAGAGCGGCGGAAGAGAAAGAAGCAGCTGAAGCTAGGGGTACGTATTCTCTTTTTTTTGGCCCCACGTTCGTTTAAAATTCACCTGTGCACACTAGGTCTCGAAAGAATGATTCAAGAGCTCCAGAAACAAACTGCCGAACAGCGCGAGTTGCTTGAACTATTTTCTGAAAGTTAGTTGCTCTACATTGTTCTCTCCCTTCGAGCTGGTGGCTGATCTGCTGTCGAAGGTTGGCGTGCGGATTGTGCGAAGCACCATGAAGATACCATCAACGCCGTTCGACAGACTGCACAAGAACAGGTTCCTTTCAATGTTCAAGGGGTATGCCGACCTTGAATTTCTCAAGCATACATACACATCTGACAATTCCCCTTTTTGCAGTACCTTGACGAGTTCAGCAAAGCCTTGGCAAGCGAGGTGCGCATGCTTCTGGGAGAAGTAGGAAAACTGCGCGAAGAAAGGAGAGCTCTGCAACAGTACGTCATTTTTCAACCTTCTTTGGGGACTTTTAACTGACTGACATGTCAGTGAATTGGGCTACCTTCTCTGTATGAAGTCAAAATACGGTCCAGGAGGAGAATTCGATCCCGAATGGCGACCACCCGCAGGTGGGCCAGGTGGCCCTGGTGGTCCGTCACCACAGGAGCCGCCAGGACCGCCGCCGCCTGGCACCCAGCAGCCTGATCTGCCACCCATCGCGAAGCCTGCTTGGCGATCAGTGCCGAAGAAGAAAGATAAGAAGGCCAAAAAGGCCGAAAAACAACAGCAGCAGATGGCCGCTCAGCAGCCCCATGACTTCCCTGGAATGCCCGGTCCATCTTACGCGCATATGCAAGACCCGAGAAGACAGATTCAGAGTTGGGCAACTTGGCAACGTGAGTTCTGCTTACTTGAAGCATTATCTCTGTTCAGAGGGCTGATTACTTTTACCATTCTTTACAGCCGATCCCGCTTTACACCCCACGCCACCTTCTGTGGAACCAACTTTACTCGTTCCTGATCGTGGAAGCCCAGGATTGTTCGGACCTCGCTCGGAATCTGACACTTTGTCGTACCAGCAGCCCAGACGTTAAACTTCTATCAGTATCAGCATCATCAAAAAAAACATCTTGGCCCATTTCACAATAATTTACGACTCACAGGATTTTCTCCCACTGTTTTCACGACACTTCACGACTCGCACGATCTCTCCGTGACTTTAATTATGCTATCCCGCCCGCTTGCACATGCTCTTCACTATTACTGATCTATCACAATAAGCACCATGACCTTTGCTTGCCATTTATCATACACTTCATCTCTACTATAGCCGTTCCATATGTGGACACATCACTACTATGCACTTGCTTATGTTATATTGCAATTTTTGAAATCTATCTTGTTATCCAGCTGCTACCAGGCTGCTACATGAAGTGGACATAAAGGTTGGCTTGGGCAACCACTGCGGACTCACAACGATCAAGAACTCCTTATAATTGCCTCTCCAACAGCCTTCGAGCCCCGGAAAGAGTGAAGTATGCCTATGCCTACGATTTTGCAAGTGAATGGTCCGGATGGGGCTAGTTATACATAGTGGGGTGTTCCTACATGCGATGACGATTAGAAAGCATGTAATGCGTATGAGTCTATTACTGGCAGGCAGGACAGTACTTTTGAATCGCTTCAAAACTAGTGAATCCACTCAAGGATCCACGCTCTCATCTTCCATCTTTGCAATCCGCACCAGGGCGCGGCGGAGGTGGTCTGCAAGGCCTGGCGTTAACTGGAGGACGCCATCAGAGGTGCATATGCGGTATGATGGCATGGGTTGGTATGTTTCTGGCAGGATCTTGACGGTATGGAGTGAGTAGGGCGCACGAGTGATTGAGCTAGAAGACGCACTGTGCTGTTTTCTACGAGAACGGTTGCGATGATGTCATCTGGGTCACCTATGCGGCCTAGTGCAGGGATATTTCGCTGATCTATGAGGGACATAAGCTTCCTTGTGGTGCGACGAGACCACAAGTTCTTTATACCATGGATATGCATCCACCCTTGCTGAATCTGTTTTGCGCCATTTATCCATATCTCATCCACGTCGTCCCGTAGGGCAGCTTTGTTGCTCTCATGCAGAACGGGTAAGAACATCGCTGTTGGCGCTTTCCAAAACGGAATATAGTGCGTTAACAGAAAACCACGCACGATTTTCTCTAAAATCATTCAACCCTGCTCCCGTCCTCTTCGCCACCGGTGTGTCTGGGGTATCGGTAACATACGTCTGGGCCGGCAGCCACCCAATAACTGTGCTGCTCTCTGGTGTCGGCGGTGTCTTGGGCAAGAAGGAAAGAGCAAACGCAGGTAAGGACGCAGATAAGGGCGTTGGAGGGTGTACGAAATGGTAGAAGAGGTCGGATCGTTGCGGGTCGGGGAAGGAAATGTCTGTTGTCTGCTTGTTGGCGTTGGAGGAGCGGAAGGTGGGTGTTCTGGAGAGCGCGCAGCGCTGGGAGATGCAGAGAGGTCGGGCAAGGTGCCACGGTCTTGAGAACGCGGTTTGAAACGCGACTGTGAGCATTTCTGTGCTGACCGGGAAAAGCGGAAAGGCTCGGTCCGAGAATCACATTGCTTGGCTGTATTAGTTTTAGAAGCTTCTCTGGTCACAAAAAGACTCCAGTCGACAACCAGTCGATATGATATTTATCATCATCCCTCGCGCCTGACGGTTTGGACCCTCGAACATGCATGGTAAGTAATAACAATGTGGTCTTATTTCGCTGTGGGGTGTCGGGATGCGGTCTCGAAAGTTTCTAGGCCGTAAACGGCTACTTATATTATTATTAATACAATGTGGCATGCTCTCCAGTTTTTTCTCTTCTCTTAACCTTTGGTTCTACTTCGCTTTCATTGCCCCTGGCTGGGGCCCAAGGTGAGCCGTAGCGAATATGTAAGTGACCTCCATGAGTCGGATTAGGCGTTCGGTGGCCGATAAAACTTCAGAGCGAGAGAACTGCAAATGACTGAGATTGAACTGCAATAGAACCCAGGAGTCAGTTAGAATAAAAACATCAACTGAGTGATATTCACGATAACGCCATGGCAAGCGATCCCCATACAGGATCCAACCTAACATGTCCAGCGGGATACAATACACCGGCAGCAATGGGCAAAGCAGCGAGGTTGTACATAATGGCCCAGAACTGAGATTCGATGAGGATTCATTTCTTGAACACGTTCAACGATTACTCACAAAATTAAATTTGACCCGTCGGAAGATTGTGCGAGAAAGATCGATCAAGGTGAGAACACCATAGAGATCGGAAGAAACTAAGATGAAAGACGCGGTAGAAATAGCAACATCGCCTGAAAAGATATACGCGTCAGCGGCACGGAAAGGGGGCACTCCAACCCGCTACACTCACTACCTGACCCAATGGCAATGGAAACGTCAGCTGAAGCCAAAGCCTGCCTTCCGGTCAATTGATTTCTGGCATACCATACACATGCACTCACTGGAGCGTCGTTGATCCCGTCTCCCACCATCGCCACGATGCTTCGTTCATTCAACCTCTTCCTAAAAGCTGCTGGCCATCTAGATGCCCGTGGTTCTGGACGTGTAGCCTGAAGTCGTCGAATATGTTGTGCCTACGTGCATGCTCAAAACCAGGCAAGATAAGCTCGCTTTGATGCACACACCTTCTCATGTGGTAGAGCTCCCGCGATTACTTTGTCTTGAGGAATACCCACGAGTCTTGCAACGGCCTTCGCCGTCGTCAGATGGTCTCCAGATATCATCCAAGTCACGATCCCTCGAGCTTGAAGGCGTGAAATGACACTTTTTGCATTGTGGCGAATCACGTCGGCTATGGCGAATACAGCAGCGACCTGAAACTCAGGCGGGGGCCTCCCACATCCTTCTTGACACTCATCGCATATAGCAAGAAAAACCACAGTCTTTCCTTGCATTTTCCAAGATTCCGAACAGGGCGTAGTATCGGGACCGATTGCCACGCCGTTGTCCAACATCCACTGCTCGCTCCCAAGAATGACTTCGCATTGTGGTGTCTCAAAACGGGCTTTCATTCCTCGGCCAGAAATTTCTTCGAATGCAGTACCTGATATCAAAGCCCCCTTCTCTGCGCAATAGCTTCGAATAGCTGCCGCAAGGGGATGGGTGCTCGCTGACTCCACCTCGGCCGCAATCCCAAGAATCACCTCACGCGTCAGAAATGCGTCCTGATAGACCTCAACATCCGTTACGCATGGCTTTCCCCCTTCAGTTAAAGTTCCAGTCTTATCAAACACGACGACATCCAGTTGAGCGGCTTCCTGGAATGCTTCACCGCCGCCTCGTGGTAATATACCCAACTTGGCAGCGAGACCAGAACCAACCAAAAGTGCGGTGGGTGCTGCGAGACCAATGCCGCATGGGCATGCGACAACAAATACCGCGATGGCAAATTGAAGTGACCAGATAGCTATAAATACATGAGTGATTTCCTTAGAAAGAGGTGGGAAAACGCACGCCACCCGCCGACGTCCTTATCCAGGTAATTGCGAGGAAGGGCACCACTCAACCCGAGACTCAGCCAAATAAGCCAAGTCAAAATCGCGAGCAGAGTTATAACTGGGACGAAATGCCCAGTCAGGATATCTGCAAGCCTTTCGATCGGGGCGCGTTTGTTCTGGCCATCACGTACAAGCCGAACGATGTGGTCGAGCCTGAAGGGATGGGTTGGCTCGATGATACGATCCAGAATTAAGTGAGTTGCACATACATTGTTTCACCCCCGATAGCATCGACCCGTACGTCCAATGCTCTCGAGTCATTAATAGTACCGAGAAACACCTTATCACCGACTTTTTTCTTGATTAGTCTTGCTTCCCCAGTAAGAGAGCTTTCGTCAAAACTACTTTCACCGGATACAACCGTTCCGTCAGTCGGTGGACTTGAGCCTTTCTGGACGCGGACTACGTCCCCAATCTCTAAATGATCCACCGAGGTTTTCTGAATCCTGAATCCAGGAGATTCGATGTATAACCCATCTTCAGAACCAATGGATCCACTCTCTAAATCGTCCTCAGAGGATCGAAAGCGGGTGCTTGGGTACTTTTGCAAATGCGGACTCAACAGATACGCCTCTGCAGGACGGAGCTTCCCTAAACTGGTGATAGCATCTGCAGTGTGACTTTTACTATAGGCCTCCAAATATTTTCCTATGGTGTCAGAGATTAACCAATATCTTACATGATGACATTGAGATTTGGACTTACCGACGAGTAAGAACATCGTCAAGAAAACGACAGAATCAAAGTAGGTGCTAGTGTCCCCCTTGCCATTCGGAGAAGCGGGCTGAGAAGCGGCCAGAGCAAGCAAATCAATCGACGAAAAATAAGCTACGGAGACTCCCGAAGAAACCTGCACACTCAGGAGTAAGAATCAAAATTTCTCGAGAACAGTCTCACGCACCAAAAGATTCATGCTACCAAAGCGAGTAAATCGTTTCCAAACAGGGGTCTTACTGCCCCGTTTCCAGAGTGACACGATCTTGGTCCAGCCTCTGCGGTGAAAATCACCGGCGCTGTAGAACATGACGGGTGTGGCTAACAAAAAAAGCGACCATTGTGCTCTGGATGTATTGCCAGTCCACATGGGTTCCATAAAAAAATCCTTGGTCAAATTTCCGTTGGGTGCAAGACTCATAAAGACGATTCCGATGACGAAGGTAGGAATGGCGATAACCAGAGAGAATATGAATCGATAAAGCAAGTGCCGTCGCTCACGCTTCTGAATTGCCCGCGAACGTTCCTCGATACTGGGAGGTTTGTAAACCGACACCTTCAACGGAGGAGACTGACTGCGACTCAGTGCATCGATGATCGTTCGGATGGTGAAAGATGGAGGAGAAGGTGAGTAGGTGATACGGAGGATGGCATCTTGGCCGTCGGTTGATGCTATTTCAATGGTTGCTTGATATTGTTCAAGAACGGCCATTATTTTCTCCGAACATGATCTGTCGCAATGCTGAGTAACCACTTTAAAAGAGGTAGAGGAAAACAGAGTTGTACTTGGGGATTCTCTCGACGCGTAACGAGATTGTGCGAGATTGATTTGAGGGTTCAACCTTCTTACGAGTTGGAGCCACAGTGATTACAGCCGCCCTAAATCCTGCATCTTCTATGACGACCAGAACGGTGTCAACCAATTCCTTTCGCTGTACAATCATCGACGCCGAATTAGAGAGTAGGTTGACTGTCAAGTCAGAAACGTCAGGCAGCTCCGAAACAAGCTCCGTGATTGCTGATGAACAAGCGGCGCATGTCATTCCTTCAATAGACAGGGAGACATGATAGGGGCCTTCAGCTTCAATTTGGTCCTTCGGGTCTGAGGAGACCTTTCTGATATCAGTCGCACTGACACAGGTGCAGCTGGCGGACAGTCAACGAATGATTTGATAGTTAACAAGAATGTACACACCTTGAACCACACGTGCACAACTCGCAGGTACAGCCGGTACGACATGAGCTCTGAGAGATGTCACTGGCTTTGTGTAATATTACAGGCCCGGGATACGTAGCCATTGAGGCAACACAAGAGGAGTGGTCGATAGAAATCGCTCGTGGACAACAGTGCTTTTATATCTTGGGTCTTCAAGGGGTAAGCTTGGGGGAGAAGGGGGATATTCCTCGGTTGGGAAAGAAACGGAGTTCCGAGTAGGATAGAAGTCAGGCAAAAATTTTCAGGATAGCCATCAAATCACTCATGGTGAACCGATACTGACGAGGGTACATGATAATGGTGAAGGTTTCCCTGGATTGGCAAGGCAGGATACAAATCACTCCGCACTCATGCGGGGTTCTGTCGATCTCCATCTGTGCAATGTTAGGGTCGATTTGACAATGATAGGGTAGGGATCGATATATTTTTGACTTGTGAGGCAAATACGTACAACGGCGAATAAGGGTGAAACTTCGGGATCCGGATGTTTACAGCCCAATTGCCTCAGATGACGCCTTAAGCTTCTTCCTCGGAGGCCCCTTTAGGTCCACTCTTCGTCATGTGGTCCAAGCTTGGTTAACGTTCCCATCCGCACATTGATACGTCTGCAGGCGATTCCCATTATCTGTCAGCCCATCAGTCAGGTCTACGCATTGATCTGAAGTTGTCAGCATTAGATAGCGAAGATTTTAAAAACACAACGGACGTACTCGTTCCGTTTAGAACAATGCTTCCAAATAGTGTGTATATCCACGTCTGAGCAGGGAGGCCAGCAAAGCATTGCCAAATTTTTAAGCCAACGCCACTCGCTGGAGCTAATCACGAATGTTAAACAATTAAACGTGGTGTAAGGCGCAATTGCCTCACTCTTGCCGGCATCCAGACAAAAACCCGTATCAGCCAACACAACAGGTGTAGTGGTCCCACGACCAATAATCCACTTTTGGGCCACGGTTTCGTTACAGTCATATCTGATTTTGGACTGAGCAAGGGACGGCAATTTGGGTTTGATAGAACCCACATTTGCACTGCGGTTCCGTTCTGGAATGCTCCCCCACGAACATCCAAGCATTTGCTGGTGGATCTGATTGGGTGAAGGCTGATGGCGTCTCTGGGTACGGAGAATGTATCACCAGGACAGAACCTGAGAGAGACACAAGTCAATCGTGTAAGACAGCACGAGACGCATTCTAACGTTACTGTATAACCCATCGAACCTGGACACTGATATAAGGGAACGGAGGGCGCTACGATTGACGGTATTGGGAATTGTGTTGGAGGGGAGTTATAAACGTTGGTGCATGTAGCGTTATTGCATACATCTACATTGCAGAAACCATCGGACTCAACTAAATCAGCATGATTAGGATTTGCAGGAACTTCGGGTTGGCTCACTATAGGACTTGTTGGCGCGATGCTGACACCCGTGTTGAAGTTATTCGAATCCCTTACGATATAATAGTAACTCGCCTGAGAAAGATGAAATATATGAAAAAACTCGATAGCTATGCAAGATGATGACTGACATTGCCATAAAACCCGGCCCTCGTCGTTCCAACACCTGTGTTGCCACTTCCAGCGTTCAAATTGGTGTAGATGAACCCGCTCCAGTCATTTGAATATATCTTAGAAACGATTCCATTAGATGCGAGTGAGCCCTGCGATTCGCCGTTTATGTACAAAGTTATTGGCTGGGGGCATTTGTTGTTGATCGTGAATTGAAGGTTTGCAAGAGCGATAGAAGAAAATGCGAGCAAAATGAAGGAAAGGTAGAAAGCCATTTCAGCAACACGACGGAGGTCGTGGTTCTGGCAAGCTACAAAGTAGCGCCTCCATTCAAGCCGCTACCCACGGGCCACATTTATGGAGTTGGCTGCACATCGTTGCAGGAGCTAGAAAAAGGCTTGGCAAAGGCGGCACGTGTTGACAAGCATAAACATACCAAGCTGTGCCGTCTGGTGAACCCAGCCAGTTGCACATTCCAAAAGTTACATTGTTTTATCCAGTGAGTATCCACTTAATTCTCCAAACCTGCATACAAAACCTCCTCCAACTCCGCCCACAACTTCCTCTCCTCCGGATCACCTGGCGAGCAAAGCTGAGTTCCAAAAACCACAGCAACACCAGTTGTCGGATCCAGAAAATACTCAGTGCCTGCCCAGCCACCCCCTACACGAGTCGTATACAATCAGTAACGCGTAAGGTAGAATCAACGTGTTTGAAGCTCACAAAAACCACTCCCTTTCCTTCGTTTCCCGGGCCAATCCTCAGTTGTCACTCCCAAAGCGGTGCTGTGGGATATAGCAGGGGTACTGAATCTACTGATGAGTGATTTAGCACCCTCCTCAGTGAGAGTGGGTACGAAGAAGCTATTAACGGTGTCGGCCTTGAGAATTGGGTTCAGAACCGGTCGTCCGGCTGGTTGAATTTGATCTTAGCACCAGATTCGGTAATTAGGCAAACCGGATGGGCGTACCTTGAATTTGTAAGATGTGGCGAAGAAGGGTAAGATAATCGCGAAGGGAAGCATAGAGGCCTGCGCCTCCAAAGTGCAACTGGACTAAATAAAGATTTTAGTTTTGCTTGGATGGGGCAAGGAGCTCCGTACCTTTCGAAGGATCTTGTTCTATTAGAGGTGTTTGACCAGTAAACCGAAGGAGCTTTCCATCTGCATCACGGAAGGCCAAAGGGACGGCAAGTTCCTTTAATTCGGGGGTCAAGTAGAATGAGGCGAATTTCATTCCTAGAGGCTCGAAAATATTTTCCTTGCTAATCAATAGATCAGTAAGCATCCTTGGGATACAAACCGGTTATGCGCACCAATACTTCTCAAGGGTATGTCCAGACACCTTTTCCACCACAAATCCTACGATATCGGAGCTCCATCCGTAGCTGACTGAAACCGACGTGTTACAGGTGCACATTTTTTTAGGTAGGAAGCATGCTCACAGCTGGTACCAGGTTCAAAGGCAAGAGGAATTGAAGGCGATGCTTTCTGAGGAAGACCTTGATCATTCATTTTATCATTTTTAGCGACAAGAACATACCTTGATCTTATCATAAAATTTCTTGAATACGTCATTCAACTCCCCGTCTTGCGGAATTGTATATGGAGCCGAAAGGGTGTACGGTGGATCGGAACTTTCATATTTGTAGTATAAACCGCTTGAGTGGTTCAAGATGTGCATCAGAGTAATCGCGGTTTCCGCAGGCTTCAAAGTGAGCGGCGCAGAGCTGCTGATAATCCCAGGTTCCTTCAGTTCGGGTATATAATTCGATATGGGGGTATCAAGACTGAGCTTTCCCTGTTCCACCAATTTCAGTGCGGCGATCTGCTCGGTGACAAGTAAAGTATAAGGAGGAGTGACGCATAGAGTGAAATTTATAGACGCCCATTAGTTATAAATTTGGTCTGACTGCAGATCCAGAAGACGCTGTCTGGTGTGACTTCTCCACTTGCAGGATCGTCAAAGACGCGCGTTCCTGAGCCACGGAAATACAGCTCTCCATCGAGGTTCGTTACCCCGAACACGAAATTGGGAATCTTCTTCTCCTCAGCGGCTCGGGCCTTGTGGTGCATAAGCTCAATGAAGACGAGCAGAGCCCATTTCAGATACATACGAACAGACGGTCCAGAGCCTCTCTCCCGGAGCCAGATAGTATAGGCATTTGCGGACGACAATGTTGGGGAGTGATGGACGTAGTAGCTCGAGCTATCGTCTTGAGCCGTCTTGATGACGGTTTGGACCGTCACGCGCCAGAGAATATACCGACGGAGTCTTTACCGGAGGTCTACACCATTGGCGGCAGAAGCTGGGACATACCATGCACGATAGGGATTAGTACTAATCGTGGAATACAACTTTTGACTGACACTGTCATCTTCATTTACTTACCGAGTCTAACAGGTTACTGAACGCTGAGCTCAAGATGTCTGAAATACACATCAATGACCCGGTCTCTTCCAATGCCGTCCCAAGAGTCAAGCCCCTCCCAAAAAAATCATCTATCCCCGTGCCTTTCTTTTACGCACCTAGTGACGACGGGGTCGACGAGAACTTGCTCATCTTCCTTCACGGTCTCGGTGAGTGCTAGCGTATACGTTTGGTGTCATCCCCGAGTCCGTCTTGACGGAAACCCGTAGGTGACACCCATGCACCCTTTTCCAAGCTAGGGCGTCAGCTGAAGCTTCCGCAGACTGCCGTTCTTGCACTTTGCGCCCCAGAGCAGTAAGTAGGTGAATGCCCTAGTTCGCAAATTATCGTTTCACTCTTTGATCATCTCATCTCCCCAGGGTACCCTTTCTCTACGAGGAATCGTACCAGTGGTTTCAATCATTCGATGACCTCGGGGAACTAATCGAACGACCAAACCCTACCCCTGCACTGGATCTTCTCTCAAAAGTCGTCGACCACTTAACCTCGCACTGCCAGTGGCCTTTGAACCGCATCCACTTCTTTGGATTTGCACAGGGAGGGAGTGTGGCTGCAGAATTCGGGATCCAGCTCTGGAAGCGGCAAATGCAGCGGCCAAAGGCCCTGATGTCGTCAGAATCTACGGGGATTGATATTGAGCCGTCATCACTTGGATCGATTGTCACGATCTCAGGGCCTCTAATATCATACCCAACAGTATCATCTCTTTGTCCGACTCCCGTACTCGTCGCTCATAGGGCAGCGCCAGCTGAAACAGCCTTACAGCCGGGCGCTCTGAAGGACTTCAGTAAGGCGTACCAGATCATTACCGAATCGAAAATGGGATCTAGAGGTGGAATGCCCGCTTCAAAGGAGGAATGGGAGCCGATTATGCAATTTTGGAGTGCAAAGCTTGGGACGAGACACCCTGAAGGTTTGTACGAAGTCAGAAGGAGCTAATACGTGAGATCGATTCTTTAAAATTTCGCAAGAAAATGGTCGAGATTATCCACGTAGTTGTAAATACAGATCGAAACATATAACAATACAGAGAGCTTTAACATTGTAGAGAACAGCTTGTGTGGCAAGGAAGAAAAAAGATAGGGAGGTAAGCCAGCAAAGAAAAATTTAATAAAACCCAAGACTATGATCCGTTGGAACCAGCAGCAGTCACACGTTCATTGACCTTTTGGCGATGTAATCGATTCTTTAAATGTACTTCATAATTGGAGAGGGTTTCGCCTGGACCAGGTGTATACAACTAAGAAAATGATCAATCATGATATGAGTCGAACGGAGCGGATTATATTCACCTTGCCAGGGCAGTCTAAACATTTGATGCGCCATTCTGGTGAGCTGGTGGCATTCACTTTACGCAGAATGACCTCAAATCTGTCGTTGTGGTATTTGTCTTGCATTAGCTGCATAGCAGAAGTCAACCATGCAGGTGGCTAACATCAAAGACATCAGCTACCAATTCGTCCAAATCAAGAAGATTTCTTACCCATGCTTTCGATGGGCTGGGCGGCGCAGGCAATTCCGTAGCTGGAGGAGGCTTACTTATAGGTGGAGGGGTAGAGGACGTCACAGCAGCAGCTGGTGGTGGATGAGGTGTTGCCGGTGGCTTGCTATGGCTCCCATTCAGTTTCACCCTCTGAGCAAGCGGGGGTTCGGAAGCGCTGGAAGCGGTTGATACTGGTGATATTGCCCGGTCATCGTCATTCAGAGTAGCCGCTGGAGTCGGAGACTGCCGAGAAGACGCGTCCACGTCTCCATTAGACCTAGCTGGCGTCTGTGGTTCTGAAATGTCGGCCATCGGCGTAGCTGCCGTGCTCTGGGCGCGCAAGGCGGCTGCGGCACCTTTCCTCTTTGACGCTGGCATTTTCGCTTCAGCCTCACGTTGCTTCAAGCCAGAATGATAGTCGGCGTCTGCGTTGTATTCCACCGGCCGTGGCCTCCTATGTCTATGCCAGAACTTCCCTAAGGAGGAGGGTTTGCATCAGCTGTCGTAGAAGCAAATGTCGAGGGAAAAAACGTACCACATGTGCCGCACTGCGATTTATCACCCAGAGGCCCTTTTCTCCGTCCAATAGCAATGCTTTCAGGACAGCCACAATTCGAGCAATGCCAAACGCCATCAATGTAATTCGGGTGCTGTCCATCAACAAATTCCTTTTCTTTGGCTTCTCGTTCAAGCTCCTTGGCCCTCTTCGCCGACAAGATCTTGGCAGCCTTGCTGTCCAAAGCAGGAACATTATTGGAACTCGGAGGAGGATCGTTGTCCAAGGGAGCAGGTAATTTCGAGACGTCTGCAGCTGTAGACGGCGTGGGAGCAGCAACAAGGGCACGAGGTCGCAGGGTGTTCGGGGGAATAGGAGGTGCCTTGAATAGACCCTTCGGCTTCTTCTCTTTCTGCGCAGTAGGCGGCGGCTGTGGCGCCTGCTGGGATGGCAAGGATTGAGGCATGAACGGCGTCCCATTCTCAGAAGCGACCATGTTGGCGATTGTGAGCGAGGCAGCAGCAGCAGCAGCCCGACGAGACATTGGTGCGTTCGCAGCGGCGGCAAGAGCCAACGTTGCTGGGTCAAGTTCTGGGAACCCAATAGCAGGCGTGCGATAAGTCCTGATCGGCTCTCGGTCTGGCAAAGCAATCCCGCGTCTACCCCTGGTATTACGCTTTCTGCGCTTATTCAGGTCCTTGTCCCGATCCTTTTCCGTTCTGTCGATCTCCCCGTCGCTAAGGTAGTTGAGGAGGGGAGTGAACATCTGAACCTCGCTCACTGGACGAGCGCCCGACATCAAGCTGGGCAGGAAGGACTGTTTGAGGTCCTCATCTTGCACAAGAGCACCATCAGAAGGTTGATGGCCAACGAGGAACAGGGACTTTTGGTATGTCTGCACTTGTTCTCGTATTGAGTGGGCGATAGCAGTTCTATTATTTGTCAGGGTCTGATCAGCACCAAAAACCGTCGATCAAAAGAGGCACAGATGACGTACTTGAATTCTCCACATAATCCGAGTTCTTGGGTGTAAACATCCGCGAAATCTTCTGGTGACGCATTTGTATTGTCCAGATCCCATTCGAACTGATCGTCAAGCTTCATAGCTCCGACAATGATGTCCAACTGCAACGAGGAGTAAGGTTCAGAAACATTGAGTGCTGTAACATAAAACATTACCTTGATCAAGATCCGCATATCCTCGTGGAGACTCTGCTCGTCCAACTCGAGTTCTTCTAGGGTCATGGGCCTTTCATCGTCACCATCACCCTCGTCCATGCACATGTCCTCAGGCTCCTCCACTTTAACAACCTTCCGCCGCTTCCTTCCATGTTTGCTACCCTTACGAGATGCACCTTCAGCACGGACGCGTTTCCGCCACGACTCCCACCAGCTAAGACTCTCCTCATCAAGAACTCCCCGGTGGATGGATGCATCTTCAGGCTCAGAGAGTTCACCACCCTCGCCATCGTAATTTGCCGAATGAGCCTTATAGTCGCTGAGTTGATCTTGTATTGACTTGACGATGAAGGAGTGGTAAGAGGAAGGGAGGGCGTAGTCTTCCACAAGGGATTGAGCGAAATGTTCTGGGGTTACCACGGGGTCTGAAGAAAGTGAAGGTCAATGCATGAATCAATGGGTGAAAAAAAAAGAAGTGAGAAACAAACCATTCAAATTCCAAACAAACGTATCCCGCATCTTATGGTGCTCAACATCAAATTCCAAACGAATGGGAATAAGCTGTTCAGGGCGATTCGCCTCTGCAGGAGCCAGCGTCCTCGGCCTGAAACATCATCATCATCAACTGCCATGAGATAAAAAAAGAAAAAATCAAACATACAATCTCAAACCCTCCCTTCTAACACCTCTCTTCCTCTCTCTCCCATCTCTTCCCTCCTTCTCCCTACGTCTCGGATACCTAACATCAAACTGTTCCCTTCCCCTCCTCCAGCGATTCAAATTCCCACCAGGGAACCCCTTCTCCCACCACGACGCACCAGCAGGCCCAAAAGTCTCCCTAGCCTCCACCGCCATCCTCTCCTTCATCCGCCTAAAAGCAACCTCATACTCCTTGTCCACCTTGATCCACCCTTGTACATTCTTAACATCATCCTCCGACAAGGGAGGAATGCGCTTCACAGACTCGATCAGCGGAACAGCGCTGACGCGCGTGATGGCTGGATTGAGGGTGACCCCAGGCGGTAAAGGCGGAAGCTGCGCCAGCAAATTGGCAGCAGCTGCAGACCCAGCACCGCTTACGCTTGGCCCGGATGCGGGTAATCCGCCCGGTGCCGCCGGAATCCCCGCTGCCGACAACGACGATGCTAAAGCTTGCTGTTGTTGGGGTGTAACACCCATCCCCGCTCCTCCTGGGACAGCACCTGGACCAGCGAGCGGAATCCCTCCACCAATAACACCAGGAGCAGCTGTGGGAGGATGCATACCTGCCAGTGGGATCGCAGGTGCTGCAGAGGGAGGAGGCATCACCATCCCTGGCATACCGCCCATCCCAGACATCCCACTTTTCACACCAATTCCCATCAAGCCAGCCGGATCCAACGGCTTCGACATCTGCGGAGGAGGACCCATCATCCCAGACGGAGGTAAAGAGCCTTGTCTCTGGGGTGTTTGTTGGTTTCCAGGCGGGAATTGTTGAGGGGGAATCGAGCCTTGACGTTGACGTTGAATTGAGATATCCATACCACCACCTCCTGGAACCATGCCCATAGAAGACTGAGGTCGAGGCGACTGGGTTCGCCGTTGCTGTTGATGCTGATGTTGAAGCATGGCTTGAGTTTGTGCTTGGAAGATGTTGCCTGCGCCTCCTGGCATGCCAACGTTCATGTTCATATTGCCCAACCCGCCTGAAGTAGGGGTCGATGGGGACGGCATTCCACCTAAACCGTCTCCAGAAATGGTCCTCGGAATGCCAGGAGGACCCATGGGAGTCGTTGGTGGCAAGGCCATTCCGCCTCCAATTCTTGGAGATCCCATACCAGGCATGACACCATCAGGACCACCGACTTTACGTTTCGCACCCCGATAAGGAGACATGGGTGGCGGAGAGCCTTCATGCTGTTGCTGGGAACCAAAGGGTTGGCCACCTCTCTGCTGTTGTGGTGTTTGTGTTTGGGGTAACGGAATGTGCGGTTGAGATGATAGCGGTGATTGATTAGGGAAAATGTTTCCTCCTTGTTGTTGCGTTTGGGAAGATTTTTGTGGGAATCCGTTCATCATCCCACCAGCGTTTGCATTAAAACCCTGTTCAAGTTCTGTTAGCCTAGCTCAAATTTGAATAGTAAGAAATGTACCATATTCCCACCAGCACCAGGTATCTGACCAGGAGGACCAACGCTCAATCGACTGGAAGGTCTTTGAATCCCCATCTGAAGCTGCATTCTCTGTTGTTGTTCCTGTATCCTCTGCTGTTCCTGCGCCCTCTGCTGTTCGTGCATTCCCTGCTCTCGCATCCGCTGCTGATGCTCCATTTGCTGCTGGTGGAACCGCGGATCCTGTTGCTGCTGATGTTGCTGCTGCTGCTCCATCTGCTGCTGATTGTGCATTTGTTGTATCTGCTGGCGATGCATCCTCTCCTGCATCATCCGCTGCTCTTGAATTGACCCCATACCACCCATGCCTCCTCCTAACCCAGGACCAGGAATAGTAGGCGAGCGATGCGCCATCGACGTCCCAGGACGCGAAGGGTGCCCTTGTCCTTGGCCCGACTGCTGGCCTCCCATGTTCATAACGCCTCCCATGCCATGCATACCAGCAGCGGTGGTTGGACGGGGTGGGGGTGGGGGCATCATTTGGTTCTGATTTTGTGGGTTGGACGAAGGATTGGATGTAGAATGCGACGATGCTGAGCTTGATGGTCGATCAAAGAACCCACCCATGGCTATTTGCTGGTTCGAGTTCTGTTGCTGGGCGAATTGCATCCCACCCATATTTGCGTTGTTCATGTTCCCCACGCCTCCACCTCCACCCAACATGTTTCCGCCTCCTCCGCCTCCCATCATGTTCCCAGCACCACCACCCATCATGTTCCCCATACCTTGCCCACCCATCGACATCGACATCTGTTGGTTCTGCTGATTGATGATAGCCATGGCCTTATTCCCAGCTGCATTTTTCTCCTGTGGGCTGAGCGCGGCGAATTGCTCCCTCGTTATGCCCAACATATTCAACATCGCAGCTGTGTTGATTTGAGAGGGTCCACCGGAACCAGTTTGGTTCTGCAACATCATAGGGTTGATATTGACATTATTCATGTTCATCATGTTCGAGGAGGACGAATTTCCGGAAGACGAGGAGGCGAGAGCGGCTGGGTTTATGCCTCCCATACCACCCATAACCATGTTCCCCATACCGCCTCCGCCACCCATCTGGTTCATGCCGTTCATCATGTGTTGTTGATGTTGTTGTCGTTGTTGCTGTTGGTGAAGAAGCTGGTTGGCACTGATAGAACCCTGGCCTTGACCGTTCATTCCACCGCCAGAGCCGTTCATCAATTGAGCAGGGTTCACACCACCACCCATGCCTCCAGCCCCGCCAAAACCTCCGCCTCCACCACCATATCTCTGTTGTTGCTGCTGCTGAGGGTTAGAGAAACCCCCCGCTAGGAGGGCTGGATTGATGGATTGGGATTGAGAGTAATTTGAGGAGGAAGAGGGATTGGATGGATACGTGTTCATAACTGATCAAATGTGTTGAACTGTGCTGAGATGATGCATATACGCGCTTTGGGCTTACCAGGGTTGTCAAGTCGTAAAGTAAAATTCCTATGTGCTTGCGTTTGTAGCTGTTTGAGGATGAGAGAGTTGGTTTGCTAGACGCCATACGATGAGAACACGACGGGACTAGAGAGGAAATACGTGAACTGACCGAACTGGTATCAAAATAGCAATATTCCTCGCCAAAATTGCCAAGTAAAAAGAAGACGAAGGAAGAGACCTGCAAGAAGTGGTCAGTGACGTGTCGATGGGTAGGACAAGTAAAGATCGTGTAAAATGGGCGCATATATGCGGCAAAAAACGCGACTAGGAAGAGTATCGCGAAAAGAGTCAAGGCTGAGCAGAACGCGCATCACAATGGATGGAGGCGTGCGAACACGTGCCTGGAGCGACAGACAGCGACTAGGAGGCGGGGAACAGAATACATACCCGAAGAACGTCAAAAATATGGGCGGACGTGAATCTAGAGGACGGGGTCAGCATGGTAGTTGGGGAGAGAGAGGGGGGGATAGGCGGGATGGAGGGAAGACGGAGGCGGGGACGGAGGAGAAGGAGGGCGGGAGGATGGACGGACCGGAGAAGGGGGACTGACTGGGTTTACGCAAGCGGGATGGCTCGCGGGACCTGTTATTTCGTTCGTAGATGGGCTTGAGGAGCTACGTCGTCGGGATGGCCTGACTCGTTTTTTGCGGGCGACGGAAGAATCAGGGCCGAAAGTGGGCGGCCGGGGCAGTTTGGTGGAGATTCTGGGATGGGATTTGATTTGAAGCGTAATTGCTTCGCAGCCGCGTATGACTTTCGCCGTATACACAGGCCACAAAACTACTGCAATCGAAAAACTAACTGCAAGGGAGAACAACAACACAACAGTCACACGATGTGACGGGGTTGAGGGCAAGGTCACCAGTCACGCTTACCCCAGCCCCCCGCCCTCTGGCTCGCATAGCAGTGGACGGTGTCGACAACATCCTCGAGCAACTATGTATACGGGCAGGGGAGCGCGCGCATCAGGACATGTGTCGGAAGTAGATTTTTACGAGGCTATCTGTCGTGTTCTAACGGCTGCAACGGAGCCAGATCTCAGATCCAGATCTCACACACTCAAGAGGTCTCGCCGACCACTTCACCTTCCAATTGCTATACCACCCATGTGTCCAAAATAAGCCTCACATGCTCATCCCATTACTCCTCACTTTTCCCCTCCGCTTGCCCTCCCCGTCTCTTTACTGCCATCCATCCTACGCAAAAGCACCTTCCAACAATCAATATCATGCCCATTTTCACAAGTTTCCATACAAGACACCAAAAGAGACCATATCGATGACACATCCCTCGTACCTGCAGGCAGCTGTCATCTTTTGCCATCATCATCATCATCATCATCTCGCAAATTCAAAAAAGTTCTGGAGCACGCTTCCTTCCAAATTCCTTCTCCTTTCCAAGCGCTCCTTCCTCTCTTTCTTTGTGCCTTTTCAGTCCTTCCAAGTTTCCGCTTCCAGGTCCGTGAATTGCTTGCTAACTTATGTACAGTAACGGACCTTACGAATGTCATCCCAATTCCGATCACCCAAGCAAATGTGCAGATACAAATTATACCCGGCGGACCTGCTGGCTCGGAGCCTCATATTCATAACGTCAGACCGCTTTTTCATGAGCAACCCAACAACGCTTCTTTGTTCCTCAAGGTATCTCTCCCTGCGCAGTGCGTATCACGCTTCCAGCTTTTCTTATCCTCGTCCCTCTCCGTTTCCTCGGTATCCCCGATTCAATTCACAAAATTACGCCACAAACATACGCTTTTATTCAGCCCACCTGTCACTCTCTCAAATTTCAACAGCACGCAAGCTTTTGTCGACCTTGCCAAGGTTATACCGCTCTTCCGCCCTGATCAACAATTCCGTGCAGAGCTCGGATCACGTGGATCCCGCCGCTCCGCCTTCCAGCTCCTTTTTAGGAAGAAAAGCGCGTCAGTGACCATATATCGCGGGAGCTGGAAAAGGTATGTGCTCATTTGTTTAGGTGTCATTTTATAAAGACTTCGTTTTTCCCTGGTCATCGCACGACCTCGCACGACCTATCGTTCCTTGGGGGCAAGTTAATTACGCAGTTGTGTCATGATCGACTCCACCCTGCACTTCGAACACCCGGTACCTCTTGGGTACCTCCCACGTTTTTTGCTTCTTCATTGTGAAAGGAAAAAGGCTTTAAGAGCGTTTAAATATACCGGAGTCACCAGACTACGTACCCATTGATTCAGTCTGGCCCTTGATCAGTCGGACATGAGGAATTTACATTGCTAAAGTGAACGATGCCGGATTTTGTAAAACCACAACACTCGTTCGAAGTCGAAATCATATTCTTTCACTTGGAGAAAAAGTGCATAGGCGCGCAACTAGAAACTATCGGCACTTTCCGCAATGTGACAACGCCTGGGCTGGCGTCGAGTCGTAAAGTCACCTTATTCAACAACTTGATGAACGAATTGCTAGCAGTCTTCTAAAAAATATTGACGATTTGCCAGCTGCGGCGCGCGTGATTTCTTATACCGTGACGAAAATTCCTTCCCAAACTTTCACACAACTTTCACAGGGAAATGGTTCACCGAAAACTGAATAGTAAAATTTAAATCCGCTTGCAACTAGTCCTTCAGCTAAGCCAAGAAGGGACAGCGTCAATTTCCCATTGGTCGTTTCAGTAAATAGACGCCATCGGTCCGATAAACGTTTGAGAAAGCACTCTTGACGGGGCCGGAAAGCCGCGCGCTGAAGTACTCCAATGAAAGGGGCGCCGGCGACATCAACCTCGGGCCCATAGATCTACTAGCAAGAGATTTCCAAGTCCAAGATGTAGATTGCTGCCAGTTCTATGTGCAAGCCGGCCGAGTGGTTGTGAATGTTATGACCGCAGTAGTACCAGCTACTCGATATGCCGCATGCGGAAGGATTTTTTGGAAAAGCACGGTGTAAGGCACAAGCACTCGAGGGACTGAGTTACCAAAACAAGAAGTTGAGACTCACGCCAGCCCTAATTTGGACGACGAGAATGCTTGACCCTGTTTGACTCCAAACGCACATCGATATCAGCCGCATAATGACCACAGTGAGCTTCATACTAGAGCGAGAATTGTTAAAAGAAAAGGGACAAGGTAAATGGGAGCACGTCCATTGAGCAAGAGAAACCAACATACAGGACCTATTGAAACGGAAACGGATGAGGAGGTGGAGGTGGAGGGTGTGGGGGATCAACGTAATGGAGGTAAAAATGATCCAAGTGGCAAATATGAGAATGGAGGTTATGATTTGACCCAGGGAGCCAAAATGCAGGCGCATAAACGAGGACGGCCAGTGGGTCACTTAGTCTCTCTAATGAGGTAGATGTCCATTTTTACAACTCTTTCTCACAGGGTATCCTTTAGAGTCCAATTAGACGCTATGTTGGAAGTAGTGGCAAAGGCACACACCAAACGAAAAACTCTTCCCCACGTGCGTAGCTCAAATCTATATTGGCATCTCCCTTCTGACATTCCTCAGGAGTCTTCTTCGTCTGATTTTTCGGCAATCTCGAAGCCCTCCCCATCCTCATTCACTTCTTCATCAATCTCAGCACCCTTCTTCTCCATGTTTTGATCAGCCATAGACCCTTCTGGGTTGTAATCCGTAACCTTCATGGACGAGCTGTGATCTTCGTCTCGACGCGGAAAAGCTGACCTGTCCACCGTCGAGAGCAGCGACGAAATAGAGCCATAATTGTAGCCCGAAAGACCAGGTTTTCCGTCCGGCTCCTTGTCTCGAAGCGGCAGATCTGACTTGTCCGCTGTCAAGAGCAGTGACGAAATAGTGCCATAATTGTAGCCTGAGCTGAGAACAGGTTTTCGGCCAGGCTCCTTGTCTTGACGCGGCAGAGCTGACCTGTCCGCCGTCAAGAGCAGCGACGAAATGGAGCCATTATTGTAGCCGGAAAGAACAGGTTTTCCGTCTGGCTCCTTGTTTTGAAGAGGCAGATCTGACCTGTCCGCCGTCAAGACCAGCGACGAAATAGCGCCATAATTGTAGCCCGAAAGACCAGGTTTTCCATCGCCAACCATCATTGTTGTCGTCGATGTGCACGGAATAATAATACAAAACAAAATGCAAAATACTGCTTCTTCCGAACCCCATCAAGACAATGCTCAAAGACTCGGGCTAGGCTATACAACAACATGGACAACAAAACGATGTCACTGCAACCTTGGCCTATCAATCGAACCTCTCTCCAAAATACAATCACAGATGCAGTGTCGGAAAAATCGAAATTAGCATATCAGTGGTTGCGGCAGCTGATGAACATATATGAACTGATCAGCTTCTTGCAGGCAGCCATTTCAGCTATTTATCAGATCATGTCATCCCTGATAAGCTGCTGGTCTGAACAAGCAGTACGCGATAAGTTTTTCCCAGCAGGCATGTCAGAAGGTTATCACTTCACATCATCTCTGGCACCTCTCACAAGTCTTGTCCAGCCTACAAGGAGGAGGAATATCATATTTGAGGTGCCGAGGTCATATTATTTTCAGTGCTGGCTGGTATCTGACAATCATTTGCAACAAAGTTATTGTGTTACGACAAATTATTTACATGTAGGAACATATCTCCATCGACAGTGTCTACACCAACTTGTTTGTATATGTATTTGTCGTATTCTACTCTTTCATCCTGAATCATCATCATCGTTCCTCCATATTCTTCACACTTTCTGAAAAAGTGGTCTTCTTTGCATGGAATCAAGGCACTTTTTCACCCTTTCACTCTCTTCTCTAATTCAACTCACGAACAGAAATCCTACCTGTTCGCTCGTTGCTCCCCGAAATATTGTGCTCATCTTGCTCCTTCCGTTTGGCGATTCAACATCCTTAGGGTCCCATGATGCTCACTTCAAATACCACTGTGCACCTCACTTCCAATATGCCGCCTGGGCTCCATTCGGTGTCTGATTGTGCTGTAATTTCTGTGGAGTCCAGGAGTGTTGGAGAGAACATACTCCACACCCTCAGTGTGGCAGTTGTCATGCTCCAACGTTGATCCTGCCACCCCAAAACACATATAATGCGCAAAGATGGTGAGTGAACTCTGCCATGAACCTTCAGCATCGCCCCATCCCACTCTATCCTCACCCACCACCCTCTCATCAGACCCACATTGGGTCAGGATGTGATGAGCAGACCAACCCAGACTTTCCTCCCATCTGAATACTCAGGAGCACGCCTGACTCTTCCCCTTCTCCACGTAACCAACCTTGTCCTTGTCGCCGTTCTCCAGTAGTCCAGAGACACTCTGAACAATGCTCCTCATCCAGCGACGATCCAAGGCTCTCTCAATCACGATGTCACCTACCAAACACTGGACTTGGGACCAGGAATTGTATCAATACAATGGGGGCTAGCACATCAGCACGGCACGGCAAGGTGAGTTATCAAACTCTGCTTACAAGTGGTTATATTAATTGTTGACGTTATGCCAGAATGTTCCCAGATCCTTGTCAAAGCGAGGTGTAGATGTTCTGGATGCTGCAGATGAGTGCCTGTTCAAAAAGAAGTGCATCACATTTACCAATGAAGACGATATCAGCTGGCTAAAGCGTGAGATGGGCGATATCAAGGAGGGCATGAAGGAAATTGCAGAGCATTTGCAAGGAGATGTGGATTACAAGTTGGAAGAGATTCTTGTGTACCTTTGAGAATTACCTGCACCCTAGTACCATGTAGATATTGATCTTGTAAATGTATCATTATGAATCTATTCTCTGCATTATTATCCATTACCTTTGCATGACTTGCCATTATCGATTGGATAGCATACCCCTTATTTGCCAGGGGTAACTAAGATGGCAATATTTGTGCTGAGGAGCATAATCAATGGTTGTCTCGCTGATCACAATTGTGACTATGGACCAACCTTGTCAGTAATAATCGTGGTGGTCTTTCTTGTCAATCAACATCAAGGTAATCATTCTGACAATACAATATAAATGATTACTGAGCCATATTTTCCCCCTGAAAAGGTGATGGACTGATGTGCATTGATCTCTTCATGTCTCTACATATCTTCCAATTTCGATTTTCCCAACAAGACTCTCCCACCAAACCAGGTGCATATATGATGAGGGATCAAGCACCTTTTTAACTACATTTCAGGATTCACTGGGGAATCTGGCATGTCTCTGGATGGTGCAGTTCCAATGAGCATCATCACCAAGAGGTATGAAAGCTTCATGGGCAAGATACATGTGGGTGGAGTAGGGTTTTTGGAGAGAGGAAATTGAATTTTAGGGAAACAGGGGTGGCATCATTGCTTTAGCTTATTTGTATCACCATACTCATACATCAATTTCGCTGTCCGTGATAGGCTTGAGACCTATATATAAAAATCTAACTCGCAAACATGACCAAGGAAGGGTATGAATGGATGAAGAAGTACTTATCATTGCCCCTCATGCTGCTCAGCTAAAACAGGTTTCTCAACCTTTATAAAAACTGTCATCACATCAAGGGGTATGTAAAAAATTTGTTTAGTACACGACGTTATATTTTTCGTTTAAGGTCAAGTTTGACTGTCCCCCCCTCCCCTCCTATCCTAATTAGGTATCTATTTCCATTTTAGGTGGGCCCTGAGTTCTAATTATATCGGTGTCCATTCAATGCAACAACAAAATCCATCCATCCATGAGGTTCATGCCATATAAATTCTGTCATAACCTCAGGTGTCATACCAAAGCCATTTATCTGGTTGAGAAATTGGTCAAAAAATACCCATCACCATCCTCAAGCTTGAAGTGCAGATGCACAGAATATTGGGTAAGACAATTATCAGCCATTCCTTCAGGCATTGAGATAGGTAGCATGGGTGGAGCCATGAGGCATCATAGTTTTGTGCTATCGACATGTTTGTGTCTCCACAGAAGCCAATTTTTACATTGACTTTGCGTGTGTCACACAATAACAAGTACTCAATGCTGTGGATTCATGGTTTCCATATTGAGAACATGAAGATGGACAAGTCAAAGACCTTTTCCTCCTTCGAGTTGTGTGAGAAAAGAGTAAAAAATGGTTGAAAAATGTTCTAATCATTGACGTTGGCCTTCCAAAGCTGTTGGACAGTATTAACAAAAAATTTATTTAAGGCTCAATTGCTCTCCCCCTCCCCCCCTATGTTGTGTCCCCTGGCAAATTCCGACATACCCCTTGCATCACATTGTGTCTTCCATGGATCTGCCTCCACCACCAACAATTGATCCTTTAGCCAGTCCATTTGGGTCATTCTTGACATTGACAAGGGATCCAGGTACAGTGAGCGCAAGGGCACACCTAAACGTTGGTGGTCCTTGACAAACGCATACAATACACCTTGGTCATCAATGTCATGGACAGCGAGACCATCAAGTTCAGGCCAAAATGGTCGAGAGTCCTTTGTTTTGAAAGACTCCACAATGTAAAGTTCATTATAATTGGGGAGAATAAGTAACTTGATCCCTGGGAAACAAGCGTTGGCTTGGGCTAAAGTTGTCAATTTGCCGTCATTAGCAGGTGCAAGGGTGAGCGATTTCAAGGCTGGAAATCTAGGAGCGTTACTAGTTTTCCTCCTGAATTTGCTGAAGTCGTTGTGAACAATTGGAGCGATGGTGAGTTCCTCCAAATCCGGGGCAGATATAGAAAGTAGAAGTTCAGAAACTCCTGCCCCATCTCCAAAAATGCGTAGGTAATGGAGGAAGGGCATGTCATAGGTATCATGAAGATCAGTAGGCCATTCGAAAATTAAATCACCGTAGACACACAATGTGACCAAAGATCAACAGGAATGTAACATTTTGGAGAAGTCAGTGTAAAGAATCGGGTACAGTGAGGCTGCCAGATGAAGCCATGTTACAGCAGTAAGAGGAGGGCGACAATAGCTCAAACCCAGACCTCTTAAGCGTACACTCGTCAGGTTAATGGTGTCAGCTACAATTGCGAACGGTTGTAAGCCCAGACCTACATCCAAACCCTCCACACAGATGTGCTGGAGCATTGGATAATGGCCTTGGCACATCCATTCAAGAATGCTCGGAATCTCCCTTGTGAGTTTGTAAAAGAGTTCAGACTTGACTCTGATGGAACAGCAACATCGGTAGTGAGGTTGTAGGATACCTATGAGTGTGCTAATGCCTCTCTGGCTTAGAGTCAGGGTAAAGGTGATATTAAGATCAATAGGGGAGTCCTTGGATCTGCCAAGGTAGACCTGTAAACCGTCCAAGTCTCAGCGAAGTGAGATATCCATGTTCAACCACAGGATAGGTGCCCCATAGGCGACTTGGCGCCAATAGCACGACACCTTTCCAAGGATGAAAGGAAAGTGCCAGGTTGAACATTGGTTCAGAAAGAACATGTTTTGTGCCATTTCGAAGATGTGCACAAGGAGTTCGGGTGGTAGGTCATTGGCCAGAGTTGCCTTCTGACCATCTGGTAAGGAGGTCTTCAAGGCTTTGGAGTCCTTTTCAGACTCCAAATCACTTTTAAGAGTATTAGCCATTGCGATGTAGGCAGTTGTTGAGTAAGAACAGAGTGTTGCCAAGTTGTTGCCGTTTTTGGCCTAAGAAACAGCTCCAAAGTCAGTCCTGACAGCAGACTGATTCTCTCTTCTGGCCAAAATTCAGCCAAGTCTCACAGGCCGTTTTGGAGAAAATGGCCATATACAGAAATAGACCCTAAAATTTTGGCTGGACACCAAAAAGTGCCAAGAAAAATATGAAAAATAACGGAATTGCTTCCTTTCACAGAGAACAATCTGCCCATCAAGTTTCGAAACAATTTATCAAGAGGTTCTTCTGGAAAAAATTGCCAAACATTGACCCAAATTGGGCACTTAGTCACTTTTGATGTGACATCTATCATGGGACTAAGAAATTCCATCACACTAGGCTTTCTCAATGCAGGGAAACTGTTGGAAATAGAGGATGAACTATATTGTGTACAAGTTTCTACAGTCCTTATATACCTATTTACTATGTATCTACCATATTCTAGTGTTATCTTCATACTTGGGATTACTAAGTTAATAGTCTGATATTACTAATTAATTAAGTGCGAGAATGTACTGGCAAATGCCGGATTGTACTATTCCAACACTCCTCCTCAATTCGGCATTTCCGAAGAGCTTTCAAAATAAATCCTAAAAATAGTTCCTTCATGTCTGTGCTGGTCATGTAGCATCAGCACCACAATATCTGTAGATCATTCCTTAGATCTACAGTCTTTTGCCTGATAAGCATCCCAAAATATATTTTCCCCATTTCGGCAGGAGCTCCTCCTCAACTGCTTACTTGCTGATAGCCTGGGAAATTCCATAATTCCTTTAATAACATGCATCACCCAGTGATGCAATTGCAAATTGTGATGTTTCCTTTGTCAGTGAATCATTGATATCTTTTCCATCAACTGTTTTCATGGCTTTGCAGTGTCGTGAGATATGTCCAGTGCATCCACAGCGATAGCATGTGCGATTATCAATTAATCCTTCACGGTGATCCCAGTTTGGGCCTCTGCGTCCACCTGGTCCCTTTCCATCATTATTGATGCCATTACTACATAGGGCAATCTCTGTGCCTGGCCCTCCTTTTCGTTGTTCCTCCTTGAGCAATGCACTTTTAACATCAGTGGTTTTTAATTCTTCCTTTGATGTGATAAGTGATGTAGCTATGCTTGAGTATTCATTGTCCAAATTGAATATGAGGACATCTGTAATGTCTTGATCTGAGAGTGATACTCCAATGGCATTGAGTTTTCTTGCCAGATCTGTGATGCCGTTGACATAAGCAGAAATTGATGCACTCATGTCATGCTCAAATCCATAGAATTGCCGTTTAAGGTTAATGTGCATGGATCGACTGTTCTTCTCGTAAATATCCTTCAGCGCTTTCCACGCTTCTGGTCCATTTTTAGTGTCTCATATGTATGTGTATTGGCTCGGCTCGATGGTAAGTGAAATCAACATGAATCCTTCCTCAGCTTTAGTCTCCCATGATTTCTCTGCCTCCTTTGTGGATGGTTTTTCTTCTTCCCCTGAAGTCACCTTCCAACATCCCTTCTGCCGAAGCACTATACTGACTGCAAATTTCCAGTCATGATAATTCTTGCTATTAAGCTTCATGATGGTCACAATTATTCGATCACTTGACATGATGCTATAAATAGCTGCGAGATAAGATAGGGCAGCAAGTGCACAAGTGCAGTAAAAGCAGTGAGTCTCTTTACTGGGGGCCGGGGCCCATAACCTGTTGGAAATAGAGGATGAACTATATTGTGTACAAGTTTCTACAGTCCTTATATACCTAATTACTATGTATCTACCATATTCTAGTGTTATCTTCATACTTGGGATTACTAAGTTAATAGTCCGATATTACTAATTAATTAAGTGCAAGAATGTACTGGCAAATGCCGGATTGTACTATTCCAACAGAAACAACAGGGAAATCCCTTTCTGCCAATAGAATCTTTGCCCTTTCTGAGTAGCTTCCAGCCAAAGCCCAGCACAGGTACCAACTTTCGATAATTTCTGGCCAGTTTCACCCTGCTTTTCTCCTTAAATGTTGCAGTTTTTTGGTCGAAAAATTTGGCCATGCCAATTCCTCGTGGGAAAAACTTCGGAGGTGCGTTTTTCGACGCATTTTGCAAATTCGAGCCAAGATACATTATTTACCGAGATACCGAATTAGTGGGCTTTGCTTGTCCACAACTGTAGCAGCTACAAACATGGCCACCCTGCCGTCCCAACTCCCAAGCGAGGATATACCAACAGCAACAACAACAACAACAACAACAACAACAACAACAACAACCATCCCCCCCCAAAAAACAGAAAAAGTCCAGAATCCAACAGACATTGTCCTCTCTGCTCCCCAAATACTACCCTTTCTCACTTACAAAACTCCCTGAATTCATACATACCGCTATCTTGTCTTTTTGCTTTACATACGCTTTTTTTCATGCTTTTTGTTAAAACGAACCACTTTTGCCTTTCTCCTCGTCACTTTACTTCCAAGCCATCTCTCACCTATCTCTGCCTTTAGATATTAGTTTAGCCTTTGTTGTCTTGATCCATATGCTTCCCCCCCCCTGAACCCTTAAAATCCCTGTACCTTTCCCCTACTCATCCGTCCCTTAAACCGCATTTGGCGTACACCTCCAAAATGTCCCCGCCTCCCTCCCTCCCCTCTACTCCTGTCCGAAAACCTCCTTCCTCCCTCCCTCCTTTCTCCCCTCGCACTGCTCTCTTTTCCCCTCATGCACTTGACACAATCTCAGTTCGGGACATCACCCTTGCCACTGGCTGCGAACTTATCGTCCAAGGAATTGGCGCATCAGAAACTAATTCCAATGCGGTTGCTATACTCGAAACTGCAATCAAAGCCATCAAAAACATGGACCCTTCGCTTGCTGAAATTCACATTCTTGTGAAACCCTTCAACACTCGCAATGAGTGGTCGACTACCTGCCATGTTCACCTTGATCCATGCCTGAATGTGTCAACCGTTCTAGACACTGACACTGAGCCTAGATGTGATCTCCTCTCTCTATGGCTCACGGCACTCAGACTGGTGGCTACCACTTTTATGATAAAACTAAGGCAATTGCCTGTAGAGCTGTGTGTATAAGTCCACAAGTTTTATGAAAGGCATTTCGTAGATGTGTCCTGTGTTTTCTTTCTCATAAAACCTATGTTCTTTTCATAAGATATAGGCAAGGCCACAGAGTGCTTTTCATAATTAAACCTGTGTGCTTTCAATAGGTATTTCATTCACTGGGTTAGGTGTATTCATTGCCTTTTTCATAATTAATGGTGTGCACTTTCATTGAATATTTCATTAGGAATTTTGGGCGCTTTCATTGCTTTTTTCATAATTAATCCTGTGTGATTTCAATAAATATTTCATTCACTATGTTAGGTGTATTCAATGCCTCTATCATATCTAATGGTGTGCGCTTTCATTGAATATTTCATTAGGAATATTGGATGCTTTCATTGTACTTTTCATAATTAATGTTGTGCAATTTCAATAAATATCTCATTCCCTAGGTCAGGTGTATTCATTGCCTCTTTCATATTTAATGGTGTGCGCTTTCATTGAATATTTCATTAGGAATATTGGATGCTTTCATTGTACTTTTCATAATTAATGTTGTGCAATTTCAATAAATATCTCATTCCCTAGGTCAGGTGTATTCATTGCCTCTTTCATATTTAATGGTGTGTGCTTTCATTGAATATTTCATTAGGAATATTGGATGCTTTCATTGTACTTTTCATAATTAATGTTGTGCAATTTCAATAAATATCTCATTCCCTATGTTAGGTGTATTCATTGCCTCTTTCATAATTAATGCTGTGCGCTTTCATTGAATATTTCATTATCAATTCTGGGTGCTTTCATTGTGCATTTCAATAAATATTTCATTAGCTAGGTTATATGTATTCATTGCTTCTTTCATAATTAATGATGTGCACTTTCATTGAATATTCCACAGCTTTCATTGGGATTTTTCACTGAGTATCTCAATATTTCATTCCAATTTCATATCTGCCCCCAGGGATATCATTATGATTTTTTATTATATTCCATGATAGCAATGAAATAGCTATTACGGTCCATCCAATGGGTCATTGGGAGGGTGGTCACATGACAAATTTCCAAAAATGGTAAAAAAACAAAAGTTGTAGCTCTTTACCATAGCTTCCAGAATCAGTTGGAATTATGTCCTAAAGTGCTTCCATTGTGGAGATATAAGGTAAAAGGTTTTCAAAAGCGCCACGTTTTTTTTTTGTTTTTTGCATTTTTCTTCATGAAAAGAACACTAAACAACATGATTTCAACAGATTTAGAAAGCTAAGAGAAGGGGCTACAACTATTGTATCGTGGGAAATTTCTCCCAAAAAGGAAGGTACATGCCCTAAAAGGGTAATTGACACTGACAGACTACAAAAGTAATTTATAGCCTACAAAGTTTACTAATAGACTACAAAAAAGACTACAAAAGTTGGACATAGACCACAAAGGTCAGACAAAGACTACAAAAATTAGTATTGTCTGCTTTTCTCATTACAAAAGTAATAGTGTCCGCTTTTTGAGACTACAAAAATTAGTAGTGTCTGTTTTTTCAGACTACAATGGTTTGTAGTGTCCGCTTTTTGAGACTACAAAAGTTAGTAGTGTCTGCTTTTTCAGACTACAATGGTTTGTAGTGTCCGCTTTTTGAGACTACAAAAGTTAGTAGTGTCTGCTTTTTCAGACTACAATGGTTTGTAGTGTCCGCTTTTTTCATTATAAAAGTTAATAGTGTCCACTTTTTGAGACTACAATGGTTTGTAGTGTCCGCTTTTTGAGACTACAAAAGTTAGTAGTGTCTGCTTTTTCAGACTACAATGT